AGAACCCTAAAAGGCACTAGTCACCTGTGTAGTGTATATATAAGAATATACATTAGCGGTTGAACATGTTAAATATAGTGGTTTAATTGTAGAAGGTTGGTAGTTTAAATGCAATATTTTTTCCAGCGCTTAAGATGTCTTTCAAATGAAGAGATAATTCAATAAACATGATTGTTTTCAAAATTTGGTGGCAGGGTGAATTAATAGAAAACCTTAGCTCACCAGTTTCCAGGCTTTCGCTGCACACGGTCTGCAGTTTGGCTTGAATAGGAGAAAGAGAAGCAATATAAAAATCGTGACACAAAGAGATATTACGTATAGGCAAATAAATGTATGAGGTTCATTTTTGGCATTTGATAATTCAAAATAGGGAAGAAAATTATATCATAAAATTTCTCTCAAAAGTTGGGTCTAGAGAGATTACATATATCATCTTAAATTTCTAGCTATATGGCTTTTTAGCCATATATGCTAATTTGTGAAAGAACCACCAGGCAAAATAAATGTCTTCAATCAGTGTCAAATAAGCCGACACACTATGTTTAAACAGTTCTATCTATGTGTAGAATAACTCTCCCGTTTCTACCACGATCTGAGTCATTGACAAGACGTCCCCCCCCTCCACCATTCAATGTTGCCTTTATGTAGCTAAAACTTCATGGAATTACGATACAAGGCAATACAACATCGTTTTTATTGGGGGTTGGGGAGGAAAGGGGCGAATAGGTTAACTTAACACGTGCAAAAGAGATAAAACTGAAGTAATAGAAGGGTTGAAAAAGGTCAATGTGTCGACAATTTTGCCGCCTATCGTTGGTTACACGTCCTTCAATTCTGGCGTTTTCAGCTTCTGACACGAAATGTGACACTTAAGCATTTTCTAGTAGCACAACCGAGAAGTCATCTCGCAACACGTAAACTTATTATGAGAGAAATAATGATAGCACCACTGATGCATAGCTAAGGAAGTTCTGACACTCCTCTGGGACACTACCCTTGTCCGCCTCGTTAGTCAAACTCAGCGCGAGGGGGTCATCTTTATCGGTGGTGAGTCCCCCAAATCAGGCCTGAAATGCGAGGAGCGAGGAGTCAAGCGCGAAAGGTTTGCCCTTTGCGTCTTCGCCTTAGTGTGACAGTGCACGAAAGAGCCAAACATACAGATATGTGTTAATTTAAAATATATCAAAGTTCACACGGCAACCAGGTGGACAATCAGACATAGTTTGATGCTACTCTGGTCAACCAAACGTCAGTTTGGTACACGGTTAAAAGAGCACCAAAAACGGTTTTCCTTTGCAAAAAAGAAAATTCAGCTTTATGGGAGCACACACGCCTAACTCACCATTATCACCACTAATCGGCGTTACCACCAGCGCCTTTGCTTGGAGGCTTGGCATATTAACTCCGCCCACGCTCCTTTAAATCGTGACGATGGCGGTTTGCTTCTTGGCGCCTATTTACACCTCGTCAGAAAAAAGGCCGCTAATTAGTGATCATATAATAGGACCTCTTGTTGCAGCGCTTAGATCACCCCTGATGAAGGCACTAGACAGGAGTGTCGAAACGTTGCGTCTATGAATTGTAACTTCTTCGGTTACATTCATTAAATCTGCAAACCAGAGTAGCATCAAACTATGTCTGATATGTTAATTTTATTACTACCCAGTCCCTCTTCTTAAAAATGATTTGCACCCTGAGATCATAGGAGGACGGATGACACAACTGATTTCGGAACGTGCTGAAAATCGCTATCGAAATAAAAATTTTCTTTGCGTTAATTGCCGCTGGTTGATTCCGAGCTAGTCGAACCTAGAAATTTCAAGGCTGGCTTGGTAGTCATCCCCATCGTGGATTTATGCTCAAATTTCACCGAGTTCATTCTCCTCCGTTCGTGCACTGATCGAACCACGTTTACGTTTACGTTTACACAGAACTTAACACAATTGGCATTTGAGACCTCAAAAAATGATTGTGGCAGCTGCATATTACACCCTTACATTGGTGAATGAGACTGGGAACCAGGCAACTACCCAAACTCCTAGTTCTTGAGCTCCTTCCATTAAGTTGGGCCTGTACGCATGTTTGTTTGGGTGTGCGGTTTTAATAGTTTCAAAGTCTAACCAATTAGCCTTGTTCAAATTTAAGTTGTTCTCTGGTTTAATTTTAAAGAGGAGCAAATATTGAATCAATTTCCTTTTTTTAAGCGCACAGGAAAACGGAACAGGTTTGGGTCAGTGTTAATGAAAAATAAGGAAGAAAACTCAGTTGAGAGATAATTGCGAAAATTGTCCTCCCTGTGGCGGTGTGCGCCTTTCCTGATTACCGCCCAAAGCAAAATTAACACAAACTACGATATATCCTATGAACAAAAGGTGGGCAAAGCTCCATCCGGAACGTCCTTAACACCTGTCCGTGTCTGGCTTTTTTCCTGTAAAATTTGGATGAAAACAGCCATCTTCAGATCAATAAAGTTGAAATATGCCCTTCACGATTCAAAGTGGAAGGGAAAAGATAAAATTTTGCTTACTTGTAATATGGTTGTAGAAAGAACCCCCTCATTTTGGCAAATGAATTACTGACGAACAGGCATCAAGGTTCACTCAAAATCACTGTAATTCCGAATAACATACACACAAAGGAATTACCAATCTTTTTCTTTTTTGTTTTGTTTTTTTTAACAGCAAGACATCAAGCTCGACGTTTCCACCATCGACGGATTATTTACTGGCAAGGGGAAAATCGAAGTCAAAACTTAATTGGATCCTATTGTGAGACATCACACAATTTAGGCATAATAATGCGGTGCTTAGACAGTCTGTGAAACAGTAGCGCTATATCGAAAACACAGATAGTGACATATCTGTTAAATACTATCAGGCCATCTTCAAACTATCGTATGCTGGATCGTGAGTACGTTTTCAACGCTTTGAAGACCTCAGTTTTCCGAGCTGTTTTAAGGCAAAAAAAATCCAATTTTTTTAATGGTAACTGAATCACGGATTATTACAACAATCCTCATCGTTTTATTTTACATATAAATGTCGTTATCAACGCAATCGATATTTCAGTAAAGCGTCTAACAGTACAGATAAGCAATATGAAGTCGCCTAAAAATCGTCTATATTCTATTCAACTCACGTACACTTGTCATTAATGTAAAATAAATATGGCCAAAACCTGTTTTTGATAACGTCTTTTGTTCCACAGGAGGATTAAAAGGAGCTATTAGCATAACACAAAGTTATCACTAAGAAAGAGACGATATTTTCAACGTAAAAATAGTCAACCTGCATGCAACATCACCTGAAAGGTAAGCTACTGTTTTAACATTTTTACCTGTGTCAAGCACTGTATAAATGGGTAATTAATTGCCGTCTCGGTAAATATCGAAAAGCCACACTGGTTGCGCGTGTAAAACAAATTTTTACCAAAAATCGGCCTCTGATCTCAGTTTTTTCCTTCGAGTCGGCCGCAATAACAAGTTATTAGAATACCAGACAAGACTCTCATTCCAAAGCCAAAAGTCTATATCAGAAGGGCGAGCTACTGTAGTTGAAAGCGAGTTATATTCTTCATAATCTATTTCAATTCCTTTGACTTGATTTTAAAATTTCACTTTATTATCTTCAAAAGTTCCAATCAATCGATTATCATCATCACTACATCATAATGAATTTTAAATCCTTGCATGGAAAATTTGTGACTTTGTTTCATTCGAATAAAATTTTTTCACCGTTTCTGAAGCGCGCAATCAGAGTTTACTTTTTTTTCATGATCATTTCCCAACATCGAATGACTTAGCCAATATAAGTGAATAGAAATCAAAAAAGGCCTAAAAAAGCTTAAGGCTTGCAAAAAATCGAACCGGCGGTCTGGGTTTATTTTTCAAAAAGATCCATAAAAATAAAATTTTTCATTTTATTCTTGCGAAAAAGATCATTTTATACATTGTTTATCCAACCATGTGAGTCATGCCAACCACTTATTTTTGGAGCCATTGTTTATCCCGAGAGCGCGCGCCGCAGGCTAGAAAACTGAGGAGGGTAGACAGGTGGAAGGGAGGAGTGTCTCTTCAGTACTTGTGAGGATAGCAGGTTGTTTTCATTTATTCATATATATTTTTTTCTTGATCAAGAGGAGATAAAAGTACCTCTCCGTCCCTCCCCTATGAGCAACTTACTTTGCCAGGCACAAAGAATAAAACAGGCTGCCATGTTTTCATTTAAGTCACGTCTTTTTCTTCGCCTGATCATCGGAAAATATTTTATTGTTTGGAAACTTCAGTCATACTATTGAGGTAGTGGAACCCTGTGAAATGTTATGTTACGGTACTTCGTGTCATTGACAACGATTTTCCTGTTACTTCCGAGAAATTTTGGAAGCGTTGAGAGTCTACTCCAAAAACCCGCTACCGTCTTATTAGCGCGTTCTGTTTAAAGAGTCGTAAACGTCTCCGGTGTAAGGTATCTCCAACTTGCTTTAAGAATGGCTAGATATATATGGCGGTCAAGATTGCCCCAAAATCTGATCGACTTTTTCCGACCCTGGGATCTTAGTGATGGCGTTTTCAGTCGTTTATTTTTGCACTGCCTTAATATCGATGGTTGTGCAAATTGAGATAAATGCTCTTGTTTTGATTCTTGTGGTTTTAGTTAATAAAACAAACAAACAAACAAACAAACAAAAATAAAGCAGACAAACCAAAACTCCATACCATGCTCACGCAATCCTTCAAAGCTTCTCGTTTACATTCTTACTGAGCGTGCGCGAGTCGTGACGTGACTGGTTTCGAGAAATCACGGAAGTAATTGAAAGCACGGTGCTGTAAACAACAGACGGATTCTCGGCAACAAATGATGCTCTCCTCTCGGGAAACGGAAGAAGAAGAAAAAGAAGACTTAACAAACAATCAGCTTGACTTTTCCCAACCATGGCATTTCAGCGATGTAGTTTTGGAGGTGGAAGAGGAAAGATTTCATGTTCACCGAAGTATCTTGTCGATGTGGTCGCCAGCTTTTTCGAAAATGTTTACCTCAGACTTCAGCGAAAAAACAGCTAAAGAAGTGCCACTTCCGGGGAAGATAGCGAACGAAATAAGAGAAATGCTGCTGGCAATTTATCCAACGTCCGCCAAAGGGATCGATGACGAGAACTACTCGTTCCTGTTGGATCTTGCAAGGGAATATATGATGGAGAAGCTCACCGAGAAATGCGAAGACTTCCTAATTCATAAGTTACGTTGGCCACGCCAGCAACACTCATCTCAGTGCTTAGACCTTCTTGTTACTGCACAGTCATACGATCTGGAGAGGTTGCAAGAGGAATGCATCAAAAATGCACGTAATCTAAGCCGCCGGGAACTTAATAGTCACTCAAAGCGCGATAAAATCCTTTTGCCAAACTATAAGAAATTAGTCGATGGGATAATGGAGCGAATGGAAAATAAAATCATGGAACTTCAGCGCAATAGTAGCGGATTTGGACTTTATTAGTATCCTTTGAAAGGGATTTGAAGTCTGAACTGGAAAGCGTCAGTCCTTCCGCAAAATTACAAAAAAATTAGTATTCCTGTAGATGACAGTTTATGACAATTGTATTATTTTTAGAAAACACTAGGTAGGGCCCTTCCTATACGTACTGTAAACGGATCTAGCTCTATCTCCAACCATTTTCGACAATTTCTTTATGATCTAAACACGTTTCGAAGCTCTGCGAACACTGCACAATAACCTCGCAATCCATCCCATAATGTTAGTCCGTAAACTACATTAAATAACACTACATAAAGTATGCCGGGTTCAATCCTGCCTGTTGGGCGACTGAATGCCATAATAAAAGGTTAAACTGATCAAAAAAAAAGTTTTCGTCTTTGCAATGGTAACCACGTCATTTAACAAGAGTGGAAATTTCAAAATTTCTCATAAATCATAACAAAGGGCAGTCGATAAATTTATTTCTCCATGGTTAAATGAAAAACCAAGAGTAACAAATATCAAGCAAAACAGAAACTGAATTTTCGAGCGAATTTCAGGCTTACCCCCGCTCTAAACCATGTCTTTTTCAACAATCTGTTACCGATATAGAAAACTGTAATATATGAACAGAACCAGAAGTGTGACATCTACTTCCTGTTTGTTTGTGGAGGGCTGGGTCAGCCACGGAGATTGTTAAATCAGTCAGCCAAAGTGTAGGAATCTCCAGGGAGGAGGAATCTTGCAAAACGTTCCCCTGGTTGATAACCCACTAAAGGTTACCCTAGAAACATTACAGCCTCTTAAAATAACCTTATCAAACCCCTTTGAGCACCTGTAAAACAAAAATGAGCTCAGCGACCTGAATGGTTTCAAATCACTGAATTACAACACGAGAAATCTTCACGGTTAACACAGTTCAGAGCCACCTTACTTAACCGTGTTATCTAAACGACTCTCGATAATGCGGTGGAAGCATTGCAAAACTGAAAACACCAATGACTATTAAAAAATGAAATAATAGTGAATCTATATAAAATGTTGAAGTGAATTTATAAATCTTTTATTCGATGGGTTAACACATATCACATAATACGCACAGACAGTTTGTGTATATCCTCGCCTCAGCAGGGATCGGAAAATTACTAAGTAACCATAGACCGGCGGGGAAAAAGCGTTTGATCCTGTGCTATGTAAAAGTAAACAATTTTACGAATTCCTCATTGCAAAAAAGGGAATAGTATCAAGGGGCTTCAATAAATTGAAAAATGACTTTGACTTAGATGATATTACTGTGTCAAAGGTTTTTCTCAATTTGCTGTCAGTTTCATCGGAAACCTTTATTAGAAGCTTTCAGTTAAAACTGTTGGATGATATCGTTTTTACCAATAAGCGACTAGCTAAGATAGGTTATGTTCTACACGATACCTGTACGTTCTGCAAAGTGGAAACAGAAACCATCTATCACTTATTCTACGAATGTCCTTTTACTCTTCTCTTTTGGGAAAACTTTGAAAACTTCTGGTTGTACTTTCAGGTAAAAGGGAAAAATTCACCTTGCAAGATGTATATATCGGTAAATTAGAAAAATGTGAGTTATTGAATTATCTTATAACTCTTGCAAAATTGCATATATGGCAAAGTCGAAAACAAGATAAATTCCAGAATGTGAAGTTTTCTTAAAATAAGTAGACGTCAAATATAGAACTGAGAAATACATTGCTGTTAAAAACAATACGCAGAAACAATTTCAGGCTAAGTGGTTATTATATAGATGGCACTTATTTATAATAAATAATAGTTTACAAATATAATTATAGAAATTGTTTAAAAATATAAATGTAATTTATAATTAATAATAGCTTACAAATGTAAATAGAGTATACTGAGAGTCTTGTAAACACTTTTTTATTTTCAAAATGGCAATAAAAAATGTGGAAAAAAAAATTAACCATAGACCGAGAGGGCCTGCAAACGATTTAAACTTAATAATGTCTATTTTGAGCTTTTTATGCTATTTTATTCAAATTATCTCCTTCATCTATTGATACACTCACAGACGTGACACTGGCAGGGAGTTAAGTAGCTTTCGCGAACAAGCTCCCATAGTTTCAGCTCCGAGGTACTTGAACGTGACCAAAAAGTTTCGATCGCAACCCTTTCACTACAGGAAATTCAGACCAAAAGAAAAACAACGCATATTAATGCTGATCGTTGGTTCGACGCCTTTAAAAAGATGGATTTAAAGGTCTTTCAGGACAAAAGCTGGTTTTCAATAACATAACTTGTGACCGGAACGATGGCTTGGAGCTTGTTCAGACAGTCTCAGACTTGTAAACGTGACCTTTGCCAACATCTAACGAGCTGCATACCTCACGTATCCAAGTCCAAATTATTTGAAACGGTCTGAAATATCAACCTTTGTCTGGCAATATATGTGTTTGGCACTGAAATTAGGAAGAAGCGCTCGGTGACACATGGTGTCTGAAAACATGTGTATGGCACTAAAATTAGGAGGAAACGCTCAGTGATCCCTTTACATAATACGAGCACGTTTTTTTTTTTTTAGTTCATTAAGAGCGACATGGTGTCTTGTTCAATACGAGTAAATAGAAAATTCAAAGGGTTCATGTTTAAAGCGCCTAAGTATATTTACTTTATTCTTGCTTAGTTTTGATTAAGTGAAATCCTTTTAAGTCTTTTCCTATTGATTAGATGAGCCGTCTAATCCATGGATTTTCAACTGTATCCTGTAAGAAGTCTTTCCTCACCTAACCGATCCTTACCGAAATTACGCGTTCGACTTTCAACCGCTCAGTTACCCGGTGCAAAATTCAAGTTGAGGTAGACAATAGTTCTTGTTTTATGGATCTAAAAATAGTTTTCCAGGGAAAATTCAGGCTCTTGCCATGCAAAGCCCATCAAATATTATACTAGGAGTTAGTTCCCCCCCCCCCCGTGTCCCTTGCAAGGAATACCCCAGTATTCCTGCTAACTCATATCCGCAGAACATATTGCAAAATGACTGTCAGAAAATCAATGACAGTCTTTGTGACTCATTTCACATCCACTATAGGTTCTTGAACATTTTAAAACCGGGCAATCCTCACGGAAAGATAAGGAAAATGTAATTACATGTATCTTGTTTAGTCTCATACGACCCAATAACGTCATTCATGGATGTCTCTCACTGATCTCACTCTCACAAAGATTGTTGTATCATTTTACGGTAAAAATAATGTAAAAGTTGGCCTTCAAATCAATTAAAAGAAACTGCATGATTTTCAGAGCTTAAACACTGTGTTCTTACATTACTTAGATACTTAGTGCCGGTGATCTCGTGCTTCCGGAAGACCAAATTGGGTATTTCAACACAGGGTATTCTCTCTTGATAATTCACAATCTGTTGGAGATAACAGATTTTTCAAATATTTCACCCCAGAGAGACATCAGGAGAAAAAAACCAATTTTTTCAGACCTTCAGGTGGAATATTCAACCCCTAAGCTTGAATAAGAAATAAATCATACCCACGGTTGCTTTGTTTACATCCGCATGGATCTCAAGCAACGAGTTTTAAAATATTTAAAAGAAATATTTACTGAAGTCCATAATACATCCGTTTCAGCGAACACTCACTTTCTTTTTTTAAATGTCGAACATGTCTGGTCCACGACTTAAAAATTCTCCTAAATGCTGACAACCATTTTCTCACTTAGCACATGTAGTGGAGAGAATTTCTTCAACATCACATGCAATACCAACTCGATGTCATCTAAATATCTTGGTCGTTATTGTGTCTCTACCCTGTCAATCTGCTCTTTATCAAGTTCTTGATTGAATCACGTAAACTGTGGCGGATCCTAGACCTCACGTTCAATCCAAAAACCTAAAATTCTTGAATTTTCCGAGTCTCCACCAGGAGCTGTGTTGTGGCCGATATGCATTTAGTTGGAAGAAAAATTAGAAATTATCAAAGTTGTTGCGATCAGCACGTGTAGTTGATCTAGTTTCGCTACCATCTCTTCTTTAATTCAACCTCGTTTTGTTAACTGCTGCATCTAATGGAGCGCTCTAATTGCAAACTGTAAACTTGTCTGTTACTGTTTAAATCTTACTGACTTTTCTCAGAATCTAAATCGTAAACTTACCTTTAAAAAAAACCCTTGAAAAAAACTTAATTAAAAAAAAAGTTATCGCTAAAAAACGAGATTTTCAAGGCTTCTATGCAAAAAAAAAACGCAATAAAAAGCAAACGTGATGTTCGATCATCTTTCAAACTGTTTCATTATGCTAAGCTGTGACATCACTGACTCAGAGATAAATTATTAAAAAAAAAAAAAAGAATCTAATGTAGGTTTTTTCTTTGTTTTTAATACCCAGAGAGGAGACTCAACCATAAGTTTTATCACAACTCCAAACATAAAAACATCATAAAAGAATTCACTTTAAAGTAATTTGAAGAAAACAAATTCTGAAATACTTAGCACTAGCTTCCGTGCGACAAAATGTGTTACATGCAGTCACGTGCGTCTTAGCACATGAGTTGATATTGTATGCAGGACACGTACGGCCACTAATGTCAGATAAATTAGTTTGAATAACTAGCCATTGCTGACCTGTCAGCGCTTCACTATTTACAACCGTCGCTCTGTACGTGCATATAGAAGGAAACATCCGAAATAAGCGATCGAGCAAGCTTATAAAAGCGAAAAGGAAAAAGATTTCCCACTTATTTAGAGGTGAAGATTTTCAGTTTTTATTGTAATTTCGAATTTTGTATTTTGATCTTTAAAAATGCAACATCACAAAATCGTCCTCTTCTGCTCCATGTCGAGCTTTAGTTTTTCCCCGTTGTAGACTAAACAAAGAAGCGAAACTTTCACGAATCTTTTGTACACGATCACCTACATCTTTGTTTACTTCCATGTTTGTACGCCTAATTTCTTTCCTAATTCTCATTGCCATGAAGAAAAAAACTGAACAAACCGTCAAGAGATTCGAATCTTTTAGCTGAAAAAATCAGCATCTTTTTACCAATACCTTGAACTGAGCCAAGAGAATAATATTTAATTCATTTCCAAGAGTGGAAGGGAGACGCGATTCTTTGCGGTATGACTCTGTTCTTAAAAATAGAGTCATATGGAGTCACATCTACTTAAAAATACCACTATATTACTTGGTGAATTAACTAGTTCATCACATGCATGCCTTGAGGCGATTCATTCGAAGCGGACATACGGAAAACTTAAGAGAAGACTTCTCGAAAAAAAAAAAAAAAAAAAAAAAAAAAAAAAAAAAAAAGGAATTTTGATAACGCAGACTTCCTATACTTATCTTCTGCCAACACATTCTCAGTCATTTTCAACTTACACTGTTTTTACCACAACCCTTCCATGTGTCTTCCCTGACGCCCGCGGTTTCCAATCGTCTTAATTATGCACATAATCATCTTTAGGAATCTATCTATTCATCCTCTCATGAAGTATTTAGATATTCTTAACACTCTCACACACCAGAGCGATTGTTACATTTTTTAAAAGAACGCGTATGAAATTTATAAATGACTTTAAAGACGTGCCATACGTCTAAACTTTGTCCAAACTTCACTTAACAACCTTTAAAGGCTGTCACACTTGCGATAAAGAAAAGCTTTGACTTTGAAAATTATTTCAATTCGCGGTTTTTTCTAAATATCTGCTTATTTTCCGTTGTACCTCCTCTAGGTCGGTGTTTAGTTTTCATTCGTTTGAGGTAAAGTTTTGTCTTTGTTTTGTCCGTTCATAGACTAACGACGATTGCTTTTCTTATGTTTTTCCTGTAATAACTGGTGGATACTGTCCAAGTTTGGTCACAAAACGTGTGAGGAGGAAGTCGTTACATCCATGGATAAGCCGATGGAGGCACCGATTGAATGAAAGTGATTTATTCCTCACCTGCGCGAAAATATCCTTATTCTTCCTGTGCTTTTCGTCAGGTCCACAAAGGTTAGTACTTACTTACGCTATTTACTCTATACCACAAAGGTCTGTGGTTTTATTTTTTTTTTTGGGGGCTTGTTCTTGAAAGAAAGAGAAGCCAACGAACTGCCAGGTTTGTGGTAGCTTGCAAGACAAGCCCCATAAAAAGTCTTTGCAAAATAAAATCTTGGGCACTGAAAAAAGCCATAATTTTTAGATCAACTCGTGTAGCAACTCAATCGCACAACTTCTGTGGTTCTTTCGAAAAACCATCCGCAAATTGCCGGACCGAACGGACTCCAGCTACGCCAAGCTATGTGAATGCAAAAGAAGAAATAATTTAAAATGAAGATATTACGGTTCCGCATACAGGCTGGACCAATACAAATATATGCACTTAATCACTGGATTTGTGCTGATTGGGTCTGATTACTGATCGTTATCATCGTCAATGGCGGCGGTTTTATCCGATGATATGTAAATTAGCTAACCCTAAGCCTAAACTTTTTTTATATTCAAAGAAGGGATCACTGTTTGCATTTTTCGGTTGACCATTTTCTGAGAATTAGCCTTATCATTTAGACTACACCAACCAAACGAAATCACTTATTTTTGCATCGTTATTGTTGATCTGGTTGCCAGTATATTTGATATCATTTTCAAATTGATATCAGATAAATTCAAAACCATGCTTACGATTGAATTCTTAAGCGTAGGTGTTACGACTTCATATTACTCTGGCTGCAAGTTCATATAAACTAGACCCTTAAGATGAAATGATTTTTAATTAACCCTGTAACTTTCAAGATCTTATTGTTAATTCCCCGCTCTAATTGCCTTACATTTCCTTGTAAATTAGTGACAAGAATTTGGTGTTAGATTATAATAACAACTTCTAACTGCTAAATGTGAGTATTCACATTACCTGTTTGCTGGATAATGTATGGATATTATGGGATGAAGTAACATGAAAATCAATCCTGAGAGTTTAAATTTTAGTCAATCTCTTCAGAAAACTCACGCAATGTCACGCAATGCTCCTTCCGAAGAAATGATGGCGTGATTGTTGCGTGACATTCTAAAAAATGAGTGCGAAGGAGAAGAGGCGCGTGATAATGATGATAGAACGTGGTTGCCGTTGGCATATATGGAGGACAATTCATGAATATGATAGGTTTTATTCCCTTTGCTCTGCCGTTTGGAATGAATCCTCACACGAGTTCAGCTTACATCGGAGATGATTGGACTTTTGATTCTTCTCTAAGTTCCAGCTTTAGAATTTGCTGGCTTTTCGTAAAGATGACCTTGTTTCCAGATTTAGTACAATACTCAAACAGCTGCACATATAAGGAGATTACTGAGATACTTGACAACCTAATTAGCCAATCAATCCAGCAGTCCCAAAATCATTTCCAAGAATGACGACGAGCAAAGGCATAATTCAAATGAGAACAAATCGAAATAACCACATTGAAATGTAGCAACTGACAGTGGGTGGTGATCAACATTTTTGAATGTAAGTTTTCATTTTGTAAATACATCAGGTGTATTCGTTCCTTTTCCAGCTCAAGATATCTCTGTTAAACTTTTCTTGCAACGTAAAAGACCGTTATATAACAAGCCTGTCAAAGGAGGTTTTCCTTCATTTTCCTGCATTGACCCTTAAACCCTATGAGTGACCAGCGTCTAATTTCTCCTTACAGTAATATTGCGATTCATTTATTAAGTTCATGAAAAGAGAGGAATGATCGCCAATCTAAGGAGCCTTGAATTCTTCTAGTAAATACCAAGAGAAAAGTATAGAAAAGAGTATTGAGAATATGGATACTGACGCTAGGGTCCTCAGTTTTCCCTACAGTCATGAAATACGTTCAGTGACCGGAAAACTGGGTTTATTTAGCCTCGTTATGAAGATGCATCATTTTCTTAGAAAGGCGGAAGTTAATTTTATTCTGGCGCTTTCTGAGAAGGCTTGTCAGTTTAGAGAAGTTGTTGATCAAACCTCTCTGACCCTGAATAACAAATACGTTTGTTAGAAATCGTTGTATGCACCATAAAAATGCAGCAAGAAGGCAAAGCAGTTCAAGAACATGAACAAGACTTTTCAGAGCCGTGGGAACAGAGCGATGTTGTTCTACTGGTGGAAGGACAGAAAATCTATGTCCATCGTCTCATGTTGTCGATGTGTTCTCCAGTTTTCTCTCGAATGTTCTCCGCTGAATTTAAAGAGAAAGATGCCGATGAGATTCCGCTACCCGGCAAGAAAGCTGCTGAAATAAGAGAGATGTTGCTGGTTATTTATCCGAGTTTCTGCAAACGAGTGACAGACGACAACTTAGATTTCTTGTTGTCTCTTGCTCGAGAATACCAAATGACAGTACTCACACAAAAATGTGAAGATTATCTTCTGTGGGGAATGGAAAAGAAGAACGAAATTAGCTCCATTATGGAAACCCTAATCATCGCCCAAAATTATTCCTTGGAAAGACTGAAAACTGATTGCATCAAGAAAACGCAAAATCTTTCCACGGAAGATATAAAGAGCCACGAGTTGTACGATCAAATCGAACCTCTTTCTCAGAGGAGGATGGTTGAATTGCAAATGGATAACATGGAGAAAAAGCTCAGTGAAGCTAAAGCCGAGCTAGAGAAATCCAACGCAGAGATTTCAAAGTTACAAGGAAAGATTAAAGAGATGAAAAAATTGGCTTCCGAAGGTTTGGAGTGCGTCGGATCAATTGCTGCCAACCTTGGAAATCACATTCGTCACGCCATGCTAATGAATTCGAGGTTTCAAGACTTTGCGATGACCACGGAGCAACATTTGAAAACCATTCAGAACGACACCAGCGCTCGCGCTACATTCAACGGTCGGGATAAAGTTTGTCTATCGTTAAATGAAACATATTCTCCTCTGGAAAATCTCCAATATAAGCTTTTGGCAATCACAAAAGGGTTTAAATAGATGCTGCGAAAAATATCTATGTTGGAATATTTCGTAAATTTCATAAATATTTCATAAATTTGGCATATCTTGTTTGGGCGTTTCTGCCACTACTACGTAACGTAAATTGTATTTCCAGACGTCAGTTCAAGGCAAGATTGGAATTATTCGAGAATCGAATATATTCAAGCCCACATTACCTTTACAATAAATAGCAACTGCATCCTATTGTCAAAACAAAATTGTTTAAATTTTCGGATAAAAGTGATTGAAAGGCTCTATCTAAGGAGGTACGGTACTGACATCCTTCTATTGCAGCTTCTTGCTGAATAGTACCAGTGTAGCTCTCACTGTACTGAAGTTCATAGCCAGTCTCGAGCACATTTAAAAGTGTGGGTAATTCTGTCTGCATTAAAAATGATTGTCTGGTTAACTGAGACAAACTTGAATACAACTGATTTCCAATATTCATTATTAACACGAGATCATTAGCAGAATTGATTCCTTGTTTGTTACTGTAAATCAAGGAGCATAAACTCATCGTAACACATTGTTGTCCTGAATTCTGTCCAAATACCAATTCATCAGCTTGGCTATATGGTGCCATTATTGTTTTGCTGGGGTCAATGTACATTGGAGTAGGGCCAGAGTTTTTCTCTATATCTGAACTCAGTTGAAATTTACAATAGTTTGATGCACGTGTCTGACTTTTATAAAGACACATGGGTCTATTACAAGAAAACATTGATAAGTACCGACTTGCTCTATGCTTCAATTTAATTATACTTTGATATACCCTTATAGAACAATTAAACAAATACTTCTTATCATGTTTTGTAACTTTATTTAATCTTACTCTCGTCGTATTAAGCTTACAATCATTCTTTGTAACTCTTCTAACCTTCACATAACGACGTAGCCAAGAGGACTTCGGTATGCTTAGACGAATACGCTCATAAACAAATTCCTTCAGTTTTCTGCCCTTTCTTCTGAGACGTTTCAGAGTAGCTTCTGGTATTCTGCTAGGTTCTTGATCACGTCTAAATACACGGTTGTGTTTACATGTAAACATAATATGAGATAACTCGTTTGATATAGCAGGTTTCGCTTGATATTTCTCAATAAAAGGTTCACTCGTAAAGGATCGCTCGTAAAGGATCTCTTGTAAAGTTCGCGGACCGACCCGTTCCCAAAACGCTCCACAAATTTTAGTGGGGGTCTACCGCGAACGGTGTGTGACTTTGTATATATATTGGGCGTAATAGCCATTGAATTTCTTTCGCGTACATCAAGCAAGGAATTGTCCACGAAGGCAGCCATTACTTTAAACCATGCGCTCTAAGGTTCATTCTATGCATGCGCCTACACTTCACGCATGCGCTGTAGTGGAACTATGTGTATTGACTGAATGCAAAAAAAAAAAAAAAACGAAGCCGAATTTAAACCTCGGGCGTTTCCTTCGGAAAGCCCGAGTAAAAAGTTATTTCCTTCCCGCTATTAAATATAGCATGTCTTGTTAACGTGTCGATCTATGTCGCTGCCTAATAACCTAAATTGTGTTTTTGAGCAAGAGTGGAATCATTGAGATCTTGGCTCAAGTTCCAGATGCAGATTGCAATATCTTGTTTTATGTTCCTATTGTTGGTAACAACAGGGTTGACTGTAAGCTTTTAGGAGTCTTATTGACATGATGTGGTAAATTACTTCACTATTTAACAATACACGGAAAACAATCGTTCTTCATTACCTCTATCATAAAAAAGCGTGTGCATCATTGAACAAACCTCTGCTATAACTGGCAGCTGTATGTGACTTCCAATGATTAGTAAATAATGATAATAGAATCATCACACTTAACAAAACCAAAAAACACTGCTATTGCAATACTGAGGTCATCTGCTGAAGCGAAAGGCCAAGGCAGATAACACAGTCATGAGGTTTGATAATTCATGATATCAAGCAAAAACCAAATTCGATAATTGTTCTATAATAGATTTTTTAAAAACGTTCAGCCATATTGAGTTCTCTATGAGTTTAATTCGCAAAAGTTTGAGAACTCTACACGGACAAGGGGCATGAAAACTAAGGAGACATTGAACTCTACATGATAAACATAACATTCGCAGCAGATACTGGATTATCGATCATGTCCACTTCACACATTATTCTATATTGATTGAATGTTCTCGACCGATCGGATTTTTTTATAGTTAGTCTAATGTATAATAACACTTATTATCTACCCCTAGAAAAATTCGGAACGATGGCTTGGAGCTGTTCAGACAGTCTCAGACTTGCAAACGTGACCTTTGCCAACATCTAACGAGCTGTAATAGTATACCTCACGTATCCAAGTCCAAATTGTTTGAAACGGTCTGAAATATCAACCTTTGTCTTTCAACATATGTGTTTGGCACTGAAATAAGAAAGAAGCGCTCCGTGACGTATGGTGTCTGACGACATGTGTTTGGCACTAAAATTAGGAAGAAGCTCACCGTGATCCCTTTACATAATATGAGCACGTAGTTCTTTTTAGTTCATTAAGAGCGACATGGTGTCTTGTTCAAAACGAGTAAATAAAAATTCAAAGGGTTCATTTTTAAAGCGCCAAGTTTATTTACTTTATTCTTGCTAAGTTCTGATTTAGTGAAATCCTTTTAAGTCTTTTCCTATTCATTAGATGAGCCGTCTAATCCATGAATTTTCACACTGCACCCTATAACAAGTCTTTCGTTATTGATCCTTGCCGAAATTACGCGATCGACTTTCAACCGCTCAGTTACCCAGTACAAAATTCAAGTTAAGGCAGACAATAGTTCTTGTTTTATAGATCTAAGATAATTTTCCGGGGAAAATTCAGGAACTTGCCATGCAAAGCCCATCAAATATTATCCTAGGGGTTAAGTCCCCCCGTGACTCTCCCTTGCAAGGAATACCCCAATATTCCTGTCAACCCATTGCAATATTGCAAAAAAACTACCGGAAAATCAATGAGTCTTTGCGACTCAATCTGCTCTTTATCAAGTTCTTGATTGAGTCAGGTAAATAGTAGGGGATTCTGGACCTCACGTTCAATCCAAAAACCTAAAAATTCTTAAATTATTCGAGTCTCCACCAATTGCTGTGTTGTGGCCGATATGCATTTAATTTGAAGAGAAATTGTCAAAGTTGATACGATCAGCATGTGTCGTCAATCTAGTTCCGCTAGATTGACAACACTTTCTTTAGTCAACTCCTTTTGTCAATTGCTGCATTTAATGGAGAGCTCTAATTATGAACTTTAAACTTGTCTGTAACTGTTTAAATCTTATTGACTTTTCTCAGAATCTAAATTTGTAAATCTTAGCTTAAAAAAAAAATTCCTTGAAAAAAACTTTATTTCAAAACAAGTTGTTAAAAAACGAGATTTTTCCAGGCTTCTGTGCGGAAAAAAAGCAAAACAAAGCAAACGTGATGTTTGATCATCTATCAAACTGTTTCATCATGCTAAGCTGTGAGACCACTGACTCAGTGATGAATCATTAAAAAGAAGTCTAATGAAGGTTTTTTGTTTTTGTTTTTGTTACTAAGAACGGAGACTCGACCATAATTTTTATCACAATTCAAAACATTAAAACATCATAAAAGAATTCACTTTAAAGTGATTTAGAGAAAACAAAGTAATTCTGAAATACTTAACACTCGCTTCCGTGTGACAAAATGTGTTACATGCAGTCACGTGCGTCTTAGCACATGAGTTGATATCGTATGCAAGGCACGTACGGCCACTAATGTCAAATAAATTAGTTTGAATAACTTGTCATTGCTGCCCTGTTAGCGCTTCACTATTTACAACCGTCGCTCTGTACACGTATGAAGAAAGAAACATCCGAAATCGGTGATCGAGAGAGCTCATGAAAGCGAAAGGGAAGATTTCCCACTTATTTAGAGGTGAACATCTTCGGTTTTTACTATAATTTCGAATTTTGTATTTTGATCATCGCAAAATCGTCCACTTCTGCTCCTTACCGAGCTACAGTTTTTCCTCGTTGTAGACTAAACAAGGAAGCGAAAGTTTCACGAATCTTTTGTACATGATCACCTACATCTCTGTGTACTTCCATATTTGTACGCTTAATTTCTTTCCTACTTTTCATTGCCGTGGAAAAAAAACTGATAAAGAACTGTCAGGAGATTCGATCTCCTTGCTGAAAAAATCAGCATCTTTTTACCAATGCCTTGAACTGAGCCAAGAGATTAATATTTAATTCATTTCCTAGAGTGGGAGGAAAATGCGGTACTTTACCATAGGACTCTATTCTAAAAATAGAGTCATATGGAGTCACGTCTACCTAAAAATACCACTATATTACTAGGTGAATTAACCAGTTCATCACATGCATGCCTTGAAGCGATTAATTCGAAGCGGACATACAGAGAACTTAGGAGAAAAATTCTCGAAAAAAAAAAAAAAAAAGGAATTTTGATAGCCATAGGTAACAACGCAGACTTCCCATACTTATCTTCTGTCAACACATTCTCAGTCATTTTCAACTTACACTGTTTTTACCACAACCCTTCCATATGTCTTCCCTGACGCCCGCGGTTTCCAATCGTCTTAATTATGCACATAATCATCTTTAGGAATCTATCTACTCATCCTCTCATGAAGTATTTAGATATTCTTTGCAACCTCACACACCAATGCGACTGTTGTATTTTTTAAAAGAACACTTATACAGTTTATAAATGACTTTAAAGACGTGCCATACGTCTAAACGTCGTCCAAACTTCACTTGACAACTTGTAAAGGCTGTCACAGTTAGGATAAAGAGAAGCTTTGACTTCGAAAAATATTTCCATTTGCGGTTTTTTCTATTTATCAGTTTATTTTCCGTTGTACTTCCTGTAGGCCGGTGTTTAGTTTTCATTTGCTTAAGGTGAAGTTTTGTCTTTGTTTTGTCCGGTCATAGACTAACGACGATTGCTTTTCTTATGTTTTTCCTGTTTTAGCAGGTAGATGGTGTCCAAGTTTGGTCAAAAACCTGTGAGAAAGAAGTCGTTACATCTATGGATAAGCCGACGGATGCACAGATTGAACGGGAGTGATTTATTCCTTGCCTTCGCGAAAATATCCTCATTCTTCCTGAGCTTTTCGTCAGGTGCACAAAGGTTAGTACTTGCTTACACTATTTACACTAAACCACAAAGGTCTGTGGTTTTACTTTTTTTTTTTGGTTGTTCTTGATAGAAAGAGAAGCCAACGAACTGCCAGGCTGGTGGTAGCTTGCAAGACATGCCCTATAAAACGTCTTTGCAAAATAAAATCTTATGCATTGAAAGAAGTCATAATTTTAAGACCAAGTCGTGTTGGAACTCAGCAACTCGACTTCTGTGGTTCTTTCGATATATAAGCAATCCGCAAATTGCCGGACTGAACGGACACTAGCTACGCCAAGAAAATAAGTGTCGACTGATCATTGAAAGCCACGTGAATGCAAAACAAGAAATAATTTCAAATGAGGATATTACAGTTTCGCATACAAGCTGGACCAATACAAATATATGCACTTAATCACTGGACTTGTGCAGATTGGGTCTGATTACTGATCGTTCTTATCGTCAATTGCGGCGGTGTTTTAAAATAATATGTAAATTAGCCATCCTAATACTAAAATGTTTTAAGTGTTCTCATTTCCTGTTTGCTGGAAAATGTATGGATATTGTGAGAAAAAGGAACATGTTAATCAATTCTGAGAGTTTTAATCTTAGTCAATCTTTTCAGTAGACACACGCAATGTCACACAATGTCACGCAATGCTCCCTCTTAAGAGATGATAGAGTGATTGTTATGTGACATTCCAAAGAATGGGTGCAAAGGAGAAGAGGCGCGTGATAATAATGATAGAATGTGGTAGTCGTAGGCATATATGGAGCACAATTTATTAATATGTTAGGTTTTATTCCCTTTGCTTTGCCGTTTGAACTGAATCTTCAAACGGGTTCAGCTTACATTGGAGACGATTGGAAGTTTGAGTTCTGACTTAAGTCTGAGATATTGACCTGAGCGCTATCCAGCGATCCCACAATCACCCTCAGGAACAACGTAAAGAAAAGAGTATTTAGTATAGGGAAACTGGTGCTGGGGTCCTCAGTTTCCCCGTCGGACATGAAACATGTTCAATGACCGGAAAACTGGGACCGAGAGTTTGTTTAGCCTCGTTATGAAGCTGCACCATTTCCTTGAAAGATGGAAGTTAATTTTTGTTCAGTCGCTTCCTGAGAAGGCATTCGAAGTTTAGAGAAGTTGTTGATCAAAACTCTCCGACCCTTAATAACAAATACATTTGTTAGAAATCGTTGTATGCACCATAAAAATGCAGCAAGAAGGCAAAGTAGTTCAAGAACATGAACAAGACTTTTCAGAGCCGTGGGAACAGAGCGATGTTGTTCTACTGGTGGAAGGACAGAAAATCTATGTCCATCGTCTCATGTTGTCGATGTGTTCTCCAGTTTTCTCTCGAATGTTCTCCGCTGAATTTAAAGAGAAAGATGCCGATGAGATTCTGCTACCCGGCAAGAAAGCTGCTGAAATAAGAGAGATGTTGCTGGTTATTTATCCGAGTTTCTGCAAACGAGTGACAGACAACAACTTAGATTTCTTGTTGTCTCTTGCTCGAGAATACCAAATGACAGTACTCACACAAAAATGTGAGGATTATCTCCTGTGGGGAATGGAAAAGAAGAACGAAATCAGCTCCATCATGGAAACCCTAATCGTCGCCCAAAATTTTTCCTTGGAAAGAGTGAAAACTGATTGCATCAAGAAAACCCAAGATCTTTCCACGGAAGATCTTAGGAGCCACGAGTTGTACGATCAGCTCGAGCCTCTTTCCCAGAGGAGGATGGTTGAATTGCAAATGGATAACATGGAGAAAAAGCTCAGTGAAGCTAAAGCCCATCTAAAGAAATCCAACGCAGAGATTTTAAAGTTACAAGGAAAGATTAAAGAGATGAAAAAATTGGCTTTTGAGGGTTTGAAGCACTTTGGAGAAGTTGCCTCTTGCCTTGGAAATCACATTCGTCACGCCATGCAAATGAATTCGAGGTTTCAGGACTTTGCGATGACCACGGAGCAATATATGCTAACAATTCAAAAAGACTCCCCGGGTCGCGCTAAGATGAACGAACGTGATAAAGTTTGTCAGTCGTTAGGTTTGGCACATTCTCCTCTAGTATATCTCCAAAATAAGCTTTTGGCAATTACCAAAGAGTTCAACTAGATGCTGAGAAAAATATCTATGTTTGAATATTTCGTCGATAAATTTGTTATATCTTGTTTGTGCATTTCTGCTACTACTACGAATCGTAAATTGTATTTCCAGAAGTAATTTCTCAGCAAATTTAAAATTATTCGAGATTCCACTGAAGTTGCTGATTGCATTATCATGTTGCAGGTAGCAAAACGTTTACTCTATCCCGTTATTAAATGTAGCATGTCTTGTTTTTGTGTCTCTGTCACCGCTTAGTAACCTAAATTGTGTTTTCAGTTGGTGATTTTGAGCAAGAGTGAAATCGGCATCAAGATATTGGCTCAAGTTCCAGATTGCAATATCGTGTTGCATGTTCCTATTGTTGGTAATACTACACAGATGAGGGGCTTGGAAACTAGCAAGACTTTGAACTGTAATATTCACTGCAGATACTAGATTATTGATCAAGTCCACTTCACACATTATTGTATATTGATTGAGTGCTCTCCACCAATTAGATTTCTCATAGCAAGTCCAATATATAATAACACTTGTTATCTACCACTAGCAAAATGTAGGCCATATTTGTCAGAAATTTCGCATGGTCTCATAAAAACCTAGAGATTGAGCTGCTTATGCAAATTTTTTTGACAACAATAAAGTTGAGATCACTTAGGAAGAAGTGCTTTTTCTATCGGTACTCTTTGCTCACAAGGAAATAATACCCCTCACCACCCTCCTGAAACCAAAATTCTTCCAACTACAACAGAATCACATATCATACTCAAATTAAAGTATATAAAATGTATTTATCTTAACTTATTTCTGAGCTTATTTAGGCTCTAATGTAAAAAAATGTGTTTTTTAATCAAATTTTGGACCCTTAACCTATCAAGAATTCCCTGGATCCACCTCCTGAATACCTCTCATCAGCAATGGCTGCTTTAAACCTTTCAATGACATGTTATGCAACAGTCAAGTTGTGATTGGAGCTGACATACATAACCTTTTCACCTTTTAACCCCTTTGAGTGACTAACATTTAATTTCTTCTTACAATATAACCCCTGAATTAACCATTAAGGTTAGGAAAATGATAGGAAAAATAAGGTATGTAATGACCTACTAAAGAAGCACTTGATTGTTAAACAAATTCTCTTTGTCAGCACCTTAGGAAATGGCTAAATAACAGTGCGGAGAATGATGATTTTAGATATATGAAAATTCATATATTTGCACTGCGGTGGAGAGTTGAAATTAAGAGATCCTTGCAGCTAAGAACACTACTGAAATGAGTAGTTGTAAATAGGACCTGAAAAAAAAAAAAAAACATTTTTTTTCAGGTCCTATTTACAACTACTCGTTTCAGTAGTGTTCTTAGCTGCAAGGATCTCTTAGTGTGGAGAATGTGCATATTGATGTTAAGGTTTAGTCAGTACGATATATCACCAAAGAAGATGAATCATTCAGGAATAACACGAAGAAACTTGGTCAGACATGAAGTCACGAGCCTTCAAGGAGCAAACATTGCTATTTGAAGCGGTAGTCATAACTTGAGCCGTCACGCTATCACAATTAAACAAATCAAAATGTATCTTGAGTATCTTGAGAAAAATACTCGTGTTTGTAACAGAACAAAGGAGAAGAAATTTCAAATTTTATATATTTCTTGGCATTGAAGTCAGTAAATACCTAAAGCGCTCTGTTAGGCATAATGTACTCGATCATCTTCGAAAGAAATATTTCTTGACCAGCGGATGTCAAATGCACGAGAGAAAAGATCGATACTCAAATAAACAACAAATTCATTTTCATTGCATGATGAATGCTATGCTTTGCAAAAGGTAACAATCATTTTGATGAATACTAAGAGGTGTAAACGAGGCAAAACCACTGAATCAAACTTCACCGCCGCACTCTCAGATACTCTGAATCCAATGACCAAGACATTATTTCAACAATTTTTAAAAACCAATCAAATTATAAAAGTTTGGTCGTTGCAGTTTTTGTTAGCTCCCTAATACCTCTCTTTAACCATTTTTGATAAAAGTGGGGAAGCTGGAACCCTCTAAACCCTATCCTTAACTTCCTACCTTGCATAATCTTCGCTTTCCATGTCAGTGGACCACTAATTGCTGTTTCATTTCTTCTCAGGTCGAGCAGATGGTCGCCATGTTGCAAAGTATGGCACTCGACGTCCAGCGCGAAAAGGGCGGGAATTTGTTACCTCAACCCAGACCCTTACTAACCGCGAGATCACGGTATCATGGTGGGTAAAAACAAGTTAACAAGTAATCAAACCTTCATCAGCTTTTTTCGTAATTTTATACAAAACTATGCGAAAATCCAACAATGTTATGGTGTCTCTTGTAATTAAATCTTCACACTGAAGAGTATATATGCAATCTTCGAGAGGCTTCGGTATATCTTCGACACTTGGGAAGTCGGGGCGACGCCTTCGGTGCATTTCGGAAGTTATCGGGAGCTCCGTTAGCCCAAAAGAGGGGGTTGATTACACCAAAGGCAAACGCTTGTCTCCTCGGAGGCTGCAAATTTTACTTGAAGTGGTTTCTGAACAATCAATTTTCAAGGAAACGTCTCTGGAAAATACTTACAAGAATTACGATTGCGAAAAACGACAACCAGCCACATATGTTAGTTATCTTTACAGTTTATTGCTCATAAAGCAGTGGTCTTAATGGAAAATATGCTTTCCCACGAATAATGTACGAATTGGATTATTATACTTGTTATATTTCAACAAAGTTAATTCCATTAGTGTTCTTCTCTGCCTGACACAAACACACATACACACATCCTAGAAAAAGACAGTAATAGACGGGAGGGATGGGTAAGTAAAGGCAATTTCTTCTCAGGGGTAACCCATAGCCTCCCACAACTTTTACAAGGAAGGTAGAAGGAGTTGTCAGTGTTGAGTGCAACTGGGAAAGTACTCTTCCCACGCACCTCGCAATCGGTTCTAAAAGAGCCGAATCAAAACAGGTCGAATGAATTTTAATACTTGGGAAATTAACTGAGATAAAAATTGGAGGTAATGGTTAGACTAAGTTTCAATGGAAAGGGACTCGCCTTAAAGAGATTAGGTGAAATAATTTATCCTGCATACTGTGACTACATTCCCATTGGAGTTCCTGGGTGAATTATAAACGACTTGTGCGAAGAACTGTCATTTCTATGTACCTCTAGGGAACACGATTACCGCTTTCATATCTAACTAGGGAGGCAAAATCCAACACTAATGGAATTGACTCGCAAAGTATTAATATATGATGAAAAACACTTGAGGGGAGCTTTGACGCTCGCCAAAACAAAAACAAAGAATACAGAAGTGATAGAAAATTGACTACGGAAAGTTTTACACTACTCTTGTACCTAGACCTTACACGCTAGGGTGGAGCCATACCAGTGAGCTGGCCTGCCAGGCGAATGTTACACAACATTGGCGCTAAATATTCTCTGCGGTTGTTAGCCTAAATGTATTAAGTAAATAAGTAAATATGCAAGTCTGCGGAGTGTGCATAACAATATTATCACACAACATTACACGTCTCACTTCGTGGAATCTACTACTGCATGGTACTACGTTAAAATTTTTGTTTCTAGCTTCGTAAACTCATGAAAATTATTTTATGAAAATAACGCCTACTTGTAGCAAATCCTGTCAAGCCACCGTTAAGGATATAAAGCATGCCCTAGCATAACTGCTTTAAGGAACAATGAACATTTGTAGCATAAGTAATTTTTCAAGGGGTAAGTTTCTCTTTGTAAAAAAAGCAGCTATCTTCGGTTCAAGAGGCTTATCTAAAAGTAATTTCATTCCAATATTTCGATTACCTTTATGAGGCCATTTGTACTGCAATGAGCTCTCAAGAAATGACTTCACAATTATTTAACCTCTTGACATTTTCTTCAAGCACTTACGAAATTTTGAGCTTTGTCAATGATCACGCAAACGAACTAAGATTCACTTATCTTGTATTTTTATCAGATTATTCAAGCTAATCTTTGTCATAGCTGGGTTTGAACAATTGGAGAAAAGCAATAATTGTGATGTTAATCCTCGCCACTCTTTGCAAACAAGAAAAGGTAAAGCATTACTCAGCATTTTAGCAAATTAATTAATCAACTTCCTACACTTAAAAAATATCAATAATGCTCTATGATTAATAAAAAGAGTCACCTCGCTAACTGGCTTGAACAAAGCTGAAATGTGTAATTCCACCAAGTATTGATTTGATTAAAATCAAAACAATACCACTGCTGCTGTAACTTGCATTGAGAACCAGATCACCGCCAGGATTTGGAAAGTAAATTTTAGAGAATATATGCTTTCAGAAGGTGTAGTAATTATTTAACTCTAATGTAGAGCAAGCAAAACAGCATCATGCATTATCTTTTAAATTTTGCTTCAAGCTCACGAAGTTTCTGACCAAAAATGTAACACAAACACCCTAACAAATGCTCAAACAAATTCAAATAAAAAAGCCAATTGTTTCAGACCCCTAACCATACATAAAAAGACTTTAAGGTACCTTGAAGAGACTAAATACATGTACGTAAACATATAACCTTACACTGGTATTGATACGTTTTACTATTTGATACGGGGCTATTAAATTTCTATTTTGTTGTGCACCTTACTGCTAATAATTATTAACAGAAACGTTTATATACAGAGATAAAAGAGCTCGTTTCTTTTCTACGCATTATCTGTCCAAGAGAAAAACTAAAATTCTGCTTTGACACCTTTTGGATGCTAATGAAAACACTACTTTATAAATTTATACTTATGTACATATTGGAAAAAAAAAATGGAATGACCCAAGGAATTCTGCCACCAATCTGCGAATACTTTTCTATGCATGAAGATTTGTACATTGATAAAATCAGAAGCACAATAGTGAATAGGATACTCTTCACTGATCATTTGTACTGAAGCACATTATTGTACTAGCTTACACCTGGAAGACATGGGCCAACACTACCGTAGGCAAGCACCTTGTTTACAACTGGCCTTGAGAGAGTTGCTCCTACGATTGTCATAATTTATGATAATGCTGTGGTATGGAGCCACCATTGCTGTTCGGATAATTCTGAGCTGGATGGGTGGCGGACTGGATCAGAGAGCTCAACTCTTGCAGGTCCAACGGAGTTATCACACTGTTACTTAGTACATTTCTAGTGCCGTTCTCAGGCATCATGCTGTTCACATTCTGCTGCGACAAGAAAGTCATGTCGGGCTGCTGAGGAAATACGCCAACATTTAGCTGCGAATTCACGTTTGTGGTTTGCATGGGCGGTGCACTGTTGTTGCTTTGTAACAAGTTTCGTATTCCTTGTTGCATAGGATTCGGCTTAAAACCAGAGTTGGTGTTCCACATGTTGTTACTCGTTGTCGATGTTCCAGTTTGCGTGCTGGTCACACTTTCATTTGGTAAACAGTTCAAAAAGTTCATGTTGTTATCCCCCTGGTTTACAAGCTGAGTATGAGAATTTCCGTTTTGATATCTCATCGGGAGGGCTTGGTTGTGAACAGTTCCATTTTGTGGAGCTCTTGGCTGAGTAACTAATGTATTCTGACCTCCTGGAAGCCGGCTGAGAGTGTCTGAAGATGTGTAAGGTAAAGAACTGTTAACAACACGAGGCTGACTACTCTGTGTTGCGATGCTGTCCGAAAAACTTGGAAATGAACTTGATGGTTCTGGTAACGTGGGAGTTACCACTTCTTGTTTGATCACAGGCATCTGCTCCACCTGGGCATAGCCTCCTTGCTGTACGAGTGCTGCTAACCTGTTGTCTCTACTTTGGTCTCTATCGGCCATCAGTTCATCGATGAGATCAACCATCATTTGGTCCGTGAAGTTCAATTCTTGAGGAGCCACTTCTTTTAGTTGTTGAAAGAACTGCATCTTTCCTTCATTTGGATTTGAAAATCGTGAAGCGTCAGTTGGAACTCTAAACGTTGCACTGCCTGTTGGTGCCAGGTCGTCTCTTGGAGGTTGTGGAACCCTTCCTGTAGTATTTCTACCCTGCGTTGTCGTGATGGTGTTTGGAGCTCTTGCAGTGGGGATACTTTGCGTTTGTGATGTTACATTCATCATAGGAGTACTCGAAGGAGTAGCATTGTTCGGATGACTAAATGCGGGCGGCGCCTTAGGTTGGAATCTCCTCTCCCCAGAAGAATTTGCATTGCCAAATCTGCAAGGGTTGTTGCTGCCGCGAGGCTTTGATCCACTCACTGCACTCATGGCACCTTCAAGTTCCATGGGAATTAAGTTAGGTTTGGTGTCACGGGCGAAATCATCTATAGGCAAGTTTTCAAACGCTCGTGGTGGCATACTGACAGGAGGCATAGTCTGAGTGTTTACACCAGGTACTGAGGACAGCGAAAAATCATCACTATCCATTGTAATTTCTTCAATCTTTGGTGTGACCAAATGTTGGATCGTACCATTAGACGGCAATCCGTCCAGGCCACGATTCAGTAGTAAAGATTCAAGGCTTGCGTCCGGCTGAGGGATATCAGTTCCAGTTGCCACGTAATTAACGATGTTTTGATCTAACTCTGACAGCTCAGCTCGGATCATTTTGGCCCAGTCTTCGACGTCTTCTTCCAAGGTACTAGTCGACCCCCCATCTCCGGGAATACTGTTGCCCCTAGACATTGTGTGGTGGTTACTCCAGGTGTTGGAGGTACCTTGACCCCATGGTTCAGCTGTGGTGGTGAATACTTCATTATCAAACCCAGTGAGATCAGCTGACGTGGTTTTGGGATAACCCGTCCGGTCGAGGGCGATGGTGTCAATCAATGTGGGTTTTGGAACAAGATTGTCAGCTAAAAAGAAGATAATTGAGAGTTAAATAAGCTATATCAGGTTACGACTGGAAAATCTTTCCCACACAAGCAACCAAAAGTAGCCGAATACATGTAGGTGCAAGTTTTGTGAAAGTGTGTGCGTGTGACCGCGTGCGTTTTCGTGAGCGTGTGTAGCAAGTGACGAGGAAAGCAACGTAGTTTCACCCTCTGACAGCAATCTGAACATAGATGCAGTACTGGTGAAACGGAAAAGCGTTCTAAACTTAAAACTGAATCCTTTACATATCCTTGCGTTTTTGACAATCGAACCCCAAGATTTTGGGTTTAAAGGCAAAAAATTTCTTTCTCTTTGTACCCTAAAGAAGAACTCTAGGCATTGGATAATTCTAATTAACCCTTTCACTACCTGGAAAGATCCAAAGGAATCTCTCATCACAACATCACCACATTTTCGAGCAGAAAGGTGATAAGAAGAAAGGAAAATATCAATAGGAAGGTATTCTTTGATTTGACACCATTTATCTCTTAGAGTTCACAAGCTCGGGAAAGTCTGGTCAACAGTTTCGGGTACGGACATGTGCATCTGACTGAAAAAAGCGTTATGACTGTGTGACTGAGTCATAAGCAGCTGCTGTTACTGATACTAATACTTACATGTTTCATGCCACTTTGGATAAATCATGACTTGATCGTCGTATTGTGCATCTTTCAGCTCGCCAGTCGTATCTGACTCATTTTCCACTTCAGTGATATAAGCATGAGTGAGAGGTGGTTTGTCCTCCAACTGCGCCATTCCAAGCACAACACCGCGGTGTTCCACATCACTATCAAAGACAAACATAAATCAGCAACGCTTTAACCCTTTAACTCCCACAATTAAGATGTAACTCTTCATAAATACCATACATTACCTAGCAAACAGATGAAGAGATTACTCGAATCTTATCAGGTAGTTGTTGTTATCTTGATCTAATACCAAATTCTCACAACTGATTTACAAGAAAAAGTGTAGTAGCCAGTAGGGAGAGTTATCAATTAAATCTTAGGAGTTAAAAAGTTAAATTAGTTATTAGTTGAAGCCCTTTGTTAGATGTGTGTCGTAAAACTAAAAACCAAAGTAATTACGATGGCCCACAAGTAATCTGGGATTCCATTGGTTTTGCTTTCTTTGTTCCGTGATTGGTCCAGAAAACTCGCGCCTCTTTCTCAACCCATCAGATGCAAAACTAAAATCAAGCACGGATTGATCGTCCGCGTTTACCCGCGCCTTTGTATTGTGACACTTGATCAAAGAGCGCTCCAATACTCAAAGTAAAAACAAACGGACTTCCTGATCAAGTCAAAGTTCCTTGATAGAGCGACACTCATACTCTACACCAATCATAACCATTTGAACTATTAATTAGAGAGAGGCGCCATAATTGTAAAGAGTTTTTCCTAAGAGCACCATACAATAGTCTGAGGAGATGCACCAGGCCAACGTTTGAACCCAGACCCTAGTATGTCAGCCGCATTCCTAGTGCCCAGCTCCCTCAAAAATATTAAAAACTGCCATACCACATCACTAGATTGCTGCCTAAGCAATGCTACATTTTTTGCACATGTTCACACACTCATTTAAGTTTTGAGAGTTCATGTTCATGTTCATGTATGAAGTATTTACCTCACAATGTAGTTCAGACAGAGCATTTGTTTGAGTTCTGGATTTGTTGGATGGGGAATAAGAGAAGCTTTGGTTTGCATCCAAACCCAGCCGCCATTTTTGTTCATCCAGCGATAGTACTTGGTAAGAACTTGACCTTTTGTTAGGACTGTTGAGAAAGCAATTAACTGTTTCAGTAACTACAATCAATGCCTAAGAAAGGTGACGCTTTAACTCCCATGAATGACGAAGACAGAATTCCTTCATACAAAAAAAAAATACAATATCAAGCAGACAAGTGGTGCGAGGAAAGAAAATATGAATTAAGGGATTATCTGTTGATCCAATACGAAATTCTCACAAGCATCCTCATAAGAATTGTATGACAGACAGTAAGGAGAATTACTAATGGGATCTTGAGGAGTGAAACGGTTAAAAAATCATTATTCTTTGGTGGCTTTAGGGTCATCTATGTTGCTGTTAACTCGAATAAAATCTTGTAAACATAGTTAGCAGAGGGGACAGGTTGAAAAACCTAACAGGTTTCTTTGATAAAAGTCTATTTTTTCCTTTTTTTTCTATTCTTCTTTTTTTTTTAACCAGGACGTCAACCAACAGCTGATAAGTTTTTCGATTCTAAAATACCTGTCAGTTAACTTAGCAATTTTAATGCAAAGAGAGGTTTAAAAGTTACTCCTTACATTTTGCGTGGTGTGACTGGATTATAGCAATATCATTGCCATGGTAGAAATCATATGCTGATATCCCCACAATATCTCGGGCGAAATAGTCCATAAACTTGTGAATTCTACAAGATGAAGAAGAAGAAGACAAAAAAAAAACAACTTATCATCTAGTACAATTTGCCAATTTAGGACAGAGTTTTTAATTATACTCCCTACTCCATCTAGACCTTTTTTCTACTTTAAGTTAACTATAGTTGTATATCAAAATTTCTAAAAAAAAAAAAAGGTAGATAACTTTGGACTCAGTTATCAGAGAGTGTAAAAAAAGAATCTTTATTATTTCTTTTATAAAATTTGTGTAAAGGCTGTCTGAAACAACATGAAAAGATTCATCATTCCCTAGGTTTTCGCAATGACACATCACAATGGAAGTACATGCAGTGATGGCATTCAACATAACATAACCTCCCATACATACCTTCCCTCACAATAAACAATTCTGAGATCCATGTTTACTCTGCTCACAAACATGTTACACTCCAGTGGTAACTCATTGATGTTCATTGTAGGCAGAGGTTGTCCAATTGCCACAAATGCATACTTGGGCCCAGGAAGGCCACCGGCAGAATATGCTTTCATTCTTCCCATGCAGTGAATAACCTGCAGAAGATAAATATCTCACAGTCAATATTAAGACTTGTCATGTGACACATGCGCCTGCAAAAGTCATCACACAGCAAAAAAAAAAAAAAAAAAAAAAAAAAAGAAAAGAAATTAATTTTATTCATGTGACTGGGAAATTCAGAAAATCACAAACACCAGAAGTACTCATCAAATTCTATTGTGTTCTAAAGCAAATGAAGCACAAGAAACAAATAAACTCAGACACTTAAAATTGCGATAATTATTACTTTCTGGTTCTGTAGTTAGTGTGAAATAAATTTGAAAGCTATCTTCCCAGAGCAGACCTGAATTTTTTTCAAGTCTTATTTTCACTACTGCCTATAACAAGTCACTTGAGGATCACTTTCACATTCATTTCACGCTACCTGTGGAACCAGAGAGTACTACCAAGGCAATGGTGAAAATAGGGCCTGAAAAATTCAGGCCTGTATAGGATTTGAACTGGTGATCTCTTTGATAGCTTTAAAATTCATTTCTTAAACCACAGTTCACAAATATGATTTTCATATATCTACAGTCATTGATAGTTAGCCTATTAAGTTTGGAACAATATTGTGATTCCCAGAATCAAGTCACAGTGTTCACTGTATTCTATAATAATGACATGAAAATCATTTTATGAATACTGATAAAAACAACAATATATAACAGATATTTCAATTTTAGTTGTTGTCTTAAAAAGTCCCCTTAACCTTTTTACACACCAACACAATATTCATATTCATAGCTCTGTTACATTTGTATCTTTAAGACATTTCCTGTGGCACTGACTGGGGGAATTTGTTTGACAGTCTGGGGCTTCTTTATTTTGCAATCATTTCCAATACTCTCATGACCTTTATGGTTTATTCAACAGTGATGTTGGGGGAGAAATTAGATCCTAATCACTCTCAGAGGAGTGAATATGTTTCTAGTTGGTTGCATACTTTGTAACAGACTGACTGTATTTCTGGCCCTCTGTTTCAGAGCTACTCAGACAAGTGGTTTACTTTGGAAATTGCACCAGATTTTGAAAGACTCCTAACTACAATACGAAAAGGTATACATGTTTATGTCATCCATTAATAACTGATTGAGACACAGCCCAACTAACCTTGAAACCAGATGATTTGGTGTAAGAACCTCCTCTGCGGACCAGAGTGCACTTCATTCGCAAGAAGAATGATTTTGGTTTCTCTGCATTGGGCCGTCCATTATCATCAAGAAAACCTGAAAAAAATGCAAGTAGAGATTTACTTACTTGTTCAGGGATACATAGTCACCCATACCTACAGAGGAGACATAAGCTACACTTATGGCAGACTCAACCCAAGAAATGTTCACACATACACAAAAAAAAAAACAAAAACAAAAACAAAAAAAAAAAAAAAAAAAAACCAGAATCATAAATAGTCCCCCTAACCCTTTACACCCTAACATCAGTATGCATATTCTCCATACTGTTCTCTATACATTTCCTGTGGTACTGACAAGGAGAATTTGTTTAACAGTCAAGGGCTTCTTGAGTGGATGATCATTTCATGTATTCTCAAAATATTCATATATGATTTAGTAGTGATAATGTACAGAGAAATCAGATTTTCATCACTATTAAAGGGTTAGAGAGTGATTCTTAATTCACTGTCAAAACTAATCTAGGATAATGATGGATTTGCTCCATGAAGCTCTAAAAAATGGCCTCAAAAACCATCTTCTCAAGCAATCAGTTGCCAAACTGAACCGATCAGTTGCCAAACTGAATCGGAATTATCTCCAATATCAATAGCCATTCATTAAATACAATGTATTTCTCATTGGCTACATGTGAATGATATTAACTCTTCATTTTAACTGGCTGTCATATCAATATTGGTTTTTCGATTTTCAAGACTCCTTTGATTAACACACCATGATGTTTGCTATTCTTACCTGGCTGGTTTCCAAAGAAAGGAATATCATCTGTGTATCTCCCTGATGATGATGGCGTACAGTTTCCATTGCTTTCCAATTCTTCCTTTGCATTTTGCAACACATTGACAAGATCCTGTTGATCCTCTGGGTGAATGTAGCCAAACATGCTGCTTCCTGTCAGTTCAACCTGAATAAGGAAATGGGAAAGATGCACACTTTTTAGTTAAGAAACATTTTGACATTTTTATGTCTTCTACCCTTCTAACTTCTATTTAATTCCTTGTGAATAAGTTGAGAGAATACAAGATTATAACTAAGTAACTTAACATCCTTCAACTGATCTATTTGACTATTTACACTTTAATTAGACAGTGTATTGATATTCACCCAAGGGTAGTAAATAATCCATTTTAGATTCCCTGTCAATGTCAAACCTTGAAGACTAGTGTGCTAATAGGAATATCATCTAAAAGGGTTTATGGAGTAAGAGTAAAGCAAAATTAACTTCTCCCTGTTTTTCATAAGAATAAAAGACAGCTAGCAGAATGTAGCAATCTAGCAGGAGTCACTTACACTGGCCCCCTTAATGACTGTCTCTTGACTCGCTACCTGTATACCTATATGTCTGTCTATCTTCTACCCATCTGTCTCTCAGCCTACTATCTGCTTGCCTCTCAGCCCACCATCAGTCTATCTCACAGCCTGTCTGTCTTCCTCTCAGCAAGTCTGTCAGTCTGTCTGTCTATCTATTTGTTTGACTAAAGCTATACCTGTCAGAATTTGTCTGTCTGACTGTCTGCCTGCCTACCTCTCTGTTTGACTATAGGTGTGTCTGTCAGACACCAACCTGTGACAGTCCAAGATGAACAGACACAGTCTCTGAAACATAGAGGACTTTTGCATCGCTGGAAAGAACAAACAGGAATCCATCCAATGCCTAATGAAGAATAAAACATGATAAGCACAGGTAAGAAAACCCATTCTATCTCATGTGTGGTAGAAATTAAGAATTTCTTGGACAAAATCCTTCAGTCTATGATTTACAAATCAACTTTCCTCTGTGCTTTCTTCAAGAAAAATTCATGTTCAGTGAGCTTTCAATACTACACAAATTTAAGTAAACACAATCCCTGATATTCATTTGTGGGAGTGACAGGAGGTTTAACATCCCTTTGTATACCTACCTGCAACAAAAATATACCACTGTTTGCAGCAAGATCACCGTAATTGATGCCTGAGCTGTACGGCACAACTGAACCTAACAACAAGAGAGTTTAAAATTTCAGACAAGGAAATCTACCAATGAAGAAATTGATGAAGAAAAAAAAAGGAATATTCTTTGAAGATACAAGGTGCCCATCCTGATTGTATCAAAATTTGGTAAAACTTAAGTTGTGACAAAGTGAGAGAGAAAGTAACCTATGAGATGTTCATTAAGCATTCCAAATCAGAGAACCCTCTAACATGCAGAATCTTCCAACTACAGTACCACTTGCATATACCTTAACCATACATAGACTTCTGTTCAGTAAGCTATTTTTAACTCAACCCTGAAGCTACTTTTCATTTTATTCACCTCTTCATCAAATCTATTCTCTTGCAGCAACATTTCTAAACCAGTTACACCCCAACATCCACAATGTTCCCTTTACATGTATGTTACAATCATGAGCTCTTTAACCCTTTAACTCCCATGAGTGACCAAGAGAGAATTTTTCCCCACAACATCAATAAAAAATCAAGCAGACAAGTGACGAGTATAAAAAAAAATATCAATTAGGGGACTATAAGTTGACTCAATACCAATTTCTCCAACCTAACCTCACAAGAACTGAATGGCAGACAGCAAGGAAAATTATTAACAAGGGGTTAAGTGTTAAGGGTTAAATTGGTGACCCTTTCCATTACTATCATGACCTGAACATCTGAATCAAGGCTGAAACTGTAAGGAAAAATAAGACACCAGATGCCCATGGTGCAACTGTTCATTTTTTAATTTTATTTTAATCTATCTTTTTGTCTCACCTGTAGAGGTACTAGCAACAGCTGGTGGAGAAGAAATGGAGGAAGGTGGAGAGGGACTCTCTGTATGAAGTTCTAAAAGAAAATAATATAACACAGTAAGCTTTTTACATTATTCATTCAACAAGGCAAGGTGTTCTTTTTCATCCGAAATGAAAGAATTTTCAGACATCAACAAAGAATTCTTCAGCCTAATTTTGATGACCTACATGTAAGATTTTTTTTTGGTTAAATTCCCATGTAAATAAAATCCCTCCTCATACAACAATATTTAATGAAAACCCTGCAATGCACTTTTAAAGTCCTGCTTAAAAGTCACTGTATTGTTGTGTGATAACAAGAGTTATAATTAAGGTATAGGTAAAGAATGTACTCAAGCCAAATCACCCCCCCCTCCCCTCCCCCACCCCGAACAGCCAAAGCAGAACCCCAGTTTCCATAACATGAAGCAACTAAGTGTATTGCTACTCTCCACTTGAAGAGATGCAGGTCATTACAAGGTTACCCCCCATTATTTCATCAGGCTTCCCTGACAACTCACTGGTATTCATTTATACTCCTTGGTGGAGAGGAACACCAAGAGAGTGACGTGTTTTGCCTATAAACACAAACTACTTAATGTCAGATCTTGGGATCTCAAGAGCTACAATGAATCTGGCATAGGGAGGGAAGATCTCATTACCTCCATCCAAATCTGACATGGGTGATGCAGATGACACAGACATCTGTGAGCATTCTGAACCCAGGCGAAAACGTTTCCCTTTCAAAATAACAAGATAATAAGTGAGCTGAGGGCGCTCTCTTGCAAACAGTCTCAGCAGCTATCAAGGGCTACCATACAATTAATACATACTGGCCAAACTGTGTAAAGCAATGCACAAAGTTATTTTGCTACAGAAGCAAAAGTGATTTATCTACCTCTCTTGCCGAACTGCTTCATGTTCAAGTAACTGATTGTAAGACGAACAATGGATGCTTTATCCAGTTGCGACGTGATGGCAGGGGGTAGTGGAAGGAGCTTGGCCAGCTCATCAAACTGAGCATTTTCCTTTCCACGTCTGCTCCTTGCAGCATCTCGAGATCTCTCTTTACGAAGCTCAACAACTCTGAAACACAACAGAAAAATTCTTGTGTTAGCAGAACCCTGGTAAAAGACAACTTAGCTATAATAAGCACAGGCTCAAAACGGTACAATAGCCACTTTTTTTATTTCTAATTTTCTTCTTCTGTTCTTGAAGAACCTCTATGCAAATAGAAATTCTTTTGCGAGAACTCCACTGATACAATTAATTAGTTGTGGTGCAATTATTATAATTTTTTTTTAATTGGGTTCTTCAAAAACCAAAAGTTGTACATAAAAGAGGAGACTTAGATTTGAAAATTAAATTCACAAAAAAAACAAACAAAACACACATTTTACAATATATATATATATATATATATACCCTTTAACTTCCATGAGTAACCAAGACAGAATTTCTCCTTACAATATCAATACAATAACAACCAGACAAATGATGAGAATAAAGAAAAATATCAATATAGGGATAATCAGTTGATTCAATACTAAAATTCTCTGGACTAACATTATAACAATTGTATGGTTGACAGTAAGGAGAATACATATTTTATATGAGAGCTAAAGGGTTAATCAAATACCTGTCTGTTTACTCCCAACTAAGGAGCACATGTTTGGTGGGTGTTTTATTCAATAGCACGTACAATCAATAAACGCTTTTGTAGAAAATTGTCAAGTTACAGAACATGTTTTTCATTTTGAGGAAGAAAAAGGAAAATCAACTTGTTTGATGTTACAAAAAGTTCCAATCAAGACTAATTACATTGAGCAATTCTCACATGTTGGTGAAATCCTGTAGTGGTTACTTTCAATAAAACAGATCATAATTTCATGATCAGAAAGTTTCCTAATAAGGAAAGATTAAAGGACCTAGATAAATCTGTTTTCAACTTAATTCCAGCAGTTTCAAGTTTCTCTCAAAAGAGACATAAAGAATGGTTATTTTCAACGCCGTAAATGGTTATTAATTAATAAATCTGGTAGACTCCAAGTGCATGTAATAAGATACGTGTTTACATATCCAGCATATTTTATTTGTGTTTAGGTCACGTCTCATCCAAAGCCCACCAAAACAATAAAGCAATGAAGCTTCATGAACCTAACTAACATTCCTATGGGAAAGAAGGGCAAGAGGTGCCTTTAAATTGCTTTCTAAATGCATTGAATACTAGTTAGAACTGCTTCTGATATTTACAAAAAATAACAATCATTAAAACTCATGATGGTCAGTTGCATGATGATGCAAATTTCAAACTCATAAGATATGCTAAGTACTTGTCTTTTGAATTTTTTTCCAATGGTTGTCTTTGTTAATGGTTTTTGTTTTAGCTTCCCTCATTGAATCTGAAAAGCCATCCAAGGTCATACCTGTACATGTAAGTTAATGAGGGAAACATATTGCCTTGGGGAACAGAATACTGCCTGTACTTGACACAAAAAGGGAAAAAGGAATAAAAACTTTCTGTAATTACTATATTGACAAAGAAAATATTTTCCTATTACAAAAATTATCTTATAGCACCTCTGATTAACAAATTAGGAAACATTAAAAAACTTGAAGGGTTCTTCATACAGTTTTCAGCGTGGCACTCGATGTCCTTGTCAAGGTCATGAAAAACTTTGTAGTTGAAATTGAAGATAACACAAAATACAAAGAAACCGACTAGCGGGAGATAACCACAACAGGAAGTGGCTGAAAGCCAATGCGATCACTTCTTGTGTAAATAGGAAAAGTAAAAAAAGCATGACTTTAGCCTACAAGGTGTAGAACATGAATCTGACCACAAGGACATGCATAATTTTGCATGAATTTTCAATCAACATGTGTTGAAGCTGAAAATTAATCCATCCTAACAACTGCCTTATAATCCACTTGGAATTACAAAGAAGAGTTTCAATGAAACTCACCAATAAAAGAGACAAGAGATTGAAAAAAGGCTTTAAAATTCGTCAAAGGGAAACATCTCACTATGAACTGCTAATTCCCTCATTGGCTGCAATAATCCTCACAGAGAAAATAAACAACAGTTGTGGTCGAAACAGGCTAGCAAAAGAAACATGCTTTGAAGTAATAGTTACTAAACAAACATTAAGAATGCCGCCAGATTCTTTCCTCTTAATTATTGTTGGGCCACACACACCAGATAAACAAAATTAACCGATACAAAATATTAGAAACTGTGTTTTACATTAACATATCATAAGAAGGGCCAAGAGGCAGTTTTAAGCCTCTAGGGGGGTAAATTTATAAAAAAAAAAAAGACACAAATTTTGCAGTTACATTGGTGAGGGGTATAGCAAAATAACTTGGTTTGATTACTGAGTTAAAAATGTAAATGGCCACACTAAAGAGTTTCAAAAGCTGATGATTCAAGCATAAGCCCTTTGTCACTTTTAATTCTGGTCTTCAGCCTAACACGAAATAAGATGAGAGTGCTTTGTTTCATTATCACAATGAAGAGAGTGCAATTAAATAGAGCCTGTGGCTCAGAGTACCTGAGATCTACTAAAGAGCACATTCTATATTTTAAAGATTCTCAATGACTGTCTGAATCACTTAATTTTTTTTTAACATTTACATGTATATCTCCCAAAAAATGTTGCAAAGCTGGGTTGAGTTTACCTAAACCAAAAAGTAGAATCAAATAGCCTGTTATAGCTAATGGTGAAACCTGTAAAAAATTTTCAACATTCTGCTGCTTTCACAATTCTCCTGCAGTAAGATACGGGGGACTTGTAGTTTTACAAACTCACACCATGTATTTACTAGTGGAAATTTAAAGGATTATGAAGCTCTACTCCATTCAGTTTACAAAGCCTTTTAACTCACTGGATAACTGATTGACAAAGTAAATGGCCGAGGCACTATTGTTTCAATCCTTCAAACGTGGATGTTCAAATTTCAAGTTTGAAACATTCTGCTGCTTTCACAATTTTCCTGCAGTAAGAAAAAGGGGCTTGTAATTTTCCAAACTTACACCGTGTATTTACTAATGGAAATTTAAAGGAATATGAAGCTCTACTCTGTCCAGTTCATAAAGCCTTTTAACTCACTGGATAATTGATTTACAAAGTTAATAGCCATAAAGCTATTGTTTCAGACCTTCAAATGTGGATGTTTGAGTGATGCGGTCACAGCAGGGTAAAAGAGGAATCTAGATGTACATGCAAACACTGATTTTAAAAAAATTTCAACTTGAACAAGTTGGCCTAAATCTAACAACCAGATATCATTCTACACAATGTGAACAAACATCCATACAAGAAAACAACTGAGCTTTAAAACATATTTCGTGATGTCTCCACAACAGTTACAACACAACTCTCAAAAATAATTGCGGACTGTTCGTTTTAAAGATGATTTAAAATTAGTACAATCTCATCCAATACAATGTACAAGTGAACCGCAGTATTTTCACCACAAACCAAATCATGTTTTGCAGATTGCTTTCATTAACATGTCTTTGATGAAATAAAACATCACATGCTATCTGTTAAAATTAATATTCATGGTGCCTCCTGGCTATGAATATTTGTGGTAATGAGACATTGTGCTGAAGAAATAGCAAGCTCACCTTCCATCCTGGTTTCAACCAACTAAAATAACCACTCTATTGATACAAAAATATACAAGGTATATTTGTGGAAGGTCACCATATAATACCACAAACTTTAGATGAAACCTTGATTATTTGACACCATTGTCTACAAAACCAAGAGAGATACTAAGCACTTGGTGTTCAGAATTAATTGCAGTAAGAATACATTTCTCAAATTTTCTGCTGTCAACAACTGAAAAGTTTCAAGTGGATTTACAAAGCAACGTCACGACAGAGGTAGAAGGTACATGGCTCTCATGAGATGAACAACTTTGTTTGAAAACTATCGCATGTAAGTTTTCTTTTCCTTAAACTTTCCACCCCAAAAATGCTTGACAAGAATTGATCAATTTTTCATGTTCATTTGGTGACGACAGTTCTGAACAAAAGAGACCATGAAGCAGAAAGCACACTTTCATTTAACAATGTGCTTTCTCCCCTGTCAGTCATGCTCTTTAAGCAATAAGAATGAATGCAAATTCACCACAATTCAAAAAAAGCTTCTCTAAAATTAGATGGAGCCAAAAAAAGTTAAAATGTACAATCCCTGAGATTATTTAGAATTTCATTCAGATAAAATGTTCTGATAAATTACTGCAACCTCGCTGAGGAGTAAAGTTTAGACAAAACTTATGTGATCTGTTTCTATAGAAACTGTACAAGTGTAATGGTCAGCAAAGAAGTGGAACACGAACACGTACATGATAAATAAAAAAAACCTAACTGCCAAAACTTTTCGAAATTTTTCACAACCATTCAACTACCTTTAGTGACTGCTAAAGGCTGCAGTTGTAACTGCAATATTTTCCTTCTCGAGCCTTCTTCCCCAGAGCCATGTACATGTTAAGTACATGTAACAATCATTTTATCAGCTTCAGTGATTCAAGATCATGGTTCACAAATTTATGCATAACAAAACATTTACAGTCAAAGTTGAAAAGCTTTGAAACCAATTCTGGTAAAAAAAACTCACCAATTTGACCAAATATCAGAGATTCCTTACAAAACTGAAAACCAAATAACAACAGTGCAATATATGACTGAAGAAACTGATTTGAAAATAAAGTAACATGCTACAGTGTAACAGGATTATTATTGTGTACAGTCATACTCTCAACTCTTTAAATTTGTCATTTTCAGGACCAAAGTTGTCCAATTGAGTACATCAAGGGGAAAAACAACCAAATATACTTGAATATGGATATGAAAGGGCATATTCTTTACCCTGATCCTTAATACACAAATTACAGCTGATAGAGTGAAAAAATGTGGAGAACTGAATACTGGTTGTATCTGCAGACTTTTATCAAGAAACACAGTACTGTTATAGAATTTTAACAGACCTTTCTCTAAATGTAAGTCTAAATAAACAACAGTTACCATCAAAATTAAGCTGGAGAATTGTGTGTGATTTGATTACAAATACCTAATGTGGGGTTGTTATAGCAACCAAGAAATAAATACAAAATGCAAGTACATCAGAAAAAAAAATGTATTGAAAGAATGGCTTTTTCAGCATTCTACCAGAGACATGTATCTCTCAAGTTACAGTTAGAATGCGATTAATGGTTTTCTAGTCTAATTTGATCAATAATGACCAGATTTGGAATATTTGACATTGTATCAATCTCTCTTTTGCATAGAATCTAACAGTAACTTTCCTCTACTTAATAGAACAACCTGTGCAACAATCACTGCTTGTGGAGAATAAATCAAAATAACTTGGCCTTAGGATATCAAACAAATTAAAGCAAGGAGATGACAGTGTGTAGAAACAGATGCTTCTCAGAGGAGCTGACCGCGTGGAATTGACTCGATCCATCTAAAACTGATCATTAAACAATGACTACCTCTTGATACCAAAAAGCTATGAAAACTCAATTCTGAGGTTAAGGAAAAAAAGGATAACTATCATTGGTAGAGAAATCTGTTTTGGTTTGCCTCGCCTTGCCTTGGATTACTGTGCACAAACTCGATCTTCAGTGTCACCTAGAAACAAGTCTTTGTTCAGTAAAGTTAAATGTTATATGTTACTTATTAACAACAACAGTTGTTTGCCTCACAGGGAAATTAGCAGCTGAAGCACAAATGGATACTCCTTTGAGGCTTTCGCTATGGTTTCCTTCAAGGAATATTTGTGGAAATGAATGTCCCATGTTTCTTAGACAAGAGTCTTGAGACTTCAAGTCATAAGAGCTTTGCTCATACTTCCCAGTAAATTTAAGAAAACAGAAACAATGTAGATTAGTTTTCTGATGTGTTAGAAATTATAATATTTGTATCACTTTCTGTTCAGTTAACATGAAACCAGGGTTTCAATAACTTTTTTCAAATGCAACTGCCTATGGTATAATATACTGCTGTGCCATAAGGCAAAACCCAATTACAAAAGCCGACTTGCAAGTAAAGAAACGGCGGAGAGATCTTGTGGGCGGCGGCACACCACAGATAACCAGCTTTTATTGAAATCATTGTTGATACCATAAACACCATTTTTTATGCATGATTCTGCTATGTAGATACACTATATGAAATGTAGTAAACGTTGAGGAAGCAATACATGTTAGCTGGCGAATTTACCAGATAAACAAGTGGAAATATCAACTTCGTTCAATTGTAAAAATTTTTTAGGTTATTATGATATAAGTATGGTTGATATCAAGCAAGATACCTTGTGACATCTGTAATTTTATTTGTCATGCAGACAAAACTCTTTGCGTGCTGCTTGTGTGAAAACCTGGTGGAGATTACAAATCTTCTAATTTCCCGCTTATTAAAGGAGGCTTACACAGACAAGCGACTTTGTCTGAAAGATATGCATATTACTTAACTGTCTGAAAGTGCTGCCATAAAATTTGAAGATACTGTTAGGCAAACCAAGAAGCTTTTTATGACGTAAGGGAATAATTTTTTCCTCTATGATGCAAAAACACCCCATGATTCTGTCACAACAGGATGTAACACTGTAAAAATGAGAATCTAGGCGCATGTAGACTACTTCAACAAACCCACATAAATAATTTCAAGCACACAGACTCCTACGGTAATTAAAACAAAACACTTTAATATAACTAATGGGTCTATTCAAGGGACTCCTACCATAAAAAATGGCAATTTTTTGGAACACAATATTTTTGCATTAATACTTAACCAAGAATGGATACTTCAAAGCTAGCCAGGGTTCTGTGGAAGATATTATTTGATTGAAGAAAAAAAAAAAAAAGAAAAAAAAGTGGAGTTACTTGTGATATTCACACAAGGCAAATATTCCATGTTTAACCCCCACTTAGATTGATTGCACTAAAATTGGCTGCAATGAGATTGATGACCACCTTTCTAACAGATGCCGACACTGTGACTCTTAGTCTTTCCTAGATTTAAAAATTATGACAGGTAAATTTGTTTTTGCAAATAATGAAGGCTTTTCTATTTTGCACTGGTCTTAAGACTGGCCTAACTGTTTGGAAAGTTAGAGGTGTGACACAAACAGTTGAGCTAGTTTACTTGGTCCCAATCACCACCATGATATTACTGTGGGACAATCCGCTTAAGAGACATAAATGCACCATGTCCATGTCCGGTAATTAGCAAGAGAGAAACAAACTACATATTAATCTATGATTGGAAATGTCTTACAACTTTTTCCCCCTCTGCCCAGCGTTTATCTGCTTGAAACAGGTACCAGCATGGTAGGTTATATAAACGTGTTTCCTCTACTTAATATAACAACCTGTGCAACAATCACTGCTTGTGGAGAATAAATCAAAATAACTTGATGGCCTGGGGATATCAAACAAATTAAAGCAAGGAGATGACAGCGTGTAGAAACAGATGCTTCTCAGAGGAGCTGACCACGTGGAATTGATTCAATCCATCTACAACTGATCATCAAATAATGACTACCTCTTGATACCAAGAAGCTATGAAATGTGATAGTTACATAGTAGACATTATTTCAATTTCTATTGGCTAAGATTTTAGGAACTGCAAAACTTCCAAAGGTGGCGGTAAGCATGAGATGTTAACGGCAATCAAGAAATATTTTTGCATACACCTGATAATGGCATTGTGTTCAAAACAAATGGGATGATATTGGCTCCATGTGGTGATCTAAACCAAGTCAACGCTAATTTTAATAATGGGCTGGATTAAAAAAATGACAGCTCAATCTTTTTTTTTTTTCAATCGTGCCTTCAAGCCCCCTACTTGTACTACAATATGAAAATTTTCTATTTTTCAACAGACCATAGAGCATCCTTGAGTGGGAGTTAACCTTGCTATACATGACATATCTAGTGCGATAACATTATCTAACATACGTACAGAAGTAAAGTTTTTACAAAGCACGTGCAAAAGTTTACAAAAATAGAAGAATAAACTCTCAAATCAGGTTCGTAAACAAGAACAGAACTCCACAACTAAAATTACACATTGTAAAATATACAAAAGGAACGGGAACAGTGCGCCAAACGAAGATCAAATTTAATTGCCCTGGTTGGCACTAGGAAAACATGATCAACCGAATTATGGACAGAAACATTAACACAACAGTTAATCAAGGCATAAAACGCGAGACATTTGTTTCGCATTGTTGGAAAAATAAAAGAATGAAGAATACCGTTAACCTTATAGTGCCCTGTAATTAATTACAAGCGTCAAAAATTTTTCACACCACGCGAAGCGAAAGAGTTCAACATCTTTTATGGTTAAGATTGCTCTACGAACTATTGATATCAATTGTGGTTAAATTCTCCGATTTCTTTTTGATTTACAAAAGGTTCTTCATTTAGTCACGCACACACGAAGAACCCGGCTTACACAAGAGATTTAAAAATTTTCTGTACAATAAACCGACACGATACAGCTGTCAATTTTTGAAAAGGAGCTACAGACATCTTAACCAACGGAGCAAACTAAATGTAAACATGATTTCTTCAGCCAGCCCAAGAGCACTCCGAAAATTCATCTCAAACTTCAAAACCACTCATACAAATACAAAGAAGGCTAGCATTATTTTTTGAGGGCGAATATATCAATTTTCATGAAACGGTATAGGTTTGCGTGATCAAGGATTCTGAAGAATGGAATAGAGATTCGAGTTGTTGTGAATCGAACACAGTGCATGAGCGGCGGTCGCTCGAAAGCCCTCTAAATCGAACAAAGATATTCTACATTCCGGGATAATTTCGAGATCGCATCGAATTTAATCTTGGTCAATTGAGTCGTTACACGATGCGACAATTTTCAAAGGAGACAAGACACGTTTCACAAAAACCTTGAAAATTAATATATTGATGTCCGCAGGTAATTAATTCACGGCACTTCTTTGCAGTCTTTGGTGCGTTGTACAAGGTTTGCACGAAGAAAACAAATTCCAACTTCTCATGAACATTGCACAGTCAAACGCTGCTGATTTAAAAGCAAAAATCACTTCGTTCACACAACGCCTTCCGCGTAACTTCTTTTTACTGCCTCACGAGCTCCAAAGAATCTAGCGGGACCGATGTAGTTATTGTATACGGCTCTCGATAATCTTGAAACACACGCAAACACTTGCAAACAGACGGCCTCCAATTTCCGTTTATGGTGATTCCCGTCTTTTTACCTAATGCTTGACAATCGCTTCAACACAGCTGACATTATTGAGAGAACTAGGCTCATTTTTGATTACTTGACTTGTATCGGCGGCGCGACACGGCTGTGTCCGTCGCCGTAAGAACAAGAATCGACGGAAAGAACAAGAGATACAACAAAAAGTTTATACATGTTTAAACCTTACCTCGAGTTGTCCGTGCTTTTCGATCTGAAAAAGAAAGAGCAAAAGCAACATCAGTGGTTTTTTTTCCTTTAAAGCTGCTCTTTTCCAGACCGATTACACCAGAGTAAGGCATTCCCACAGTTAATCGAGATGAATGCCATATAATTTTCACCAATACCCTGTCGACATTAGGTTCGCTGCAACATACCTCGGCTTTTGCGCCAAGCGCTTTACTGGCGGCATCGCTGACCAATTTGTCCCAAAACACAGCCAAATACTCTTAACCAGAAACTCCTGAGACCTTAGCGGGCGTTTAACAGTCGAAAACACGAGATCATCTCCAATGAAAACGACAATTCCAAGGTCCTTTTACGAGCAACAAAATCAAGATGGCGCTTGTTTATCGTCTGACGAGAAATTATTATGCGCATTTTTTTCTCAGAAACATCACCTGATTGGTCGCGAGACTCCGCCAACATCACGTGATAATTACACCGGGGGTACGACCCCCATAATACTCGAAAGTGATTATTATATTTTGATTTCCATAGTATCTGCGGTAATTTGCTACGTTTTCTACAAAAGAAGATGTATGCGTGTTTTTTTTTTCTTAAAGAAACAAAAGACAACATGAATACACGTTTCCGGTGATCAAGAAAACAATGCAATGGACTTGAATAGCGTGTGAAATTGTTAGGAAGAGCGGCGTCAAAACAGGTTCAAGCCGGTAGCGACTAATTTGTTACAACTCATGTAGGTTATCGATACGGAAAGAAACCGCCTAACTGAAGCTGAATGCAAGAACTTCCGTTTAAGACACAACGATTTAAGGTAAAGAATAGCAAAGCAAATATTTACTTTGATCGATGTAAAACCGGAACATTCCGAATCAACTACACGACCCCCTCCTCCCCCGCAAGTCCGAATATTTGATACGAGTCGATGAATTTCCTAATGGGTTCTATAAACTCTTGGTGTTCTAAATTTAGCTTTTTGAATACAATGGTACAATATCTTAAGTGGATCGGGTTAGAGTTAAAACTTGCTTATTTGGCGTATGTCAACAACCCCAGTTGTTTTCTCTCTCGAAACGGGTGAGTGCTATACCTGATGACAATCTCTCGATCAAGTGAAAAAATTCGAGCTTGAGTTTTAACGACGCTCTTAAAAAGAAATTTCAAACTTGTGAGAAATGAAAGTTAGGCTATCGCAAAGCCACCTCTTATCGTATTTACAAAGAAAATGTGTTTTTTTTTCATGCAAAACAGAGTTTAATTAGGTGGTTAGAGTCACTGAAAATAGCGATGAGGTACAACACTGAACTTTCACCAAACTGTTCAAACTGATGAAAAATGTCCTTGGTTTTGCACACTGTATAGCAGCTTTAACCTTTTAAACTAAGATAACTTGCAGATTAAGAAATGAAAACCAAATAGGAACAAGGTGTATAAGCATAAGTTTTATACATCAACTTCAAATTCATTTTCAAAACTGAAGAGGAAGTTTCTTGCATCACAATCAGAAGTCCATTATGGAAGTTTAAAGCAAACTAATAGAGAGAGCAGGAACACAAATAGTTAACACGGAAGAGCTCTGTGTTTACAATGCAAATTAGATATTCAACCGACTTGCATCCAAAGGTCATACTGAAACTTTGTTACAATCATACGATACATTAGAAACTAATGAAGAGAGAAGAACAACCTGTTTGTAGCATGGTAAAAAAGAAGTGAAAAAGATTTAGCTTTATCTTGCTATCAAAACTTGCTGCATTTTCTTTGACATATGAACAGATACCCTTTTTCATATGTTTTTATGTAGGATGCAAGTTATTTTTGGTATATATATATATATATATATATATTTAATGGCTGAAATATGTTAATGTGGTCATTTAGATTAAAAACACAGACACTTTCTTTTCCCCTGAGGAGGTGGGTAATTAAAACTAAGAATTAATTCAAAAACTGCTTTATCCCCTTAATCTTTTCAATCCTTAAATACTTTCAAGATCCCTAAATCAGTTCTCCCAACAATGTAACATACATTTCTTCTCATTTTAGCTCTGAAAATTTAGTGTTTAATCAAACAATATCCCTAGTTTATACTTTTTTTCCCTTCACTCCAATTTTCTGCTTGAAAATGTATTGATACTGTAAAGGGAAATTCCTTCTTGATCTCTCCTAGAATTGAAAGGGTTACATAACAGTACAAATTGGGATCATGATGTGTTAGGCTAGAAAGCATGTCGGAAGATTTTAAAATAGTCTTGCTTCCCTTGTCAAATGTTGACTTTTGCTTAAATGGGGAATTCATCTTCCCTCCTGGAACCTTACAAGAAGCGGTAGATGAATATCACTCCAACATTAAAAAGAGGCCTTTGATTAAACAAAGTGTGTTTGAGTCTTCAACTAATCTGATTACACTATAGTCTGTGAGTTCTGGAGACTCACGAAAGTACCATACCAAAACAAAACTTTCCCTCTCAACAGATTTGATGACATGTGTTAGAGGAGTTTTCTGCATGATAAAAGCTACATCATTTGAGATATTTCATTTTTGACCTTTCTCAAATTATGCAATGATAATTCATGGTGAACTGTTTACTTTGAAAATATTTAAAAAATGAAAGAAGCTGTTCACTTGCTAAAAATAATTCAGATTGTGCTTTTTATAATCTATTACAAAAAAAAACAAAGTAAAGTTGATTGGCATATGACTTGCTGTGAATGTTCATTTGAGCAATAATTTTCATTTTCTCCCGTAATGTGCTGGAATTAGGAATAACTTAGACCTGCGCATTCAAACCAAAACAATTTCTAGCTAGTTATTTCCTTCTTTTTGGAGCTTTTATCTTGATCATGCTGTTGGGGAATTCCGTGAATGTTAATTAAAATCCCTCTCTCCCACTAAACAAAATCAACCAGACTCTTAAACCTTTAATCCAAGCATGGCATTAGTTTTAACCCTAACACTGACATTTGTGTAAATATTCTCCACACTGGTTTCTATCATTTTCCTTTAGTACTGACAAGGAGAATGTGTCACTCGATCAAGAGCTTCTTAAATTAGATTTTCTCGACCTTAGGGTTTGAATCGTGGTTGATATTCTAAGGAGAAATTAGATGCTAGTCACACTCAGGAGTCCAAGGATTTTTAAAATTATTATAGCTTGGAATCTTAATAGTGGAGATCTTGTTTGTCTTCTCTCTCTAATCCCATCATACTCCTACTCTTCGCACAGGTGTAACCATGCAACATTGATCAATCGAGAAGACCACTGTGATGCTAGAAGCATGCAATCCAAGCTGTGATTATTATGGTCACCATAGTGAATAAAAAAATTATATCCTCTAATTCTTAGCAAAAAGTGGCAAATTGACAAATTATTTTCCGCAATCACGTAGTAAGTTCTCACTGTTAGTTTCAATATTTTAATTTTTGTGATCTAGAGTCAAACTCAGTGGAATATTTTCTATGAAAAATTATTTGTTAAGTTGAGTTTTGTTGCTTTTTTCTCCTCAGATGTGTAAGTGTTAAGTTAAATTCCAATCCCCTTTTTTTTACATTTTTCATTGCCAAACGGAAACTTTGAGCTTGAAGCAGTGACCTTGGCATTTTGTACAGTGTAACTAGGAAAACTGAAAGCTTTTCTATCCAATTATCATACCACAAAGGAAGTTAAAAAGTGTTACGACTTCTGTAAACCTTGAGCTTGAAGCAGTGACCTTGGCAGTTTGTACATTGTAACTAAGAAAACTGAAAGCTTTTCAATCCAATTATCATACCACAAAGGAAGTTAAAAAGTGTTCAGACTTCTGACGTATTTTGTAAAGCAAATTACAGGCAGCGGAGGTTACGTCATAGTTATAGTACATTCAAATTCTTTGATACTTTCATTACTAAGATCTTCTTATCAGTTCTCCTTACTGTCCGTCATACATTTCATCTAATTTTAGCCCAGCGAATTTGGTATGACATTCAATAACGTACCCTAGTTGACGTTTTTCTTTTTTTTCATCTCCTTTCTTCTTAGAGAATTTAACCCTTTAACTCCCATGATTGACCAAGACAGAATTTCTCCCCAAAATATCAATACAATATCAAGCAGACAAGTAATGGGAATAAAGAAAAATATTAATTATGGGATTATTAGCTTATCCAATACCAAATTATCTAAACTAACATCACAAGAACTATATGGCAGACAGTAAGGAGAATTACTAACAAGATCTTGGGAGTCAAAGGGTTAAGGTGAATGGGTGGAGCAATTCCATTTTGATCAGCTCTAGGAAAGAAAAGGGTCAATACAAGCCAATACAACATGAACAATGATTAATAGTCAACTAGCGTGTATGAAAGAAATGCTGTGTTAAATATTGATGATAATAAACATAAAAAATTTACTGGAAGAACAAACAGGAGGTCTGAAAGGTATAATAGTAAAAATTACATCTTTGTGAAGAACATTTGTCCTGAAGAAGACTAATAATACTGGCTGAAATGTTAACCTTTTAATATTATTGCTGTAGTGTCTACATTGCAATTCATTTCATTTATTTTTATCTGAAGGAGATACTCTATATGCCTATAGCACTATTAGTGATTTTTTTACACCTGTTTCAGATCTGAATGACAACAAAACAGCTTTTTCCATCATCATATCTAATTACAGAGCACACAGGACTGCGCTTAATTTTTTTACGAACATATGGTGAAATCTATACCTTCAAACCAGTTGGTACAAACAATCATTGTCCTTTCCGTACTTGTGTGGGTTCATAAATAAAGGAGTGTTGTCTTATCTCTTGTTTATTTTAAGAGCTTGTGGTGTCACTTCCATTTCATCATTTAACTTTGCTCACTTCCACTTAAATTTATCAGTCCTTAATTCAACCCCTTAGGACTAGAAGCTCCTAATATGTGGCCAAATGGTTTGCCTTCAATCAGTTAAATAGTATGTTCTAGTTAGATCAACTCTTTCTGTTTGTGTATTTATTATAGTTTAATTTTGTTTATTTTCGTATTCTCCTCAACGACTCGTGAATTGTTAATCTAAAAATGGAAATGAACCCTAGTGTATGCCCACCTTTGCGCTTTTCATTACTTTCTACTTTTCTTGGATTATCATGACTAATTTATAAGTATGGAAAATACTTTGTCGGTTGGAAGCTACAAAGAATGAAAGAAATGCAGATGATTTGCTGATTTGACATCATTAATACGAAACTTGGGGATTTTTTTTATCATCAGTCACTCCTACACAATTTTGAAGCAAAGATCAAGAATTTTCTATTTATAAAGATAAATGCGTGGTCATCTATAATTTGATACATGTCATGCCGACAACGTATTTTCAGCAAAAAATATTATCAGGCAGAGTTAAAAGTTTGGAATTTTTTTTAAGCAACCACCCCAATGACTTCAAAACGTTTTTAAAATTGACACTTAAAACGACTGCGTCATAATATGATTACAACGCGAACGAATTCAAAATACGTAAGCTTGTTTTGACACCTCTTACAGTAACAGTCGGCAATTGTGCAACTTCACTTCCTGTAAATCTCACAAACTCTTTACTGCAGAGCAGAATTTTTACATCTCTTTTTTCTTCAGTCTTTTAATCCCAAAAGGGAATAAATGTCCTCGTTATAGAATATACATGAGTCAGCTGAAGTAAAGCTTTTCAAGCGTGGTTCGACAAGTTCAGTCCTACAAAATGCAAGCCACATCGATGTACACTGTGTGCAGAGGAAATGTTTGAAGATTTCTGGCTGTTGTTTGAGCAACCACCAAAAACAATAAAATGAAATAATAAGGAGGAGAGCCTAATTTTAAAACCCATTATTTTCATCCACCATTATTTGAGTTGTTAAAGCATTAAAAGAAAATTAAGAAATTACACACCTCTTGTATCTAGATTTCTTCCGGCGCCTTGAGGTTCCAGGAGCCATTTTCTTCTTCGAGGGCTTCTGCGTTTCCTTTTCGTTAGGTTCAAGGATTCTTAGCTGCATCAGCCCAATATCCACGTCTTTTGCTGTGGGAGAGTTTTTCGAGTTCTACAAAACACAACAATAAAGGCCAAGAATTCAGAGAAAAATCAGCCATAAGACAGGAGGAGAATTTTAACAATCGCCATTATTGATCGAACGATCATAACAAGTAGGAACTTGAGATTATGTGCACATGTTATCAAAAGTTGGTCACTTACAAACATTTGAGAAATTCCCGGCAGATTTGTTGCTTTTCTCAAGGGAATCTTAACAAAATTAACTCCGTCAGGGAAGAATGGCAATGATATCACCGCGAACCTACTTCCGATCTTCACAAGGATTGTTCAACAAAATAAATCGCTTGTTGAGAAAGTTCTACCCAAATCTAGTATGCGTACGTGACAGAAACCAACATATTTTAATCAAATGTCAAACTGTTGTCAAAATCACATGAAAGTTCTTTGTCCTCTGAATTAGGGCGGAACCGCAAATAACAATTTTGTAACCAATGTACTTCCTGTTCACTTATTGATCAGCGAATCAAAACTTGCACTCGACTACCGGAAATAAAATGTCAGAAGCTTGGCTACTAAGCTGTAAGTTGTTTGTACCGCGTCGCTAAATCTATATCGTTTTTGGAGGGAAAATTCCCTGATTTTTTTAATCTTTTACAAGATTACTATGCTGCAGAAATGACGGTAAGTACCACAAGATTATTAGTGCCTATTAAATCGACGAAAACGAGTTATGTGTTTTTGTTTTGCAGTCAAGTGAGTCCGCGATTTCTGCCACAGCAACCTACGTTGAGAACTACCTAGATTGTGAGTTAAATTGTTCCTTTTTGAAACATTGTTAACCAATCCATCAAGTGTAAAAAGCCATATTATCTTGACTGGAAATAGTGTCAAAAATATACATGTTTCTCGAGGTAGACACTGAGATTTACTCGCTCCAGCGTGCCTATTATTCCTCACACACTATATAGGACCAGTCAACCTTGAACGGATCTAAAACGGAACTTCTCAACAATTATAACCTGTTTGAACCCGCTTTCAGTATTTGATAGCTTCCGTTGCTCGTTTATTTTTAATTTGACCAAGTTTCGTATCTCGTCGTGACCTTAGGTAAAATATGTGCACATATTTCGAACATGCGATTTTGTTACAACCGTGACGTCAAAGCGAATATTTGTGCTGTGATTGTCATGCAATTTTGTACGTGATCTCTTAAAGGCATGAGCATTGGCATTACCGCAAATATAATCTGAAGTGGCTCATTAACTCATGAGATTTCAACAAACCTATATAATCTCTAGTGTTCCTCGTTTCGGATTTCTTAATATTTACGTTTTTGCAAGAAATTACATGTGCATGATATCTTGCGATACGTCAGCTTACGTCCACATGTAAATGAGCAGGGACCTTCAGTGTATGCATAAACAAGATCTCGCTGAGTTTTGCTGTACTTTGTATATCAACTCCTATTCTAAATTCTTAGTTGACGAGAAACCTGGTTCAAAATTATTCTGATTGAAAACACAAATCCAAACTAAAAGCAGACAGGAAGAGAGACAATAACTTTAAACATAAATCTTTGATTTTCTCATTTTTCTCCCTTGATCAAGGGGATGAAAAGAGCAATTTCCATGTTGGCATCAATTCTCATAAATTTGGCTCAGTTGTTTTTAACCCTTAAGCTTGGAAGATCTGATTATTGATTCTACTCTTCAGCTGCAACACATTTCCCTTGGAAAAGTTATGAGAATTTGGTCATAGATCAAAATAGCAACTTCTGACTGATGTGTTTAAATATTCCCATAATCTATTTCCTGAATAAAGTAGGGATATTATAGGGAGAAGTTGCAAGTTAATCACTTGTGGAAGGGTAACATTTGAGAGGGCAAAACATTTTTTTTTTCTTTTTCATGGAAGTGGAGGCCATGAACTTCCAGATCAGGGTAGATGTTGTAAGAACAGCCCAACAGAAAAACAGCTGATTCCCAGAAACAAATTAACCCTTTGAACCCAAAGATTGGGTTACAACTTCTCCATACTACCCTCACCATCGATTGGAAGGCAGGATATTTTCGAAAATTCATGTCTATTTGATATGGGGTACTTTGCTACATCCTTTGGATAACTTAAAAAAAGCCTTGATAAAACATTTTTCTTTTTCTTTTTTTTGTTTTGTTAACTGTAGGTGTAGAATCTCTACCTGATGATATGCAAAGGAATATTTCTCAGATGAGAGAGCTGGATCTTCATTATCAGGGTTTGTTAGCAGCATAAGATTTGGACCAGATGATCTAAATATTTGTGTGTTAAGTTTTCCTCAGTTTTTAAATTTTTTAGATATAAAAGTGTTATGTTTTCAATGTTTCAGAGAGACTTAAAGAAATTGAAAGGCTTATCAACAGTTACTTTAAAGAAAAAGAGCCAGCAGCCAGGAGGAAATGCTTGATTCAAATTCAAAGACGACTTATCAGAAGTCAGGAATATGGTGATGATAAACTACAGCTGGTTGGAAACATGATGGACTTGGTGAGCTGTTACTGACTTATAAGAAGTGTTTGCAATTTAATACAGTCATGCTAAGAAAGCTGAGGAATCAACAGTCCCTGGAAATTATCCACAGTCCCTTATACAGGTCTCACCATCATTGTTTCCATGTCTTTTTGAAGTTTTAAAATCTTTTCAGACAGGGGAAATTTATTTAAAATTTTGAAGAGCTAGCTTTACAGTTTCCAAAGGGAAAAAAATTTTAAGGGTAAAAGACTGTCAATTTCCTTCCATGTTCATGGATTGTTCTTATTACGTTTTTTAAAGAAGAAGTTACTCATTAAACAACTTATAATTTAAATTTTGAACATAAAAGCAAACTTTTCAGTAATGAACACTAGTGAAGTAGTAGTGAAAATAAGGCCTGAAAAAATTCAGGCCTGTATGGGATTTGAACCCATGACCTCTGTGATAGTGGTGCAGTGCACAAGTCAACTGGGAGCTGGTCATTATGTTGGATCTAAATGAACCTGTGAAATGATGAATAAATGACTATGAATATATGAAAATAATATACTGGTACGTGAACTGATTTTCTCATATATTTATGGTCATTTATTTGAATTTTGTTAATCACGTGTGCAGGTGGATACTCGTACTCGACAAATTGAAGTAGATGTGGAAAACCTGGACACGTACAGGAATGACGACATGCCACCTCTCTTAAAACCCGACGTTCAGCCAGGTACTATTATATTAACTGTCATCTCAGCTTTTATGAATTCACAACTTTTTAAATGTGATTTAACCCTATCAAGTCATTTATCTTTAATTTAACCCTTTAACTCCCAGAAGTGATTAACATGGATCTTCTTTGTATAATATCCATACATCAGCCTGCAAACAAGTATTGAGAAAACTCTGAACTGTAGGTAGAAGTTTTTATCTTGATCTAACACTAAATTCTCATAACAGTTTTACAAGGAAATGTGTACAGGTAGAGGCAAGAATTAACAATCATATCTTGGGAGTTCAAGGGTTAACTCTATGAGTGACCAAAGAGAAGTTCTCATTACAGTTTTGATAAAACATCAAGCAGAAAAGTGATGAGAGTTAAGAAGTATATCAATGAGGGGATTATGAGTTGATTCAATACCAAATTCTCTAATTTTCATCCTAAGGATTGTATAGTGGACAATAGGAAAGATCTTGGGAGCAAATGAGTTAATTTGATTCAGCCCATCAACTCATTTATCTATTTCTTGGTAGAAAATAGGAACTTAAGAAGGGTGAAGTTCTTAACCCTTAAACTCCTAAGATCTGATTGTTAATTCTCCCCTCTCGATCCTACACATTTCCTTGTAAATTAGTGACCAGAATTTGGTGTTAGATCAAGATAACAACTTCTATCTGATAAGTTTTAATATTCTCATGACCTGTTTGCTGGATAATGTAAGGATATTATAGGGAGAAGTTTAATGTTGATCACTTCTGGAAGTTAAGGGGTTAAGAGACAAAACTTAAACTTTCACTGTTGCCAAGGGTACTGAATTCTTTGCAGTTAAGGTTCTTGCCATTTCTCATTTGAATTGTTTTGTCTTTCTGTCAGCCATTCTAGAGGAGCACCACTCAAAACCTGAGAAGACAAAGAGTAAGTCACTGTAAATAATTTTTGGATATTACTGAAGAGACAGCTTTGCTAACCAACTGCCATCATTCTAACTAAATTTTTTGATGATATTTCTTGTGGTAGGAAATCGGCGGCAGCGTAACCATGACAAACATGAGCGTGACTCAGAGGGCAGAGGGGGGTCAAGTGGGGCAGGAGGCTCAGAGGTGGTCAAGCCTGTCAAGAAGAAGGCAAAGACCAATAGAAAGTAAGTTGTAGTGTTCATTATACTTTTGTGAGGTTAAGTTAAGAATTATTGAACAATAGATCTACAGTCATTGCATTAAATATGGGTTAATTCCCTCACAACTCTGATGACCAACTTATCAAAATTCTTGATGCACATTCAGTTGCAAAAATATCTAGGAAATGTTGTGATATCAATCATGTGTCCTAAGATGGCTCAGTATTTAAGTTGCTATGAATATTTATTATAAATGATGGAAATTTAGCAGTGGACATTCCACTAGGTGGCTCTTCTTGTCCACTGTTTTCAGGTCGAATTGGAATATGGAATCTTAGTTTTTATGGAAGGAGGAAAACCAGAGAACAAACAGCAACAAACTCAACCCACATGTAACAACAGGTCTGGGAATCAAACCCAGGCCACAGCAGTGGGAGGCAAGCACTCTTACCAAAGTGCCATCCCCACTTCCAAATTTCTATTATTTGACTAAAGTTACCATGATTTTCTTAACTTTAGGGGAAAATCAAAGAATCAAGACTCACCTACACCTGAGTATCCAATTGATCCAAATGAACCCACATACTGTTTGTGTAATCAGGTATGAAACTGTTCTTTAAACCTTTACACCTTAACATCAGTATGCATATTCTCCATACTGTTCTCTATACGTTTGCTAAGGAGCTGACAAGGAGAATTTGTTTATTAATCAAGTACTTCTTTAGTTGGTGATCATTTCCTTCATTCTCATGACCTCAATATGTGATTCAAGGTTGTTGTTGGGAGGAAAAATTAGATGCTTGTCACTATTAGGGTCAAAAGGTTAAGTTGATTAGCCTGCACTGCCAGGTATTTTTTGTGTACTATGAAGCCATGAAAATGAGTGTCAGGACCACTTGTGTACACCACTGCTGGATAGATGTCAAGTGTATGTAAATGGTGGGATTTTAACTCCCACAAGTGACTAAGACCGATCTTCTCCTTACACAATCAACACAATGTCAAGCAAGCAAGTGATGAGAACGAGGAAAGTGTCAATTAGGGGATTATCAGTTAATTCGCATGCCTCCCAAATGAGGGTTGCAAAGGTCATTAGAGAATATTGGACTTGGAATCTACCAACAGTTTATTACTTTATTCCAGTCAAATGTTGGCGTAAAATGACAATTGTAGTAGTCACCTGTCAAAAATGAATCAGCAAAATTACATAATTGCCAACATTAAAATGACACCTTAGGACCTTTGGGTCCAAGACAAAGAAAAAAAAAGCTAATTCTCTAAGGTGTTATTCCTGACTCACAAGATTTTCCCTTGCATTTTAGAGAAGAAAACGTTTCTGACATAAAACAGGGGCAGCAGAGAAAGATTGTTTTTCCTTCTGCTCATGCCCAGTTTCTCAGCAGTTGCTAGCTATGATTGACTTATTGAATAAAGGGCGACGAGGATTCCCACGCAAATTCGAGCAAACTTCATATCAGAGGAGTGCAGAACATTGGTTGATCTAATTCCAAATTCTTCTTACTAACATGATATGAATTGTATGGCAGACAGTTGGGAGAATTACTTATGAGATCTTGGAAGTAAAGGGTTAAGACTTCATTTTGATAAGCTGTTATTTTACTGTAACACAATTAATATGGAGAGCGTTGCCTTGCCAATCTGTGTAACTAACTTTATGATGTTTCTTTCTGTACAGGTTTCATTTGGAGAAATGATTGGGTGTGACAATGAAGAGGTAAACCTTTGCTTCTATTATATTTATGTGACATTTTTGTTAAATTTGATTTAAAAAATTCAAGAAATGGTGGGAGAGACTAGAATCACCAGCTTTTTAATATTATTTTATCAAAGAAACCTAATGTTTACTATTTTTTTACCACTTTTTTCAACAGTGTCCCATAGAATGGTTTCATTTTCAGTGCGTGGGACTCACTACCAAACCAAAAGGAAAATGGTAAGTTTGTCTTTGATAGAATGTCTGCCGTTGTAGGCTAAGTTTCCAATCACTCACTTAAATTTCACGATGTTCATTTGGTACAGTTTGGTCAATAAATGCTCTCATTCAAAAAATCTATCCTCCCTCAAAAAATTTTATTAAATGTATTCAAGAGAAACAATCAAATCCACGGCTATAATACATAAGGCGTGCCAACCCCTTTTGTGTGCCTTTATGAAGAACAAATATTCGGCAGTTTTCCGTTTTCTATCAAGATTCAAAGTTTTTCAACTTTTTTACCCCTGAGATCACTAGCTCTTCATCTCTTGAATCCTTTAAGAAAAAAAGTTAAAATTGTTATTTTCAGTAACTTCTAATTCAACTATGGACTACAGACTATTATATGGCTTGTTAACACATTATTTTGGTATATCTGTTATCTACTACTTGTGTTGGAACCTAAGCTTCCAAGTCTTAATAGTTGTTATCAGGTTTCCGCACTAATTTTTTTTTCTTCATCAATTATTGCAAAATGGAGTAATAATATATATATGTATTGGCACAATAAAATAAATGAATAAAATTGATGAATAAAGGTGGTTGGGAAGGGGCCCTATTACTACCCATGTAAGCTTGTGGTTGCCATGTTCCAGCCAATAGCGTTGCTCCATCTTCTGTATATGAACCCCACACAACAAACAATTGCTGTATTTGCTCTGATGAAGAGGCTAACGCTTGAAACGTCAGCTTAAGAAACTCTTTATGGTGGCCAATTTGTATCATCAACTCAGTTTATTAAACCAAATTATCTGAACTGTGGAGAGTTACATGTTTGTAAAGATGGCTTAAATTGAAAGAAAAGGAAGTTGCAGCTTGTAGGAATTGACTGAATCCGTTGAATATTGGAATTACGGATATCACTAACTGTCCTGCTTTCTTTCAAGGTACTGCCCCAAATGTACAAACGAACGGAAGAGAGAGAGAAGCTGTCTGAGATAATCGTCTGGATTGTCTTTGTGAATACTGCAGAATTTGAACTTTTTATTTGACTCCTAGAGGAACCCTTTGAAGAATATTCTTCTCTAAGCCATCAGCTGCAATTAAGGAAAACTTCTTTATCTTAGAGAAAAAAATTAGATGTTTTCGATAGTCAAGGATGTTACTTTATTTCGGATAACTAAATCATCTTGTGATAGAATTATATGCAGTTCTTTGGTTTTACTTAGCGTTATTTGTATCTAGATTTCTATAGTATTTATTTAACATTTACTTGCACTTGTTTTATCACTATGAAAATACACGTAGAGACATTTGTAGCGTTATTAAGTATTTTAAGATATAGTGCCCATCGAAATAAGTTTATGTCTTTACGTTAATGGCATCTTTGGAACTTCTGGCGGGAATAGTTGAAATCAAGCGTTTGCGCGACCTTGCGGTGAGCGCGGGCAAAGGAGGAAAGCGCGGGAAAAATAGGCTGCTAATGGCAAGCGTTGAAAAACAAGAGCAACAGACTTCACCAGGCCATCATTTGCTGAGCTTATTAAAGGCTATTGCAGAGCTAATCACAGAAAAAAACAAAATGGCTACTCGGTTAGTGTTGTTTCTCCTAAAAGTGATATCTTAAATTGTAAAGTTTGTGATGTGCGGCTTGTTTTAGGGTCGACCTTTTGTTGGTAAAGAAGCGTAGTTTTTGGCGAATATTCCTTTATTAAAGCTATCATGAGTCAAAGCCGTAAAGACCACGTCCATTGTCGTGTCAAGACTCTTGACAAGGGGTGACCCCTTGGTTTTGATCACATGTGACAACATCACAGTCATGCCAACCACCAATAGTCCTTTTGTTCTCTGTTCTTCTCATGAGACTTAAGGGATGACTTTGAAGTGATACCACGTGATGCTTCGGAGCGCTGGTAGCTAAAACCGTGGGCTCAATTTTCGAGCCCCTTTTTTTCGGGATGGCTGCCGTAAGCTCTCGCTTGTTCCTACCAGAACTGTTTGCTTGGTGCCCATACTGTTTTGTATCGGAAAGCAATTATATGTAATATTGTAAATTGTAAAAATTAGAAGTTGTCTGGTAACGTGAAATATAACACATGCTTCGGTGAAATGTTTAATTTTTTCCTGGCTTTGTTAGTATTAATTCTTAACCTTCAGACAAGATGCAGTTGCTAGCCCATGTAAACTGGTAAGGCTTTTTTTTCTTTTTGTGTTCTTGCTTAATTACTTTCACTGTGTTAACCAGTTCGAGAGTAGCTAATTGTCATAACCATGTTAAATTTAATTAGACCAGTTAAGGGGGTGTCGCTGGTTTTACACTTATATATGGATGTTTACTGCACGCAATGAAAGTGAAAAAATATTCTTTGTGTCTTTAATCAGTGCACAAAATACGATAAACATGCACAAATTAACCAATTCATAAGAGTGTCCGATGATAATTGAGGTCAAGACCGTTGTTAAAGTTGCGTAAAGGGTGGCAGTCGGAGTAGACAACTTACTTTCTTACGATACTTTGAAGATGGGGATCAATCTAGTTTCGAGGCATGCGATTTTACTAATTATTTTCTATTATTTGATATTCTTCTATCATTATTTTTTGGTTGTCTATCGTCGAGCCGCCGGGCAAAGATTTTCAGGCAGGTGTTACTCAATGAAGCAAAGTATGCAACGCGCGAGTAGTGTTCACACTTGGTATTGCGAGTGGAACTCATTAAATGGATTTATTAATATCTTGAAACGCCCATAAGACTTACCATTCGACACATTAAGTAAGGTGATGAAAAATTTTAATGATTTTTAGAGAAAAAAAAGCCAGATCGTCAATATTATTCAAGGTGTCTTTCTTAGACTTCATAACCATTTGTTATCCGATGTCGAAAACTTAAAGGTAACTTTAGTGTTTTATCCACTATTGATTTTAGCAGTTTTGGAATCTAAAGCTATAATGGTAAGTAAATCTCATTTTTGCTTTTTTTTTTTTTTTTTAGTTTCTCCATGATGAATTTTTTTGCTCGCTCATAAAAGGCCGGCGTAGCTGGCTGGTTCTTGTGGCATTCAGTATATCTCGTCAGCTTGTATGTTATGTTTACCCATTTCAGGTTCAGGGGATTTGTCAGCTTTATCTTTTGTAAATTATACGTAAATGTTCACGTGAATAAGTGGAAATTTGAAATAAACAGTTCTCTAGTTTATTATCCCATGACCTGAAATGGGTAAACAAAACAGAAAAGCTAAAAAGGTCTATTTGATGCTCAGCGCGTTTGCGTTTTTGGCGCGAAGATTTATAACCTACAACCGACCTCTACATCACACACAGCACACATAATACACCTGCATTGATAAAGTAGCCGATTTATATCTAATCGTGATAACATTTTCGTAGAAAAAAGCAAAAACTGAGAGGAAAAAGCCAAATGTTCAATGGATTCCAAAAATTACATAAAGATATATATGCTACTGCCGTTTGCTTTTGTTATATGCTAATTCATTCTAATTTAGCTTTTTCGTATAACTTTTCCGCATATTAGGCGTACGTATACGAAAAAAAATTTGTTTTAAAATTCAACAGGCGATGCCTCATCTTTGGAAGCTCCTCTCGTTGCTTTTCTTGGAATTTCAATGGTTTGTTTTATCTACTGCTTCAGGATATTTGGGTAAGTACAAATTACAATAACAAAAACAAGTTTATTTGATTAACCCCCCAAGCGAACGTTGAAGATACAGGGAATACAAAATACTCTATTTTATTATGAAAAGCTTCTTAAATAGATTCAAGACACACGCTTAATTTTTTTCCGTCATATTTTACAAGAAGTTTCATTGAACTTTCTCGCTCACGTGTTCACTCGCTAATTCATTGACCCAGGGAATCTGGGAATCTTATCAACCATTTTAAGGGCTTAAAATGAACAAATGACACAAAATACATAAACATCATCAAAGTATGGGCTAATTACGTTCTCGGGTCAGATATTTTGACCGTAACTTAGTTACGTAGCATGTAAAGCATTTGTTTCTGTCCCATGATCAGCGATAACCGAGAATTAACTTCGATTTGATCAAGACAGAATTATTTTGGTCTGTCTTCGGATTTTTTTTTCGGTTTTAGGTCACTTTTGGAAATCAGGTTTGCTTTCATGTCGGGATGTAACAGTAATCGAAAAAAAAACTTCGCTTCTTCGAGACTCTTTTACCTGGACTTAAAGCACGTTACCATTTGGCAGCGCCGGCTAACCATCCAAAACTTTTAACCGTTTTCACGGTGGAGAATTTTATTGTATGATAAGAACTATTCAACTAGGTAAGCCGTTCACATAAATTTTGTCCAGCGTTTTAATCATGGATTTTTGTGAAAATTAAGAAAATGTGCAAAAGATACAAGGCTCATTAGTCAATGGCAACAATAGAATAAATGTTTATTCAAATGCACCTGAATAGATGTATCATGTAATTACAAACGAAAACCAAAGCAGGGATGACTCTATTGTTAACAACAAGAGATGATTGGTGGATTCAGGTCATGGGACACTACCGTATCCCGATCAGTGATACGGCAGTGTCACATGACCTGAATCTACCAAACAGGGTACGTTATATCCGTTTTCGTCCGAAAACTCGCCAGAGCCACATGTCCATGAGGGTGGAGGTGTATGGATGCAAAGGTACTGTTTAAAAAGAGACTTAATCAGAATCCTTACACGAAGTTTTATATGAGTGCTCCATTGCCGGCACCAACTAATCTCATACCCAGACCCTACCGTGTAACTAAAATGTAACAAACGCTTGACCGTGGAAAGTCTGGGTACGAGATACGGCACGGGTCATCGTTAATTTTACAACAAATGTTCCATTAGATTTAATTACAAAAAATATATATATCCGGCATTCTGAAGTAGGATTATACTCTCGATAATCCATTTGTGTAAAGTTATTTTGTTCCTGCTTAACCCTGTAACCCCAAAGAGTGACTAGCATCCAATTTCTCTTTACAATATCACCCCTGAACATTAAGGTTGTGAGATAACAAGGAAATAATCATCACCTGAAGAAACTCTTGATTGTTAAATAAATTCTCCCTATCAGCACCTTAGTAAATGTATAAAGAACAGTATGCATGGAGAATCTGGATACTGATGTTAGAGTATAAAGGGCTTAAGGCTTTGCTGCTCAAACCAAGTTATTTTCTTTTCTGTTGAAAATTGTCAACTCATCGCTGCTCACATAAGTTATGCTGAATGAATGAAGGGATAATTTTCTTTCTCAGACTGTGGTGCTGCGTCGGTGAGCGTGGGAGGGGGGTGGGTATTACCGGATTATTCCTGATTTGATAATGTTAATTGCCTCGTAGTTTCTAAAGCTGAAATGGTGGCCGATCAGACTAAATTATACGGAAGTTTAGCCATTGCAACCATTAGAGATAGTTAACACATCCAGCCATTCGAAAAATCCACAATAAAAAGTTTATATCGTTTTTCGATCGATGTCCTCTTCATTGTTGCTGTCCTGATTGCTTAAAGTCCCCAACTACTGTACATCGGCAGGTATATCGTTTTTTATCTAATCTGCCTCCCACCCGGTCTGTCCCGATTACATTTGCAGATTGTAAAGGAGCTCTCGGCATGGAAAGCGGAGAGATCACTGACCAACAGCTAAGCACTTCTTCAGAATATAACTCTAGGCACTCCGTTTTAAGTGGTAGACTAAACGTAAAGTACGAAGCAGGGGCGTGGTGTGCTGGAACCCATGATGACAACCAGTGGCTCCAGGTTGATCTACTGAGCAGGCACAGAATAACAGGAGTTGCCACTCAAGGAAGGGCGGGAAACCATGGGCAGTGGGTGACAAAGTATAGGCTCCAGTACAGTGATAATGGAGTGAACTTTCAATATTACAGGGAGCATGGACAAACGACACAGAAGGTAAGGTTAGGTCGCGTAATTGATAATTTTTTACTTCGCAACATACGTAGGGAAATGATCGATTTCACATTAACGAATCTGTGTTTTAATGTATCTTGGGTAGAAAGAGCAGAATCTAATCAAAATGAGATTTGACCGTAGCCACAATTTCCGTCCAACAGCATGTTTGACGGTTTAGCCATCTCTCGCAAATCTAATTTAAATGGCCTCCCCTGCTCTTACTGGATCGATAATTTTCATCGAATATTTTACTTTAGCAGCAGACGTTTGATCGTTTATCCACCCTGTGTTACGTAAAAAAAAACGACTTAGAGCGAAAATGTTTGATCATTTCGTCTGTCCGGTCATTCGTCCGTCCTTCGGTTTGTTCATTCGTCCATTCTAACTCGTTCGTTCGCTCTTTTCTTCGATCGATCGTTGGCTCGTTGGCTCGTTAACTTATTCGCTCGTTCGCTCGTTCGTTCGTCAGTTACTAAAAGAGGGCTTCGTTTCAATGATGTTCGTATTACTCAACGGACTTTGTTCAAAAGAGTCTCAAGGTAAAACAATCATCATCACTTTTTAAAGGCAAAGACCTTTAAGAGCGTCTAACCAAAAACAGACGGACATCTGATTCCATATCATGCACTTAGGGATTAATCACTCATATTTAGTGGAACTTTCAAGAAGACGTAAACTTTCGAGATAGAACGAAAAAAAATTTGTCACTAAATGCAAGCGAAAATTAATAATATTTCCTACTACCAGAAGGAGCTAAATTATTTCCTACGGTTTAGGAATTTGATGGGAACACCGATCAGGACACGGTAGTGGCACATGACCTGAATCCACCGATCAGGGCACGTTATATCCGTTTCCGTCCGAAAACTCGCCATGGCCACATGTCCATGAGGGCGGAGCTCTATGGATGCAAAGGTACTGTTTAAAAAGAGACTTCATCAGTGTCTATACCTGAAGCATGATTTCAATGCCCCATTTCTCGCACCAATTACCGTTAATTTGCGACAAATGTCCTATATTGAATTACAGAAAACAAAGTATTCAACATTTTAAAGAGGAGTTTAACGGTCGCTTCCCGTTTTTGATCGTGTGAAGTTATTTGATTGTTACTGTAATGAAATCACGGCTTTCCCGCTCAACACCCCCCACCCCTCCCTCCCTTATCTCATACCTAGATCCAAGTTGTAACTGTTACAACTTCTTGGCCGTGGAAGGTCTGGGTACCAAACAACCTCTCCCCACCCCACTCAAACAGGTAAACTTTGGTGTTTAGCCTCCCTTCCCTCCACACAATTCTAGATAACAGTAACCAAAACGAGTTTCTGTGATAATAAATAACCGTTTGATGAGAACAGAGTATCCATGATTTGCAGGAGGGGACTGTTTTTTGCGTATTTGGGATAGCACCAGTTGAGGGGACACGATCCCTGGCACTATCCCCATTTTTTTTCCAAGTAGCTTCTCACGATGTTTATATTTTTTATAATTAGCAAACCTTGGCTGGTGTGGCTCCAAAGACTCTCCACCTAAAATATTCCACTTTCATATTAACAAGATCTGCAATTCATCTCCTCTTTAGTTAATTTTCAGTGGATGTTCCAATCCTATGGAGGTGAATATTTGTTAGATGAGTCGAATCGCACCAGTTCCTCCGCTGTAGGGCGCGGTTTGCACGTGGCTGCTAATACCCTCTTTGTGACTGACACGGGTCATCTTGAGATTGTCAAGACCGGCGAGGATTTTTCCCCAAATGGTGACGAATTAGGTTTCTCCTTTTTGATCAAACACAAAGGTATGATTGAATACAGATTGTAACGTAAGTTGATTACAGAGATGAATAAAGTACAAGTGTTAAATCAACCAGGGTTGATTGTCACAGATAATCCTAGATTTCCTTGATTTTGCTTTGCCTTGCGCTGTAATTAGTCGATGAAAAGTCGCTTCAAAACCTTAGCCAATCAGTTGCAGAATCGACTGACTTAATCACACCTTTTTTCAATTGCGTTTCCAGTGCTTCTCACAGTTGGCGTTTTTTTTCTTTGAGTTCCCATTGGCTACATGTCATGCTTACAATATTTACCTTTGTTATGATTATCCATTGCTTTTGGCTCAAACACACTCAATCGAAAAGAATTCCATCACCTGATTAACACAAATTCAACATAATACTAGGGAAGGTTCATTGCCTCAGCTATGCGTACAGTTAACTTGTATACCAATCCAGGCCACTCCATTTTACAAACAAAGCATACTCTGAATAAAGAGGGTGACGTTCTAAAGAAACTGTGGTGCTGCCTAGGTTAGGGGTTTTACAAGATAATTAAGTTTTATCAACTGAGTTTTTGATGCGAAAGCTAACGTTATCCAGCCTGCGTTACTGACGGTCTGCGGTTGTGGGCGTTCCCACTACCGCAGACCGCCAGCAACGCTGGCTAACGCTTAACGAGCTAACGTTAGCCCTAGACAGCACGGAAAGCTGCAAAATTTTAGAACAAAAATTTCTTTCAAATCGGCACCTTTAATCGTCATGTTAGCGACAAATGCTTTTCATTCAACTAATTTATTATTGTGTTTTTCACGTTGCCATGTTCCCACCATTAGCGTGGCTCCATCTTTCTGTCTACAACCCACGCGTAACCCACAGTTTCTCGATTCGCTCTGACGAAGGGCTGACGCCAGAAATATTGGCTTTAGGATCTCTTTACGGTGGAAAATTCACATTATCAACTCAGTTGATAAAACAAAATGCATACTGTGGACAACTGTAACTTGTATTTTTTTGTAACTTAACAACGCGGTTTCTTTTTAGGTCATTTTTCTGTCTCAGTGCGTTCTAAAGGAGGACCTCATCACGAACCTCATATCTTAGTCAGTGGGAAGGATTACAGTACTCACAATGAAGGAATAAACTTTGTTGTTGTGGATTATGATTCAGGTATTTATCCCAAACAGTCATTGTGAGAAAAACCAGTTGCTGTCTGTTTCTCAATCGAGAATCACGTGATAGACAAGCTGAATAATACACGCATTTTGATTGGTTCTCACTTATGATCTATTGGAGGACAGACGCATAGATGACGTCACCATTATCAACAAGATATAGAACAAATAGATTTCATGTAACTGTCAGTCTACTTCGTAGCCGTTCTTTGGATGTCACACAACGTTCAACGGAGGGGGAGGGGGAGGGAGCGTTACGTGACATCCACTGACCATGCGCACGGCATCATGGACTCTTTTTTTAATTATTTGAATTTTCTTATAATTAATATTTCAACCTTATTTAATCACGGGCAATTCATCAGCTATTTACAAAGGGTTAAAAACTATTAACTATTAATTTTATTGAGCTAACCCATGTAGGCATTTGACAATCATGGCGGCCTTTTGTATGTTCCGCTGACGGTCAAGACTTTTTCCACCCCAAAATTTCTAACAATTGGTCAGCGTTAGCGTCATAATTTGAAAATGTCAGAACGCGAGCTGCTCTATCTCGCAGTTTTTCAAGCTTGTCTTGTAAAGTTGTCCCACAAGTTAAATATTGCATATCACAACAAAAAGAAGTTGGGTGGGGGAATCAGACCCAATCCCTTTCGTTTAAATCTCAAGACACAAGAAGAGAGACCTGAATAAATTGTAAGTTAGAAAAAAGTTCAAGAGTAAAAAACGTTTAAATTGTAAAATTGAAATATTTCCCATCATTTGACTGACAACAAGCATTTGAACCCTGCCCCCATCGAGAAATGATTACTAGGTTGCTTCTGAGGGACTGGTCATTATTTATTTTTGAGTAGTCGGGATAGTTTGTTTGTGGCACAATAAACTTTACTTGACCCCCCTTAGGCTCTGCAGTTTTCTAATGATCCCCCCCATTGGCAGTCAATTTTGTATTGTCCCCCTTTACAATCTGTTAGCGACCACCGCCCCCCCCTCCCCCTCTTCCCTCCTTCGTTCCTCTTGAAAGCCATATGATCCCCACAAATCTTCCACCCCTCCTCCCTAGGTGACAAAGAATGACCGTTCCCTACTTCTTGTATGTTTTTTTTAGGCGATGTCCTCTTTGTCAGAGGCTTTGAAGAAACCGGAAATCCACAGCACATTCCAGAGTTTATCAAAATGCTACCGGATCGCGCTATTGTGTTATTATCCATGAATACACAAGTCTTTCAACTTTCTCCTTTCTTCTCGAACATCAGTCAGTTGGTAACATACATGGGAGGGAGTTTGGAAAGCGATTCTGCTTATTACTGGTACTGTTTAATAGGGTTTCACGGATTAGAAACCTTCCCTTGGATCAAAGAACAGAAAAGTATTGTATTTGGAGAAGCTTGTGAAATTTCAAGTGTCATTAGGTTACCAGGTAATTTCCTGATCTCTGATCTCATGAATATTTTTAACCTCAAACAAATTTAGCATGTACCACAGAAGTGAATAGTGCTTTTCGCACGCACTGATTGGCTAGTTCGGAAGTGAATAGTGCTTTTCGCAAGCATTGATTGGCTAGTTCGAAAGTGAATAGATATTTACCTCCTCTTCAATGAATAATTGTTAAATATTCCGGAGACCTGCCAAAAGCGGAAGCGCCCAAGAACCTCATTCAGTCACAGAAGACGAGTAGATTTCTCTCCCTGATGAACAATCTTTCTTACTTAATTGCTAACGGAAGGACTTCCAGACAGGTGATATATCAGTGGTTGATACAGAGGGAGGGTCCTGGGGTGCACCCCCCCGGTGCACTTCCCGGTCTGACATCGAAATTCTGGCAACGACAGGATTGCATATTGTTACTCAAACGGCCGGGTTATGTTTGTTGTTATTGACTTTTTTTGTGCGTGTAACCGCGAGTGAAGGGGGAGGGAAGTGGGTGGGTGATCAAGAGCTTTCCCCATCAAAATTCCCAAAGCTATTCCAGTATTTATTAATCCCTCGTCTGTCTTAAAACAACGTTGAGGTTTTTCAGTATGAAGCGGGAGTTATTTTGATTTTTTTTTTCGTTCAGGCAAACCCATCACTTTTTCACGTTCTTAGTGGGTGTAAAGAATTTAGGGGGATCACATTTTTTTTAGGGGTGAAAGGAAGAGGGATCAATCGTCGCTAACAGGGTATTTTTGGGGTGCTATAGAAATTGAATCCCCCCTCCCCCAACCCAGAATAGAGACTAATAGCTTAGTATCCTTCAACTTTAGTTTGTTCCAAGTCTCTGAGCAAGATGGCAACCTATTCATCACTGGGGCTCGTAACTACGCACAGAGGAAGGCTTGGCCCAGACAAAAAACCATATTGTGCTTCAGAATATTTCATGGCGTATCTCCAAGTTGATCTGATTCTGATCCATACTGTGACGTACATAGTCACACAAGGAAGTTTAAAGAAATATAGCTGGGTGACGTCATATTACTTGGAGTACAGCGGAGACGGTCGGCAATGGAATGAATACAAAGAGGCTGATGGGAGTCGGAGAGTGAGAGAGATAGACTGGATCAATATCAGTATCTGGGCAACTGCCCACCTACCCCTCCCCTAACCCAACATTAACCCTTACTTGTTATCAATAGACTATTGTTGGGTTAGGGAAGGGGTAGGTGGGCAGTTGCCCAGATACTGATATTGATCTGATATACTTTTTATTTTATTACGTTCACTGAATGAAATTTTCCCTCGAGACAGAAGTTAGCTCTCCTTAAAAGGGGATGTTTAAGCTCAATCGCACAAGAGCCTACTTTGTACGTTTTAGCTTCTGTAAATTTGGCGGATTCTCCTTGATTGGTGAAAATACGTTACCACGGAAAAAAAATCAAGAAAATGGAATTACTTTCCTCCAGGATAATACCAGCCAAGCGAAAAGACAGAGTTTGGTTCGTCACGATCAAACCCTCTGACTGATAACTTTGTGTATTCTCTTCCCTGTTTGTTAGATAATATCCTGACACTGTTAGGAGAAATTACATATCCATCACATCTGGGAGTAAATTTGTTTAAGCGTCCACTTTTGGCTCTCTTATTTCCTTCTCTCCTCAGGTATTTTTAGGAAACAGTGATGTTAATTCCATTGTGCGCCGTCGACTTCTGTATCCAATTGAAACCCGTTTCTTGCGCATAAGAATGTTGAGTGCTCACAGTAAGCAAAGTGATAAGAAAGGTTGTTTGAAAATGGATGTGTATGGCTGTCCCAGAGGTAAGAATTCCTACACAGTTTGCGATGCAAAATCGCAGCCATTGATGAGGCAGCTATTTCCAACAACTTGTTAAAAAAAAAATGGAAATGTTTTTTTCACAGAGGCTACGGATATGAACAAGAAGAAACCCATATTCGGGTTAATTGGGCCAACAGAGCTCACTGCTTTTAACGGGACAGAAATCATCATAACAGGTAGGCAGAGGGTGAGATCTGTTACGTTAGTTTGAAGCTTGAAGAAACGGCAAGCAGAGATATCTATGGCCAACTGAATATCATAAGCTGCTTCTTCTGACTGGACAAGAACACCTCTCTCAGCTTTCAGTCTTTTTCAGTCTTCTACTTTACCCGCAGAAACTAGAGCTCGCTTTATTTTAACGGGACAGAAGTTACCATAATTGCCAGAAATCATTGGCTAAACGCGTGGAACGGGAAGCGCTGAGCATCACGCATGCTTATGACCCTACGCTACTCGCGCGCCCCGATTATGATGATAAATCTGCTAAGTAAGGAAAGGTGATTTTTCAGGCCAACACTATAGCGTTGATACTAAGGCACAATCGGCGTCCAGCTTTTTATCCTTGGGCCTCTGACTGTCAGACTACAATGCTTCTTTCTTGATGCTTTGACGTCTGTCAAACTCATTCCTTGTTATCTTTTAATTCCAGGGTATTACCAATACTGCTGGGAAAAGATCAAGAAAGTCGCTTTATCGCGCCAGCCTATTGTGATGCTATTTGGAGAATGTAAATGCTTGGATTCTATTGTGATGCCCAATTGTGTAAACGTCACTCAATTTGAAACTCGTTTCTTGGCTCCGGAGGCTCCAGGAACTTATACGATTATGGTGAGCTATATTTTTTCCTAGTTAATAAATGTTAAATTTGCCAATGTTTTGATAAATTGATGAAAGAAACAAATTTATGTTTTAAAAATTAAACTTGCTCTTGACTGATGCCCTTATTGCTTATTAATCTCGTACCCAGATCCTACCGTGTCACTGAAGTGTTTCAACCGCTTGGCCGTGGAAGGTCTGGGTACGAGACTAATTGCTCACATCAGTTGTAGGTCATGGCTTAGTCGCAGGGAGGGAATGCTGAATACTAAATGACATGGTCTAAAAATTTCCTCGACGTCTGTGTCCGAGTTTCTTTATTCTATGTGGGGAAGTAAAAATCTAAAGGATGCTGCAAATCCAACAGGAGATAAAGAAAGATTAAAACAGAAATAGATCAGTTGTCGGCGTCACTATTGACGGAGTCTTAGCTCAAATTACAAAAAGATCGAGGGATTATTTTTTGTCTTGTCAAGGTTGTTTATCATTCTCATTCCATTTTCAATTCTTTTTTTTATATCTCAGATGGGAGAAAACGAGAGGAGTAATACAAGATGTAACGTATCTAAGATAAAAGACGTGGTTAATGTAGGCACTGTTGAAGTGAAACAACAAGGTATTACACTTACTTTAGAAGTTAATTTGTGTATTTATATACTCTTTTTGCTCTAATGTAAGTCCTCCTTTCTTTTTTTTTTTTTTTTTCCATCATTCATACGTACAGTCGGGCTCAATGAGAGGCCAACTTATAACTTTTCATTGTGTTGAAAAACATCTTAACAGGTTTCCCAGTCCGCTTTGCGTTTTTCACGTAGCCTGCAGTGCAGGCGTTTTATTAGAGCTAGCAAACGCTACAAGCTCGCGATCTTTTGTGCGACCAGCCATGTTTGGTTTAGAGTCAGAGTGGACGATGGAGGGGAGAGGGGCAAGGCCCCACTCCTCCCGTCACCTTACTTCTGATCATCGTTCACTACCTTGGTACCAATTTCTTCCTCTCCTCAGCAGTCCGCTGCCGTAAAATCAAAGTTGGCAGCTCTAATTTCACTAAAGGAATACTTAACACTCGCTCGCCAAAATACGTCTGTTCTGCAAACTACTTTTCTCGCGACCCCGCTACTCGTGGATATTTTATCGTTCATCGAGCAAGAAACGACGGAAAAATAATTTTCAAGTTCTTAACCGTAGAGGATGAAAGGTGGTTTATTCACAAAAAAAATTACCCTGTGGTTGCAGTGTATTCGCCTGATATTCTTGTTAGGGCAATTTTCAAAGTTTCTGCTTTTATTACTCTCGGCTTCTTTTTGCTTTTAAAACAAATGGAACGAACAAAACATGCCTATCGTTCCAAAACCTGTCTTAGTTACAGCGGTCTTCACCTGAGTATCAAAGGTGATCCTTGATTGCATTGATTTGCCATAATTCGCTCTGTGATTGGCCCATAAACTCACGCTACTCTCTCAACCAATCAGATGCGAAACTAAAACCAATTCCAACATGGTCACTTGCGTTTTCCCGCGCTTAAAGCAGTTTGAGTTCTCATTGGTTAATAATACGTCGTCGTATGATATTCAGTTAAAATATTCTTTGAAGAACTTGTACTAGATAATGAATGTAGACGTGTTTCTTCTATTTCTTTTTTCTAAAGTGAAATTTCCAAAGAACTGTCTGGAAGTGCAAAAGTGGAAAGGATCTCATATTTTAGGAATTTTCAAAATAAATCCTGTCGGGAAGGACGCCTTTGACGTATACTGTGATGGAGAGTGGGCAGTTATTCAGAGGCGAATGGACGGATCTATAAATTTCAATCGTGATTGGGTAGCATACAAAGACGGGTTTGGTAATCTCTCTGGAGAATTTTGGCTCGGGAACGAACACCTTCATCTTCTTACCAAAACTCCTTCAATCCTTCATGTGGAGATGGAGAGCTTCTCGGGGAAAAAAGCGTATGCCTTGTACAACTTATTCCAGATCGGTTCATCGGCGGAAAAGTATCGGCTTAAAGTTGATAATTACTTAGGTACAGCCGGCGATGCTCTGCAGTCCTTAAACGGGGCAGTCTTTTCTACAATTTACACCGGTTTCGATACCAAACTACTGCAAAGTTGCGCGAACGTTTTAACCTCAGCCTGGTGGTATCAAAAATGCGATACACTTGAAAAGACCTCCGTGGATTTGAATGGCGTCTATCCGGCGCGTATATTGTGGTATGAATGGTCGCAAAGTAATACTATCAAATCTGTGACCATGAAAATAAAACCTAAGCAAGGTATGTAATTTTGTTTTAAACAAATTAACAAATAAATTGCATGTTACCGTGGGTCTGTTCAGTAATAGAACACAGTGGTAACAAAAAAGTGGCACACGAGGCACAGCTAAGAGTGTCACTGTTCTGTATTCGAAGATTTTCATGATACAATATTAATATTAGCAACTTCACAGGAGACAGGTTAACCCATTGAGAAGGTTAAATTTTCTTCCTTTTAAAAGATTTAAATGCTTATCAAGCACTTCTTATGACCCGCCTCTACATTTTCAGATGTTATGTGCAGCGAAGAATCATGTTATGCATTGTCTCAAGTATCCAAGAAATGGCACGACTTCGTTAGAAGCTGTCCGATGGGAACCACACCCGTTAAGATTACGAGCCAATACGAACAGGATGTTGTGGCGGGATTTTCTTCAAATCCATGGATAGGTAAGGCACAGTGCACTTATCTGTAAGTAGAATTCAGAATGATTATCAAACCTCAGTGATATCACTAGAGTCCGGGGCTTTTCAGGTCAGGCGGAGGGATCTGTCGTCAGTTATAGTTGCCAGAATATCACAAAGATAAGCTCACATGGCTGTTGTTTGAAGAGGACAAACTTAAATATTTGGTAAAACAGAAAAATATGCCAGGAGGAATTATAAAACAAGAGGACTCAAGGATGGCTAAGAATGGACAAAATTGAAACAGATTGTAAAAGATCAAATTGCGATATTTTTGCAAAATCTTTCACTGTAGACAAACCAGGAGTGATGTTGTTCGTTATTTTCTTTTGTTTTAGGCCTGTTTAGGCAAGGAAACAAGTTTTACTGGAGCGACGGAGGGAAGCAACAGAATATTTCTTCTTCGACTCAGGGAAAGGCCTTTCGAGTCTACATGACTGTTTCCAGCTGGGTGGTAATGAGACACGTTGGATGGCTATAAACTGCAGTTCCGAAGAATTCTTCATATGTGAAAAAGGTGAACTACACAAAAACAGATGTAATTTCTCTACAGGAATGTTCAAAAAAGCGAAGAGACGAAAAAGGTTTAAACGGGTTTGTAATGCTTTTAGCCAGCCACCATCGATTGACCTGTATCATATCCAATGGCTAACAGACTGACAGACCGATTAGATCGAGTTTTTACCCTTTACACCCTAACATCAGTATGCATATTCTCCATATTGTTCTCTAAACATTTCCTAAGATGCTGACATAGAGAATTTGTCTAACAATCCAGAGCTTCTTCGGTCGGTGATCAGTTCCTTTATTCTCCTCACCTTAATGTTTGATTCAGGGGTGATATGGTAAAGAGAAATTATATGCCAGTCACTCTTAGGGGTTATAAGGTTAATACCCTGCCTGAATGGAGAGTGATAGAATGGTGTTTTTAAGAACGGCCTGGCAAGTGAAGGAATGGATCACTGGAAAACAAATTCATTAACCCACTACTAATCTCAGATTGCCCTCAGATGGTGAAGCCTTTCATCCTTACAATTCCTACCATCGGCACGAATATTCTCCATACTGTTCTCTATACATTTACTATGGCACTGGCCAGGAGAATTTTGTTTCACGATCAATCTTTTTTCTTGTTGACCATTCCCTATGTTCTCATGACCATGTTTGATTCAGCGGTAATACCTTAAGGAGAAATACGGGGGTAATCACTCTTAGGTTAGGTGAAGGTTATGGGATGGCCCGTCATTTCTCACGGTGAACAGGCCATACTCCCTGAGAGGGTTTTTCAGTGGAAACGAACAGCAGTTGTGAATCACGAGTCGAAGGCGAGAATTTGTAAAAGACCATCTTGTCTTTATTTACGTGCAATTGCTATCTTGAAATGTGAAATTTTTTAGTTTGCTATATCTTTTGTTCTGATACTTCATCGAAAGATCTGTTGCGGAACTATACTCAATTTACCAATCAAACCGTATATCGCTCTACAGAGAACTCACTGACACTACTGGAGCTTAATATTGGTGAATCAAGTTCCCTTGCCAGTGTTTCATTGGTTTACGACCAAAGTGAATATTCCATAAGACTGAAATGGAAAAGCAACAAGACACGTTACCTACGCCTCAACAGAACATCATCGTTCAATCAATGGACCCGGTTAGCATTTTCAATCAATCAAACGAGAGGTGTGCTGACATACAGCGAAAACGGAGTTATCGTCGCGGAGATGTCAATTGAGAGAGAGCCTGGGGGTATCTCATGGAGAAGTGTGGCAATAGGACGGTCGCACAGCTTAGCGAAGACTCGATTCTTAAAGTCCTTTGCCATAAGGAAGCTTACGATTGAGAGATTTGATGATGACGCACTTCTATTTTACAGTGTTCACGAGAACACAGAGAATGGTAATAAACATGTCTCATTAGACGTTTTGTTGTGAAGTATCGCTGAGTATTTTAACGAGTTGAGCCGTATTTTGACGAGCCCTGAGGGCGAGTCAAAACACAAACCTCTCTGGGTACATTCTATTTAGTTTAGCCTGCAAGAAGCAGAGAAGATGACTGAAAATACAATACGATGTCTTATTTCGCTCTTCATTCATCTGTGATGCGACCTTGTGGTGAAAAAAAAATGAAAATCTGAAAGAAAGACAGAAAGTTTTTATTCTCTTTGTCTTGTTTCTTGAATTTCGCAGAGTCTAGAGCAATATTTAGTATTGATGAATGTAAATACGAGAAACTTAACATCGTGGATCTTCGACACAGCAGTAAAGGATGCCAAATTGACAGTTATCCCAGCGCGTGTAGTGACAAAATTGGTTCGAAACGTGAGTGAATACAGGTGTAGGAATACAGTAGTCTGCAATATGCCAATTAACGCTGAAGAATGAGACTCATCGTCTTATGTTCTTTAGGTAATTCAGTAAAGGTATCAATTCCAGGTGCGAATATTGGGGAGGGGTGCAGGAGATACTAACCCCCCCCCCCCGCCCCTCCCTGCCTTCTGAAATGACCTGCGCCTTTCTAATACGGTAACTTCACAGTTACCGTATTTCCTCGAATAAGCGCCTGGGGCTTATTTAAAATTTCAGCTGAAAGGAGGGGCACTTACTAGAAGGAGCTTAATCGAGGGGGAGGAGGGGGTGGGGCGCTTATTATTCACCTGCACCGATTCTGTGGCCGAACAAAAAAGTTATGAAAAAAGTGGTGATAGAAACAGTTTTTCCTTGCATCCCTACTATTTGAGAAATTGCATATTCGAAGGAGCGATTGTTTGAAATTATGACCGAGGGGGTGGGCGTCTATGCAGATGTTTCAAGTACATGCTGGTCGTTGCTGATGAAGACCGGGATTGGCTTGGCTCTTTCTTGTTGAAACCAAACTCTTTGGATACTCTGGCCTTGCCGTTGTCTCTTTCAAATTTATTTGTAAGCTCATCTCTTTTGATTGATCACGATCTTTCTTGAACTGTATAGGATTGATTGTGCGCATTTTTTACATAATTTATGCGTTTTTTTCTCTGTTTGCAGAAACATTGTCTTCATTCAGAGGAAGAACGTCCATGAGGATGGGAACATATAAGCACTATAGAAGTGCTTATATCAGTGATATGTACGGGTGCCTTCATCTTCGGTGCCAATCGCACCTTTCACACCTGCACGTGTTTGTCAAAGATTCCACCGACAATGAAAGGCTTATTTTCGTGGGGTATGTTGTGGATCATGAATGGATTTACTTCCAAGTAAGACTTGGAAGTTTTACAAGCGGTCCTTATCAGGTACATATAAACTTTGCTGTTTGATTTTCTACAATGCTTCAGAATAAGAAGATTCCAGTTGATTTTATATGAAGCTCCTAGAAAGCAAGAGTACTGGTAAAATGGAAAACAAGTCTACTACTGAAGCTAATTGGAGGAGAGAAGCATGATCCGCGCGAGGGCATGGGGCGAAAGCAAGCTGAAAGTAGCGATAAAGAACGGAAAAGAAATAAAAACGCCTGCTGAAAAGCCTCGACTTCGAGTGCTAGAGCCAGTTTTTTTCAATCGGCCCCCTCCAAGATTGTTCATAAAGAGAGCTTCGAGGGTGTTTCCAAAACATTTTAAACATCATAAATTACCTGCGTTAATTTATTCACAGTTAACATGAAAAGAAAATAATTAAACGATACGCCTCTACCGTTCACATTTCATTATAGATACGAATATTCGTTAAAATGATTGGTTTGTGGCTGGACTTTGAAAATTTGATGTTAACGACTGGCAACTGTCAATCACAAGCGCCATTACAGGGTATGTAATGTTTCATCACTAAGGTCAGTAGAATACAATTTTCATGAAATACCATAATTCAACACATGCCTCGGTCCCAGCGCCCCAACCGAGTGGTTACGGCGCCGGTCTTGTAATCTGGTGGTCCCGGCTACGCACTGGACTTATTCCCAATTGCCCCGAATTTAACTCCTTGGCTGCGTTTTTACTTAGCTAACAGGTCTGTTTCCTGCCAGTTGGGATTTTCAAAAACTATGTTTATTCATTCACTCATTTATTCATTTATTTATTTGTTCGTGTAGACCCTGAAAACCCCGATTAAGGAGTGGGCGGACAAACATGCATACATACATACACGAGGGTCTCAGTGAGTTTAGCCGTTAGCTATAAAACGGACAAAAAATTTAGCTGTTAGGCGTAAAAATTGAGAAATTTTGACCGACAGTCGTAAAAAAATTGACCATCAAAAATTTCTGGTGACAACAGTTGAATGATTTACGGGATAACTGTTAGCCGTAAAATGGCCAAAATTTTAACCGTTAGCTGCAAAAGCCATCACCCCATTGAGATCCTTATGCACACATGCATAAATACTTACTTACCAGGATGATGTTTTCAATTGTCACAAGCATCCTTGATCCACTGAATTATTTGATCGAATTTCCAAGGTGGGTCATTGATGTATCACGTCCAATGATGTGGTTATCAAAATTCTTTCCGGCATGGTAAAGCTCAGAGACAAAGTAGCAAGTAATGTGAGGAAACTCCACAGTAGCGTGGAAATCAGGCGTTCAGCTAGTAATACTGAGAGATGTAGTAAATGGCGCAATAGTAGCGGCAGAGCCAAAACGCAGAAGGTCTAGGTCGGGTCGTTGTTCATTACGCTACCCAACCCAAACCTCTCTCACCTTTTCACTCCTCCGCTACTATTGCGCAGGTCACTACTGTGCTTCGTTTTACCAACGGAACGCCCGGAACATGCTAGTGGAAATGTCTTTCCATCACCAAAATCAAAATAAATTTTTCCCCGTGTGTTTCTTAATGCTGTAGGATTTGAAAACTCATTTGTACACGCATTTCCAAGGGCTGCAGACTACATGTACGAATTTTCTCTAAAGCACTGGCACAGGTGGGCACCTTGTTACAATGCATCAGCTGACGGCTGGGAACCAGATGTGTTTCACGCAAAGTGCGATCATAAACCTCTCACAGTTGTCTTAGCAAGAGCTAACTCATGGTGGATATTCGGCGGCATCAGCTCAAGTCCATGGAATGCTTGTGAGAATAATTAGCTTTTGGTGAAATTTTATCTTGGGCTGTGTGGATTTCCACAGGGCGCTATGTGCTAGGAGTTCCCTTTGTTGTTTAGATCTCCTGTGAATAGTATAGATATATTTCGATAACCTCGCTACCCTCCTCAAAACGTTTCGTACATTCTCGAACAAACGAATTTCAAATACAGTGTACTTTGGATTTCCGCAAAGAGGAAAAATTGAAAAGCGCAAGTTACACAAAGCTTCGTCAGAGAGCATCCTTTAAAAAAAGGTAATCCAGGATTGCATTAGCTTAACTTTACTCCGTTCGGTGATTGGTCCACAAAACGTGCGCTACTCTCTCAACTAATCAGGCAAAACTAAATCAATCACGACTCTCGCGTTTCTCGCGTTCTAGGCAGTTTGGCAGTTTTTACTTTGAGTTCTAATTAGCTCTTAGGGGTATTTTCCTTTCATCTGAGTGCTTATTGTGGTTTTACAATACTCAAGCGAAAAGCGCTGTAATAAAAACCTTAAAAAGGCTAATTGTATATATATATATCATTTCAGTTTCCAACATGTCGACGATGAGTACTGGTTCGGTGCTGTTTACCCTGAGGAATTCCCACGGTTCTGACTCTCCTTACAGAATTTCTTCCCCAATGAAGGCCATTATCTACAATAATATGAATTACGGACCGACTTTCGATGTCGATCTTTTGCTCATTGGAAAGAATGGTACAAGCTCTCTCGGGAAAACTTACGAAGCACCAAGATACGAACGGGACATGACACCCAAGAACACGTATTTGGCGGGAAGTTCTGAGTTTGTTTTGTCCGAACTTGAAGTTTACTATTCTGGTATGTGTTCTTCATTTCTTCCTTAATTTGAATTATGATTATTGGATTAATCATAAAAATGACAATTTCCTCAATTGTGATTGGTTTAAAAAACTCCTATTTTCCGCTAATTTGCTTGCCAAGTTATCGGAAAGTTTGTTATTGGACAATTCAATAAGCCAATCACATTCACAGTTGTAGTTTAAATCAACCAATCACATTCAAAGTTGTAGTTGAAATCAACCAACCAAAACCTTCGTTCAAATCATCGTGAAAACAATGTAAAGATCTATTTTGCCACGTTTTTAATGCAAATTTCCCCTTTCTTTCATAACTTAGCCATTCTTCTTTTCTCGGAAATTGTAATTTTTATAATTAATTGGTAATTAGACTTCGCGTTGTCCAATTCGGTCTGCAATCATACTTGTGAAAAAAAAAAATAGGACTCCCGCGGATTTTGTTGTCACTCGTACGATTAGAGACCGAATTGGACTCCACTCAGTCCTACTATCATTACTGGTCAAAACTATAACAAAATCTCGCACGTGATTGGTTATCATCCGCCCGTCAAGATTGAAATTGGATAGGGCGCGTCATGTGTGCGCCCTGTTGCCGCGCATTTCGCCGAATTAACTGTTGTTTTTCATGAAAACGTATAATTGATGGCTAGTTTATTCATCAAATTTTGTCACAGTTTTGATCAATTGCTTACAGGACCTCGTGTTTTCCAATTCTATTCATGCTCTTAATTTAACAAATCGGACTCCCAATTTGCGGTCATCCGATTTTTTCATTCGCTTGTGTGATTACAGACTGACTTGGACGACAAGAAGTCCTGTTACTATTTCTTATGATAGAATCATTTTGAAACAATGTGTATGACTACCAAAAGAATCGAGTTTCAAAATTTGGCTTTAAATGTTTCATGAAGATAGTGGCTTAGATGTGGGATGTGATGAACTCATGTCAATTTGGCCTGGAACGAGTCAGCATGAGCGTGTGAGGATGAAATACAACGTTTTTAATGACCTGGTTTAATTGCAGAGAGCCATATTTTCTCAAAAGTGGAGACATGTTTCGCTGGAAATGTTTTATTGGCTGAGGGGGATCAAATAACTTGTCATTTTGGAGGCTCAAAGTACGTAAAGCAAGTCTACCTGGAAACTAACTGTGATACTGGAAAGAAGGCATCATTTCAGATTTCTTTCAACGATCGTGCCAAGTCGGTAGTGTAGGTTGAAATCTTTCTCGTTATCATTTCGCTTGTATCCATCAAAGTTTATCCCTGCTGCAGATTGACACCAATTATCTTATTTCCTCGAACAAGCGCCCGAGCACTTATTTAAAGTTTCAGCGAAAAGTAGAGGCGCTTATCGGAAAGAGGAGACTTAACCAAGGGGGAAGCTTATTAATTTCCTGTACTGATTTCTCCCAAGTTGAAGCTAAAAAGTTATAAACAAAGTGGCGATAGAGACAAGTTTCCCTTATATCCCTACTATTTAAAAAAGTGAGGGAGCAGGGGGGGCACTTATTCAAGGGTACTTGTTTGACATTATGGCTGAGAGGGTTGGCGCTTAATCGAGAGAAGGCTTATTAGGGCGTGGGCGCTTATTCGAGGAAATACGGTAATCTCTTTTTGTGGCACAACTCCATTGACGACCTGGAACAAGTACAGCCATTCTATTGTGGAGGCCTATCCCACTGTCTACGACATCATGTACAGTAGAGGATGCAGAGGTGAGGGTCCCGAGACCCACACCTCCCCTCAATAGACCTGTGGGTATTTTTAATCCATACCTGATACCAAACTTCTACCAAAATTGTATGTTTACCGAATCAAAGTTTAGAACCCTCCTCCCCAGCCTCTCCCCTCATCCATCCTCCTTAACCCCTCCTCCATCCTCCCCCCCCTCCTCCGTCCCCCCCCTCCATCAAAAGTTCCTAACTCCGCCCCTTGTCAATTTTTTTTTAAAAGATGAATTAAGGATTTTCCACCCTTCTGGAATGAGTATGACCGAGAGGAGTTTTCTTTGTAAATCTTGTCCGATCACTAGATATGTCCGAGATGCGGCATGTGGGATAGTGTTTGAAAGACACAACAACAAAGGATTAGCTAATGGAGCCACGGAAATGACTTTAACACCGCTCATGTACCACAGTGATAAAAATGAAACTTCTGTTCAAGCAATGGGATGGATCGGGGAAAGAGGTAGAGTTTAGCTCTAGGTTCTTCGTTTTAATCCTATCGTACTTTTCGTTCTGTCCTGGTTTTTTTATTCTTTTCCTAATTTTTGTTCTGTAGCTTCTCTTTATTGCGCTTGGTCTCCCTGTAAATTTTCTGTTGGTTTTTGTCGTTGTATTTGTTCTTGTTAGGGAGTTTGGGACGTCACTGCGGCGAAGCCTAAGAAAACCTTGACGAAAAAACGAGCTTTCTTTTCTTTTAAGAATTTCGCCAGCTCCTCAGTAAATTTACGCTTTCTGATGATGCGACGTCATCCCTTCGGCACAACATGTGAATCATTGTAGTTTTGAACTCAAATTAAAAACAAAAAAAATCTAAATTTTAAAAATTAAATTCTGTCGAGGTTTCCTTTCAGCGAGGGGACTTCAAAGTTGATGACTTCAGGTTGTTGTTGTACATGAGAAGACTGAAAAATAGCCAAGTTCTAAAACGCTCGAGCCGCGCTATTGTTTTGCGCAGTAAATTTTTTGTCTCGCCTCGTTCTTCTTTCAGTCCTTGTTGTTGTTGCACCGTCTTTGATGTTTTTTATTTTGTCGTGTTTGTCTCTGTTTTTCTTCTTCTTCTCCGTCCTTTCCCCAAAGATGACGAATTTCAGCCAGTTTACGATCAGTACGGTTTATTTTGGGTTGGGTTTTTTATATTAATAGGGAGTTTTAGAAAACCACGACGGCAACGGCAACGGGAACATCACTAAACAAAAGGCTTAATGAGCAGAACAATAGCTGTGCACGTGCGTTATAAATCTTTGTAAATTTTTTTGCGTCCTCTGCAAAACAACAACATGGATGTCCAGATGTTGTCGGGAGAACGTGAACGACGACGGCTAATTTTGTAAATTTTTGTTTCTAATTTAAAGTTGTGTTACATGTTCAGTTTCGAGATAGTTTAATCAGTGAGAAACAAGCTAAATGACTTTAGAATATCGCCAAACTCGTTGGTAAAATATAAGTTCAATTTTTAACAGAAGTTGTCCACAGCGTCGCCGTCGTCGTTTCTTAAACTCGAACATCTGTTGTGAATCCATTCGTCTTTTCAAACAACAGATTGTGCTAAGATGACCTCTCTTTTTTTCTCAATACCAGACATTATGGAACCTTTATTTCAGTCCTTGAGCTTATACTGGTCAATGGAAAATGTGACGCAAACAGCCAATCTTACAAGAAACGGAACCAACCGCACTGAACTCATTGACTCCAATGCTAATGTTGTGTCACAACCTGTCAAGTCTTCTGAAGGAAAGTTGCACTTTGGGATTATTAATGAATCTTGTATTATAAACTTAAGACATACGACGTGCCCTGAGGGTATTACGATGTCTTTTTGGCTGAGATTATTTAAGACCAGACCAACAGAACCTGTGAAGATTTTGGGATTCGGCCAGCCGCATGAAAATAAAAATGGTTTTCTGGTAATGGAAAGAGAAGATGACCTTGTCATTCGAATGATCACTTACAAATACCGTTGCGAAATAGAACTAGATGTGGTCGATGGTGCTTGGACACATATAACTTTCTCGTTTCGTATTCCTCGTCTCCTGAAGGGTTACCGCAATGGTGAACAAAATGTAAGCAATAATGTATGCGTTGTCGTGCCCAATGCTATCGAGTTTGATCAGCCATTAACAAGCGGAGCAGCCAAGGCTACTTTTGACGAAGTAATGATCTGGTTTCACCAGCTCCAGAGAGATGAAATCTTTGGCTTGGTTGAAAACAATATAGGTACGAACGACTGTTAAGTAACTTGTTACTTCCAGTTTTTACAGTGAATAGATACACCTAAAACCGGTTGAATAAGTTTATACGATCACACGCACAATATTTCCAAGACCCCGTGCCTTACTTAACAAGACAATTTGGTTTTATTGACTGAGCTGATAATGTAAATTGATTACCGTAAAGCTGAAGTTTCCAGCGTTAGCCCTCAGGCAGGGCTTTGACGATGGGGCAACCCTATAAACGTCAGTTTTAGAAACCCTTTACGTTGATCAAGTTACATTTCCAACTCAATTAACAAAACCAAATTTATCTTGTTTTCCCCTCCCTTCCCCCCCCCCAACCAACGCAGCACTACAGTTTCTTTACAAACTTACCCCCCAAACTCAGTTGCGTTCTCAGTGGCAAATTGAAGTCTAGGTGTTATAACTGACTAACGTATGTCTTAACACGACCTGCAGAACTTATTCTTTAAGAGCAAGGCATCTTAAATTTCAGAGACCAGAGCCATCAATTTGAGGAACCAACTGAAAGCCGCCTTGGCGAGTTGGGTTCATGGTCGTTAAAGAAGCTGTTCTATTTGAAAATATTTCTCTCACTAGAATCATCTTTTTTTATTATAATATTATTTTAATTTTATGATTATTTCTATCAAGGAAAGCCATCTCGGTTTTGGATAAATGTGGAATTCAAGTTTCCAGGCAAGAATTGGAGCGAGTTCATTAAGTCAAAGGATGCAGAGAATCGAGACATCGAGAAACAGGTGTGATTTTCAAGGACTACGGGAGCAAATAGCTTCGCGTTTAGCGTTTCCAATTAGTTTATTCTTTTATTTTTTCTTCTTCAGGTCAGAAAAATGTTTGAAAATGATCCGAAATACGGCTTTTCCTCCATTTATTCCGCAAGGTACCGTACGTAAAGTTTTTTTTTTCAGATATATTCGGCGTGAATAGAAAATGAAATAGTATTGATAACACTTCAATGCCATTGTTGTTTTTCAACAAACCTAAAGTGAAAATATCACAGTTTTGTGCTTGCTCGGCTAAACTGTCATTTTACGTGTTTTGAAGGACCAGCCATACCATTCTCTTAAGTTTACACGTAACGTCATGATGTTGAATACCTAAAAAAACATCATAAAGGCTGGGTTATCATTAGTTCCCCTTTAAAGAATTCTGGATGGAAGATGATGATAGCATTGATGTCTATGCTCTTAGCTGCGAGTGATGCACATTTCGAATCCTGGGGAATATTTAAAAAGTTTCGTTTTTTACAGGTCCGGAAGTGTCATTGTAAATGTCAACATGTCGTTCTACTCTGTTGGAACTGACAACGTCATTAACCTTATTGAAGCCTTATCTCCAAACTCCTCAATATTTCGAGAAGATTTCGAAGTGACTTCTGTTGAATCGCTACACAGTAAGATTACTGTCATTTGCTACATTTATCAGATTCGTTCTTAATTAAGAGAGTATTTTAAGGGAGCCGTCATTATTTATCGTTGGGGGTGGAAGGATTTTGAATAGGGTCACATGGTTTTCAGGTGGAACGGAAAGGGGATCAGTGTTCACTAACAGAATATATAGGAGGGATCATAGGAAATTAACTTCCCATAGGGGATAATTAAAATAGTACAGAGCCTTATGAGGGGGGGGGGGTGTTATGATACGATCAAAATCCTCCGATTCCCCTCCTCCTCCTCCCCCCCTCCCCCCGACAGGTGATAATATTCCCCGATCGCTAAACTTACTGAAGATCCCAGACCCAAGCTCACCCGAAAAAATAAATAAATTTTCAAATCTTTTTTCTTCATAGTACCAACTAGGGCTCCCACAAACGTAACTGCTACTTCTTGTGAATCGGATTCTCTTTGTCTCCTGGTTTCGTGGACAAGTTTGCCAGAGTCTTATGTGGACAGTTTGAATGGAATTTTCCAGGGATACGCGATACTGTATTGTGAAGAAGGCGAACCATTTGCTGAACAGTACGTACCGCCTCAGAATAAAGAAAGATACGAAGCTGAGATAAAGAACCTCAAGGGGGTCACTAAATATATTATTCGAGTATCGGTGGTTACCTTGTCTTGTGCGGGCCTTCCAAGTTCCCCTATCACTGCCTTTAGTGGGGAGAGCGGTAAGTAATGAAATGGCTCATTTCTCTATATGAAGATAGGCTCATAGCGAGGGTGTTGTAACTTTCATTAACGTTTTTTAATATTTTTGCCACGCGTTTCTATTGTTGCATTTGAAAAATTCGTATCAGAAGTTGACGCGGGTGAAAATAAAGAGGTTAAATTTTGGTTTTGAAGTTTTGGTTTGTGTGCGTGTTTGTTATTTTTACGGATGAGGCGTACTTTAATAGAACATTTCAGCTGGAAAGAATCAGCTGAACAGGGGGTGAGGGGGGGGGGGGTGCAGGGAGTGTGCATCCCCCTACCTCACTGATCACGAAAACGGTTTTCCAATATGACAAGCATTCTGCGTCATTCCTCAGCGGTGCACCCCTCCTGAGAAAAACCCTTGTTAGTGTACCTGAGCAACTGCGCACTTACTCCTCCCCTAAACCAACAATAGTCAACTGACAACAAGTTAGGGTAATTTTGGGTTAGGAGAGAGGGGTTGGTGCGTCATTACTCAGATATTCAAATTGCCCTTCTTTTTTAAGCATTATGATTCGTTGACAAACAATCAAAGAGGGAAACAAACTAAAACCTTTGATTTTTAGCTCCCAGTGCTCCTCCATCCAACCTCAGAGTGACAGACCTAAACTCCACCTACTGCGAAGTCACATGGGACCCAATCCCTTCGGAGCATATTAATGCAGCCACGCTTCTTGGTTATGAGGTATTCTGGGAAAAGAGCATTAACTCTACAATCAATGTGACCAGGACAGCCCAAACAACAGTTTGGTTGACAGATTTGGAAGAAGACACCGAGTACAATGTCACCATCAGCGCTTTTAATCGAATTGGCAGTGGACCAAACAGCTCGTTGTTTACTTTCAGGACAGACAAAGGTCCCAGAGCTCCTAGTGCTCCTCCAACCAACCTCAGAGTCACCAACTTAAGTTCCACTTACTCCGAAATAACATGGGACCCAATCCCTTCGCAGCATATAAACGCGGCCACATTACTTGGTTACGAGGTATTCTGGGTAAAAGTCCTTAACTCTACAGTCAATGTGACCAGGACGGCACAAACAACAGTTTGGTTGACAGATTTGGAAGAAGACACCGAGTACAATGTCACTATCAGTGCTTTTAATCGAATGGGCAGTGGACCAAATAGCTCATTTTATACTTTCAGGACAGACAAAGGTCCCAGAGCTCCTAGTGCTCCTCCAACGAACCTCAGAGTCACCATCCTGGGTTCTACTTTCTCTGAAGTCACATGGGACCCAGTCCCTTCGCAGCACATCAACGCGGCCACACTTTTTGGTTATGAGGTATTCTGGGTAAAAGTTCTTGACTCTACAGTCAATGTGACCAGGACAGCACAAACAACAGTTTGGTTGACAGATTTGGAGGAAGATACCGAGTACAATGTCACTATCAGTGCTTTTAATCAAATGGGCAGTGGACCAAACAGCTCGTTGTTTACTTTCAGGACAGACAAAGGTCCCAGAGCTCCTAGCGCCCCTCCAACCAACCTCAGAGTCACCAACCTGGGTTCTACTTACTCTGAAGTCACATGGGACCCAATCCCTTCGCAGCATATTAACGCAGCCACACTTCTTGGTTATGAGGTATTCTGGGAAAAAGTCTCTAACCCTATAGTCAATGTGACCAGGACAGCACAAACAACGGTTTGGTTGACAGATTTGGAGGAAGATACTGACTACAATGTTATCATCAATGCTTTTAATCAAATTGGCGGTGGACCAAACAGCTCATTGTTTACTTTCAGGACAGAAAAAGGTCAGTGACGGATTTCTAGCGCACAGCTATCTTTCCTACCGCCTGTAACTCAAAAATTACAGGACAAGCACAATCGTCTCCCTCACTTGCTCTCTTAGGGAGCTACCGAAAAAAATGTTTCAAATCTAAAATAAAAAAAAAAATACTGCTAATGTACTGTATTAAGGATTCTCTTATTATACAAAATTTGTTATCCCATAATGTCAGTAGTGTAAACACAGGCTGTACTGTAAATAATCGTCAGATTTAATCTTAACGTATGCAGTTTCATTACAGTTGTAAAGTACTTAGTATTTCAAAGTACCGTCAGTTGCGTAGGTAACACCGACATTGGGAGAAATACAGCTACGGTATACAGTTAATAAAAAAACACTGATAAAAGAAAACAGATATCATTTTGAGATAACTTAAAATTGAGCTGCTTTCTTTCAGCTGCAGTCAATGGCACTACTTTACTTGTTGCAAACTCAACCGTCAATGGAAGTAAGCGAATCACACATGCACCACTTAATCTGTAAGATAAAAGTTGCTGCATTATGCATTGTGTAACAACGTTAAGATAATTTAAACCTGAGCTGCTCTCTTTTTAGCTGCAGTCAACGGCACCACTTCACTTATGGCAAACTCAACCGTCAATGGAAGTAAGCGAATCACACATGCACCACTTATTCTGTATGATAAAAGTTGCCGCATTATGCATTGCAATAATTTAAACCTAAGCTTTTCTCCTTTTAGCTGCAGTCAACGGCACCTCTTCACTTGCTGTAAACTCAACTGTCAATGGAAGTAAGCGTATCTCACATACACCAATTAATCTGTAAGATAAAAGTTGCCGCATTATGCATTGTGTAACAATCTTGAGATAATTTAATTAAACCTAAGCTGCTCTCTTTTTAGCTGTAGTCAACGGCACAACTTCACTTACTGCAAACTCAACCGTCAATAAAAGTAAGCAAATCCCACACATGCACTATTGAACATGTACTCCGTCAGTATATAAAAAATTGCCGCATTATGTACTGTGTATCAATGAAGTCCAGCAAATACCAACAAGCCAAGAGTGCGAGAGATTGCCATTTTCAATGTATTTAAATGTAAGCTTTTCTTCTCTTAGCTGCAGACAACAGCACGATCTCTCATGCTGTGAACTCAACCATCAATGGTAGTAAGTAAATCCTCTTTACTTTCTCGGCAACTAATCCAAGCTGGTTTAAATATCGCCAGTAAACATGATGCAACCTTAAATTCTAACACTTAAAATATTATAGAAATTTTGGTTGAAAGTAAATTTTATGTTATAGGATATTAACGCTGTTTTGTCTTCTTTTAGCTTTTGCTAACAGCACCAGTGTTTTAAATTACTCTACTACAGGAAGCCCTATCATGAGGACCAATCAAAAGCGAGTAGAATTTTCCTCCTGAGTTATGCATTCAGGCGAGATGTCTTTCTTAATGCATCGTTCCAGATGTATTATGAATGATAGTTTGTCTCGATGTGTCTTGTGCCCGTCTTTATACTAGAGACGCCTAAATTACAAATGTTTTCCCACGCTATTTTTTAACCAGACGCTAGCGAAAGAAAAGAGCCTCCCCCACCCCTTGTGCAAGAAGATGCTAAACCTTATTTATATATTCCTTTAGCACTAATCAACAGCACCAATCACAGCAGTCTAAATAGCTCTCACGTACAAAACCATAACACAACGATAAACCAAGGTAAGTGCGGTTTTAACCCCATAGAGCGCTTTTCAATCGAGTGTCGTAAAACTCAAACCAAAATAATAACAACGGCCAATCAGGGGGAAGAAAATTACCGATAAGAGCCAATGAGAATTCAATGCAAAAACAGCCAAGCTGCCTTAAGCGCGGGAAAACGCGGCAACCAAGTCGTGATTGGTTTTCGTTTTGCATCTGATTGGTTGAGAGAGTAACACGAGTTTTCTGGACCAATCACAAGGCGAAGTAAGGCAAGACCAAAGCAACACCAAATAACTTTGGACAATGGGTTGAAACTTCCTCTTTTAGGGTTGTTTTACCCTCCAGACGGCCTGTATAGTCAAAGTGACTTGATGAATGAGACTAACAAACCATACGCTAAACAATAATGAACATTACCTGTTTGTTTCTTAGCTTCAGTTAACAGCACCATAGTCTTTAATAACTCTTCCGTAGGTGGATCGAATGTATCGAGTGGTCAAAGTAAGTGAAAATACATTAATTCCTGGGTTTAGGGATCGTAGATTTTCAGTGATCGACGCGAATTTCACATTGTGGAACCTGGAATTTCCCTAGATGTGCAATGCTATGTAGGTCATCTAGTATGCCCTGTCAAGACTGAACCAGAGCATATGGCCTCATGAACTGGTAATATAACTAAGGAAATAGGTCAAGAGCGCTTTTTTACCGGAAAAGACTAACACATTTACCGATTTGCAGATCTCTTTAATCTTAATTCATCTTCTTTTAATAGCAAACAAATAAACTTGTCAAAGTCCCTTACTTGACAGCAACTCTGTTGTCCTATGCATTTGTTCCACTGAACTTGATACAACATTTACAGAATGGAATAAAAATTTACATCACTGGAGACAAAATTTACCCGTGTTCATCAAAAGTAGTGAATGTACAACATACTAAATTGCTAAACCAAATCTCAACTTCTGAAAAATTAGGAAATTTTATGTTTTCTATTTCTAATTCTTTCAGGTGTGATAAATAACGATGTTGCAAACGCTACGTTGTCAAGTTCGACGACCAGCTCATCAACAGTAAAACAAGAAGGTGAGTGGAATCAATTGCCATCTTAAAAGATTAAAAGAAAGAGTGAAAAAAAAAACATGCTCCAACATGGAGGCAGGGCGTTTCCCACCACGCGCAGTAAAGAGGGTAAATCGTTGCCAACAATCTCTAAATAGATACTACTGGTGAGTGAATGGAATGAATTTCTTTTTCTCTAACGAAGCTAGAGCTGACACTCGAAACATCAGCTTTAAAAACTCCTTGCGGTGGTCAATTTACATCATCAACTCAGTTTATGAAACACAATTATCGGGTTACGACCCCCCTCCCCCCTCCCCCCCTCGATGCAGCACCACAATTTCCTAGCGGGTGAACGTTTATATTATTCTCGGAAGTCGACATGACCTTCGGGTTAAGTAATAGCGTTATTCGGTGCTTTGAAGAGTTGGTTTTGATTTATACATTTATAACCACTAACCACTCATTATCTACCACCTTGAGGGGGCGGGGGGCGGGAGAGTGGTCAAGGATTCATGTCGTGTCATAATAAAATTCGTCTACTCCCGCAAAGGCTCTATAGTAATCCAATGATCCTCCCCTCCCTCGTTGGCAGTCAATTTTCTATAGTCCCCCCTTTATACTCAGGTAGCGACGACGACTGACTCCCCTTCCATCCCCCCTGAAAATCATGTAATACTCCAAAATCCTCTGACCCCTCCCCCCTGGAGAGCAATAATGACTGGTTCTTAAGCTTAAAATTAGACACCAAAGCCGGAAGAAACAAGTCATGTTTTTCTGTATATCGTTAAGGTGGCTATGTAATATCCTCCACATGCCTCTCCTTTCTGCTCGCCGCGTATTTTTCCGTTTTTGCGCCGAACAAGGAACACCCGAACGGTTGCCTAAGGTTATCAGCGGTTGTCAGGAGCCCATTAATAGGCTCTTGCAGTTGTCTAAGGTTAACAGAATTATTTTCAACACCCCCATATGAGCTTACATTTTTTCTTTATTGGTCATGTCATATCTTCTCCCACTGCAGTTCCTAAGGATACACCTGAGAACGTAAACGCTAAAAATTACACAAGTATTAACTCACTTTTGGTCACGTGGGATTCAATACCCTCAGCTTCACGCAACGGAGTTATCCTTGGTTATAAAGTTTTTTACAGACCCGTGCTCGTGTCACGTGAGCAACCCACTGTTACCAGCTCATCTATGGTGACAGTCGGTGCATCAGACCAACAGGCTTTACTGACCAGATTAGACAGCTTCACTGTATACGAGATTGAGGTGCTGGGGTTCAATGTGGTTGGAGACGGGCCTAGAAGCACTCCCATATATGCAGGTAGGGGGAGATATACGTGATTCGCGCCTATTGCCGCCTCCCCACGCATTGCTGAAGCTTACAGCAGAAGCAGTATATCCGCAAAACAAACCCCACTCCCACAAAATACAGCAGTCAAACGTTTGCGCATGGGCGAAAGTTGTGATTATTAGGTGACGTGCTTTCGAGCTGTCAGATACAAGTTGTCTTACGGTGTTTACAACCACACGAGCCAGTAAGTTATTGTGTTTCAAAAGCCTTTAACCTTTATGATAAAGCTCAAAAGAAAGTGGTAAGTAAGCTGGATACCCGTACTTGAATAAGCCTTCTGTTCGAGTGGTCTCGAGTTTTCCCTTTTCCCCACTGCTGTTTCCTTTAAACGACGTTTCAATTTTCTTTCGCTTATTTTGCAAGGCAGCCGTTGTTTCTTATGTTTCCTTTGAAATGTTACGCTGAAAATTTGTGGAATTGATCCCCTCGCGCATTTCCGACGTTTGACCGCTGTGTACCTCCCATAATATTATTCTCGTGAGTGAGTAAAATGTTTCTGAACTTTCCTTTGCTTTTCATCGATATAGAAACATGCAGATGCCCCAGCTCGTTCAGCACAAACTGGTGGCACAATCCTCCTTATATGATTCGCGATTCCCAATCAGAAGCCATATTTCCATTCATAATAAAAAACATGGTGTCGACCTGCTGTCAGCCGTGTCAAACCCACGCTTCCACCATTGTATACTTCGTGGGAAACAACACGAATTATCGCAGCGAAAAAAGAGGGCATGATGAAGTCAGAGCATCTGTAGAAGAAAGCGATTTGAGTTTTCCTTTGTATGGATACAAAGGACAGGATCATTTCATGGGACAATTTGGCTTCATGGCAGTAGTGGAGTCTCCCTCAGTGGTTCTTATTGTACCCAAGGAGGATTCCAATTCTTCGTCTATGCGATTATTATCGTCCTTGTTTCAATGTTGGCCGGTCATGCTCATCAACCTGTGCATTGTTTTTCTTAGCGGGATCGTCATATGGTTTTTGGTTAGTCCCAACATGACAACATTGAGTTTTCGTTCCATCAGCATAGCAGTTTGACTCCTCCCTCTCAATTTCACTTTGAGGACCGGCCATTTTTTATTGCGTGGGGAGATGGGGTGGGGGGTTTGGAGGATTTTGGTTACGTTACGACCCCCCCCATTCTCTGACCCCCCTCCCACATTTCCTCTGACCTCCCTCCCCACAATCCTCCGATTCCCTCCCCTGCGATAAGTAATGAATGGTCCATTAGCTTTTCATATATTTTTTTTCATATTTTTTCTGTTACCCAAGCCCGTCAATGTTAATGCATTAACTTAGACCATTCGCTTTGAAGATCTGACTTTCTTGTTCTTTTCTATCCTTTCCATTCCATCCTTCCCTTTTCTTCTTACTCATATCTATTTTTCAGGACTCTTCGAAAAATCCCGAGGAATTTCCAAAATCCTTTTTAAAAGGAACTCCAGAAGGAATTTGGTGGACATTTGTTACTATGACAACCGTTGGGTGAGTAGAGCAGTGAGTAGAACAGGTCAGAATCGATATATTATATCCCACTATGACTTCAATTTTTTTCCAAGAAGGAGAAATTCCTATGGTAATCGCTATCTTAATGTTGTTTTACATATATACATAAAATTCGTGTTAAACGTTTCAAATAAAAGCTGCTAGATTGAATTTATTTCTTAAAAATTTTCCTCTCCAATACAGAGCCTCATTCGCTTTTGCATGTACGTACGCTACGCGGGCCTTCGTTTTTGCTTTGTTTTTCAGTTACGGTGACAAGACTCCCAGGTCACCACTCGGTCGTATCTTTGCTGTGGCTTCAACTCTGATTGGCCTGGTTACTACTGCTGTGCTAATAGGCTGTCTGACGTCTTCCCTGACGACAGACATCGTTTTCACAGATGTAAGACTGTTTGGAGCGAAGGTAATATGCGCTGCCTTTCATAATGTCATGACTGAGAAATCATCACTGAGGTACAATATAAAGTGAAACCTTTCTTCTCATTTCTTCTTATTCTTTCTTTAGATCGCAGCTGTACATAACTCATCTGAATTCCGTCTTGGGTTAAAGAAAAATGCAAAGATGAACCCAGGTAAAATTAACATATCTTTTTGTTTCTTTTGCGAGCGACATATGAGAAGACACAGGCAAAATCAGTTTCCAAAAGCAGTACGCTAGAGCAATTTTTAACTCAGAGCGTCCAACCGGAAGAAAAAAGAATACCCGTAAGAGCTAATGACAACTCAAACTAAACACAACCAGAAATGCGTAAAGCGTGGGAAAGCATGGGTAAACGCGGGTGACCAAGTCGTGTTTGGTTTTAGATTTGCATCTGATTGGTTTAAAAAGCGGCGAAAGTTTTTTGGACCAATCAAAAAGCGAAGTAAAGCAAAACCAAAGAAATTTCAGACAACTTTTGCCACTCAATTTAAAATTGCTCCAAGATAGTCATGACAATTCTTAATTTTTGTTTTCCTGATTAACGTGTCACATCGCTGTTTTTCATTTGAATTCAACAGATAGAGAATACAAAAATCTAGATGATCTGCACGAGGCTCTTCGATCTCGTGAAGTCGAGGGGGCCTTGGTCGATGCTTTAGTGGCTGGGAGCCGAGGCGATTTGTTCAATTCAAGTGAATTACGTATCTATAAAACTCTGCATCATTCATCAGTTTACGGAGTGGTTTTAGCTGGGCATGCCAAAAAGCTTCAAAAATGCTTCTCTAATTTTTTGAAGGAGAACTCTGCAGACGTTTCTGCACATGTTGCCTCAAAGACAAAGGTCATTAAGGTAGTTATGTTTCCACTGTATTTTTTTTTCAATTTCGCTCAAGTTATTTCAAGCTTTTAAGCAGAAGTTGTAACATATAAGGCGGTAAAACTCTGCAACACACCCACAAGTGTTACTGTTACGATCACAGTCAGGACGTTTTCGGGGACAAGATTTTGTAATATGGCCAAATACTTTCTATAGACGGAGTGTATGCCACGCGAAGGCTTTGAAGTTCCAATTATCTGTTGACTCGTCGTGTTGCAGTGACTTATCGTCTTCTGTGTCGTCTCAACCATTGAGACGACACCATTCTAGCCTGTTCCAGGCCTCAGTTAGTAAAACGAAGGGCGACAGTAAACAACTCGTTGGCAGCGGAGGAGTAAAAAAAAAGAGAGGTTTGGATCGGGTGGTGTAACGACCCAACCGAGACTTCCCTCGTTTTTGCTCTGACATCATTATCACGCCGTTTACTGCTTCGCCACATTTTACGAACTGAATCCCTGGAACAGGTTATGACCATTTAGATAACAGCTTCTCAAGTGAAATCGTTACCATGATATCCAGCACTGTTACAGTAACTAATAAGCTGTACGAAATGTTGCGTCTATGTTTAACTCCTTTTGTGGACTACATGACAAGTTATGATGTAAGAGATTGTTAAAAATTTTACTGCAATTTATAGATTTCAGCAGAAAGTGCGGCTGTGGAACAAGCAATGAATTTGTTTCATCCTAAAAACGTTTTATTCCAAGACTCTCTCTGGTGGAGTCTGAAAGTGTTAGCCTTCCTGACAGTATGCGGTCTGACCTGGGAGATAACTAGAGCTATGCGCATTTCACGACAACGTCGTGGTAAGAGTCTTCTCATTCCTAGCGTATCTGTATAATTTTACACTTTTTGTCCCAAATCTAGGTTTCCCGTAATAACTCTAGCCTCCAACCTTTTATTTTGCGGTCGTATTAATCCTGTAGTACCCTGCCAATTGACAGACACATTGCTCGCTTATGTGCTTGAACCAAGTGCATATTTCAAATGAACTTCTGCGCAAGGCTTCCAATCTAGTCACTAACTATCCCTGTTTATTTTATACGCATACACGGCACTGATCATACTCCTCACCCTCCTCCCCCAGGGGCAAACGCACCATCTAATATTAGGGGGGAAGAGGGCTCAGTTTCAATGCTACTGATACAAGCCTCTTTTCAATTAAATTACAGTCCATCATCAAAACGATGAGATGATTGGCTCACGCAAGAAACAGCGATTAGAATTAGAAACTACAGTAACTGAATTCTACAACAATGCAAGGGAAATTTTCAGACGATTATCGATCAAACACAGAGAGGAAAGAAAGCAGTTAGTGAACCAAACCAAGCAAACGGCGAGGAGGTACGATGGAAAGTACGCTTGGATTAAACCATGACTGGTGCATCGGAAGTGACGCAGGAGTCCAACGGGTGCGATACCATTGTGGGCTACGTATGCGCGTTGCCTGGTGACGATCTCCGCTGGTCACATCTATGATTGCTCCCGTTTGAAAATACTTCGATTAAGAGGCTAACGAACGTAATCAAACGCAGGAGGGAGAGTATCGCAAACCGAATACAACACATTTTCTGTATTTCTTTGTAATCAATAAAAATATGGATTTGTGTGGCTCAACTCAATGGTTAACTCTCAATGTAGAATTCTCAATCAATCGTCTCGCACTCCTGCAAGTCTCGAAGTTTACCATTCGCCACCCCATCTCCGTTTCCAAGGCTTTCCTCAATTCTTGACGAAAAAGCCCGAGAAATGGGATTGTTGCCAACCCTAATTTCGAAACGCATACAGGGAGAAAATTTGGTGACATGAAAGACTAAGGGAGGGGTCAGTGGTTTAAGTCCCATTACTCAGACTTCTCACGATCAATCACAGAAATTAGCTCCCAGAACAGGCGTCGGTTTTTTGTGTACATCCACGTGCTTGTCTCGAGCATGACTTGTCTTTCTTCATCTCCTGGTTCTTCTTGTCGGCTCACGTACACTAATTAATTGTCTTTCAAAACGAACTATAATTCCTGATAAAATTTTCTTGCTCCTGCTTCGAGTGACTTTCTTTTTTTTAACCTTGATTTACCTCTCCTTTTCTCCTGACTAGTCAGTTGATTTGCGATAGTGTTTTGGTGTCTTCTCTCCGTCTTTCTTGTACTCTAAAGTGGTTATCACGAGGAAACATGAACACTTTTCGCTCTTTGTGAATTTAATTATTTTGCTTGTGTTAGGGTTGGGCATGGTACTAGCGGGACAGGGGAAAAGGACTTTGTTGTTCCCCTAACGCTAGTGTTTTTATTTAGCTGGAGAGTACTGTGTTACAGAAGTCGCTCCCTTAATTTAACCATTCAATTTTACTTACACTTCTCCAATCACGCACAGCTTACTTGCCCAGTTCACCCACTGATCTTCCATCGGAGGAGAGGAAACCCATTCATCTTGGATTTCTTTTACCAACACCAAAACAGCCTCATAGGTTGCTAGTGAAACCATTGATTTATTTAAAATAATTCCTATTCCATTACGGGGAATGGTACTAGCGGAATAAAGGAAAGAAAGTCACGCGACCGTAACGCAACGTTTCGAACTTCAACTCAAGCAAACCTGATAACCAGCGGTTATTACCATTAGAGTTTGTGCAATCTGTTTGGTTACTATGGAAATGAAGCTAGTGCGGGAAAGTAGAGTCCAGAAGGCAAAACAAGGGAACATCGCATAAGAACATTTAATATTTTATGATACAAGGCGCAAGGTAGGTATGAATGATTTCTTAAGGTGGAAGGTAATAGTATTTGGTTTGTTTTCTTCCCTTGAATTGTGTTTTTGCTCGATGTTTTCGGAGGAAAAAGATCACTCAACTTGGGGGTCCTATATTGTCGAATGATCGTTTTTATTATATTATGATCCCATAATATTTGTATTGAAAAGTTGTAGATTTCTCATGTCACTTTAATGTCTGTGGGAGAAGAATTTAAAATGGGCAGCCGACTACCTGTTTCATCTGGTGAACGGTATCAAGGAAAGAAAATGTCCGCCCAAACTAGACTTAAACATGTGTCGCTTTGGTGAAATTTTCCTTCCGTGGCCTCTGATCTTGTGCGAGCTTAGCATCTTCCAAGGTCCAAGCTTGATACTCTTGTGATGTATGCGAACAGTCAACATCTAAAAAATCGGCAATGCGTTTAACATTTCCATTTCAAAACATTGTCGTCTTTGTTGATAATAAAGCTATTTAGTTTTTTTACCCGACATTTGACGTTTGAAAGGACAAAAAAGTAACGTGTGCATAAACCATTGCCGAGGTAAATTCCTGCGTTCGTCTCATTCAGATTTGTGTTCATGTAACAGTTATGGGTGCCACGATCTCCAGCCGCGTTGATGGCACTTCAGTCAGTGAATACGGCAAAGGAAAGTTGGAATTCACGCCTCAGAATGAAGCTTTGTTGAATGACATTGTGAGGCAGGTGGAGAGTCTTGTGAGTTCGTATCCTCGAGAGGCAGAGACGATTCTAAAAGAGCCTTTTAAATGGCACAGCACCCTAAAACCTGACAACTTTGGAGAGTTGAATTTTGGATCGATGGGATTTCAGATAACGTATGTTAATCTCATTTGATGTCAACTTTGGGATATGTAGTGACCAACTGTAAGAAAATGAACATTAAACGAGTAATTTCCTAAATTGTCTGACAGGTGATTACAGCGTTAATAATATACATGAAAAATTACATGACTCTGATTGGCTGAAAACAAGTGCTTTCTTGAATTCTTCTTGAACTTCTGCAATGTTTTTTCATGTACATTGTTAACAATTAATAACAAGTTTTCTCTCGCAATTTGGTGTCAAGTTTTGATGAAAGTATGTTTGCAGGAAAAGGTCAATTAATTGCAATTTGTCAATTTTTTCACATTACAGTGGCAGTGATGTAAAATCTGAGGCTAAAACTCCAAGTGGAGAGCATTTGCTGTCTATGGACAAGGTATTTAAATGATTGATATTTACATTGATAGATGGTTTTGTGTCAAAATCGCAGGGTTTGCATTGTGTTGAAGCTTACTTGAATCGCTAAGTCTGAAAGAGTCAACTTTGTGTTCAAAGGCATATGTAAAAGATGAATACACTCTTTATGGAGACACTTTCTGTGCATTGCCACCTCAAAACATTTTTGACTGATTTTTATGGCTATACTCTGCTTTTGACAATAACTTCTCCTCAACGGGGACTTAAACCACCATTCAAGTTTTCTCTGTATGTCTTGTTCCATGATTTCCCTTCACAAGAGTGACTTGGACAAGATTTTCCTATGTAATACCAGCATGTAGCATATACATACTTGACAATAAACAACAACCAATTTTTATCCAGGAGGGTGAAAAATTTATCCTGAAAGTGTGGACATTCGAGCAGATCGGCAGTGTTCTTAAAGTTGCAGGAGACAAGAAATGCCAAGAGGCTCAGGCTTGCCTTGAAGGTACCACTTGCACATATGTTTTTTTTTTTTTAATTTTATGTTTTTTTTCAACTTTGCATTGCAAACCTCAGGGAACAGTCAGGGAAACTGAACAAGAGGCTGGAAGGGGGCAGGAGGGGGGAGTGGACAGGCAACCTGTCAAGAATAAGTAGCCACACTCTGAGTCAATTCCTACTATGGAAACCACAATAATCTATAGCTGAATAGTCCACATTTTTCACTGTGATCAGTTTCATTGCTTAGTAAATTCCTACCATGGAAATCCTGACAAGATCTGGCTGGACAGTCCACACTTTTCATTATGATCAGTTCCATTGCTAAATTTAAGTGTACAATAAGACTTTCTTCCTTTCTAAATTTTTTTTTACTTATGCTATTTGGCTTATTTTTCTTTAGAAAACCAAGATCCCATGGCAAATGTGATGGGTGCTGCCTATGCAGCTGTCAGCAGCAGTGACAGACCCTTACTGAAGGCCCTTGCTGATCTTAGCAAAGCGCGAGAGCAATCTTCAGAAAATGTGGAAGAGCAGGAGGCAAGGTTCACTCTATCACTTCTCATCAGTGAAATGGATAAACAGCTTCTGGAAGCATCTCACAAAACCATCGCCAAGTAAGTTTCCTGTGCGCACAGTGCATTAATAATGAAGTGATGAATATGTCTATTAACATGTATTTCCTTTGGGAGATTATGTGACCTAATTGTTGGTGAGCTGGACTGCAGGTCGTAAGGTTTGAGGTTTAGACCTGAAGTGTCAATTTGATGTTTTCTTGGGCAAACACTTTATTTTCCCCTGGGCTTGGGTACAGACTTCGCCCTGACTTATTTCCTGGCAATTATACACTGTATGTACAGTTTCTGTCAATAAGCTATTGCGTCCTTACCTACATTTTTGTTGTTCAGTGAGGTATTCTTTATAGTATTTCCCATCACCCTGAATTTTTCTTGCAGAGAAGTGAGACTAAACCCAAGTGCCGTGCAGGTAATTTTCAATATTTACATATACTGTAGCAAAAACAATTTTACTAATTTTTTTTTTTTGGTGATTCATTTATTAAGTAATCTCAGAGAAGAACTTTTTTTTAATTAAAAATTGAATTCTTGATTTTGTATCTGATTTTAACAGGCTGAATATGAGCTACTAAAATCCTTTGCTGGAGAGAAAGGACAGTGCCTGGAGTATATTGAATGGACTCTTGGTAAGGTCCTTAATTACTGATACTAAAATTATGTCAAATGAGAAATGGAAAACTTCTTCAGCCATATTGGTACCAAACTTGTGCAATGTTATTTAAGGACAATGTCATTGAAAATACTTGACATTAAAACACAGACAGATAGTGAACATGATAATGCTGTCTCTCACCAGATCACCAGTTCAGTAATGGATGCCATGCCCCACCCTGGCAGCAAGTTCATGGCGATATCAGCTACCTTGACATCAAGCCATTTGACTCCGACAAATTGACTGTCACTGCTAACACAGCTGGTTATTTTGTAAACAAAGGCCTGACCCAAGAGGGGCAGGTGAACTTTGAAAGAGAAGGAGATGTGTATCCCACACTAGTGGCACTCCTGAAGGCAAAGAGTCCCCAGTTTTCATCCGCTATTGAGAAGAAGGTATTTTTCAAATTGATGCAAGTACCATAAATCTTCTAATGATCGTCTGGGTCCTTAGACTGCCTTTTCGATTGAGTGTTGTGCAACCAAAACCAAATCAATCACAACAGTAATTCATCAGAAGGAAAATATTACAAGGAGCCAATGAGAACTTGAAGTGAAAACAAGCAAAGTGCCTGAAGCGTGGGAAAACGTGGGCAACCGACACACGATTTATTTTAGTTTTGAATCTGATTGGTTGAAAAGGTGGCGTGAGTTTTCTGGACCAGTCACATGACGAAGTAAAGCAAAAACAAAGAAATCCCGGATTGCTTTTAACACTCGATTGAAAATTGCTCAATGTCAGGGGCACTTTTTAAGGTGGGGCTTAATTAATGATGCAAATGATACTAAATCTAGGGGAGGGAAGGGTGCAGTCACGGTTATTAAAGTTGGAAGGGTTTTTTTCCAATTTAAGCTAAAAGGATGGGAACTTTTTTTCAGGGAAACGCTTATTTGTGGGGAATCACTAGATGAAGGATTGATAGTACATTAAATAGCTCTCTCTTGAGCAATAACATTGTTGAACCTTGTAGGAGTTTGCGTATTATGGTTCCTCTGAAGAAAAACAGGACAAACCTGAGCGCATTGATGAACCTGCGAAGGACGAAGAAACAAATGGATCAGCTGGTGAAGAAGCTGTTGATGTAGAGGCTAAAAATCAAATAAAGTAAGCTATAAAAACTTACAGTCCACAAAGATCAAGTGCTGTTCTGTCAGATTTTACTCAAACAGACCCACCTCGGGTCGTTAATCTACTATAGAGGTAGCAAATGGTAACTATGAAAACGATGGTTCGCCAAAATTCTTCAGCCTTCGCGCGGAGTCGTGTAGTCTCGTTTATAGTAAATTTTATTTTGGTTTCAAATTCTTAAATTTATTTTTAGAGCTCAAAGCCTGTTAGCATTTTTCTCTAAAGAGTTACCTAGAGTTTTCTTATAAGGATCAGGATAGGTTCGGGAGGTAATTGGTTATTGGGTCTTAAGACATCTTTATCAGTGGCCCTCATTAGCGCTGCAGTGCGCACGTTTCTCCGCACACGAAAAGATTTGAGACGAGACGGGGAGATGTTTGGTGGGGGTCTGGCACTAACAACAGTGCTAGACCCCTTGAAGACCTTTCGCCGGGCCTCGTACTTTCCCGCAGGCAGAGAAACAATCGCGCAGAAGCACTTAAAACGAGGGCCTGCTCATAAGCTATAGTGGTACAATAAGAGAGTGACGAACTGAAACCAGAAGGAATAAAGCATGTAGGTAACAAATTGAACAGTGTGTTAATTTTGCTCTGATTTTAGTGCTTCGACAAAGACGAAAACCACTAAAACATCTCAGAAAAAGAAAAGTAACAAAGGAACCAAAACATACGAGTCTTCTCCGCGCTGGAAAAACATTAACATTGAATTTGGAGCTGATCTTGTCGGAGATGATCCGTAAGTGTAGTGTAGAGTGCTTTTAGGTTTCATTGTACGTCTTGGTAGAATTTGAAGTTTTGGTTAACTGCCAATTAATGTGTTGAGTTTACCGTGACATATTAATACGTATTTGAAAGATTTTTATCGGTTCAATCACGAATAACCTACTCTGGATGTTTTTATAATTATAGCAAAAAGGATCAACAAAAGGGGAGAAGCACTCCAGAGAAGAAGCCGTCGTCCAGACACACTAAGAGCAGGTTGGATTATTTTCCTATTAATCAAAAACTACTTCTCGAACGTGATTGGTTATCACCAGGCCTATTTTAGCATTCATAGGACAGTGTTTGCTTCATGTGAGCGTCATGTGAACGCGCTATTGTCGCGCATTTTGCCGAATTAACATCTTTTTCTTCGGTATGACAACGTATGACCGATGGGTAGTGTGTTCCTCAAATTATGTCATGGCTTTGATTAATTGGTAACAGGACTTCGTGTCGTCCAATTCTGTCTGTAATAGTACTCGCAATTAACAAACACTCCTATGATCACAAACCGAATCGGACTCCACTCAACCCTCTTATCATTACTTATTGTTATCACCATAACCATCATCGCCATATTCACTATCATTGTTATTATCAACATCATCATCATCGACCTTTGTCATCAATATCAGCCGCATTGTTCTAATATCTCTGAATATAAAATTTATTAACCCAACAAAATTCTTCTGTTCCATAGAGATGCGGGCAAGAACACGCGAGTATCGATGCGTTCACAAATGAAAGGTGATATGGAGGAGGACTTCAGTGAGAGCTCATCTGAAAGTGAGGAGGAAGAGGAGAGCCAAGACAGAAGACAGGTACGTGAACTTTACATTAGAACTGTTATTCGTTATGAGAAAACTTTTAGTGGTAGACCTCAGTTCACACAGTGTTCTCCATTTCAGGCAGTAACCGGTAACATTTACCACCTGTAGTACCTCTTATTACCGTTTAAAACTGCTTGGAATTCTTGAAAATTCAACTTGTAAAAGGATTGCTTTACCGGTTTGAAAATTTATTTTACCTGTCATGCTTAAAATAAGAGAGAACACTGTTCACATGGTAATTTAGTATTATAAACTGAGATTTTGGGAGGAAATCGCTCTGACGAAGGGCTAACGCTCGAAACGTCAGCTTTTAAACTCTTAACGGTGGCCAATTTACGTTATCGACCCAGTTGATAATACTAAATTACCCTGTTATACTCTCCCACCGACGCAGCACCACAGTTTGTTTAGAAACTTGCCCATTTAGTCATTTCACATGGGTGAATACTATTACCATTAAACCTTTAGCTTGGAATATTTATGATATAACGTTAGATATATTTTTTCTTCGTAGGAGTCAAACGCAGACTTGCCATCAGAATACTGGCAGATTCAGAAGCTTGTCAAGTATTTAAAAGTATGTAAATGTTCATATACCTGTACTTTTAAAGCGCATAGGATCTGCATTCTTACTGAAGCTATCGATGTGTTCATTTTTATTGAAAATTTGCGTCGGAAAACACCGCTCTGAATGACATATGAATTCATAGCACTTTTGGCGTCGTCGTGTTAAACGGACATTGTGAGAAGGCGCGCGCCGTTTACCGTCATTTGTCGCGTAGAAGTTAGGTGAAGGAAGTGTTTTGCTTTATGAAAATGCCGCTGTAAGACTGGCACCTGGCACACGCCCTTTCCTTTCCATGTCCCTCTTACCTACACCCATTGAAGAAATTTTCAATCAATTGTCGAAATATATTCTACGCTCTTTGGTTCATCTAGAAAGCTTGTGCCATTCTCTCGGCCAATCACATCACAGCCTTCAACTGATCGCCCGTGTTTTCCCGCGCTTGTGATCGCTCACGTGTATTTACCTTGAGTTCCAATTGGGTCATGTGAAGTTAATCTTTATCTTGATTGGCCGTTGTGGTTACGTGGTTTTGAATCAACAACACCCTGTAAAATGCGCTTTATTGCATCGAGCTTTTTCCAAGGCTTTTGTTAAAGTCCTCCTCCACTCAAATGTGTTGAATTATTTCATTGTAGAGCGGTAACCAGACCGCCACTATCATTGCACTGTGCGCCATGAGGGATTTCAACCTTCAACAAGAGACATGCCAGCTAGCCATCAGAGATGTCGGTGGACTGGAAGTGCTGATAAACCTGTTGGAAACTGATGAAATCAAATGCAAGGTGATAAACCCAATCCATAATACTATTCTCTGAATTTAAACCGACCTCAAAAGCTCATTAGTAGCATAGAGGGCTTAATTAAACCAACGATTGCCTTTGATACTGTAAGCTCTTCCTTCGGAAGTTTTGCTTTCCAACATAGATAAATTAATATGTATACGACTCCGCTAGCGCTTTATGCGTAGAGGTTCCTCTTAAGGAGCTCTACCTAACGGTGCTTAAAAATCTCTTCTTGTATCTTTTAGATTGGATCTTTAAAGATTTTGCGAGAGATTTCGAGAAATTCCCTCATCAGAAAGGCTATTGCTGACTTGGGAGGTAAAAATAGTCTTTCTCTTCTAGTTAGGCTTGAAAGATGTTTGTTGGTGTTCATATTAAAGATATAAAACGTTAGCTTAGAGATCTTTTGCTGTTTCAACGACTGAACCACCAACGATTAAGGATTGACAATGGGGTCAGAACATCAAGCATTTCTGGTTTAGAAGATTGCACCACAGGTCGCTTACGCGCAAAACCTTGGGAAGTCAGTCGTAGCATGCGAGCAGATTTTTTATCAGCGTTGCAAGACGCGCGTTTCCCGCCCGAGAAACGCGCGCCCTGCGTCCAGCGGAGAGAAGTTTGCTGGGGGTCTGGCACTGATAATGAATGGCAGACCCCTTGCAGAACTCTCAGCGGCTCGCGTCGCTTAACCCTCTAACCCCTAAGAGTGTTTAGTAACTATTTTCCCCTATCAGTATCACCCCAGAAACACACACTGACGTCATGAGAATAAAGGAAATGATCAGCAACTAAAGAAGCTATTGATTGTTAAACAAATTCTCTTTGTTAGTACCGTAGGAAATGTATAGAGTACAGTAAGGAGAAAATGCATACTGATGTTAGGGTGTTAAGGGGGTAAAAAACGTTTGTACCAAAGGGCTGTTAGTGAGGACCTAGTCGTAGGCTAAGTTAGTCGTATCTTCGTTATATGTATATGTAATGCTAGCTGGAAATGGCGGGCTAAAATAACTATTAGTGTAGGATACCGATTATTTTTTCCAGTATATAAATTAAACAGCATTATATTTCGTGTTCCAAGGTTTACAGACTATGGTAAAACTACTTCAAGGCTTCAACGACGAATTGAAATGTTTAGCTGCTGAGACTATTGCGCATGTGGCGAAATTCAGGAGAGCGAGGCGCACTGTCAGGCAATATGGCGGCATACGAAAATTGGTAAGTTAACGCTCCACACCGTAATATCAGAATCCATATTCTCCCTACTTGTCTTCATACATGTCCTTTGGTACTGACAAGGAGAGTTCGTTTCACAATCAAAGCCTCTTTTGTTGGTGATCATTTCCTTAATTCTCTTGATCCTAATGAATGTGTCAGAAGCATTATATTTTGTAGAGGTAGGAAAATGACACTTCTGGGACAGGACAAAACCAAGGATAAAAAGAGATTTTTGAGTCAAGCCCTGACCACTTTTTCCATCCCTGGTTTTCCATTGTCCCGGAAACTATTATTTATACAACTACTACTGAGACAAGCGCGAAAATCTCCTATCACAATTTTTTTGAAAAATTATGATATATTAACTTGTCAATCTTCAGCATATCCTCTCTCTCCACTGTAAGGAGAAATTAGATACTGGTCACTCTTAGGGTTTTAAGGATTAAGGGGAAAAGATTCTGAAGTACTATTAGGCTTAGGCGAAGTCAGATGTCCTTAAAGTTCCCAGGCTTTTCAAAGGTAGCTTCAGTATTTTTCCTTTAATAACAAGCCATTTGAACGCTTCTATTCGCGTGATTTACACGCATTTGATTGACAGGTGTCACTGCTAGATTGTGGAACCCTTGTGAATGCATCAGATCTTGAAGCTGACGTTGCGCGATGTGGAGCGCTCGCTCTGTGGAGCTGCAGTAAGAGTACCAAAAACAAGCAAGCTATTCGAAAGGCAGGGGGAATTCCTCTACTGGCCAGATTGCTCAAGTCTAGCAACGAAGCCATGCTCATTCCTGTGGTGGGAACTCTGCAGGAATGTGCTTCTGAGGTTGGTTAAAATGATGAAGCAGAAGTAGCTTCAATGTTAAAAAAGAGCGATTTCAATTGAGTTTCGAAAGAAATCCGTGATTGCTTTGTTCTTGCTTCAGTTCGTCCTATGATTGGTCCAGAAAACTCGCACCACTCTCTCAACCAATCAGATGCAAAATTAAAACGACTTGGTCGCCCGCGTTTTCCCGCGCTTTAGGCAGTTTGCTTGTTTTGCTTTGAGTTCTCATTAGCTCTTAAAGGTATTTTCCTATCTTCTGACCGGCCGTTGTGATCACTTTGGTTTGGATTTACGTCACTCGATTGAAAAGCGCTCTATCGTCTTCAAATTTGCTGTTTCATCGGCTTTGAATAATTAATGATGCTCTCACTTCTTGCATCTCGCGGGGCCGCACACAGATGAAAATTCTTAATTCTAATAAACTGGTTTTGTCGTTTCTTGTCAGGCTAGCTATAGACTTGCCATTCGCACTGAAGGAATGATCGAAGACCTCGTCAGAAACTTGAAAAGTGAAAACCAAGAACTACAGATGCATTGCGCCAGCGCCATCTTCAAGGTGAGAACGTAACTGTGTGACACGTGATATCTCTGACTACTTTTTGTGACATGTGACATCATGGACTCCATTGTGTGACGCGTGACATCCTTGCTCTCCTTGTGACATGTTACATCTTTGGCCGTATTTTGTGACATGTGACACATTTGACTATTTCTTGTTACATCCTTGTGGTTTTTTGTCTTTCTTTTGTGACATTCGATCGAAATGCGTTCAGATCGTAATAGCGAGTGCAGTGCTGTTTGATACTCACTTTCGTAGAAGTAATCAACAATTATTCATCAAAATGGGGGTGAACAATTGTCTTAGTATATACTATACAGAAATCAAATAAAACTCTTAACGCACGATTTTGTCTCATCGACTGCCCGGAGGTGAACATTTCATGCCAATCACTTCTGAACGAGCCAATCAGCGAGCGCGAAAAGCGCTATTCGCCTGTGTGGTATGTACTGATGGTGTTTATCTGCTCTGACGTTTTTCCCAACAGCCCTTAAAATTCTTAAAATCGGTTAGAAATTCCCGTTAAATGCCAAAGGAACAATACAAGTTCTACTCGAAAAAACCCAAATCCACTTTTTTTCGCGCGCGCGAAAAACATATTACGTCATAAAAATTTAAATCGTTTGAATAAACCAATGAGCGCGCGCCTGAACAATAAAAATGAAACAAAGTCCGTAATTGCGCGCGCCATAGCGTAAGTACCAACTGAGTTCTTTCAAAGTTTTTTTTTTATCAATTCCATAAATGCAGAATAGGTCGCAACATTATATGTTCATATGTTTGTTTTCAGTGTGCCGAGGATGACGAGACGCGTGAGCTTGTTCGAAAGTATGGAGGCCTCGATCCTCTGGTATCGTTGTCGTTTAATGTTGAGAATAAAGAATTATTAGCGGCTGCCACTGGAGCCATTTGGAAATGTTCTATCAGCCGAGAGAATGTAACAAGGTAAAGAAAAATAGAACCTGTGGCTTCTCCTCTGTGGCGTCTTGTTTTCAAAAGAGAAGGTGCTAAATATTTGTGCGGAGAAACTTTTGAGTATAGGCGTGTACTTTAGAGTAAACCTCAGTTGCTATGTAATGCTGGATCTCAATTTGTTAAGGTGCATGTATACCGTAGGGATTTAGAGTGCCGATTTGAAAAGTGAATTTTTGTACTAGAGTTTTGCGTCTCTCCGAACTGCCTAGATGTAAAGAAAGACCGCAAACTGCGATATGTTGCTTAAATTGCTCAGGAGATTAAAGTGTTTAGCGACTGGTTTGGATCCGTCCTTGTCATTTCTCTTTACGCCGCGAAGGTGTTCTCGGAATCAGTGAATGAGATTCGTTTCTAAGCTGTTTCCTTGACAACAGCTCTCGCAGTTAATCGCCACTTTTTCCTGGTCGCCGCTGAACTAGGTTTTGGAATATGCTTCTTTTAAGTATGAATGAAATGCATGGCTGGCGTAGCGGCAAAGGAGACATTTAATACGCCTATATCTCAAGTAATACCTCTAGTTTTCTTCGGGATAAATGCTTAAGATGACAAGTGGTAATTGTCGTAATATTTTCGTATTAAAAATAACAATTGACCCCTCACCAACCTTGCGCTTAAACTGGTTCCTTTATCGTAAGCTTAAGGCAGCAAGAATATCTGAGGAAGTGCTTGTTTTAAACAACTTATTTCTCAGATATTTTCGTTGTCGTAAGCTTAAAAGCTTTTACCGACTGTCGCTTTCCTTATGAAACTCAAGCCTTTTCTTTGACAACATTTCAGGCATGGAAACCTATGCCTTAGTGCGATAATTTCAGAAATGCAAGTATCGCAATGCATTTTTGTATCAGTTAATGCCATTGCCGTTTTTTTTCCCCACCAGATTTCAAGAACTTAAAGCCATCGAGCAGTTGGTGTCATTGTTAACTGAACAACCCGAAGAGGTAAGTGATTATAAGCCTCACGTTTTTAACCCTGTAACTTCCAAGATTTGATTGTTAATTATCCCCTCTAGCTGCTACATATTTCCTTTTAAATAATTGGCAAGAATATGGTTTTAGATCAAGATAACAACTTCTACCTGATAACTCTGAGTATTCTCATTACCTGTTTGCTGAACAATGTAGAGATATTATAGGGAGAAGTTACATGTTAATCACTTCCAGGAGTTGTAGCTAAGATATCGAACTATTTGTCATGTAATACGCAGGTATTAATCAACGTCGTGGGAGCCTTGGGCGAGTGTGCCAAAGTCCCCGCAAACAGAACAACCATCCGGAAAGCCGGTGGAATACCTTCTCTGGTGAATCTGCTGACCAGTACAAATCAGGCTTTACTGGTCAATGTTACCAATGCTGTGGGAGCCTGTGCAACCGAGCCTGATAACATGGCGTGAGTATTGGTGCTACTTTTTATTTTTTGTTCTGAGCTATCCATTCTAGTGAAGACACAGCCCAACTGGGGTGGAGTGGAGAAGGGAGAATTTGGTCCAGGTGGGTTGGATGGGCAGGGATGGTAAAGATGGGGAAATCAATCTATTTTGTTGACTTGTACGGAGAGAAATGATATGACTTCATTATGCTTGAATATAGCCCTTTGTCAGCTTGGCCTTTTAAAATAATTGAAGATTGAACGTCTGTTGAACAAGTATAAAATTATCCGTTACCACAGTGATACATGTTGCGCACTAAGTCTCCTTTAGTTACTGTAGTATTTCTATAACCCTTCAAAAGGCTCTCAGTCCCAATCCTGTCTGCTCCCTCGTCCACTTCAATTGAAATGAATTCTTTTTTTTCTCTCCAAATCGCTCGTATTTTCGAGACGAAGAATTGGAAAAAAACATAGCTGTATTTCAAAGGCGTTCGATTCGCTTGTTATTTGTTTTCATCGGGTGATATGTATATTTGAACTTTCTCACCCTAGTATCATTGACCGTCTTGACGGAGTGCGTTTGTTGTGGTCCCTGCTCAAGTCTAATAACCCAAAGGTTAGTTAACTATCACTGTATGTTCGTAAAAGGCGATACAGGTTCGTCACAGTTAAATGTTGAGCGCGCCAGTAAAAGTAGCACCGCGTAAAGAAAAAGCCAACAAGAAGAAGTGCAGAAGGAAATATCATTCGTGCGCGCCGCAAGAGGAAACAGAAGCGCGTGAATGAAGAGCTAACATAGGTGTGTGTAGGAACAACTAACACAGGCTTGTGCGGAAAAAAAACTAGCTTTGGCGCGCGAAGGATGCACTTTCCTAGGCGCGTGCTTGAAGAGCTATTATAAAATGTTCAGAGAAATGCGCGCGCCGTGATTGGTCAGAACGTGTTCATTATATTTCCTTAAAGCACGCGCCTTGCGTCACACGAGTGCACTGTTGGGATATAATGCACGCAGCCTACTTCATCAGTACGAGTGCGCGCAATTCACGATACATTTCATAAAAGAAATAAAAAAGCTTGTTCCTCGAGCATTGTTGAGTTAAATAAGCACTTGGTCTTAAAAATTCCCGCGTGCTTGTACGACTCAACAACGCACTCGGCGCATTTTTTATTTCTTTAACATAAGGGCGCGTTGAAAGGAAGAACTGACATAGGTGTGTGTAGAAAGTAGTAACATAGGCGCATGTAGAGAGGAAAAACTAACGTACGCGCATGCAGGAAGATATAGTGAGGGTCTGCTTAGGAAGAACCAACAGAAGCGTGCGCAGGAAGAACTTACAAAGGTGCAAAAAGAAAGATGAAACATGGGCACAGGGAGGCGGATCTCTAAGAGGCGCGCAGAGTAGAAACTAGCTCGAGCGCACGCGGAAGAACTAGCCTATGCGCGCGCAGACGGAACTCGAAAAGATCTAACTTTCATCCATTTATCCATGGGACAACTTATAGAGGTACGCTCAGGAACAACTAAAATAAGGAATATGAGGAACTTATGAGGGGCGTGGTCCTCTCATCTTATCGACCCTTTGATTTTAATATACACTATTTTTTTTTCTTGCTACTCTGTAGGCTTCGGTAAACAGTTTCGCAAATAATTGATATCACACTCTTTTCTTACAGGTGCAGTCGAGTGCCGCTTGGGCCATTTGCCCCTGTATTGAAAACGCGAAGGTAAGCGAAGGATTGATCTTCCGTCCTTTGGACTTTTTGGTTCAATGCTTTACCTCTGAGCGACATAGAACTCGTTCGTAAACGGCTTGGCCATTCCTAAGCTCATACTTGACATGGGTCTTGCAGACTTCAATGGGGCTCTGCGTGTACACGTAAATGGGTAAAGATAAATCAAACCTTTTGGGCTCTTTCGTACATGCCTTTTAAAAACTGCAGGATCAGCCTGCATATGTTCGAATTATTTCATTGTTACAGATTCCATATTTTAATGTAAGCTCCGTTCATTCACCTCTTAGGACGCTGGAGAAATGGTGCGATCGTTTGTTGGGGGACTGGAACTGATTGTTAGCTTGCTGAAGTCCAACGACAGAGAGGTATTTTCATATATCACTCCTTTAAGCCTTTACACCCTAACATCAGTATGCATATTCTCCATTCTCTTTCCCATACATTTCCCAAGGAGCTGACAAGGAGAATTTATTTTACAATCAATATCTTCCTTAACTGGTGATCATTTCCTTTATTCTCGTGACCCTAATGTGTGATTCAGGGAGATATTGTGAGAAGAAATGAGATACTAGTTACTCTTAGGGGTTAAAGTCCCAGACGTGATCAAATCTAACTTTTCTAACAATACCAGCTCATTACTTAGCAAAAAAAATTATGCAAATGAACAGAGCTATCGGCTCTATGGTGTCATATTGATATAACACCAAATTCTCTTCACTGTTTTTCAACCAAGTGTTTAGTATCCAGAAGGGAGAATTTGCTACGCAGATATTGGGAGACTAGGGGCTCTACTTAGAGTCGACCTACGCTATACCCCTTTCCATACGTAATCGTTACTTGATCAAAGTTAGAGCGATGTAATTCGTTATGACAAGGAACGAGTCTTGTGGTAGTGCGTTTCAGACGCTCAATTTGTAGGGAGTGGTAAGGTAGCGGGTGAGCGAGGAAAAAAAAGGTGGATTGGGAGACATGAAAGTCGTTTCTCCGTTTACCAAGGCGCTGGCGCATGCTGGGTCGGAGAATGCATGAAAATGACGGTTTTATTAATTTTTTATTTCACCCTTGCAGGTTTTAGCGAGTGTTTGCGCAGCCATTGCTAACATAGCAAAAGATGAAGAAAACCTTGCGGTCATCACAGATCATGGTGTGGTACCCATGCTTGCAAAACTGGCGACGACGGTGAGATGAATCTGTTGCAATAAACTGCTTGAACGTGTTTATCCATCGAATTTACTTTCGAGCTTGAGAATTAGCGATCCTATAGTGAGCGTAAAAATGATAACAGTGGTATGCGTGGGGAGTTTTAGACCAGAGGTTGGCATTAGTAGACACGTAACTGGTTTAGAGCCCTTTTCGATTGGGTGTCATAAAATGAAAACCAAAATTGTCATTGCAGCCAATCAGCGGAAAGGAAAATTGCACAACGGGCCAATGAGTATTCAAGTCAAAGTAAGCAAACTGCTCAAAGCGCGGGAAAACGCGTGTGACGAAGTGGCGATTGGTTTTGGTTTTGAATCTGATTGGCTGAGAGAATGGCGCGAGTTTTCTGGACCAATCACAGAGCGTAGAAAAGTAAAACCATTATAATCCTTGATTGCTTTAGACACTCAATTGAAAATTGATCCCAACTCAACAAATGTTAAACATACGAACGTTTCGCTCCTGGAGACTTACTGTATCTTATCTAGGTTATAATGCTAAACTCAGTTATGCTTCACTTCAATAGTAATCTCAACATTTATTCATTATTTTGAATTCAGACTGATGACCGTTTACGTCAGTACCTAGCGGAATCGATAGCTAGGTAAGTACGATTTTAAAGAAGAACAGCATTTTTATTGACTTATTACCAAGATCAAAACAAGTTGGAAGGAACTGTCTTAACACCCGAGGGAGATTCACTTGTAAAAAAGACTGATGATTACGTAAAGCATCCTCTTCGGGCAAACGACTTATGCCGATGGATTTTAAGATCTTTATTAGAGTCTTAAGTTCTTTTCTAGTCATGCAGCTGCGCGGCTATCGCCGGTTGTTTCAGGTCATAGATCAGCGCGTCAAGGAGACCTGGTGGCGAGGTTCTCTGTCACGTGGCCTACTGGACTTTTCCTGAGAGGCCATAAAAAAATAGCGTATGGGTAGAGAGGATGACTCACATTTACCCAGACTGTGGAAAATCTAATAGAACGATATGAGTGCAAATAACAACACCGCAAACTTTGGTGCATTGATATCATGTTGACTTTGATAACAGTACATTTATCGTTGATTTTCTGAACTTGTTAGATGCTGTACTTGGGGAAACAATCGAGTCGCTTTTGGCCAAGCAGGAGCTGTGCCTCCATTAGTATACTACCTAAAGTCAAAGAACCCGGATGTACACAGGGCTACCGCGCGTGCGCTTCATCAGCTGTCTCGTGATCCCGATAATTGCATCTCTATGCATAACAGCGGTGTCGTTAAGGTATTTTTTATTTCATGCTGTTGATGTTGTTTTTATTTAAATTTCATTTAGAAGAGACCAAAGTATTTATTTATGGTCTTCTTTTACTCCCCGTCTTTTTGTTAGTATCTTCTTGAAATGGTTGGATCGTCCGACGAAGTTCTCCAAGAGGCCGCTGCTGGTTGCCTTGGCAACATCAGGAGACTTGCATTAGCCAATGAGAAGGCTCGATACAACTGATCCGGGCGGCCTTGTTGTTAACATCATCTAGATGATGGATGAATGATTATTTTCTTACCTTAAAAAAAAAACTCGAAGCTCTAATGTTATAAATGTCTTTCAGTCATAATATCCTCGTAAAACCATCTCGAATGCGATTCTTATGTTAATCTGTAATATAGAAATAGTACTGTGTTCCAATTACCTGTGAAGAGTTGCTGTATTTTCAGGTTAGGTGAGAGGGAATTGATTTTGTTTTATTTTCTTTAAGGTAAAACCTGAATAAAATATTTATTTCTTAAGTGGTGACATATCTTTATATTTTAGTTGCTAATGATGTGTCCAACACTTCCATTATGAGACAGTGAAACAAACTAGACTTAAGTAATAAACAAAGGGGTAAGTTTCTAAAGAAACTGTGGTGCTGCGTTGGTGGGAGAGTATAGCAGGTAATTTAGTGTTAACAACTGAGTTGAAAACGTAAATTAGCCACCATAAAGGGTACAAAAGCTGACGTTTCGAGCGTTAGCCCTTCGTCAGAGCGATCAGAGGAATTGTGGGTTGTGTGTGGGTTTACATGCAGAAAGTGGAGCTACGCCATTGGTGGGAATATGGTGACGAGAAAACAGGAATAAATTAGTTGAATGAAAAGCGTCAAGTAATAAACTCTCAATAAGTGGCCACCACCCTTTCCCTCTTTGTTTATCCATCCGCTGTATTCAGAGCCGTTTGCGTCAAATTTGTGGGTCTTTTCCTTCGATTTGTTTCCCGACAGTTTTCAAAATTTTGAAAATTGATAGAGCGAAAGTAGTTACCCACGCCTAATTTCAGTAGATTCAAAGTATAAGTAATCTTAAGAATTACAAAATAATCGAAAACAAGGTATTGTCTGAAAACACAAATGAAAACATAGGAATTCTTACAACTTTTTCCTTGGAGTTTAATTGTGGCTATCCACAGGAAAAACGACCTTTCACTAGCACGTTTTCCAAGAGTAAAATAAAATCTCCCTCTTTTACGGCCGAAATACTGTCAGTCCTTATTTGGAGGGAGAATGCAGAATAAAGAAAATGACGTAATAATGACGATGGTAACTAGTTCCAGATTCCCTCCCGTTTCAGTCCCTGACTTCGTCCTTCCCAGCTTGCCTTGCAAGCCTCGTTAGATTTGAAAAATGGCGGCATGTACTAGACAAGAAAACAAGGCGATTACTCTGAAGGGAAGCGCTGAATTAGTCACAGAATTCTTTGGTAATTTTCTTTTCGTTAAGTTTTGATTTAGAAATTCTCTCCTTTTGAAGCTTTAAATATTTTTTTTACGTTTATTTACAGGTTACGGGATAAACAAGTGAGTTTCTATGGCGTGTTTCTTATCGATAAGCTTATGAAGTATTGTTGTTTACCAGTTGACATGTTTAAAATGTTGATTTGAGGACATCACAGAGGACGGAATGACAAGTGTATTGCTCACGTTTTGCTTTCCTTAGAGTTTTTTTTAACAGTGAACCTGTGGAAATTTTGCATATAGCTAAGTTAGGATTTAAAAAGAGGATGTCGATTATCTTAAGTAAGCTAGATTATTACATGGCTTATACTGTAAGTTTATTGTAGTTTATTTGAATCCTACAAAACTTCTTTAATCTACTTAAAACATCAAGAATGCTCACAGAAACTGCGTGGGATAAGTTATTTTGATTGCCTTTTTATTTGAATGATTGCTGATAAAAAGATGTACAGGTCAGAGTGCAGAGATTACCGGTACTAACTCCCTGAATCGACTTATTTAGCTAGGATAAGCTTGCAATTATTGCACTTGTGTATTATTTCATAAGTTCTTAATTTACTACTGGTCTTTTTGTTCTGCTTTAGCATTTTGTATCAAAGAGGTATCTATCCAGCTGATTCTTTCAAGAGAGAGCAATTTTATGATTTGACCTTATTCGTCAGTGACGACAAGGATCTTCAAGATTACCTGTCCAAGGTTTTACAACAGCTCAAAGGTAGGCAGAAAAATTGAAAAAAATATTTGTAATCAGACTGGTTGAAATGAAATAAGTAGTGTAGAGGGTGCTAAAGGCTGCACTGATTGTGACATTTTATAATTACCGATAGGTGGAGGCTCATTACTGTCAAGGGGTGAGTGTGTTTTTAGGGGAGTGGGGTTGGGGGACACTCTGTCTCGGAAAATTTTCAAAGTGAAGGCTTCTTTGGCTCAGTTGTAAACTCTTTTTTGAGAAAAATTTTGTTGCTTAGAGTTAGGGTTAGTAATCAAGCAATCTTAAAGCTAATTTATAAGGTGAAACAGTCTTTGCCTTCACTGCACTCCTTACTCCTATGAAGGGCCCTGGTAATTTTTTATACACACAGACCTTGTGGCAACATTACTTCATGTTCCCCTCTGAAAGGAGAATGGCTGATTGTAGGTTGCCATGAAATCTGAGTTTTTTCTTTCTTTCAGACTGGCTTGAGGACAATAGCCTCCAGCGGGTTGTCATGGTGATAAGCGAAGTAGACACTGATGAAGTCATAGAGAGATGGCAGTTTGATATTCAGTGTGAAAAGAATGAGCAAACAGAAAACAAGAAAGGAGCAGGGTTTGTGACTACCATGCTGGAATGTTTCAAAATTCTTTCTGTAACTACCTCACTTGCATAATTACACTGATACACACTGAAAAACCTTACCTCTTTCGTAAAGATTCATAAAGATTAAATACATATGATTTCTGTGATGATAGGATTTATATACTTATTCCAGACTCTTGATTAGGAAAAACAACTAAATAGCAGGCATATGAACCTTGGCAATAGTTAAGGGTGAGGTTTGAGCATAAGTGGGTGACAAGCTGTACAGTCGACACAGTATGGAAGTTTTGGATGTTTTATCAGTCTGATGTGTTTCCTCATTTACATAGCTGTCATGTAGGGCTCAGGCTTCACGGTACTGTCTCACAACTTTTGGTCTGTTTTTATTGTTTTTTTGTCTCCAGGCGGGGCTACTTCTTAAGGCGGTTAAACCCCTTCAACCCTCAAGTTTTTATCAAGATACAATATTGTCTCTCCATCGCCATTACAAACAGAAGAGCTCACCTGAAAGTTGACAGAGACAACTACATTTGTGTGAAAATTATGTCTAATTTTATGTTTTTCAGTAAACCTCCAGCATCAAAAAGCAAGAAAGACATTCAAAGAGAAATGAGAGATGTGATCAGACAAATTACAGCCAGTGTTACTTTCCTTCCCTTTCTTGAGAAGCGATGTAAGTGTTATTCAATTTTTTTTTTAGTTTGAGGGCAGTGCATTGTTTTGTTTGTGAAAATTATGGTAATTTTTAACTGCAATCAATTGTTTGTGTGCTTGTTTGTTTTGTTGTTTTCAGGTGCATTTGACCTACTGGCTTACACTAACAGAGATCAAGAGATTCCTGAAACATGGGAAGAGTCGCAAGCAAGGATCATCGCAAATTCACAAGAAGTGCGATTAAGGTCCTTCTCAACATCTGTTCATAAAGTGGATACAATGGTGTCTTACAAAGGAGAGGATTGATGCAAACAAGATGACATTGCTTGTCCAGCACACAACAGCTGTACCAAAGTACATGTGTGAGAAGGAATCCACACTCATTCTACAAGGATACTTTTTTACTTTATCAAACTACAAGTTCCTCAAGAGGTTCAGCCCAGCATGACCAGTATAACCTTGTAAAAAAAAGAAAAGTGGCAAACAAGAGAGAATATATCAGGGAAATTGCTCTTACAAGTTCCAAAGATTACTTCCTCACAAGGAAAAATGACTTAATGTCAATGATGAAATTCATATCAAGTAGTTTTGGTCTATAAATATTGACATTATGATTTCAGTAAAGGTATATATATCAGTTTGTCACTTGTGGGTGATTCTGAAAGAATTTAGATAGGTGGCCACAGATGTTTTTAAAAGTGAAACTGATATGGACTTTTCCATCCTTGATAGTAGCACAAACGAAACTAGTAGACATAAATAAATATATCAAATGAAAGTCAGAGGTCATTGTTCAAAAGTTCTGTTTTTGTGACCAGTAGCACTTTCTTCAAGAAAAATTAATAAATTGCATTTGTATTCTTAGGGTTCAGTTTTTCATCATTTATATTTTGATATTAATTTTTTTTTGGCCTGTAATGAGTTTTGTTGGGTATATTGAGGCTAGGGTGTCCATTGTCTCTTTTAAAAAGATAAATTATATTCCAGTGCATCTGTTTACTCGTGGATTACAGATGACATTTAACTCTTCACCCCAAAGAGTGACTAGCATCTAATTTCTCCTTACAATATCAGCCCTGAGTCACACATTAAGGTCATGAGAATAAAAGAAATTATCAGCAACTGAAGAGGCTCTTGATTGTTAAACAAGTTCTCCTTGTCAGCAAGTTAAAATGAGTAGAGAACAGGGGTTTAGTGTGGTGAGAGCAAAAAGTGGCACATGAAGTGCAGCTGGATGTGTCAGTTATGTTCTTACCACATTTAGACGTCTATGATTTATTACTGGAGAGACCTGTGGCAATATGGAATATATTTGTTTTTACAACTAAAAAGCAAGATGTTAATGGTGACATCCATGCGTCTGCCCTGCAGCAGATCATTAAAATGTGTGTAGGATTCAACTTATCATAAAAATTTTCATCCCCTGTTTTTTTTTTTTTTTTTTTTACTTTTTCATTGTTTCTCTTTTACTTTTTTCTCAATGTCAGCTTCTTTTTTTGGCACCATTCTTACCAATTACCTATTGTAACAGTTTAGAAAAGTGGGGTCCTTGTGGAACTGTGTTTGAAAAAGAAGCAAATAAAGAAAAAGTCAAGACTAATGGTAACAAACTGTCCTGTCCTGTGCCTCCCCTCCCCCAACCCTCGTCCTCCAAATGCCAGAAAGACCTAGTAGCCTCTAATCCAGAATCTTTACCCGGTGGGGTAAGGTAATTTCTGTAGCTCCTTGCGCAATATGAGTGGTTACCTAGCAAATGGATGCCTAGACGTTTTCGTTTCCCGTCGCAGTTTGTTTTGGTTATCCGAACAAGATCGCCTTTAACTGCCTTTACAGGTTCTCAAATTCTTCCGTAAAAGATATTCCTAGTTATTTTTGTATATAGGTAGCGGATTATCTCAATGAGTTGTTAATCGCGTGAAGAATTTGTCTGAAAATAGAACATGGAAGCCGATCAGAGATTCGCACGTGTGACTCAGGACCCGCGATTCAAAGTAAGGTTTGAATTCAGCTGTTTTATTTGATGGCCTGAATTTATTTGAGTTCCTTAGCTACCCATATCCTTAATGAAATCTTCATTTTCTTTTTCGAATTTTCGTTGATTCTGTGAAAAAATCTACCCATAAGGAACATAAAATTGCCAAACCTTAGAACATTGTAGTTGATAACAGATAGACTCCGATCGAAGCTTCTCCCACATCAACATGATCGTGTGTTATCCTTTCCAGAAAATATCACGGAAGGAGAAGAAGCTTAAGATCGATGGGCGATTTCAAGGGATGTTCACGGATACGAGCTTCACAACAAAATGTAAGAAATTTGTTTAATTAAAGTTCTACTAATTTGATGTCATTTACTTGATTGTTAAACAAATTCTCCTCGTCAGTACCAAAGGAAATTTGTAGAGAAAAGAATGGAGAATATGGATACTGATGTTGGTGTGTAAAGGGATAAGTAATTTTATTTTTTTCAATTTTGTCAAACTCAGTTACATGTATGTCTATATTTTTATCTATAGATTTTGTTGACAAACGTGGCTCAAAAGTCAAGAAAACATCAAAAGAAGATCTTCACAAATTTTATGAAATCTCAGATGAATCAGACAAAGGTATAGCGAACAATTCAAGCAAAACTTCGATTATATCATAACTTGTGTTTCTTTTAAAACTTAAATATAAATTTCTGTTTGCCACCTAAGCTCTAAGCTCTTCAACCCTTTGACTCCCAAGAGTGACTAGCATCTAATTTCTTCTCACAATATCACCCCTGAATCACACATTATGTATTATGGTCATGAGAATAAGGAAATGATCACCAACTAAAAAAGCCCCTGATTGTCAGACAATTTCTCCTTGTCAGCACCTAAGGTAACGAAGAGCAAACAGTATGGAGAATATGCATACTGATGTTCAGATGAAACAATATCCCCAAGTTGATATTTTTTCTTCTTACCATGACCTTTCCTCTTGAGAATGTTTTAATATTGTAAGGAGAAATTTCTGTTTGGTCTCTCCTTGGAATAAAAAAGAGGTTAATAACATATCAGCCTATTAACCCTTTGACCCCAAACAGTGATGAACAATTAATTTCTCCTTACAACATCACCTCTGAATCACACATTATGGTCATGAGAATAAAGGAAATGATCACCCACTAAGAAGCTCTTGATTGCTAAACAAATTCTCCTTGTCAGCACCTTAGGAAATGTATAGAGAACAGTGTGGAGAATATGCATTTTGATGTTAGGGTGTAAAGAGTTTATTTGAGGGACCCTTTTGTGGAGTTAACCACACCACTTCATTTTCTTCGTTACAGAAGACGATGAAAAAGACTTGGATGAAGAAATTGAAAAGAAAGGTGTCAAGATGCCAAAGGATAAAAATAAAATGAAGAGGTACTATCAAGTTATTTTTTTTTCTTTATCCCACAGGAAAGCTTGTCCAGGTGTGAGGCATCATTTGCCTGTTGATTCATAACTGTACAATATTTTAGATGCAACATTCTCAAGAGTTCTTGCAGATGAAATTGTAAAATCCCCTTATTTTAAGATGGTGGCTGGCTTTTACTACAGTCTAGTTTGAGCACTAGTTTTCAGCTCTTCGTGAAGAAACTGTCAAGTGGCTGATTTGTTTACATGTTTGTTTATTCATATAGGAGAGAAAAGGAAGAACTAAAACCGAAACAGAAAAGAAAAAAGATTAAAGAGAAGCTTCAGAAATTCCACAGTAGTAACGAGGAAAATGTTGAAAAAAGCATATTAAATGTAAAAAAATTAAAAGCAAAGAGAAATGCAAAGATGACGAGAATGATGATGATGATGATGATGATGATGATGATGAAGGTGTGAGCTCCGATAATGAAGAGGTTGACATTAGCAGGGGAGAAGGAGACATAGAATCATCATCAGATGAAGAGGATGAAGACATTCCTGAAGTTGAAGCAATACAGGTTTGGACTTAGCCAATGCATTTTTAAAAAAACAGTAATTGTTTGACAAAGCTCTTTTTTTAAAACCATTCTTGATCCATATCTTAGGATGATGTTGAGCATCCTTGGGGAGAAATGGGTGTTTCTACCAAAACTACAGAAGATGCGACAAGACGCCTTGCAGTGTGCAACCTTGACTGGGACAGAGTGACAGCAACTGACCTGTTTGGTAGAGTATATTTTTTGTCATCAAGGGGATAGTTTCTAAAGGAACTGTGGTGCTGCATTGGTGGGAGAGTGTAACAGGGTAATTTAGTATAACTATCAACTGAAATATTTGCTCTGATGAAGGGCTAAGGCTCCAAATGTCAGCTTCCAAACTCTTAATGGTGGCCAATTTACATTATCAACTCAGTTGATAATACCAAATGACCTTGTTATATTTTTGTCAATCACTTCTGTCTAAATTTTTCCTGGCAAAACATGTGTATCATGCATAGCACAATTAGAAGAAAAGCAAACCTGTCTCTGAAATTCTGTCTTCTGTCTTTTTTTCTTTCAGTCCTGTTTAACTCCTTCAAACCCAGAGAAGGTATTATTCAGTCTATCAAGGTAATGAAAATGAAATATTCTATGGAAATCCTTCTTAGTTTTTTTTTTCTTGGCTTACAATTTTGATTTATTTATGATTTGGTTTGTTTGTAGATTTATCCCTCAGAATATGGACTTGAACAAATGGCAAAAGAGGAATGCGAAGGGCCAGTGGAGCTTAAAGATGATATCAGTGACAATGAGGAAGCAGAAGACAGTAAAAACAGAGAGGTAATACTTTGAAGTTGTTACATGTAACTCTAGCAAAGGGAAAGGCTATTCAGCTAAAGTTTTAAGTACGCAGCTACAGTACCACTTGTGTATATGTAATATATAACTGTGCAGACGAATTTCATACCTTGGTACCTTTTATTTGCATTTTTTGGTTAACGTATATGCAAGCAGTACTGTAGAAGAGAGAATTAATAATCAGATCGTGGGAGTTATTGGATAATGAAAGTACTGATTGGACAACATGTTGTACCTATAAAAAATGTTCCAAGTTCTCTATTATCTGTGTTTTTTTCTCAGGGGTCTGCATTCTCAACAGAGAAACTGCGACAATACCAATTAAAAAGACTTCGGTACTTCTATGCAGTTGTGGAATGCAATTCAAAAGGTACATGTATATGTAATAATAAGGAATTATTGAATGAGGTTGAGCAGGACATCGTGAATTATCAATGTGGAGGTCTAAGTTATCTGCTAAAGTCGAAGGTTGAGGTAAATAACACAGACACAAAGTTTGATAATTCATGATATTATGCAAAAACAAATTCAATCATTGTATTATTATACATTTTTCAAACATTTTTCAAGAGATGACACTTTTCTCTGAGTTTGCAAAAATTTGATAACACTGCATAGACAAAAACTAGGCAGACTGAACTGGACATGATAAGCCAATATCTGCTGCAGACATTGGGTTATCATGTCAACTTCACATGGCATTGACTGCATGCTCTTAACCAATCAGAGTTTTCATAGTAAGTCTAATGTATAATAAAAAATTCTATCTTGTTGCATTGTAGAGGTAATTCAAATGTTGGTGCTCAAACTTACATTGGATGTCAATTTTCCATAAGGATATAATTTTTTTATTCAGAGACGGCAGAAGTCCTGTATGATGAATGCGATGGAACAGAATTTGAACTGAGTGGAAATTTACTTGACTTAAGATACATCCCTGATGATATGGAGTTTGATCAGGAACCCCACTCTGTAGCCACAGAACTACCACCTGTGGGCATGTATACGGCACCAGAGTAAGTACACACTCTGTAATTGTGTACATTTTCCATAAAACTTTAAGCTCAAATTTGTGGTTAACAGATTTATTTCCTAGCATGTATATCTTATTTATTTCTTTTTTTTCAGGTTTTGCACAACAGCTCTTCATCAAACAAATGTTAAATTAACATGGGATGAAACTGATCTTGGACGACAAAGAGCAACCATGAGGAAATTCACAAAAGAAGATATACTTGAAATGGATTTTAATGCCTATCTGGCATCTTCCTCAGATGAAGATGAACCAGAAAAAAATGAGAATGGTAACCATGACTTGTCAGATGACGAGGAAAAGAAAATTGAAAAGTACAAGGTGAAGGAATTACTTTGAACTTTTTGCTTAAGGTTTCTCCAAAAGTTTTTTGTTATTTGCACTTTAAGATACTTGGTTTAAACAGGATAAAGTGAGGAGGGTGGAGGGAGAGGGGGTAGTGGAACTAAAGGACATTTTGTCGGGAAGGACTTTGTCTGTGTCATGATGAATTCACCTGTTCCCCCCATGAAGCTCTGTAATATTCATGTTAAACCCCTCTTTGGAAATTAATGAGCAGTCAATTTTTTACAGTCCTCCCCTTATACTCTGTTGGCAATGATTGATCTCCCCTCCATTCCCTCTAAAAACAATGTGACCCCCCCTAAAAAAATCCTCCACCCTCCCAGGCAATAAAAGTGACTGGTCCCTAACATCAGAAGAAGCTGTTAAAACCTTACCAAAAATTGGAAAATATGGTGTTTTTTTATCACTGTGGTTACAGGAACTTTTAAAGGAGATTGAAGACAGAGAGCACAAGTCAGACAGAGATCAGGAGTTAGAGATCACTTGGGAACCAGGCCTTCAAGAAACTACAGAAGACCTGGTGACCAGTAAGTTAAAAGAGAAAGAGAGAAGACAGATGACACCATGGGAGACATATCTACAGAATAAGAAGGAAAAGAGGAAAGAGAAACGAAAAGAAAAGGAAGCTGCCAACAACAAGTGAGAGAGAATTTGATTCATACTTAGGTTTGACTGAGAGGCCAGGTAACAATGTTTTAATGAGTTGGCAATTAGGTTTATTCCCATTAAATTTTGAGGCATAAGATTCTAGTGGGAGAATTTTTTTCTTAATCCCTTTCATCCTTATGATCTCATTATTAATTCTCCTTACTGCCTGACATACAATTCTTATAATGTTACTTTGGAGTATTTAGTGTTAGATCAAAGAGTAATCCCATAATTGATATATCTTTTTTATTCTCATCACCTGTCTGCTTGATATTGTATTGATATTGTAAGAAGAAATTCTGTCTTGGTCAATGAAAAAATAAGCTGATCACAGGCTAGTAGTCCAGACCCGTTCCCACTTGCTCCCGGGAAGTACTTTCATGGTTGGAGAAAATTGCATCTGGGGAAGTCCAATTTTTTTAAGGCAAATTTTGCATGAAAGTCGGGTAGTCATGAGCCACGACTCACAGGTTTTGTAACATGAAGTCAGGCGTTCCCTCTTTAGAAGAAAATTGAATCGGAAACGTTTTATGCTGAAAGGAACTTTTAGTTGTGCTCTTTTTTGTGGATTTTTACTGGGTTGATGGGTGCTATGAAGTATGAAGGCTCTATCAAAGAATCTTTTTGCACTTTAGTTCAACAGTCAGAGATTCCGACGAAAGTGACGACATTCCTTCAGATGTTGATCTATCAGATCCTTTCTTCAGCCAAGAACTTGGCACTGATATAAAAAGTAAAAAGACACCTGACAAAATGTCTAATGAGAAAGGGAAGAAAAAAAGGAAGCGGAAAGCTGAGGAAACTGAAGAGGAAAAGAAGGCAAAGGTGAGTAACAAGAACGGATTTAAAGGTAAATAGAAAAAAAAGAAATTTTGAATTGAGCGTCGAAAGTAATCCGAGATTGTTTTGGTTTTTGCTTTACTTCGCTCTGTGATTGGTCCAGAAAACTCGCACCATTCTCTTAACCAATCAGATACAAAACTACAACCAATCACAACTTGGTCACCCACGTTTTCCCGCACTTTAGACTTTTTACTCTGAATTTGTATAGGCTCTTCAGACACTCAATCGAAAAGCGCTCTATCGTGTCGACACAATAAAGCAAGCTAGCGGATATCAGCATTAAAATCATGCAATGAAAGTAACATTTTAAAATTTCTTATCTTAAACATCGAAATGTTTTCATTATATTTCTAAATGAAACATTAAATTTTTTTCTGTTAATTATTTTGAATCAAGGCGGAGCTTGAATTGCTTTTAATGGACGAGAAAGACGACCGACAACATTTTAGCCTGAAAGGAATTATGGAAAAAGAAAAGAAAAGCAAAAAGAAGAGAAAAAGGAAAGCGAAAGACGAGGAAATTCTGGAGGATAATTTTAACGTGGATCTGAAAGATTCTCGGTTTGATGCGCTGTTTACTTCGCATCACTTCGCTGTGGATCCTTCAGACCCGCAATACAGGTATGATGAACATAGGAGTTTTCCCTACTTCATCGTATCCTAATCTCTGGTAGCTTTTTATTAGTAAGGGATGTTTAAGATCTGTTAGCTGGATGATTGGAAAGTCTTGTGCAGATTTGGTTAGTTCGTCAGAAACGTATATATTGCCAGGGTTACTGTGTTAATATTGTGATTCTGTTTCAACAGGAAAACTAAAGCCATGGAAACAATTTTAGTGGAACGACAGAAAAGAAGAGAAAATTCAGAGATTGGAAATGCTCATCCGAGGCAGGAAAAAGGTGGGTACATTTGAATCGTGATTTGCAGTCGAGAATTTTTTTCTAACCCTGCATCGCTTTCGTGGGAATGAGCTCAAGGTTTCCAAGACACGAGGAAGAACAATTTAATTAAGGAAGAAAACTCAACTCTTTGTGAAGTGGACTTTGCTGTATTCTTCAGACTCGTACCCAGTTGTCTCCAAAGCGTGGGAAACGGACGCAGACAGTTTGGCAGCGCGAAGTATGATGGGTTGGTTGAAAGCAAGAAAAAAAGCCCACTTTCTCATCAACCCCTTCTTCATCACTTTATCGCTGCGCACATTTTTTAAAGGACTGGGAACGAGTCAGCTTATATAGAGAGGCTTTATAGATAAGTGTCTGTCTTATTTTAGAGGTGGCTCCATTGCAGTAACTTTCTTTTATACTTTTTATTCTTAAACATTTTTATTTTTTCCGATATTGTAGGAGACCAAAGCCTCAGAAAAGATCCGAGGTAAGTTTGCGATTTTACACAAACATCCTAACTCGCTACATTTTTGCAATCGCATCTGCTTTTTGAGGAAGCTTTCTAGACTACAAACAGTCCCTCCTTTTGGCAAAGTCCTTCGCGCGAGTAATAAAGAGTCAGAGAAAGTTGATTTTAGCGCACCTCACGGAACTCTGAGAGTGAGGCGCACACTCAGAGTTCCGCGCGGTGCGTTATAATTTTTTTTTGTCCTAAAGGAGGGACTATTTGTAGTCTGTAAGCGTTCCGCCTCTCTTTCCAATCTCCGGAATTATTTAACCACATAAAATGATTGTGCTTTCCTTTCCTTAGCTTATCATTGCTGGTAAAATCGGTGAAGTCGAAAACAGGACAATTCTACGAGCAGAAGAGGAAAAAGAAATTAAAACATAAGTAGCTAGCATCACTCAGATCGATGCTCCAACTCTCTCTCAGCTTCTTCTTTCTCAAATAACTGAAGGGAATATTGCAAACAAAATGACCTAGAACACGTTTGAATCACATGGCCATCCCGTGTAAATCTTCGGGTTACCCCCGGTCGACGACGCACACGAATACTCATCGGAAATACTTCGGGAACTCAACGAGGATTAGTGAGTTGCACACCGTTGTTTAAACAAGGATTGTGGGAACAGTTTACAACATGCGACAAAAAATTTTGACTATGGACCACGGACACTCGACTGGAATGACATAAACATCAATAAAAATCATGAAACATTTAATTTGTCTTCTACTTTGTTTTCAATAATATTTAGAGCTTAGACGCTTAAAAACGCACGGGAATTAAAAGTCGCAGAAACTCTACTACTTTGCGAATTAAATCTGGACTCTTAGAATAAACAGATTCTCAACAAGCCTGTAACTTTTGAAAGAGAACTAATTACTTCCCCACATGTTCCAGTTATCAGGGGAGTTGGGATTCTGAAAATGAGACATAAACCCGTGCAGTCCGTTCTAAAACTGGTTAGTTTTGCCCTATATTCCCGGCAAAATAATTTTTTTGCCCACACAAGATAAAGGCCTCTGATGTTTGCAAACGACAAAAAGCTTATCACATTCTTTCTCACACTATCAATTCTCCCGGAATTCCTCCTTTTTACTGAGATGTAAACCCATAAATATGACCTGATAAGCTTTCGAGGGACCAGGGCCTGAACCCTACATTTCTATCTAATTAACAAAATTCTTTTGTATCAATATTCAAAGGAGATTTTCTCGACCCACAAAAGAGCTGTAACTTCGACACTTGCACATAATACACAGCTAATCATGCTCTTTCTAACGCACTATACTCGTCCAGGAATTCCCCCATGTTCTCGGAGATATAAGCGCATGAATATTGAAACAATAGAAAATGGTTAATGAGCTTCTGGAAACTTGGAAGATCCACGAGCTAAACTGAGTTTTCAAACTCATTAACAAAATTCTATTGTTTCAATATTCAGAGGACATTTTCTCGGCCCACAAAAGAGCTGTAACTTTGACACTTGCACACAATACACAGCTAATCATCCTCCTTCTAAAGTGATATAACTTGTCCCAGAATTCCCTCTTTTCTCGGAAGAAAAAGCCCGTGAATATTGAAACAATAGGAATTGGTTAATGAGCTTCTGGTAACTTGGAGGATCCACGAGCAAAATTGTGTTTTCAAACTCATTAACAAAATTCTATTGTTTCGATATTCAGAGGGGATTTTCTCGGCCCACAAAGGAGCTGTAACTTTGACACTTGCACACAATACTCAGCTAATTACGCTCGTTCTAACGCACTATAACTTGTCCCAGAATTGCCCCTGTTCTCGGAGATATAAGCGCATGAATATTGAAACAATAGAAAATGGTTAATGAGCTTCTTGCAACTTGGAAGATCCACGAGCTAATCTGAGTTTTCAAACTCATTAACAAAATTATATTGTTTCAATATTCAGAGGGGATTTTCTCGGCCCACAAGAGAGCTGTGACTTTGACACTTGTACACTCTACACAGCTAATCATGCTCTTTCTAACGTGATATAACTTGTCCCAGAATTGCCCCTGTTCTCGGAGATATAAGCGCATGAATATTGAAACAATAGAAAATGGTTAACGAGCTTCTGGCAACTTGGAAGAATCATGAGCCAAACTGAGTTTTCAAACTCATTAACAAAATTCTATTGTTTCAATATTCAGAGGACATTTTCTCGGCCCACAAAAGAGCTGTAACTTTGACACTTGCACACAATACACAGCTAATCATCCTCCTTCTAAAGTGATATAACTTGTCCCAGAATTCCCTCTTTTCTCGGAAGAAAAAGCCCGTGAATATTGAAACAATAGGAATTGGTTAATGAGCTTCTGGTAACTTGGAGGATCCACGAGCAAAATTGTGTTTTCAAACTCATTAACAAAATTCTATTGTTTCGATATTCAGAGGGGATTTTCTCGGCCCACAAAGGAGCTGTAACTTTGACACTTGCACACAATACTCAGCTAATTACGCCCGTTCTAACGCACTATAACTTGTCCCAGAATTGCCCCTTTTCTCGGAGATATAAGCGCATGAATATTGAAACAATAGAAAATGGTTAATGAGCTTCTTGCAACTTGGAAGATCCACGAGCTAATCTGAGTTTTCAAACTCATTAACAAAATTATATTGTTTCAATATTCAGAGGGGATTTTCTCGGCCCACAAGAGAGCTGTGACTTTGACACTTGTACACTCTACACAGCTAATCATGCTCTTTCTAACGTGATATAACTTGTCCCAGAATTGCCCCTGTTCTCGGAGATATAAGCGCATGAATATTGAAACAATAGAAAATGGTTAACGAGCTTCTGGCAACTTGGAAGAATCATGAGCCAAACTGAGTTTTCATACTAATTAACAAAATTCTATTGTTTCAATATTCAGAGGACATTTTCTCGGCCCACAAAAGAGCTGTAACTTTGACACTTGCACACAATACACAGCTAATCATGCTCTTTCCAACGTGATATAACTTGTCCCATAATTCCCTCCTTTCTCGGAGGAAAAAGCCCGTGAATATTGAAACAATAGGAATTGGTTAATGAGTTTCTGGAAACTTGGAAGATCCACGAGCTAAACTGAGTTTTCAAACTCATTAACAAAATTCTATTGTTTCAATATTCAGAGGGGATTTTCTCGGCCTACAAAAGAGCTGTAACTTTGACACTTGTACACAATACACAGCTAATCACGCTCTTTCTAACGTGATAAGAACTTGTCCCAGAATTACTCCGCTTCTTGAAGATATAAACCATGAATATTAAATTAATAAAAATTTGTTAATGAGCTTTTCGGAACCTGGTAGAACCATAAGTAAACTGAGTTTTTAAATTTATTAACAAAACTCTATTGTTTAAATATTCAGAGGGGACTTTTTCAGCCCACAAGAGAACTGTACCTTTGACACTTGCGCACAATACACAAGAAATCGCGTTCTTTCTAACGTGATATAACTTGTTCCAGAATTCTTTCTTTGCCCAGAGTTACAAGCGCATGAATAATGAAAGAATATAAATTTGGTAATGAGCTTTTAGGGACCATTGCCTAACATTAACCCTCACTCCAAACTTTTCCTTTTTCACTAAATTTCGTTGACAGCTGTCCGCGAAATATTTATTTTGATCGCGATATGAACGTAAGAAAATTGAAGGAGTAGAAACTTACCACGATGACAGAGTCACGCACAAAGGGAATGTATTCAGAGAAACAAGTGATAGGGGCGCATGGAAAGACAAAAGGAAAACAGTGTTCGTACAATATGTTTAATACCAAATATTTTAGAAGAGAAAATTAGAAAATACTTTACTAACTACATGAAATATATCTACAAAACAGAAAAATAAATTATCTTTTGTGTGTTGTGAGTTACACTAACTTGGATGAGTCATTTTCTCTCTAACAGGGGACTGGAGAGAGTTCCCCTGACTACAAGCACACAGAGGTAGTGCGAACAACGACTCCTTGCCCTACCCCTGAGGAATACGCTTGGATATCCTTGGTAGGATTGAACAGTAAAACTCCAGAGTATGAACTAAATTTGAAACTTCCCTTTTCTCCACGATGGTCAATTGTGTGACCAGAAGAAGGTCACCCTCGTTTTCATGTTTTGTGTCACCCAACAACCCAGCGTGACCAGCTAATCTTGTTCAAAGAGGAGCTCTATCTTCTAAATAAAAACAGTCTCATGAAACGGATTGCCTATTAAGTCCTTTGCCCGGTGTGACAGGCCTTCCTCCAGGACTTCGGGATCCGACGGGACTTGTCCCTCCTTTCTTAGCAACACCGGGAGACGAGCGGGATTTTGTCCCGCTAGTACCTCCGGAACTCCTCGGGGATCCTGAACCCCTCGGTGATCCCGATCCGGAGGATTTAGATCCCGTTTTTGTTTTAGTTCCTGATTTTGTAGTTCCAGTGCCAGATGGAGAAGTTGATGAGCCTCGCCTTCCCTCAGCCTTTGATTCGTCCAACTTAATATCTTTACCAACCACTAAATTGTTTGTTTCGACAAAATTTTTCATCCACTCTGGCATCTCACCATTCTTGGGCTTCTCCGCAGGTCTCTTTTGCTTTGGCGATAATTTCGGGCTTGAAGAGAGCCTGGCACTATTTGTGGATGAGGACGAGAGCTGCTCTGTGGTTGTGGAGGGTGGTGTTGGGGTACCCGGACTGAAGAACTAAAAAAAAACCAAAAACCAAAAGAAAATGCATAAAAAATTTACAAGAAAAAACCTCTCATTTAAAATGTTCATCACAAATAAGTATTAACCCTTTATCTCCAGAAATGATTTGCATGTAACTTCTCCTCAGAGAATCCATACATTATTCAGCAAACAGGAAATGAAAATACTCAAAATTATCACGTACAAGTTGTTACATTGATCTAAACCCAAATTCTCTTGACTCATTTACGAGAAAATGTGTAGCAGCTAGAGAGGAGAATTAGCAATCAGATCTTGGGAGTTGAAGGGTTATTAAGTTAAAAATCATTGTGCTCTCTGCCTACATGTACCTCAACCGAAGGTATTTTTGCTGATGATGGCGACCGTTCACTGCTGCTTCCACTCTCGGTTCGTAATCTGTTCAAAGGGCCAACAGAATTCTGACTAAACCGTGGACTACTGGACCTGCCTAAATAACGCCCAGAGTAAGGCCTGGGATCCAGGGCACTGTTTGGTCGACCTGAAAAAGAAAAGCCCAAATACAATCATGATATGCTTGAAAAATTGATCAAAATTTCGTTCCCCACTGAAAATTTACAGGTCGTATTCGCTCATATACAGGTTCCCAAACTGTGATACCTGTATGCAGATAAGGAAAGATGTCTTTATTTCTCCTCTACCAAGATCTGAAGAAGTCTCCCCACTGTGCGTCATACATTTCACATGATTCAAACTCTTAAACTTTAGTGTTAAATCCAACAATATGGTGGACTCCTGTCAAATATAACTGCATATGCATCAGCACATCAAGGCTCTGCACTAAATTAAGACACCTGTAATCCCTTATGTATAGCCCACTGGTCAGGCATTCACTTGATTTCTATGTTTTGGACAAGAAAATTTGTGTTTAGCACAACAATTCTTGCGTAAAATTTTTCCGGATGTTACGTCATTCAAGTTTTAGATAACCGTTCTCACCTTGATTAATTTCCACAAGCTCATGGTCTTCGCTAATGGAACATTCCCTGGTTGGAAAATGGACGAAAAGAAATTGCAAATTAAACTCAGACGACCTAATCTGTAAAGATTAACAAAGATGACTGACAACAGATCACATTATTCAGAACATACCTTATAGAATCATCGTCACCGTTCAATCTTAGTGGACCCTAAAAGAAAATACCATCATGGCATGAAAAATAATTCTCATCGTTAACAATTCCCAGACATATCTTCTAACCCCAAGAGGAGATCAGTAAGTAATTTTTCCTTCCAATATCAATACACTGTCAAGTAGGAGGGTGATGGGGAGAAAGCAGAAAAAAACCATCCACTCGGGGATATGGCTTGATTAAACACCAAATTCTCAGATCAGGTTTATGAGAAATATATGGCAGACCGTAAGGAGAATTAGTACTTAGATCTCGGGAGTGAAGGGTTGATGGAGTAGAGGAACATCAAGGGAGCAAGAGTATGTTTAAAGAATGAATAGATGAGCAAGGATGGCGGAGAATCACATCGGATTGTAAATATCGGACTTTAACAAAATTTGGTTAGACTTTTTGTGGATCTACAAAATGTGACCTAGCTTCTTTAAAGTCAGTTTGAGAGTTTCTTTTTTTTTTGAGGGACATCAATTTTTTTAGCGCATTTTGAGTGCTGTAAAACAAAAGTCAAAGTGTGTTACTAAAAGCCGACAGAAATCAAAGTAATAACAAGCAAACTGTCCGAAACGCGGGAAAACGCGGGTGACCAAGTCGCACATGATTGGTTGAAAAGGTGGTGCGAATTTTCAGGACCAATCAAAGAACGAGGTGAAGCAAAACCAGTGCAATTTTGCATTATTTTAGGCGTCCAGTCAAAAATGAGTTCTATTAAATAAGCTTGAATAAAATTAACTTGATCAACGTTAATCACCAGTCTCTTTGAGCGTAGTCCTGTTGGCGTTCTCAGCTCCGCTCTCATGATGCTGTTCAATTCGCGTAACTGGAAGACAGAACAAAGAGGAGTTAAAAAGTTTGTTAACTTTGCCGATCGTATGCGGTGTAGTGGCTTCGTCTGATTCCAGATGGTTCTATCCGGCCAGCTAGGGCAGGCACTTTTCGTAATTATTAGTGAAACAATTACCATAAATACAGGGTTTAAATAAAGAGCTGTTGTTGTTGTTGTTGCTTCGTCCGATTTCGGGCTTACTTGGGGTTTCAACCTGCCAACAAACGATTGTGGGACAAAGTGAGAAAAGCTTAGAAACGGGCAGAACTTTGGCGAGCCTTTGGGACTCTTTGTGGAGATCCAGTATTAAGAGCAAATACACTCAACACAGTACCTCCTCTGCGTTCATGACAGTCATGTCTCCAAGAATTTCCCTTCTCCAGTCACCAGTTTTTTTAAGTTTCACCTACAAGAGAACAAAAAACGGTCTTGGATCAATAGCTCTGTAAGTAAAGATATGAATCAAACCGTGTAAAGATCATTTTCTTATGCTTCAAAAGACACGACGCTTCATACCCGGCCTCTCACAGCTGGCGGAGTACTGCTGTAAAAAAACAAAACCACAGAATGGGTTTAAAAGATTTATTTCAGACCAAGAACCCTTGCGAAGTACTTCAAATGTGTACGTGCATTCTGATTAATCAGGTGTTTCGATAAAAGCCAGTTACCATTGGTATACGGCCGCCTATAGGCATTTCCCCATACATGACGTACCTACCCCTATAGGACCTCTTACCGCTGCCTATTTAGTGTGCAAGCTCTCGTGTTTGGGTTTTATCTTTCAGCCGTTTTTGCGGGCACAAGCGCCATCGGCATATTCAATAAGTTATCAAAATCCCTCGAGGAGCAATTTAAATGGAAAAAAATTGTTAAAAGGCTCTTCAAAGCGTGTTTTACTTACGGAACTTGGCTGCCTGATGTGGAGGATCTATCACGGAAGAAGGTGTTCTCTTTTCGACCCAAAGAAGACGAGCTTTTTTCCTTGACAAGATCTTGTACCTGGAATTGTGGAAAACGCTTAGCTTTCTATTTCGTTAAACAAGACACACAAATTAGCTGCTAATCTCGATCATTTTTCAGCTTTAAAAAGCTAACATCATCCCAATGATCGAAAAAGACTAAACCCAAGTTAAGAGTCCATCCCCGCCGGAGCTGATCTCGTTTTCCTCATGCTTCTACTCCTTCCAAATGAGAAGTTAGTCACTCCAAGGTCATTCCTCTGCATTTCGTCAGTTTTCCTTAACAGCTCAGTTATTCTCCTGAGTGTGTAGACTCCCTTTGAGAGTCACGTGTCTTATCCAAGAACACAACACAATGATCCGGCCAGGGCGCGAACGGGTTATTCTCTACCCGAAGTTCAATGCGCCAATCACTACGCCACCACGCCTATTTGTCTCAAATATTTAAGGTTGTATTAAAGAACGTGCAATTATCCTTTGATTGTCGAAAGTAATCCAGGGTTATGGGTTACGTTGGTTTTGCTTTTCCTCACTTAGTGATTGATCCAGGAAACTCGCACCGACCTCTCAACCAATCAGATGCAAAACAAAAACCAAGCGCGACGACTTGGTCACCCGCGTTTTCCCGCGCTTTAAACAGTTTGGTTGTTTTCACTTTGAGTTCTCATTGGCTCCTTGTGATATTTCCTTTCTTCTGATTGGCTGTTGTGATAACTTTGGCTTTGGTTTTACGCCATTTAATCGAAAAGCGTTCTAATAATCATCAGCTAGTCGGAATTATGTTGTCCAAATGCCGCAAAGTCCCTCTCAGGCTAAAAGCCATTCAACAATACAAGCATTACAAGCAAAATTAGTAGTGTACCTTGTTGTTTGCATTTTCGTCCTCAGCGGCTATGGGGGGGGAGGGGCTTTCTCCACTAGTCCCTGCAGTGGATTTCCTTGGTCTGTGTTTTCCATACTCTGGAACAGCCTTTACTGTTCTTAAGATCACGTGAGAAGCTATGGATAATAGAAGACAAAAGCGTTATTGACCAAGCCCGCGCCAGGCTCTCAGTTAGCGGAGACGGCCAAAGGAGCGAGCGAGCGGAAAACAAAGGCTGTCAGGGAAACTGATCTCCGTGATTATTCGTTCGTCCGAACTTCTTGCATGAGGAATTTTGACCAAGATTGTCCATTAAAGATGGCTAAATATAGGGTATGAGTGTTACGGGGACAAAGACTAACCTGAAGCCCATCAGAATGCAGGTAAATGAAAACAGACCCAGCTAGCAGCAAACACCAAAGATAAACACATCCAGACTTTTCCATATGCACAGTTTATGACATAACTATTTTACTTGTTCAACAAAGCTGACAGGCAGTCATCAAGTCCAAGTTGTTCAAAGGGCGGATAGCGCTATCCGTTAGATAAATGTTAACCAAATGTCATGCGCTATCCACCGGATGGAGATTTATCCAGTAGATAGCGTTATTCACCCTCCGAACAACCGAGGCTAAAAGAACGAACTACAGCTTACCAGGAAACCATCCTACTTTACTTCTACATCGTCCTTGCCACCAATCATCTTTCTAAAATGAGAAAAAGAAAGACGAAACTATAGTCATCATGTCTCCATGAATTGCCGCAAGTTCATTTAAACGCTTTGTTGTGGGAAAAGACTCGCCATCGACATCTTAGGACGGTTCACAGGGTACCCAAGTACAGTTATCCAGCATGCACAGGATCTCACGTAGTTGAACACCACCAGGCCTTACCTTGACCAGCACAGTAACTTCATCTCCAACTTGTAAGTCCAAGTCATTTTCTTTGTTTCCTCTGAACGCCGTCGCCACTCGTACCTTGTGTTCGGCATTGGCCATTTTCTGCTTCGCTCGTTTCTTCTCCTTCATTCGCATCTTAAGGACCCGCTCTCTCTGAAATACGAAAGTCACAGACTTCAATCTATGTGTTTTGCGTACAACAATCTCCTACAATTCACTTGAGATGGTCACAGACAGAACTTCACTGACCTTGTACAGGTAACAAAGCGTTAAGTGGTCACAGCGATTCCAAGAGAAAAACTCGACAAAAAATACTCATGAGCCTCTCAGCACAGGTAGCCAGTGAAAGGCTTTACTTTCTTCCTTTTCGGGAAAAGCACAAGAAAAATACAAAAACAAACAAAACCAGTTCCTTACCTTGTCACCTTTTTCCCGTACATTTCCTTCTTGAACAAACACTTCATCCTACATCACAAAAAAATATCATTGTTTTAATTTCATGTGATCAAATCCGCAACTCCAAAGCTTCTGATCTCTTCCCAGCCACGTCTAATATTGGAACCCCTTTACGATGATAATCTTCTAAAAAAGTAAGGGTGGGGGAGGAACACAATCTACAACTGGTATCTGAGCCTCTTCAACTTTTTATTACCTAGGCACCCAGGGAGAAAATGATCTTCATTTTCTAGCCGCCTCTCTACCTCTCCACCAACCCCCCCCTCCCATGAGGGAATTAGCTCCTCCTTTGGTTGAGCTTAAAATTAACCCTAACCGGACCCCCCCCCTTTACAAGAAATAATATCTTAAAAGTATGTGAGTCCCTAAGAGGGGACAACCGTATCTAAGGACAACCTCCTTGGGAAATAACCTTGAAAAGAATTGGCTCTTACAATGCGCGCCCCCCCCTCCCGGAAGAAATTTCTCACCTTCTGAGCCTCCTAGGGAAACTAATCTCCAAAAAGTGATTAAGCTGCCAGCAAAGTTTCTTAAGCATAATCTTTTCCCTCAACTTACAGTTATCACATTTCAATAACGCTCATTTACTTACGTCTTCCTTCTTGTCTCCTTCGGCGTTTTTCTCTATAGAGGCTTGTCTATGCTATGAAAAAGAACGAAAGGAAGAAATAAAAATTAAGGGAATAGAAACAGCGTCAAGATTATCGCACAGCCAACCAAAAGGTATCGCCTACAGAACTACCATAATCCACTTTCTTGCTATTACATCGATATTAGTGCAACGCTAGCAGCGACGAAATTCTTGCTAGATACAAGGCGTTTTTGACATCACAGGTCCTTGCACCATGATCTCGTGTATTCATCTGGAAACAGTTGTTCAAAGGGCGCATAACGCTATGCAACAGATAAATCACCATCCAGTGGAAAGTGTTAACAAAATTTTCTGCGTTATCCACCGGATTGATATTTATTCGGTGGATGGTGTTATCCGGCCTTCGAACAACCAGGGTCTACGGTATATTGCACTGACAAATTCTCCGCCCCCCTTGAGTGGCGAGATATTTTGACAGGACACTTCCTATGAGCACCAGCCCCTAACTCTTCAGAACGCCTCTCGATTGAGTGCCGCAAAACAAAAAGCGTAGAAATCTCAACAACCAAAACAACCAACCTGAGCGAAGGAAAGTATCGCAGGAACCAATGGGAACAAAACCCAAGGATGCAAAACAAGCAAACTGCCCGGATGGTGGAAAACGCAAGGGAACAAGTTGTTGTAAGGCTAACATCTGATTAGTCGAGAGGGTGGCGCCAAGCAACTGCTCCAACGACAGTACCTTCATGATTGATCCTCGTTTGATTGTGCCTCTTCTAACTTGAAAGTTGAAGGCGTCTGCTGCTGTTAGGGATTGTCTTCTCTCTGCAACTTGGTCTGCCTGTGGTAAAGAGTCAAGTATCAAAGGTTGGACCAAAATAGCGACTCACACTGGAATCATATAACAACGGCGTGAAAACCGTTGGAAAGCCTAGATTTCCAAAACGGAAAATAGAAACTTGTTTTGTACAAGTGAGCCGCTTTTTAGAAACCATGATATTCTTCCTCGAAGTTTTGGTTTGATCTTTTCAGTGTTTTTTGATCAAGCGTCATAAAAACAAAATTACGGTGATCACAAAGGCCTCACAGATCAAAGGAAAATATCACATGGTACCAACGAGGAGACGAGGCAGATTAACAAAAAAGTGCGTGACACCTGAGTACAAAGCACTTACCCTAACACTTCCGAATAAACTGCTGGCGACGCTGCTGATCATGTGGACAGCTTGATGCTTCATTGAGACCTGTGGGCAGAGATTCATGAAATCGACAAGTCAGCTTGCTAACTAAGTGGTCCCCTTCCCGGTCTTTTCGGCATCAAGCGGCCAGGAGTACAGCTACCCCCAGAGAACTGTTTAAGAACTGGTAGGGAGAGGGGGGTAGGTAGAGACGGGGAGCAGGTTAACTTGCGATAGACAAACAATTTGTTTCGAATGCAAAACTGTCTTACGTCTGAAGTGGTACTGAAGTGGTACTGGTCTGATGCTTGTCTTTCAATGTGTGGCCTCAGTTGCGGCTGATCTTCATCCAATGTCCCAAGTTTGTTAAAAGCTTCAATGGCTATGGCTACGAATAAACTGTAAAAAAAATAATAAACATTAGTCACTAATAACAATAAATACTACTAACATTGTAATAAGTTATTGGTCAGTATCATAAATAATGTAACAATTGTAAGCAGGACGTGAGAATTCCAAGCAATGTTGCTGCTGTCAAAATGTTGACATGGTGTGTAATACTCGCACCGTTATTAATTTTAGTATTGTAAGTGAGTTGTGGTAATCCAAAAAAAAAGTGTGAAGATTCTTTTGTTGAATGGAAGACGTTAAGTTTACCGCGTTGATTCAGTTTACAAACAAGCTAGTCAGCGATGCCACTTGACATAGTAGCGTAGAATGGTTTTCATAGAGCCGGAAATTAAGAAAGACAACCTTTAACACAACACTCACTTCATGATCACCATGTTGACCAAGATATATGCTGCAACAAAATACAAACTGGTCCAGTTCGATCGAGTGGCTTCCATCACCTGGTAAATAAAAAAGAGAAATACAACTTTCAATATTTCGCAAGAAAACTTTGAAAAACATCCACCAGCAATTTTTATAAAATACCTTAAATTCTGGGTGCTCTCTCATTGGTCGATAGATGAGAGTATATAAAAACGGTTATAACATTTCAGGTTCGTGCAAATTTTTGAAAAATACTTTACAACAGCAATACAGAACTTTTTCACTGTGTACGTAGCCTCAACGAAACATAAAGGAGTTCATTGGCGTAGCTGTCTTAAATTTTCCCAAACTCGTGAGTGTTCAACGAAGCTATGTAAACCCAGATGAGGTTCTCTAATTCTGAAGTGCCGGGGGGGAGGGTAAGCAGTATTATCTTGTAAGGGAGGCAGACCCTTCTGTTGTGTTTTACTTGCATTTTGGGGCATGCCAAGTTGTTTCAAATTATAGTTTATCACGTTTTCTTACCATGGGCGGGAGGGAGGGAGGGGGGGCAGAGCGTACTTTCGGACCCTCGCCCCCCCCCCCCACTTAGCTCTACTAGTGCAAAATATGGTCAATGAAGGGAATGTAGTTTTATTGTTCTTCGCAGCTCTTAAAATTTACATTTATATGTAATGTCAGACCTACGCGCCCTCTTTTTTCCCCTATATTTTCTCCTTTCATCGAGAATCCCCCCTCCCTTCTCACACCCCACCACTTGTGCCCTCCTCCTTTTTTTCTATTCCCCTGTTTAAGAAGAAGGTCGAGAAAGAAAATTCTAACTTACTGAGTTCATAATTTCATGCCAGTTACTCGTGGTTACCATCTGGAACAAGATCAGACATGCACACCTGAACAAAAAAGGAGAACCACTTTAACATAGGTCTGTCAATAGTTTCGAAAGTAGAAGGCAAACAAGAAATAGTAGGCAGGCATGCAGGGTCTGGTAAACACCATGTTCTTTCCGGCATTAGATGACACGAAAAGCTGGGAACTATTTAAATAAAATGTGCCAGGTGTTCCACGAAGTTCACTCTAACCTTCGCGCAAATTCGGAACGTGAAACCAATTCTGGCATCCACCTTTGTTAATGGTAAATCATGATTTCATTTCAACTTAAAAAGTGAGTAATGGGTACTGTATAAATTTCACAGATTTGGTATTTTTCATCAGAAAGTAGGGCAGAATTATGTGAAGGTGGTGGTCTGAGCGTGAAAGACAACTGGCTTTTTTTGACAGCTCTGTTTTATGAGGATATCTCATTTCGGAAAAAAAAGAACTGGTAAAAGTTTCATCTTAAACGCGGAACATAATTCGCTGATGACAATTTACCAAAATGTTTGAAATCCTAAACCGCATGCTGGAAGATACATATGTCCTTCGCTTGTCTCACTCGTGTCATGAAACAGCTCCATTCCCACGCTCGCTAACAGAAACCTGCACACCATAAAAAACAAAGAGGAGAAGCTAAATAAAAGAAGCTAAGCCAATCTTACTAATATCACTAAAGCTTCGAATCTATCCTTCCCATGTAACAGGTTTGGACCCAGGAGTTACATTAGATCAAACACTTATTCCAGTTTCTTAACCTCAGCAAAACTAGAGCAATCCAAACAATGCAAAGGCCTGACTTCAACGTAACCAGATGAAACTTTCAACCTCGTCGTGTTTCATTTGTTTCATCGATTTGCTCGGCCTGATCAACCTTAACACAGTTAACACTGCTAAGGGTACAGAAGACAGAAAGTTTCATTTCAGACTTGGCATTCAAATATTTGAACTCACAAAATTATTCCTAAGAGACACAGAAGATCCACCATTACTGGTGCGATCCTAGAGAAGATGGAAACAGCTTGCTTCAGCTGACTGTTGTTGAACGGAAGGCGACAAAACACAGCTAGGCTGGAAATTGTCGTCGCATAATCTCTGAACCAGAAGAAGTCTGGGTAGTTGGTGTACCAAACAAAGTTTGAGCAGAAAGCCAAGACGACCTGAAAGATGAAAAGAAATTTCTAGATCATGGCTGCTAATACTATAAGAAGAAAATGGGTTCAAAAAGTATAAGTCTGGGAGGGGAGGGGAGGGGAAGGGGGAGATCGCTGCATCGAGGAAGTGAAGGGGGGGGAAGGGTGGGACAGAGAACAAAAAAATGAAAACGGGAGCCAAGAAGGCAAGGAAAAACATATCTCAGAAACTCTTTGTACTGCTCACCAAAAGAAGGTCCAGAATCTCCTGAGGTTGTAAAATTCGTCTTCCTAATGCCACAAGTCGTGTGCCGCCTTCAATCTAAACAACAGAATTGAGCACCACTTAAATGTGATAATTTTATTGAGCGTCTTAAAACCAAGACCAAAGTAACTACAACAACCAATCAAAAGAAAGGAAAATATCCTGAGGAACCAAAAAGAACTCAGAGTACAAACAAGTAAACCGCATAAAGCGCAGGACAACGAAGGCGACCAAGTCGTGATGGGTTTTAGTTTTGCGTTTGATTAGTTAAGAGAGTAGGGCGAGTTTTCTTGACCAATCACAGAGCGAAGTAGAACAAAACCAAAGTAATAGTAATACTCAGTTGAAAATTTCTCCAAAGCGCAGTACTGAATAACAAAAGATGCACAGTTACTTATTTTTGTTTACATTATTAACATTAAAAAAAGAGAAAACTTACCAGGAAAATTGTAACGATAGCACTTCTAAATACTACAAAAAAAAAGAGAAAAAATGTTTGAAATGCTAATAATAAGATGGAAAAATAAAGATTAAAACACAGCGCGATTGGAAATATCTTCTGAACTTTTTTTAAGTTAATCTCCATTACCCCTGTTTATCATTACTGAAAGATATCAGTCGTCAACAAAAACCAGCGCTGCTATAGAATTAACAGAAACTATACAGCAACTTAAGACAAACCTTGTACTATGAATTCAATCTGCTGGTCTTGTCCTTTCCATTTAAAAGCAAACAGAATGCTGTTCGAGTAAAAACGCCATATAGTCTAAGTTACTAAAGGCTCTTCATAAGTAACACGCACTAATTGTTCAACAAAGAAAAGTAAAAAAATAATACAGCACAAAAACACTTACCAGTGTACAATGATCAGGAATAAGATGAAACGTGAAAATAATATACTCTGAAATAAAGATGCATGATATTAATAGACAATTATGAAAAAAAGACTACACTGTAGTTAAAAATCAAAGCTTATCTTTGACGGTATGACTGCCTGGAAGCGTTGCTTCAATTATACAACGGCCTTCTACAGGAAGAGTCGATGCGAAACATTGTTGCGGAGGCAATCTAGCCGATTTAGCTGCGCAGGAGACATGCATAGATGGCACGGAGACAAATTTTGCTAGTCGGAAACAAACAAATGCCTCAGCTGGAAAAATTGTGCTGTTCACACACACATTTTCTTCCAAAAGAAATGTTTCCCAGTGTAGCACTTTCTTCACTTTTCGTTACTTTGGCTACCCTGAAAACATAACAATGGTTCCTAGTTTAGCCATTGTTTACTGTGTACCTCTGAAAGGGACTTGGCGCTTTCTCGAGTGCTGATCATCCACTTTGATAGACCAGGCTGAAGATGGATAAAAAAATTGTAAATAAATAACAAATTTTAAAAGCGGGAACAACTTTTCAATGAAACGTCTAAGAATTTCCCGTGCCTTCGTTACTTTTCTTTTAGATCGAATTTTTCATGGTTCCACATGCCGCCAATCATCGAACCCTCGTTAATTCGAAGAAACGGGGGGAGGGGGGCGCTTACTTACCGAAACGTCAACAGCATACACACCGGATATTGACATTCAAAACTGATCGTAAAGTTTTAGCAACGGTCACCTTGGTACCCGTTATTAATTTTCAAATTTTGAAATGTTATCAAAAACTAAAAACCGTACGAATGTGTAAATGTGTCCGAAAGTGTTTAAGAACAAACAATACCACAGTCGTCCAAGAAAATGGGTTAAAGTGGAAGGCACTTATTCACATTAGAGGATGGGTGCTAATTTCAAATCTTTACCAATAGAAGGGGCGCATAGCAGAGGGGGGCACTTTTTCACGGATTTATAGAACATACTTACAATTTTTAGATCCAAAAAGTACAAGTAATTGCAACATAAACAATAATGACGCGTTACACAGTGACAGGTACAGTCTGCGGTGATCACACAAATAAATGCCCACGTGTAAAATTAAATCGCCTTACTGTCTCATCTAGTAACAGGAGGTCGTCGTCATCTTCAAATTCAAGACTTAAAACCTGCAGGACAATCGAGAGTTATATGATGAGGTAAATAATACACGCATTGCGATTGTTTCTTAATTAAGATCTATTGGAGAACAGACCCATAGATGACGTTACACTTAACATTTTGCTTTTTCATCACATAAACAAGCATATTCCATGTTGCTGCAGGTCTGTTCAGTAATAGATCACAGTAGACGTCAAAATGCGGCAAGAACGTCAGTGACACACTCGGCTGCGTCTCGTGTATCACGTTTTAAATCTTACCTCATGATGACGTCATCTGTGATCTGTTACTAAACAGGTGTACGGCAACATGGAATCTGTTAGTCAATTATTCACAAATTCCCACCTTGCTCAACATCGTTGTCCATTCAAAAGAGTCTACTTCACCATCCTCATTGGTATCTAACATTTCAATCAGAACTAAATTCTCTGCATCTGAGTTCTGGAGAGACATAAAACCACAGTTACTAAAAAAAAGGAAGGTGTTTACAGCTCTCTGATCACTAACTTTTGTTTAATTAAAGCCTACCTTTGGCTTCAAGAGGTGAAACAGCAAAGTGAATTTTTCATCTTCAAGGCTCAAGGCTCCTGAAAAAAAAAATTGTGATCTTTTATTTAATGAAAGGGGGCAAGCTTCTAAAGAAACTGTGGTGCTGGGTGCTGCGTCAGTGGGTGTGTTACAAGGTAATTCTGTTTTATCAACCGAGTTGATCATGCTAGTTGGCCACTATAGAGTTTTTCAAGCTAGCGTTTCGATCGTTAGCCTTTCTTCGAGGCGATCTATCATTAAATCGATCACTGAATGATTGGTCTGGTCATAAATTTGTTTCCATGACAGATGGATGGACCAACGGGAGAGGTGGATCTACTTATTTATTAACATGGAAAAAGGAGAAAACCTACCCTTTCCAAGAGGATCTAAAAGATTCCAAGCCTTTGCCAGTTCAGCTCTCTCTCTAGCACGTTCTTTCTTGACATGCTTTTTGGAATAAACCCTAGATGTACATAGAAAAAATTGGTTAACGTTGGAAACTGTCTTAGTTGAGTTGTTCACTGTTCACTTGACATACCAAAAAGGAAAAGTTTGAAAAATGTTTATTTTTCTGGGAAAAAATTGCAATTTAGAACAAAAAATATTGCAGCTCACAAATAAATTACACTGCTGAGAGCCAATCAGATTGCAAGGATCACCAGTGATTTCAAAATGCATGTAATAAATGTAGATACCCTAAAACTGTGATGACATACCAATAACTGTCCACCACAATTGCCAGAAGGATTGCTGTCAAAAAGAACACGCCAACAAACACAAACAGCCCTGAAAATTTTAAAGAAGGTGTAAAAAATCCAGTTACGAAAAAAGAGGCTAGAGTCCACACTCTGTAGAAAATATTTATTTAACTTGTTCAATGGACCTCAAAATTCGGCTAAAATAAAAACTCCGAAACTTCTTAAAATTTCAAACAAAGGGGTAACAAGTTTATGTGAACGAAAGCTCTTAAACAGCTATCAAAAACTCTGCGAAAACAAACAAGAAAAGTATGTGAAAAATGTCCACATCAGTTTTCCAATGTCAAGATTAGAGTTCTATAACGTGATTGGCTAATTTGTGAAATCACACGCACCTCACATGAAAACAAAAAGAATACAAAGGGAGGAGAGGAAGAGAAAAAATTGTTATTCGAAATTTGAAAACGAAAGAGATTTTACAGAAGGTATCAAATCACAATAATACTGATAAAAAATTCATTATAAAAAACTAAGTTATCCAAACCTTACCAAAATAAATAAAATAAGCTGATTCCACTCTAAGGGCTGGAAGCATTACCTCCTGTTGCAAGAAAGACAACAAAACTCATAAACAGACCCATGTGGACAGGGTTCAAAGTTAACTTTTAAGTCCAATTGCAAAGTTTTGCAAGTAACATTTTTTTTCCACTAGCAAACTGGTGAGACCACTAGCAAAGTCTTTCCCTTTGAAATGTCAATGACCATATCTGATATAAAGACTACAATTGATATTTAACACAGGCTAAAAATGAGCTGAAAAGTTTAATAAAATAGCTATTAAATATTTGGTCTCCTATGTTGTTGTCCTTACAGCCACTAAGTGGCTGTAAGGGCAACAACAAAGGAGACCAAATGTTTAAAACCCATCTACTGCATGTTTGGGAGACATGGATGATTCTATGTAACAAACATTTGCTGGTGGATTTTTTTCTCATTCGCAATTTATCATTAAATCACTTGCATTTTGCGAGTTTGCAAGCATCAATTTTGCATAGTTAGTAGAGGAGAGTCTACTAACTATGAATTTTGAGACCTGTGTGAAGCTTCTATTAGTGCAAGCCATATTGGTATGGCAGGTGTATTAGGGGTACAGCAGTTTTGTAATGTACTTACTGGAAAATTTTCAGTTGATAGTAGGACAAACAACTTAAGCATTCCAAATGCCACATGATCAAAAGCCCTACAAAGGGAAAAAAGAGAGGAACATCTCTATAAAACATGTAAGTTATATAAATCAGTTATCAATGACTGCAAATATATGAAAATCACATATGTGAACTGAGGATTAAGAAATTAATTGTGATCTTTGAATAATGAACACTACTTAAGCAGTAGTGAAAATAATGCCTGAAAAAAATTCAGGCCTGAATGGGATTTGAACCCATGACTTGTGAAATCAGTAGTGCAATGCCCTACCAACTGAACTAACAAACCAACTGGGAGCTGGTAATTATAATTACATTCATTTAGTTATCTTACAAGAATTGGAGGATAGAGTATGTTCAAATGATATAAACATCTCACAGACTGACAATGTGGTTTAATTGGAAGATTTCAAATGTGTACAAATAAATTTTTATTTACCATTTACAGCTAATGATTTGACATATGAAGGGCATAAGATAAATATTTAACAGCCTTAAGAACTTAGTGAGTATAGGTTTAAAAGCTGTCTTGATATTTTCAGTCTGACTAAATTATAGTCACTTCATACCCTTGGTAAACCTTTTCTTCACTTTGCACATAACATGGAACTGTTTTCCTAAAAGATAATAAACAGTGTCAGCATCAAACAAGCTTTGGTAACCAAAGTGTGATACTAGTAATAAAGCAATCCAATTGGCAAATATTTGGTAAGAGCTCTCCATCTGCCTCACTCATGTAAAAAACACAGTATTGAGTCATCGGTAAAAGGTACACTATAATGTTGGCATAACCCTTTCACTTACAAGATCTAATCAAAAATGTTTAATTTGTATTATTGTAGTGTACTTTGAAATCTGAGGATTAAATAGGAAATCTTTACAGAGGGGTATGGGGATGTGAACCATTTAATCGAACATCTCCAGATTACACATTTCCGGAAATGACATCTCTGTGAAATCAAACAACTCACCCATGATGGGCAGTTGTAGATGATGAATTATCCAAAGGACCATTGCACTGATAAGCGTCCATAAGAACATGAACTCCGATACAGGCACACATTAGAACAAATACTAGAATTATAAAAAATAACTAGAAAAAGAAAACAATCCAACATTAAACATTGGAAAAAATATTCATTTAATTTAAAACCAACAGGAATATGAAATATTTCTTTGTAATTGTGAAAAACTAAAGGCTTCTGGGCCACACCCCACCTCCAGACACCTGTTAACAAACTACTAGCAAATCAGAATAAGGAATGAATACTAACCCAAAGACAGGAAGGGAGGGGGAGGAAGGAGGGGAACAGAGCAAGCAGAATAGCAAAGCAGATTGGGAAAAAGCCCCTGGCCATGCACTGGAAAACCTTTCTTGGACCCACCACATCATATTAGGGAAACAACTCCCTCAACTTGGTGTTAACCTTGCCTACTGATTACAATTAGCCTTGTATAAAAACCCTTTCAAAAATACTTGATGTCAGATTGGTAAACATCAACAGCAAAAGAAGACACATTACCTTTGAAAGCTTGAATCCAATTGTCATTAATACCTAAAAAAATATGCAAGATATGCAAAAATACTGAAACAAAGTTGTAAAGTCTAATGTCATGTCATACATGGGAATCTGCACTGACTCTTAATGCAACGTCAAATTCTTCCAGTGTTTCACAAAGGGAAACAAGGCAATTTGAAAGGAGAATTTAGAAGTAGATCAGTATTCACTTTAGGGTTTTTCCAATGCAACCATTCAAATATAAAAACCACAGATTCACGTTTCATTCTCAAGTATAAAATAACTTGATTAAAAAATTCAAATTTTTAACTAGTGCCATAAAACATAGTGTCTTAGAAATCATACAAAATATATGAAATTTAATGAAAATTTTCTTCCACAAATAACTGTTGTCAGAAATGACATTTGATGCACTTTGGGAACACTCACATTAAAAATATGTTGAATATTCTTCACTTTACACAAAATAAGTGCTAATCTGAAAGATCTAAAAATGGGCGGAATATACTGTGGAGAAAGGATCAAAGAATAACAGTTATTAAAATAATTTCCAACTCAAGACTTCAATAAGCATTGAAATAAATGTACTAGGTGCATTTTTAGCATTTCAACTTACCTCTCCTAAAAACCTGGATATAACCAGCAATACAAAATCCACAGTGAAAAAGCAAACAAGTACAAATTCTACCCTGAATAATGAAAAGATAAAAATACCAATAATGTTGAAACTCTTACAGTATTAATATAAACTCAAGGCATTTCAAAATATCCTCTTAGGAAGTTCTTGACTATCTTGCTCTTCCTCATTTAGTCAATCACATGGCTGTTTCTTTAAAATGTAGGTAATGACAAGTAGTTGCAAATGAATAAAATCTCACCCATTCCACCAGCCTCCTTCAGTTCTTCTTGACCAAAACACAGGCCACGTCAAAAAGATAATGTGCACCACAAGATCAAAGATGAACAGCATAATACAGGACATGTTCAGAATATAGACAATTGGATGAACTCTGCAGAAGCAGTGTAGAACGCTATGTGAGTTGTCAAAGTGTTTGGAAATCAGAGAATATTTCCAGCAATATTTTGATGGCCAAGCAGTTCTTTTTTTTCCCATGATTCTCTTGCTACTGCATTTCCTAATACAAAGCAAGCTTATGGGAGTTTGTGACCAGAAAATTTTTTATCAATGTCAGTATCCAAGGAATTGGGTACCTACCCCTCCCTAACAAGATAACAAGACAAGGTTAATGTTGTGTTAAGGGAGGGGTAGGTGCACAAATTCTCAGATACCAATGTTGATCCCAAATTTAATACCAAAGGGGCAGCTATGCATAATAATGACTTGTCTGTATGTACACCCCTCTTACTAGCTATGCCTTGTAAATGGTAATGGTGACTATGACAGTGACTATTTTAATTGTGATAATGAGAACAGTGATGACAATAACAGAAGTGAAAATACATTGATGGCAATTGTAGTACAATTATGAATTGCATTCTAACAAAGTTACCTTAATACTTGAATTGTTGGAGGCTCAAAGAAGATAAGAAAGGAATGTAACAGGGAGTTCCAGATGATAAGATAACGAAACCAGGGATTGTCCAAAATATCAAAGCATCTACAAAAAAATTCATCAACAAAATTAATGACTAAAGATTGCCTTACAACCTAAGACTGTTACTGATCATAAATATGGCTCTATACAATTAAAATGAAAAATGATTTTAATAATAAAGTTTAAAGAACACCTAATTTATGATCTCATGAAATGGTTGTTACATACTTTTGTGCAAGCCTTGGTTTAAAGTATGAGCGAGCCTTTCCATAGCTTCCTCTAGAGTGAAAATAAAGACAAAAAGCTTTTATTAATAATTCTATTGTTGAATTAATCTAAATATATTGATTTGTGTTACTTCAAGTCTGTGACATTTCCAGGTCCAGTGGTCTGCCCTCAAGTCAGGTGGCTCACAAGGCTACAGGTGCTGGAGCTGCTTGCATTTGTCCTGCCTCTTTGTAGTTGTGCTACCACCCCTGGATAGGATGTTATTCCATCACTGTTCCCCCCCCCCACCATCTCCCATACAATTCAATAATACAATTACCCATTTATACTCCTGGGTGGAGAGATAGGCACTGTGGGAGTAATCTGTCTTGCCCAGGAACACAACACAGTAACACAGCCAGAGATCAAACCTTCGGAGCTCTCCAAGGGGGTCAAGAATGCTACCAGTTAGGCAGCTGTGTCTCCTATACAACATCCCTTGGAGACTGCATGTGAGGAAAGAGGAGGATTATATTGTGACATGAACCAACATGATGGGAAGACTCCCAGGGAACTTGAGGACATCACACCATAGGTATAATTGCTAACTGAGTCCTATTCTGGATCCAGAAGCATTGGCAGGGGAGTGCTTTTTGTTCAATAACCATTCATTACTAGGCTTACCTTCCCTTAAGTGCATCATCAATATGAGCTGAGGCTAATTTCAGTTCTCTGTGAGTACCTTGAAGATCACCAAACTGCTGGGTGAGAGCATCAGCCTGAAAACATGAAACAGATCAAAGATGAACTCCAGATAACTTTAATTTCTTATCAAAGTGTATGTATGTGGTGCCATTATGACTACAGATCTTGGAGGGCAAGAGGTTCAGGAATTAGTAATCATTTATGACAAAATAACCTCACAGAATGTTCATGCTATTTTCCTGGTTGTGCCCATAAGGGATGGCATTTATTCAAAAAATAGATTCCCTTTTGCTGTGAGTCTGTTCAGTAATTGATCACAGATGATGTCAAAATGTGATCATAACAAAGAACCAATCAAAGTGTGTGTAGAACTCAGCTTATTATGTACTTTACAGTTTACTGTTGCTTTCTTCACAGGAAGTAGAGTTCCTGTGGGATGACTGAATTTGATCCCATTCCCAAAAATCTCATCATCATCATCCAGATAAGCTGGCGAAGGATACACATCTTTAAGAAATACTAAGCACTTGAATTATAGATTTAAATTTTATCACCAAGCTCATTAAATAACTTAAAAACTATGATTATTATTCCAAGACAGATGTCTAACTTCTAAAGAGTCAATCAACGAGATGTTCCGATTGCACAACTTTTGGCCTTATTACAAAACACCTCTTGAAATTCTCTAAGAACACGCACACTTAACGCTTTAATTAATTAACAAGTGGTGACAGTTGATTGATCTCAGTAACGAAAATTTTTTAGCCTAGAATACTAGCTACCCCCAAAACAACCCCCATGTAGCTATCATTATATGATTGACTTTGTCTAAGCCATGTTATCCAAACAAACGATTAAAGTTTAAGCCTACCCCGTCAGCCTGAGGAACTAGAGACAGAGCAGGCACCAAAAAGCCAAATTGTCCAAAATTTTCCACCGATGATCGTCGTTTTAAACTCCGAAACTTCTCAGTACTTCTTTGATTTAAACTCGGAGTAGACGACCAGGCGATTGAAGAGGAACGAGATTTTCCATCGCTTCCGTTGGCCTCCTCCGAAACGATCACCGGTGTTTCGTTCTCCACCAATACTGTAACAGTGTTACTTTTCACACTCTTAGCTTCCTCTTGGAGTACTTCATTATCTGCCATTTTATTCACAATGGCTTGGAAGCATAAAAACGCGTTTGAGCAGCAAAATGTCCACTTTACATCTTCCCTCACAACTTTTCATCCTCTACATAGCATCGTGTCATGTAGAATTTCGCTTGTGCATGTTCACAAAATCACATAACGTTAGGAACGCTGGAATTTGACATAAACAGCTGCTCTGAACGCATAAAACTGTAATTAATGATCTAAACGGCAAACAGTAAGCACAATATAACACGTAGCGTGGCAAGGTGCCTTGCTTGTCACTCGTCTAAAAACAATATGAAGAAGTCATGTTGTTTAGTTTCATGTCACTAACGAGCTTCCATAACATTTCGGCATGTCCTGGCGTAGGTCAGCTGTAAAACAAACTCGTCAAGTTGAACCAGCCAAATAATTCGATTAACAGGAGACTTCAAACGCTCACAGTTTGTGGCCAACAGTTGTCAGAATCATCCGCATACGGGACAGCATAGCAACTGTCCAACAAAAATCATTCACTTTTCCTGTCGCCCTACTCACAGAATGCAAATGACGACCAATATTTCCGTACGGTTGACAGGATTCTTTCATCTCAAACACAAACAAATCCGTTTCTTTATCTATGATGCCCTATTTACACAACTACACTGTTATTTTCAGGCTTCGCGCCCTCTGACGTCAGTTGCACAAAGTTCACGCAATCCCAGTACCGTTAAGCGTGAGTCGAGAAGCCTCAACTTTGCAAAAAAGTTTTACTGGACAAATTTCTACCTTACTTTAAAAAATAGAGAGAAAAGAGAATTTGTTATCAATTCTGGGAATACGAGCAGGAATAATGCAGAACTAAAGCTATTTGAAGGCTGACCAATTTAGGACAAAAAGATCTTCACATGAATGCGCTCGAAAGCACAAAATCTCCTCTTAAGAATAAGGCAGGGCAATAAGCCTTTGTAGATTTGCAATAAATGGCTCGAACCCAACAGACAATACATCCTCTCTAATACTTATTTAGTTGCCACTCACTCACTGACACAAAAGAAGTATGAAAGCGGACGGAACAGTCATTAAAAAAGCAGATCCGTCCGAAATGGGAAGAAATCGTTCAAAATAGGACACCCGTCCCAAATCGGATAGCCCCCGTCCGAAAATGGACCGAATCACCCAAACTCTGACGGAAACGTCCGAAATCCTGCAAAACGTTTTGAAAATCAGTCGGAGCCTTCCGAAATCGGCCAAGACCTTCTTAAGTCTCTAAACTCCGTCAATACATTTTGTAAACAATGCACAATACGACCATTACTTTCCAAAAAGAATGAAAAAGTTGTCTTTATTTTTCTTAATCAAAAGTAATTACAATTGTAAACAGATATACTAAGTGTTTGTCTGGGTTTTTTTTGTTTCAATATCTATACTGTATGCGTCAATGGAAAATACATTTAAACTTTTTATCTCAAAGCAAAGTCTACATCACGCTCGATTCCTACAAACTTGAGGGCATCCGTAGCACTGTACCTGAAATATGATTTAAAAAAAAAAAAACAATGAAAAACAAGTAACTTAAAAAATCAGAGGTAGAGAGACAAAAATAAAAGCTGAGTAGCTCGCTTGTCTCCTGAAAGAGTGGGCCATGATCGAGTCCATAGTATTGTGTTCTTTGGCAATCTACTTTACCCTTTCTGTGCATTTCTCCATCAAGGACTAACATCAAGGTCACTGCTCTTTAAAATCATCGCCACTTTTTAAGTTTTTATTTTTTGAGGGAGGAGGGGGAAGGGGGAAGGGGGGAGGGCTGGTGGGGATATTGTCATCTGATTGGTTGCAAGCGGTCAGTGGAATAAGTGCGTCGATCCTGACAAAGCTGGCAAGTACTTAGGAAACCTACGGTGAATTAGGATCCCCACCCCTCCAGAAGGAGCAACAATATTATTGGGACATCCAAGTTGTTTTAACTGAGTACCATGAATTAAAAAGAGGGTAAGTTTTGAGCTAAGTCATGAAAGAAAGAAATATGTTATGACATATTCATTTAGTCACGGAAAAAAAAGCAATGAAAAACAAGTGGGACAAAAAAAAAGAAAAACTGACTCCCCCTAAAAGAATAAAACACCCAAAACTTCCCATTCTGCGTTCTGATGCTCCACCACTGAGCTACAGAGAACACTACGGTGTAGCTTGCTCCCAGGCCCTCATTATTAGCGCTGCAAGACGCGCGTTCATCCACCCGCGGGAAGAATCAAGACGAGTCGGGGAGAGGTTTGGTAGGGGTTGGGCTCTAATGCTCAAGGCCTCTTACTTTCCCGCGGATGAAGAAAAGAAACGGCGGTGTTGACGCGCAACACCAGTTAAGGATGATAAGCAAAGCCCTTGCCATGTTTCCACGTGACAAACGCCCCGTATATTGCTAGGATCAGCAATGACGACACTTTAAGCTTGTGAAAAAGCGATCGATCTTTCCTCTGGAGACAAAGATGCTTACTTATGAAGAAGAAATAGCTTTTCTTTCTTTACCTGTAGTCAAAGAATAGTTCCTCTCCAGCTTCGATGTCACGTTTGGCAAATATTCCAATCCGATGGTCCCCGTTCACCATCATCACTGAAATGGAACAAAGTGTTGTGTTTTCAGTTTGTTTCTTGCTTGCAACAAACGTGTACTAAGACACAGTTAATAAGTAATTCATATCCAACCCTCTGACCCCTAGCTACGAGTGACTAGCATCTAATTTCCCCATACAACACGCGAATAAAGATACTGATCACCAACGAAAGAAGCTCTTGATTGTTAAAAAATTCTCGTCCGCACCTTAAGAAATGTATGGAGAACAGTAGGGAGAAAATACATACTGATGCTAGGGTGTACAAGGTTAACGCTCTGTTAGAAGCAAAGGAGCGAGACTAAGTTTACAGTGCGCAAAATCTACACAATTTTACCGAATTTTTAAAATACAAATTTTTTGATGTTGTAAGTAACTTATAAGACAAAGCTTAAAAGTCTTCAGTAAGGTTTAAGCGAAATTATCATAAAGTGGGACACCATTGGATTCAACATGGACCACAGTGTTTTCTCTCATATGTAACTGTAACTGTACCTAAGAAACATTCAAAAGACAGAAGCAAAGATAACTTTAAGAAAGGTACAACGATCTCTTACCTTTGGCGTAACAGTTCGGACTGATGGAATGGTTAGCGAACCTAATTTTGTTTCCTTTGCGAGTAGCGTCAACAACAAAGTCTGAAAATTAAGCAAATCCAACACAATTAACAAGAAAAATGCTACACAACTGACACGAGGGTGGGATGGGAAAAAAAGTTTAAGTCTCTCGTGAGGATTCGAACCCAACAATGACATTAACATCGCCCAAAATGGCGATTTGGTTCTAGATTAAAATTAAATGAAATGTTAGGATCGTCTTTCCCTACCATTGTTCAGATTGAAGAGAAAACTGCACATGTACTTGTCGTAAACTTTTCCTCTGCGGTCGGCCTCGTCCTGAGAGATGATCTGACAGCAAAAGAAACGAAAGTAAAAACCTGTGAGGATTCACTTCCTATTTAATTTGAAGGGGAAAAAAGACGTACACACTCTTGTTTCTTCTTCAGATGTCTGAGCCTGCGATTTCAGCTTAGCTGTTGCTAGGGGAAACGAGAGCCCGATGGCGAGCGGCCTGCTCGACACTCTTTCGATAACTCGAGCAATTTTTTTGAGAGGTCTTTGAGCAAAGACCAAACGTTTTCTCGACTGAACAAAATAGTCCAGTAAAAAAATAATAACCGATAGCTTGAGTTACCTCTCTTAGTTCCCAAAAAAACGAAGTAAATATCAAGGCGCTTTAAAAGTTTTACTTAATCATTCTCCTTCTTAGTCTCGCAGGCAGACAACGAATGAAGTGACTGCTATGTGTGCATTAAAAATAAGAAAGCAAACTTTTCCTACCTCTCCACAGTACTCGCCGATGAATTCGTTCTTTTTGCAAGGCTCCTTGATGTAAATTCCCCAACCAGCCACGTCAGAGGGCGCAAGCAACAAATGCTGAAAAAGCCAAAGTGTACTTGTGTGTTAGCTTGGTACACTATACAATTGTTCAATTAACAAATTAAGTACAAACCTTTCTTTGACCACGTTGTAGGCCGACATTTCTACAGGAAATGTTAGTGGCTACATCAAAGCTATCTATAGAGGGAAATTCAACAACATTTACTTTTTGTCCACAACAAACAACGTCATAAAAGTAAGAAGCCAAAACCATCTTACCTATCCTTAGTCATCTTCATTCCTTCTCAGTTTCTATTTATCTCTTTTGTCTTATTCTAAACAAGCTTATAGTTTGTAAACCCCTACGAGTTGAAGGTACCTTTTAACACCGTAAAAACTGCCTTCCCGAACAATTTCCAGTTTCAGAGGGCCTTTCTCTTTACTTACCAGCACCACAAGTCCCACAAAGGTCTGGGTCACACTCTCTGACGGCTAAGAAGCATGGGCACTGCTTGGTGTTGCACTGAGCTTTGCAGCGACAGCCAGGGAACCGGTTTTGACCTAACGGAGGGGAGGGACAGTCGACCTCATTGCACTAATGTCTTAGCACCAGTTCAAAACATTATTTATAGTGAAAGTTATGGGACAACTGCCGGTCTTTAACGAGGAAATAACGTACTGAAGTAATATTAAACAATACCTTTTAATCTGATTTCAGGGGAGATTCTAGTAATCTAGAATTGCTTCGGTTTTGCTTGGCAACCTAACTCTACATTCTCAGCTTATCAAATGCAAAACCAGTAGCGTTTTCCCCGCGCTCTCTTGGGGTTACGTGCATATGATTCGCATTCTAATTGGTCGTTTACATCACTAACAGCTGTTCTGATTGGCTGTTTGAGCACGTTTTTATTGAGTGTCGTAAAACTAAAACCAAAATGATCACGCTGGCCAATCAAAAAAAAAACCAAATAGTCACACAGCAAATGAGGGCGCAAAGAGAAAACAAGCAAAAAATTGGAAGCGCGGTTGGTTATAATTTGGCATCTGATTGGTCGAGGAAGTGCCCAAACTGCCCAAAGCGCGGGAAAACGCGGGCGACCAAGTCGTGATCGGTCGCGTCTGATTGGTTGAGAGGATGGCGCGAGTTTTCCGGACCAGTCACATAGTGAACTGTAGCAAAACCATGAAGCCCAGATTACTTTTCAAATTCAGTAACTCTTTACAATAGACTAGACTTACAATCGGTGCTGCATTGACAGAACTTTTCGCAAAAGTTTTGAGTTGCAACACAGATGCACGACTGATCACATGTCTGTCCAGGATGGTCACAAGGAATGTAGTTGTACACATGAGTAGAGGTGCTGTCTAAAATGATACAAACACAAGGAAAAAAGACGCTTTCAATTAGTGTGGCGAAAATAGATGATTTACTTCAACGAGCTCCTTAGCTAAATTTAAGGCAGCTCCATATCAGTATGGTATGTAGAGGAGGGAGAAATTTTGGAGGCAGATTATCGATTTTCAAGGATTTTGCAGGAAGACAAATTTTCGCTCGAGATCACTGAAATGTTTGACAGGAAAGAATTCTTAAAATTTTCTGTTCATGTAACACAGCTTAAGAAGGAAACCTAATATTTCCCAATTTTCAGTTTTTCTCAAATGTTTCCTCACCTTTCTTTAGCTGAATCTTTCTACAATGAAGAGACCACATCCTGCAAAACATAGAAACGAAATAAGCATTCCAACAATAAAGAACCATAAATCACGCTTGGTAGAGACATGCAAGGACAAAATAGATGGCAGCTGGACGTTATCCCCTACGTCGATAACAAAATTTAAACCTTAAACTCCCATGTGTGACCAAGACAGAAGTTCTCGTTACAATATTGATACAATATCAAGGAGACATACGATAAGAAGAAAGAGAAATATCAATTAGGGGATTATTAGTTGATCCAATGCCAAATTCTCCAAACTAACATCATGAGAATTACCGTACTTACTCGAATAAGCGCCCACGCGCTTATAAGTGCCCACGCTCTAATAAGCGTCCTCTCCCGTATATGCGCTCATCCAAACCCACCAAAATGTCAAACAAGCGCCCCCCTCGAAGAAGCGTCTCCCCCGTCTTCCCTCATTTTCTTAAATAGTAGGAATACACGAAAAAAACTGTTTCTATTGCCACTTTGCTTAATAACTTTTTGAGCTTCGACAATAGCGGAAAGAGTATAAGAGAATAATAAGCGCCCTCCTTTCCGCCGAAATTTTGAATCAGCGCCCGAGCGCTGATTCGAGATAATACGGTATTGCATGGCAAACAGTAACGAGTGAAAGGGTTAACGTATATTTTGTATAGAAGCAGACCTGTGTTTCCTTTTCTTCTTCCTTGGTGGAGTATCCTGATCATCTGCTGTCGGTAACGGTTCATGTGACTCTTGCAATGCTCTCAGGTACACCTGTAAAATGAGACACAATATTCGTTGGGCCAAAGTCACTGACCTCCAAAAAATTAGTCGTTTTCGCGTCTAAAACTTTCCGCCCGATTCGGCTTCCGCGATCGAGCTTGTCGTGACAACAGGCTCGTTCGAAATTAAGTTACGAAAAAGTGCGAAGTTTGAACCAACTTTGCGCCAGCATCGCCTTTATAACCGAAATAATCGAGCTTGCCTTACTTCTAAACACCGGCCCGTCTTCAGCGGAAACGTCGAGCAACGACGACAAGAAGCTCGACGTTTTGTCGTATTATCCGATGCTGACGTAAAGAAATACGACGATGCCCCGAAGTTTGAATCAAATTCGCGCCAGTGTCGCCTCCACGACCGAGCTCCGGTGCTGCCCAACACTGGCCAGCATCGTTGACTGAAAAATCGAGCAAAAACGATGGACAGCACGACATTTTGTTATGCCACCGATGCTGGGCCGAAGAGTTACGACAATAACGCGACGTTTGATTAGCGGGTCTTTTTCGGGAAAGACCTAGTATAAATTCTACGCTCCTCACCTCTTTGCAAGTTTTCGTTCGAATTAAATTTGCAATACTGCAATAGTTGTTACAGTAGATTGGCCTCAAAACGCGAAACAACGAGGCCTCCGCTCCTGTCCATTCAGTAGTTGCAAGCAAAGGATCTGTGTTACTTCCTTCAGTCTTTTAAAAACAAAATAATAGAAATTAAGTGCGGCAAAAGCAAAGCAATCCCGGATTACTTAATACACTAAATTAAAAATTTCTCCATATCACATCTTTTACTGGGTATAGGAATTTTTAATTTAATAAGTCGCAAACTCTAAAAAAAAGTTAACCATGTCTCCAACCAACCAGTATAAACTCATTTGTTAAAATCTTCTGAAAAAATTTAGAAACATTTTTTACCGCTGTTTTCTCTGGACTGGGAAATCCTGAACCTTTAGAGTTTACTTTTCCACTTTTGCTGTCTTTGCTGCTGGTTCTACTTCTTCGCCTCGTGCTGACTGACTCTGATGACTTGCTGTCTTCTTCTCCTTCGTGCGCGTTCTGTTGCAACGAGTAAAGCGACTATCAAAAGTATTTCAAGTACTTTTCAATGGAGTGGCGTAAAACCAAAACCAAAGTACATGTAATTACATTGACCAATCGAAAAGAAAGAACCAAAAATGCAAAGAAAAACCAATGAACAACTCGGGAAAACGCGGGTGAAAACAAGTCGAAGGTGGCCCTTTGCATCCGATTGGGAAAACGAGAATGACCACGTTTTTTTTGTGACAGGTGTTAGCTTTGCATCTGATTGGTTAAGAGAATGGCACGAGTTTTTTTGGACCAATCACAGAGCGAAGTAAAGAAAAACAATGGCAGTCTCGGATTACTTTCGACATCTCTAGTTGTGAACGTACCTTAACATGCGTATAGCACTCAGCTCCACATGGGTTTGTTTCTTGTAAATCAACAGGGCTCTGTGCGCAAGACAAAGATTGTAAAATTCTGAGACAATTTTTCAAACTTTCCGGATCAAATTGAGAGCCAGGCTATGGCCTAATTTCTTACAAATATGAGCAATGTTAAGCCCTGTCCATACAAGAAAAAATTTGAAAACAGAAAAGCAATCCTTAAATTTATCTGGTGCAGTGTATGGACACAGCAATGACACAACCTTAAAAAAATCTGTACCTTTCGCTTGATCTGTGTGGGAAGTGTTCTCCACCCTAGATTAACAAAAATGCAGCAATTACCAGTAAATAAAAAGTTTTTCCATCAAAGTTACAAACTGTATGACAAAAATGACTCAGCCAATTAGATAATGAGATCATTCATGAGAGGAAAGTCCTCAAAAGCAAATATTTTTTCACTGATAGAGACTCGTGTTTCAATAATGTGAGTGAAAGTAGTTATCAGTCACTTGACTTCAATGATGAATTCCATCCAGAGTGATGAATACTGACCAGCATCACTGAGAACAATAGTTTAAGCCACTTAATGCGAATATAAAACAATTTTATATTCATGCTTTACACACCTATCTCCCTTGAAAATAATACCTTCTTATTGACTGAGTGCAAGGGCCATACTAGGGATATTGGCCCAAGGTTGTGGCAGTGTGGACCAAGCACAGCTAGGTTTGTACAAAAACGACCTGGGGCAAATATTCCCCAGTATGGCTGGAGCAAGTGAAGGTAGTAAGTAGTATATTAAATGCACATGAACCAAACTTCTTTATTTCGAAATTGTGGCTTTTCCGATCAAAAATACATGGCTGCCAGTGATGACGTTTCAGTAGAAACAATCTGTATGGCAGAATCTGGACCAAGTAAGAATGAACCAGAATGGTCCAATTTACCTCAGGACTGTCTTGCCATATAATAACAACTATTACTGCAATGAAGATCAGCTCTGCTTACCATGCATAAAGCAATCATACTTGTAACATCTTCTGCAGAACAGCATGTGAAAAGAGTGCAGACTTTGTTCTCTTGAAACAGATTGTGCCATGGGACTAAAAAAAAAAGGAAAAAGTAAAACCACTCATCTGAAGTAAAATTTGTATGCGACATGTCATGAATCAGCCAATATAAAAAGCTCAACACTTTAACCACCAGAAGTAATTAACATGTAACTTCTCCCCAAAATATCCATAAATTATCCAGCCAACAGGTAATGAGAATAATCAAACTTATCAGGTTAAAGTTTTTATCTTGATCTAACAATACATTCTCATACTAATTCATAAGGAAATGTGCAAAAATCAGATCTTGGAAGTTAAAGGGTTTACAGTGTAGATCATACAAAATAATTGCCATGACAAAGGACTTTTCTACCAAAGAATATAACATTAAATTTCAACCACATAATACACTTCAGACACTGTTTTTTCATTCGCTGATCTTACATAAAGTGTTAGTTGATTGCTCTCCTAACCTGTCAATATTTGGAGTACATTCTGGAGGTAATTCCCCATTCTTATGATCCAGCACATTCTTGTATCTGTAGAAAAATAGCAGAAACAAGTCCAGTACAAAAAAATCAAGTACAAAAGCAACCTAGAAAGGGTAGCCTAATGCCTGTGCATTTGGACTCTGGATTGAAAGTTCCACCAAAGATTATAAATGGGTAGCAGCAAATTGTCAGGGAAAACCAATGAAATGCTGAGGGGCAACCTTGCAATGGACTAGCATCTCATTCAGGGACATACCAATTCAACCCAAGGACACCAGGACAAGCTCTGGCTGGATTGGCCACTTGGCTTGAGTTCAGAGTTGACCTTATTAAGCCAAGGAGCTCATTCTACCAGAACTGATCCTTGTTTAAGGAATATGACATAACTACCATATTGTTGCAACCTCTATGGATGGGATGCCAGTCCATATTAGGGTTAACCTTTTAACTTCCATGAGTGACCAAGACAGAATTTCCCCTTACAATATCAATACAATATCAAACAGATAAGTGATGAGAATAAAGAAAAATATCAATTTGGGAATAATTAGTAGATCCAATACTGAATTCACGGAACTAACATTATAAGAATTGTATGGTTGACAGAAGGGAGAATTACAAATTTGATCTGGGAGTTAAAGGGTTAAGGAGAGGCACTGCAAGGGTGAAGTGTCTTTCCCAAGAACACACCATGTGGACACAGCCAGGCTCCACATTATTTTTTCATCTTGATTCAAGAGGCATCCTAGATCCCTTAGCCCTTAGCTAAGCACATTGTCTGAGTCAATTATTTTGCCTGAAAACACAACAAAATGGCCCTTGCCAGAGCTTGAAACCCAGAAAAATAAAAACCTTTAGACCAAAATATGATGTTTACCTTCGGAAAACTTCTGCGCCAGTTAAACCTTTATCAGGAAACAGAGATGCTATGGCATCAAACAGTTCATCATGGGTCTCCCCTGTCTCTTCTGGTGGTTTTTCTTCATCTTTTGGTAAACAATCAGCCTCTGTAAAATAAAGAGAATTATTTATAAAAAATAACTACCATAACACTGCCCAACATTGGTAATGGTCTATACATTAGTAAAATGCAATTTGCAGGAGGTTGGCAGTTATCAACACCAATTTACAACTGAACAATAATTTTTTTTTCAGAGACATAAGGAGAAAGATAAATTTCAAGTGCTCCCAGCAAGAATGGAACCTGTGGCTGAACAAAATACCATTTCACAAGCTCTTTTACCATGCTTTGGAAAAATATAGGTGGTTCAGCCATAAAACCAGTTTCATTTGACAAACAGCATGCATACTGCTAGAATTGAAATGCTATTCTGATGTTTTTTTGCATTGTGATGGGGATGAACATGACAAGTACTTAAAAGTTAACCCTTTACACCCAAACATCAGTATCCAAATTCTCTATACTCTTCTCTACATATTTCTTTTAGTGCTGACAAGGAGAATTTGTTAATAATCAAAGCATCTTAGGTTGGTGATCATTTCCCTTATTCTCATGATCTTAATGAACAATTCAGCTGTATTAATGTGAGGAGAAATCAGATGCTGATCAATTTAAGGGTTTATAGGGTTATGTTGCCTCAAACTGAACACAAATATTCACAGTGTGCACCGATGGAATCAACTGTCTTTAATTGATTAAAAGGTTGTGTGGGATACACAACCTTCTAATTTTAACCTTTTCAGCTTGTATTCTCACCAGTATGATTTACCATGGGTAATTAGTACTTAAACTCCCATGGGTGACCAAGACAGAATTTCTCCTAATAATATCAATACAATATCAAGCAGACAAGTGATGAGAATAAAGAAAATATCAATAAGGGGATTATAAGTTGATCCAATACCAAATTCTCCAAACTAATATCACAAGAACTGTATGGCAGACAGTAAGGAGACTTACTAACCTGTAACTTCAGTTGTTTCCTTCTCCTCATCTTTTTTTGTTTCACTTTCTGCATTCTCCCTGGCAGAATTCTTGTGTTTTTTTAATGCTTCAACCAGCTGTAGAAGTAGATCATCTGTGAGGGCTGCTTCATCAAACACTGCACAAAATAAAAAGGCAACATTCTTGTGAAAGAAAAGTCAGTCCTTTTTGAGCCAATTGAAATGTCAGAGAGTTAAAAACAAAAAATGAAATCTAGGAAGAAGTGTTCTTTACCATGTTCTGGAGTGTTGTGAACTCTCCCCTCATAGTTTTTGATGAGCTCCTCAATAAATGATCCATCCTGGTCTAAAACTTCTTCACCCATGTATGGAATATTGTGCAAGACTGTCTCATCTTCCACCTGGTAAGATGCAAATGGCATTCAGTGCAGGAAAATGAATTCTGGTTTCCTTGTCAAATACCATCAGAATTTTACCGACAAAACCCCTTTTCTCTGATCACACTGTAAGTTATAAAAGGAGTAGAAAAAACTTGATCCATAACTAACAGAATGTATCTTGAACTTGGTTGGTAAGAAATATTTATTATACAATCTCTTGCTCAGAGTGTGTGTTATGATTGTTCAATTAAGCTGGCTGCATTTCAGAGTGTGGCTCCCAAAAAGTTTATTCAAAAGTTTGTTCAAATTGAAATCTATTCGAACCCAGAGATTTAAGAAATATCTCACTAACGTCATTTTCTTGGTCTGTGCGATAAGTTACAGAACATTGTATTTCAGCTCAGATTTATGGTCCTTGCACTTGAGCCATAAATGTGAGTCGACAAAACTCTGTTCATAACTTACACTACAGACCTTGAACTCAGAAAGATTTATTCACCTACCATATAGTTTTGCTGCAGAGGAGACCAGGTAAAGAACTGTGGAAGAGACTGCACAGTATACAGGGTCCTTAAAACTGTGTGTTGAGTACCATGTCCAAATCCACAGTAGACAGAACTCTAGTAAAAAAAAAAACACCAGAGTACAATAACTAAATGCTACTTTTCTGATGCGCAAAATTTGAAGTGAAATTACACTCCCACAAGTGATCATAATGGAATTTCTCCTTAAAATATCAACAGGACAAGTGACAAGAATAGAAAAATATTGATTAGGGGATTAAAAGTTGATCCAATTCTAAATTCTTTGAACTAACATCATAAGAACTGTATAACAGACAGTAAGGAGAATTACTAATTAGATCTTGGGAGTCAAAGGGATAAATAAACAGCTACAGAATTTTCCTCCAATTTTTACTGGTATTATGCTCACAATACTTGCTTTCACAGTTAAACAGCACAGTACTGAAACTCTTTATACCTTTCTTGTGGAGGGAAGCTGTTCAGCAGGTGATATATATGGAACCATTTGCTGCTTTTCACCCTTTTGTAACTCTCTTCTCCTCAGTAACTGCTCTTTGATGCTTTGTTGATTGTCTCTAAAACAGGTCTGAAAGATAGCAGATTAAAAAAAATCAAGTTAAATATTTATTGATTAAGAAATAACATATGACTGATTCACAAGTTGTAAATTCACTGTCCTTCAATCCTCTAACTCACACAAGTGATTAACAAGCAACTTCTCCCTACAACATTTATACCATATACAGCGAACAGCCAATGAGAATATTAAAACTTATTGGTTAGTTGTTATCTGGATCTAACAACCAAATTCTGGTAGCTATTTGCAAGGAAATGTGTAGCAGCTAGTGGAGAGAACTTTAAATCAGACCATGAGAGTTATAGGGTTCCAATAATTTTCGACTTCCAGGGTACGCTATTATCACATGACCGCATCAAAATGAAACAAACAGCTCGCTTGACAATGAGAAAATTGTTATTTAAAAATAAAGAAAAATTTAGACGCAAACAAACTGCAGGTGAGAACATTAACTTTAACATAAAAAATCATAAGAGAGCGCAGTTCTTTCTCAAAGAGATTAAAATACCCGTAGCTAAATGTTGATTTCACCTTGTTTCAGTGGAAGAAATCTGTTTCATTGAAAACTCACTCTTTTGCTACGATAATTATATCGAAAAATATTGGTTAAATAGATCAGAAACAAATGCCAACTCCCGATTAATTGTTACAGAGGTAATAGTGAATTTTCATGTTACTAAAAGTAAAGATAAGCTTGTTGCATGCGAGAACAACGATGCACATGTTTTAATGTTGTCTGTAGGAGATCAAGTGTAACTTCCGAGTACCTTCACCGCTTCGACTTTCTCTGATTGCTTGGATTGCCTTAATTTTAGGTATTCCAGCCGGGCAGTTCGTTTTAGGTCACTTTCCATGCTGCAATCCCTCACTTCTGTCATGATAACTCGACAAGATAGCTTTTGGATAATAAATACGGCGGAAACACGCGTTTTCAAACAATACTGAATGATTATCAAAACTCGGCAATTTTCGTAGCTTTTCGGTAGTACTCGGTTATTCTTCGGAGAGTTTTGGTTGGCTTACATGACGTCTTATTTATTTAAAATTTGTTGGCGCGAAGCTCAAGAACAAAATGGCGGACGTAGAGGAAAAGGAAAATTTTATAGCTAGCGCGACTCACAAAAAGCCAAAACAGAGCGCAAGTCTTGTTACGGATGTGCTTTTGAAGTCTGCTCGTTTAGAGAAGGAAGACATAAACTCATGTGTTAAGAAAACATTGCAGAAAGCAGAGGAAGTGAAGGTAAAGTGTGTTTTCTAATTTTGATCTCAAGATCACCTACACAATCGATTTTTACTATGTGTCTCCGATTATTGTTTTTTTGTGTGTGTATTTATGTGAAGGAACACTCTAATTTATTTTGTAGCAATCTATATGTAATTTTGTGTGAAAAATATACAAAAGAAATCAGTGATTGTATACAATTCAATCCATAACATTTTAATTAGATCTGGTGGAGGGGGAATTAAAAAAGATAATTTCTAATTATTAATGAGTCGATCTTCTTTTTCCTTTTTTCAATTCCTCATCTATACATTTGTATTACTTTTTTTCAAATTTTGTATGCTATAGAATTTTTAGCACAATTCCTATCTCTTTATGGTAATATTTTTCTTAATTTTCGCCATTTTTTCTCATAGTTTCATGTCTAAATTATTTCCACATTTTAACCGCATTTGTAAATTATGTATAGTTGACCACAAGCCTTCGGTGCGTTTTTCCTTTCCGAAATTAAAGATACAGAAAATTTTATTTTATCATGATTTTAGCTTATAATTACATAGTTCCAAATAATTAGATGGTTGAAAATTTCAAGAAATTGTTTTTGATAGGGTGTAGTAATTCAAAATTGGGTGGTAATTTATTTCTACAGAAAAGTTGATATATCATGGTTTTTGATTACACAGATGTTAATGTTTGGGCAAAAGTTTTACAACTGCAAAGAAAAAACACTGATTTATCATCTTAATGATCCAAGTAAATATTTCTCTCTTTCAGGCAGAGGTCCTTCAGGCAATATACAAGGAATACACATTTGATGAATTTTTAGACTTCTGTAATTCAACCTTTGAAATGAACTGGAATGTGAACAACCTTCTCACTGAAATTCAAAATGTTTTTGGCAGACTGAAGGTTGGTGGGAATTTTGTCATTCAATTAACCATTTGCTTGGACATCAGTGTGTTTTCATGGATATATGAAGCAAACAGGAAGTTTTCTGGGTACAAAAGATGCCAAAAGTCACTGAAGGTGCAGCCATTAACAACATTAGCCTCTTTAGTGCCCATCAAACTTTCCAACCGTGTTATATCTCAATGCACATAAAAGTGACAGATAAACAGACAAATGAGTAAGGTTGTAGGTTTTTAAAGAAACTGGTGCTGCATCAGGAGGGGGGGTAGGAGTGGGGGTGGGGGGGAGTGGGGGTGTATTACAAGATAATTTGGTTTCATCAACTGAGTTGATAATGTAAATTTGCCGCCATAAAGTTGATGTTTTGAGCATTAGCCCTTTGTCTGAGAAAATCATATAAAACAATCATTATACTACATTTTTGATGCAACAAAGGAAATGTAATTTTAGAAGAAATTCCTATTACTATACTTAAATGTAAGCCCATGCACCTGTCTTCCAGTGATATCCACAATGGGAATGTAAAGAAGGCTTGGGAAGTTGAATTTGATTAAAGATGATATATTTTTTTGTCAGCATTTGCTCCTTGTTTTTCTTTGTTTAAGAGCACAGTGGAAGGTCCTCTTGATGCTGCTGCTCATGAACATGGTGACCTTGTGAAACAATTAAGAGAGACTGAAGCCATTGCAGAGCTCCTCAAAAGACTCCATAAAGTAAATGATACCACAGTCATTCAATATTTATGAAATTTTTTGTAAATAAGAAACTTAGATATGTCAAAAGTTGATGATGATACAATTTTATACCTTTCAAGATGTGAAGACCCTTGTTTTAAAATTACTAACCTAAAATAAAATGTGCAACTTCAAACCTTGTAAAGAACCATATCCACTTATTTTCCAGGCAGCAGTCACTTCATTTCCTGTCCTGTAGGATGTTGAATTTTCTTGTTGACCAAACTATTCAAATTGTTTTGTTACTGTAAACTGTAGATCCACGAAGCATTGGATGCCTTCCCTGGGGAGCTTAATAAAGCTGCATATTATAACGCAGCTAAGCTTGTGCAATCTGTGGTAAGAGATCAACTTCTTAACTCTTCAACTCTCATGGGTGACCAGGAAAGAATTTCTCTGTACTATATCAATACAGTATCAAGCAGACAAGCAATGAGAATAAAGAAAAATATAAATTACATGTCTTGATTATTAGTTGATCCAATAACAAATTCTCCAAACTAACATAATGAGAATGGCAGACAGTTTAAGGAGAATTCCTAATAAGATCTTGGTAGTGAAAGGGTTGAGTAGACTTCAAGTCAGGTTTTTGAAAAATAAGGTATGACAGTCATCAATCGCAACAAGAGAGAAGTGATATGACTTGACTTTGATGTTGATTTTTGCTCAGGCTGTACAAATTTCTTTCCTTTGTTGAAATGTCAGTCTCTTTTGCAGAGTAAATTCCTTTTCAAGACTACACTCATACTTATGCAATCAACTTTTACCTTTGGATTTGAATCACTTGAGTCATTTACTATAGAATGATAATTAACCTGATGTCATGATTAATTTTTTTCCAATAGAAAGAACTCCTGTCTGATTTACCTAAAGCTGGCCAGGAAGGACGGATTTTTATTGCCCTCAGAGTAAGGGATCACCTCTCAGTAGTTGCTGTTATATATTGTCATAAAACTTTTAAGTTCCCTCTTTTTCCAAATATGAGTTTGTGGTTTTATTTTGTGGTTAATTCTTCTCCTCAATGATGTTGTTTGTCCATCAACAATGGAGGAAGACCACACAGGTCATTCTAAGGGTGGGGTGGTGGTCTATATAGGGGAGATCCTCTGCTATGTATGGGCAGGTGACTGGGAAATCTTAGCCCTGAAGGGGTGGTGAACAAATATGAGCTGTCAGAATGAGAATAAAGACAAATATTGTTTAGGGGATTGTTACCTGATCCAATACCAAATTCTCTTAATTCACATCATAAGAACTGTAGAGTACCCACTAGGGAGAATCATTAAAGAGATGTTGTTAAAAGTCACAAATATTAATTTATTGCAGGAGGAATGGGGAAGACAGAAGGCACAGCTGACTGCAACACTGGAAAGGGTGTGGACCAAAAGTATTGCATGGACAACACCCACTACAGCATCACTGGACAACAGTCAGGGGCATCTGAAAACACAACTCAAGCTGGACCCAAGTAAGAAAATCTCTCTCTAGGACTTCACTCATTAATAATAAGGCTCTAATATTGTCACTTTGTAGGCTGCTGATTGCTTCACTGGACATGTATTGAGAGTTCTTTCTGAAATATGCCCTCTGGCTTTTTGGAGAACTCCCAAGAACAGCCATCTCCAGGACTTCTCTCACATCAATGATAAGGCTCTAATATTGTTGCTTTGTAGGCTGTAGACTGCCACACTGCACATGTATTAACAGCTCTTTCTGAAATTATGCCCTCTAGCTCTTTGGAGAATTCCTAACTGAAAGGGGAAGGGGTTAAGATTATGGAAGAACTCCCTCATGCAGTCTTGTATGTGTCTGCCCAAGTCTGAAATAAAGGGGAAATGGAGTAAAAAAAAAAGTTGTTCAAATTATGATCAAATATCCAAGCTACCGTGATGGATTTTATTCCTTTGTTAGCCCTTTACACCTAACACAAATATGCATATTCTCCATACTGTTCTCTATACATTTCCTAAGGTGCTGATGAGGAGAATTTGTTTTATGATCAAGAGCTTCCTTACTTGGTGTTCATTCCCTTTAATCTCCTGACCTTAATGTATGATTCAGAGGTAATACTGTTGGGAGAAATTAGATCCTTATCACTATAAGGGGTTAAAGGTTTAACTAAAATTAATAATTATTATAAACACAATTGGCTTGGACTGATTTGTGAAATTTCATATTTTTATTTGCAGCTGGCTGTTCAATGAGTAACGTTCTTCAAGCAATGGAAGTAAGTTTGATCTTAATTACTACTGACGTTGATATCAAGGCTGTATTTGTGACTGACTCATAATGGACAGAAACTTGATGGCTCTTTCTTTTTGCATTCTCTTTCAAAGCTTTACAAGTTCTAACAAGTTTTTTCTTTTGTCTTCTATGTTTCTAGGCACTTGGTATTTTGGAAAAAAGATTTAGAGTGTTTGGTAATGTCATGCAAATTAATTTTTACCTAATGAATCTCTTGTTTGAAACAAGCTGTTGACTTTACAAAGGCATTTTTAAATTATTTTGTTTGTTTTGTAAATGTAGGAAAGAAGCTGGTGCAGTTCATATTTCGTCCCATAACACTGTTTCCCAGGTAATTTGATATTTTAAAGTGAAATAAAGATTATGTATCTGGTACACATTGTATAATTATATCCCAGTATCTGTAGAGTGCAGTTACTATGAGTATCTCCTTATTTTTTGAATGGAATTGTAGTGTATTGCAAGTTTAACTTCAGGACATTTCAATAGGCATTATTAAACTTTTGATCCCTTAGAGTGACTGGTATCTAATTTCTCCTTTCAATATCACCCCTAAATATTACATTAAGGTCAAGATTATAAAGGAAATGATTGTAAACTTATTTAAGCTCTTGATTGTTAGACAAATTCTCCTTGTCAGCCTGTTAGGAAGTGTATTGAGAACAGTATAGAGGATATGTATGCAGATGTTAGGGTTTTAAGGGTTGAATTGTGGAATTCAAGGTTGTAAAAGGGTATAAGACTTGTATCTAAGAGGCACTTGATTTTACTCCTGTGTAGAGAGAGGCATAACGTGAGAGTTAACCGTTTAATTCTCAAGATCTGATTGTCAATTCTCCCTTCTAGCTGCGGGAATGTGGTGTTAGATCAAAATAACAATTTCTATCTGATAAGTTTGAGTATTCTCATCACCTGTTTGCTGAATAATTTATGGATATTATAGGGAGAAGTTAGATGTGAATCACTTCTAGGAGTTAAAGGATGAAGCATCTAAGTTTCTTTTCTCATTATTTTTTATTTCTAAAGCTTAAAGCCACAAGTTGATAAAACAAAACAAGAAATAACAACTGTGTCATTTGCAAAGGAAAGTGGAAAAAAGATCATTGATCCTGGTGAGTATGTGTGGCTCTTTTTGTTTTGTTTCATGAATTTGATGACAGAGAAACCTCATTCAACAATATTAATTTTGCCTACAGTACTACACATAACTGTTAATATCAAGCAGACCAGTGATCAGAATAAAGGAAAATATAAATTAGGGGATTATTAGTTGATCCAATACCAAATTCTCCAAAGTAACATCACAAGAGTTGTGTAGTATGGCAGACAGTAAGGAGGATTACTACTCAAATCTTGGGAGTGAAAGGATTAATTAAGTGCCAATACTGCTTTTTGATTTCAGCCTTGTTGTATTCAAAGTTCTCAGAAATCCTTGTCATTTTGAGAAACTTCTTTGAAGGAAGTAGGAAAGAAGATGATGAAAAGTCAGAGGAACTTAATGTGTCAAGTTCATCACTTTTTGCTAAACTAGGTATGTTTCATCCAGGATTTGTATACAGTCTTGAATTCTTGAAAAAGTACATGGAAATTTTAATTTTCTTTACCTGGATAAAATGGAAAACAATCTGGAAAAAATGGGAAGAGGTCTGAAGTTGTTTCCAAGCAGCAACAAGTACTTAACTGCGAAGTAAGCTAGGTCTTTATAAGATTATTAATGGTGGACTTTCATGCACCTAAACCGAAATATTTCTCTATTGCCATCAGAGACATTTTTATTTTTCTTTAAGTTGTGTCAGCTGGAGTTTATATCTTACAAAACTGTCAGAACTGATTTTCTTCTCTGTTTTATACATTTTATCAACTAACCCATTAACTACTATGACTGACTATGACAGAATTTCTCCTTACAATGTCAGTACAATGTCAAGCAGTCAAGTAAGGAAAAAATGTCAACTAGGGAATTATTAGTTGATCCAATACCAAATTCTCCAAACAAACATTATGAGAATTGTATGGAAGACACTAAGGAGAATTACCAATGAGATCTGGGAGTGATAATTAGGATAGTTTTTTTTGCTCAGGTCATGTGTCTAAGAAATGAGAATAATTGATTGGAAAAGTGTTGGCAAAATGTTTACCACTACCAAAAATATTGCTAAAATAGCAGTGACAAGAGATTATGATGTAAGTTTTGTTAAGCAATTATCAATTATTCAGATTTTCTGTATAAACAAGTTGCATTTCTTCCTCGTCAGGTGAATATATATGGCCTGAGCTGTCAGAAACTATTATTACAGAGTGCCTCAAGAAATCAGTTCCTAACACAAGTGCACAGGTATACCAAAGTGGACTTCACCCTTGGATTCACATAATTTTTTAACTTCACCTAGTGCACCCAGTATTTTGGGATGGTTACCACTATTTTCCAAACCAAGAAGTCAACACAGTGGGATTGTATGTGGATGTTAGCAAGGATCATTTCAAACTTCAGCCAATGATCTTACAAGATCCTCCAGTGTACAGTGGAACCCATCATATAAACTGTGTTCAATTATATATATATTTTTTTTCTTTCTCAGTTGGAAAAGTATCAAGATGTCATAAAAGCCACTGAGGAATTTGAGACAAAGCTTGTGTCTTTAGGTACAGAGAATTTCTTTAAACAGTTGGTCTTCTTTTCATTATGCCCAATTTGGTATTTTTTATAAAATTAAGACTATTGGTTCAGACAGCTTTTCTTTTGAGCTTATCTTTTGGTTTGTTACTCAAATCTTTTGTTGTCACCTAGGTTTAGTCCCTGAAGGAACAAATAATCTCACATCCTATGTAAAGGATGTTGGTATTCACTTTGGAAACAAAAAGGTATATTATAATTAGTATAACTTTGTGTATTGTCTTTTTAGTATTTTAAGGATCTTGGCATCATTAATTGTCTAGAATTCAATGTATTAGACTGATTTCAAGCCCTTTTTCTTTTTTTTGGCCTATAACTGTGCTTTTATAGTGTCAAGATCTTCTGGTCAGGGCACGTGATCTGATGAAGGATGACATTCACAATACTGTGTTGGTGGACAGCAAGAAAGACAAGGCAGTTCTACAGAGTCTGGGTGATATAAAGAAAGCATTATCAGATAACAAGAAAGGAGTAAAGGTATTTCACAAAATTTGTTACAATTTTGGCCCATATTTAAACTCAGTGGTGGCTTGCTTGGGAACAATTCTCCACATCAGTACAGCATGCATCAATCAATGCAAAGCTTTAACTTCTCCCCCCCTCTCCCAGCAACTCCTGCTCATGGCATTTTAATTTTTACAGAATGGTTTGTTCAAATTCCTTCCCAACCAGCCAGGGCAGAAGATGCATTCAAATGCCCCATCCTATATTTTTGTAAGAGGCAAAATCAGTGTCGGTGACTTTCTATATATTGACCAACCTTTGAGGTTTGAGGTGTCACAGAGGGCATAGACTTGTGATGAAGATATGAGTCATAAATTGACAAACATATCTTTTTCAGCATGAACCATTGCAGAGAGATCCAGCTAACACACTAAGCAAGTTTACATTCTGCCTTCCATCCTGCCGCATCAGTGAGAGTACAGAGAAACTAATGAATCTGGCTTATGAAACTTTGATAGAAGCAACACAATCTACCCCACAATGGTATGCACAGTAGTTACATAATTACAATTGCAAGCACATTTCTGCCTTTTAATTTAATGCTCACTTTGCGATGAGTTTATTACTTTTTTTTTTTCTTTTCCAGTGCCATTCAGCTTTTCTACAGTGTTCGTAACATATTTGAGTTATACTGCAATGTTGTACCCACTTATCATCAACAGCACTTGGTGAGTTTGTGGTTGTTTCATCACTTTAACTCTTAAACTCCCAAGATCTGATTGTTAATTCTCCTCTCAAGCTGTTACACATTTCCTTGTAAATAAGTTATAAGAATTTGATGTTAGATCAAGATAGCAACCTCAACCTGATAAGTTTGAGTATTCTCATTACCTGTTTTCAAGATAATGTATGGATATTACAATGAGAAGTTACGTGTTAATCACTGCCTTGTATTTGTCTCTCTTCAGAGCAAATTACCTCAGTTGTCTGCTCTGCATCATAACAACTGCATGTACATTGCTCATCACCTTCTCACCCTTGGACATCAGTTCAGATCCAAGTTGCCAGAGCCTCTTAATCAGAGCGTGGCTACTTTTGTGGATCTGGTGCCAACCATAAGACATATGGGAGAAAAGTGTTTCCTTGAACAACTGGTTAGTTGTTTGTTTGAGATTTTGTTTCCATTTTTGCATTTTACAAATCATACATCATAACTTAACAAGATTTCTGCTTGTAAAGCTATTTCCATAAAAAAAAATTACTTTTTTACAACTTAATGATGCACATGACAAGTTTTAGATTATGGGCAAGTCCTATGAACCCTTTACACCCTAATATCAGTATACATATTCCTCATTCTGTTTTCTATACATTTCTTAAGTTGCTAAAAAGGAGAATTTGTTTAACAATCAAGAGCTTCTTTAGTTGGTGATCATTTCCTTTATTCTCCTGACCTTATAATGTTTGATTCAGGGATGACATGATATTGTAAGGAGAAATCAAATCCTAGACACGCTTTGGGATCAAAGGGTTACAGTGAAAATGTAGTTAATCAATTTCTGTTGTTTCTGTTCACAGAGAAAGCAAAGGTCTAATCTGTTGGAAGTTGTGCAGGGGAACAAAGGTTTTGCAAATGTGCATGAGGATGAAAAAGGTTTGCAGGTTGAGAAATCAATGAAACAGGTGAGCATACAAGAAGGTGCACAGATAGAAATCTGCAATTTTTGATTTTCTGGTAATCCACAACTACCTGCTAAAATACTGTTTTGACCAAAAGCATTGATAGAGTTGACAAGACCTTCTGCACCAAGTTCTCATCAGTTAAACCTTTACAGCCTCATATATCCTTGGTATCCAAGTTCTCCTTACTGTCCTCTATAATTTCCTATGGTTCTTACATTTATCTAACAATCAAGATCTTCTTATTCTCATGACCTTAATGTTTGATTCAGGGGTGATACCGTTTGGAGAAATTAGATGCCTATCACTCGCAGAGGTTAAAGGGCTAACTATGTTACTTTTCCTTTGTCTCTGAGAATCACATAACCCATTAACTGGGTCTTCTACTCTTGACATTGTTCAGCCTTCCAAGAAACACTTGACATCCACATTGACCTCTAAGGGTGATTAGCATTTAATTTCTTATTACAACATTGTCCCTGAATCACACATCAAGGTTGCAAGACTGAAGAAAATGATCACCAAACAAACAATAATGTCAGGAGAATAAAGGAGCTCTTGATTGTTAAACAAATTCTCCTTGTCAGCACCTTACAAATATACAGGGGACAGTATGGAGAATGTGCACATTGATGTTAGGAATTAGAATTAGGTGAACAAGCACCACTCCTCATGGTTAAGGACTCACAAAAGCAATGTCACCATTGATATTTTTAATATTCCTAGCAACTAAATGTTAGTTTGCTTCATCATCTTTCAGATTTTACATCTCTTAACAAATCTTGGAAAAGTGTGGAACGGTATTTTACCAGTTGATATTTATTGTCAGGCCTTAGGAGCCTTATTTGATGACGTCTTACAAAACATTGCTTCGGAAGTTACCCAGATGGAGGTGAAGCCATAAAATATATCATAATTATATACCACGCAAGTGAATAGTGCTTTTCACGCATGCTGATTGGCTAGTTTGGAAGTGAATAGTGACTACTATCCACCTCCTGAACATGCTTGTTTTTGTCATCTTGAACTGTTATTACACTGTAATAAATTAAACGTAAAATGGTGCTGTAACAACCACCAAACAACTTTGTACTGGTGTAAGTAAAAAATATTTGTTTCTTAGGTTGGTCTACTTAGCTCTTAGATTTTCTTAGTTGTCTGTGAAACTCTGTTTAAAAAAGCAAAAAACTTTGCAGGTAACTAATGGTGTTTTGTTATAATTTTTTTTTGATAGGATATTTCAGCAGAAGAGGCTCATCAGCTTCATTCATTATTATCCATACTTGTAGAGCGAGGGTCTGAAATATTCCAAAATGTACAGGAAGCAAACTCAGAATCAGCAGAAAACAGCTGGGTAAAAATAATGCAGAGCAAAAAAAAGTCAGCATTCATTGAGTATTGCACATTGAATAATTCTCTGACTACAGGGCACAATACTCTAACTTAATTTCTATTACCAGAGCTTTTATTATTAAAAAGAGAATATTTAGCTGTTACTCTACACTTTTTTTCTGACACAGATTTCTCACTGAAAATCCTGTAAAAAGCCGTCAAATGTTTGAGTTTATTTGGAACTTTGTAATTGAACTCCACTAGCTTGACCCTCTTGTGAGGCTTATTTCATGTGCAAGACAAGAGTGCATAGCTATAATTATGTCTAACGGTGTCCACCTGTAAGAGTCACTGTGTAAAGGTTCAATTATCATTAATACTCATCAAATAATCCCCAAAATGTGGTGTTTGTGTTTCAGGATTTATGCACAGTTGTACCTCACTGGATTCGTTATAAAGAGCTGATAGCAATATTGGAAGCCAGTTTACAAGACATTGTGGATAGATGGGCAGATGGAAAGGTAGACCTTTTTGTTGCTATTTAGAAGTAGGTGTCTGCTACTTTTTTTTTTTTTTACAATATCAATACAATATCAAGCAGACAAGTCATGAGAATAAAGAAAAATGTCAATTAGGGGATTATTAGTTGATCCAATACCAAATTCTCCAAACTGAAATCACAAGAATTGTAAACAAGACAGTAAGGAGAGGGTTAATGTTACTTGTTTCAATATTTCCTACTAGGGTCCCTTGGCACATGAATGTAGCGCTCAAGAGGTGAGAGGCTTGATAAGGGCCCTGTTCCAGAACACTGACAGAAGAGCAGCAGTATTGGCAAAGATAAAGCCAGTACAAACATAGTAAATTAGAAATACTGTCACACATTAGACGGTTACAAATTCCCCCAATGTTACATATCCCGGAGTTAACTCAAAGCATCACTCATCCATAGACAGTGTTCTGTCCTCTCTTATTTGAAGCACGACTGGTATGAGAAATTTTCAAAACAGTTGAGCAATCCTTTTACCAGTTAAATTTCCAAGAATTCTAAGAGATTTTAGGAAGTAATAGGAGGTATTATATGCAGCAAACTTTACCTGTGACTGCCTGAAAGAGAACACTGCAGAGAGCAAGTGAGTGGAGTTAATTATCAGCTTTGTGTGGTTGAGGACTGTCAATCCACCAGGATCATTAGATCAAGGCTCTTTGGTTGGCCCAGGTGCCTGAGTTAAGCACCCCCTGCTGTTGATAAAAGTAGCAGTCTGTTACAATACGAAAAATGTTAAGGGAGGCTTGGTGATCTATCAGCATTGGCCTTGTACAGTTGGCATTGTATGATTCTGCATAGTGATGAACCAAATGATTATGAACTCAAAGTCACCTCTTGTGATCGTTATGTCGTTGTGTTTCTCTAAGTCTCCAAAATACAAAATGGGTCTGTTGCCTTACTCCATGCTAAGTTTAATAATAAAAGGAATATTTAGCATACACAAATTTGTCAAACTCATTTATTTCTCACCGGTTGTTCTCTACACTCCACCCAATTATTTTCAAATCTACATATATTTATTTATTTATTTATTATATAGACAAAAGTGTTTTACCAAGAAGTAAATCACTTTTAGAATCAATACAACCACTGCATTCAGGAACCAGGTGGTGTAGTTTTCATATGTAACACAAGTGATCATATTGAGCAATGACATCACCATCCCGACCTTTCAAACTTTGCTAACTGAACTTGGTTTGTTTGTCAATTGGAATAATAGCCACCACAAGATATAATCATTGTCCACATAGAAAAAAAAGAAAATTACCTGTTAGTTGGGAGGTATGAATCTGGAGGAGCAAGCACAGCAAACAAGTGAGATATTTTTCTTGCCATTCAAACATAAAATTCATATCTTCTTGTCACCCTGTGATATTCTCTGTACCTAACTTGCCTTACAGTTACTCAGTTATAGCTTATTTCTTATTAGAACTGAGTTTGGTCCAGCCTCCCATGTAAAAGTATATTGAGAGGTCCTCTAAGTTGATACTCTGAAAGAACCTTTAATAATTTCCTTACCTGCACTGCAATAACCAACAAAAAGTAAAAACATACATGTTAACTATTCAGTATGAACAGGTGAACCCTTTACACCCTAACATCAGTATGTATATTCTCCATACTGTTCTCTAAATGTTTCCTATGTTGCTGACAAGAAGAACTTGTTTAACAATCAAGAGCTTTACTTAGTCGGTGATCATTTCCTTTATTCTTGTCACCTGAATGTTTGATTCTAGAGAGATATTGTAGGGAGAAAGTAGATGCCAGTCACTGTCCGGGGTCTGAGGGTTAAAACATGAAGTGGAAGTAAACGCAAAGAGAGGACTTTTAGAGGAGTATTTTTCTTCCAAATATGCAATAAGCACAACACTTTGCCCTCTTAACATTATGCAGCTTCAAATCACACTAGAAATAGTAGTGGTTAGTCATATGTAGATAAGTAGTTTATTTATAATCGCTTTGCAACTTACAAATTGAATTACACAATTATTACAAAGGAGAACATCGATGATAACATTAAAAAGAACTATCAGTGGTTTAAAGAAAGGTTGAATAGACATTTGTTTGTATATCTTTTGTGTTTGTAAGTAGAATGTTGATTAAAAAATAAAATACCAATAAATTAGCCAAATAAAATAGTTTTAAGGCTTTAAGAGCGTTAAAAGTGATAACACAGTCACCAACACAGGCCTAAACTTTTGTTTTTTTTTCTAAAGCTCAAAGCATCTGCGTTACGAGCAGGAGGAAGGTCATTGAGCTTGTTCTCTTTGCTCTGAATAATTCCTTGAATAATTTATCCACTAGTTCCTGACAGCAGTCTGAAAGTTTCATTAGGCTGATTCAGCCAATGCCACAGAAGATGAGCACCACTGTTTGGTAAGAGAGTTGAAAAACCTCAATGAACGCTTCCTTAGTAATTGCAATAATTTTAAAAAAAAAGGAGATTTAATTCTTATTGAATAAACTTAAAAAAAAACATGCCTGTATTTTTCACAAAAACAAAAGATAAATTAAAACAAATTTGTTTGACAACAAAAACTCTGTAACACTTGCAAACCCAGTATATTAACCATGCTCTTTTTATAGCATATACACTGTAAAATTACAGACGGCAAAAGCACCCATTATTCATCAAAACAATTATGTTACAAGGTCTTCTTTTATTTCCCAGTATATTCCTGTACTCTTTAAATCTAAATGCTGCAAGTTTTAAATACAAGGTCATGCTATCGTCCCCACTATCAAAAATAGGCATCCAAAAAATAATTCCTATTCAAATTTTAAATAAAATAAACTTTATATTTTTGACTTGGTAATGCAAGAACACTTTCCCAATTCCCTGATTCCTATTTTCTATAATTTTCTTCCACATCCAACACTGTTATTTATGTAGGAAAACCCAATAACACTTTTACCTGATACCCTAAAAGATATCCTTTATGTATGAGTAATAACATGATTTCAAGTGCAATTTGCTATTAACAAGCAGCAGATTCAACAGGTGTATGAGTTATGACATGATTTCAAGTGCAATTTGCTATTAACAAGCAGCAAATTCAACAAGTTAGTTTTTCAAAGAAAACAAACTGTGCAAGCCCACAGGGTGAGTGCAAGTTGTAGTCTTTGAAAAATTTACAAGTGCTTGTTACACCAAACTGCAAGAAAAGTCATGTTATTGCTTGTTAATAATGCACTTGAAAAAACACCACAGAAAGGCAAGACAAGAAATTTGAAAGCGTGTGTATGCTATTTGTAATTTGCACTTGTGTTACAGGTACAAGAAAAATGCACTAACTTTCAGCCAATCAGATATGCATAATTTTCAGAATCATTTACATGACACTGCATGGTAAAGTAATTGTGCAAATAAAAGTTATTAACTAATGACTGAAGAAATATTAATCCTGGGTCTTCAGCCTCTTTCATCAGAGATATTTGTGATATCCATTGGAAGAAATAACTCCATTACTGCTGGCTTCATCATCTAACATGAAAAGAGAGAATATGAAAATGTTAACTTAGCAATGCAGCTAATGAACTCACTGATTAAATGGTGCAGTTTACAATTTAACAAGGATGATTGATTGACGCTGAGCTGATTACAGAGTAAGAGATGCCAAGGAAAGCTCCACATTTTATCCTTTTTCTGAAGCATTAATTAACCCTTCACACGCTAACATTAGTATGCATATTCTCCATACTGTTCCCTATACATTTCAGTCAAGGGTGTCCAGGAGAATTTGTTTAACAATAAAGAGCTTCTTTAATTGGTAATCATTCTATTATTTATGTTAGGGTGATATTGTGAGGAGAAATTAGATGCCAGTCACTCTTAGGCGTCAAAGGGTTAAGCAATGAGGAGTGTTATTACTCCTCCTCCCTGGGAAGCTGGTCCATTATCACCCTCCCCCCCTTACCCAGACTTCTCTGACAGTTGGCTGATATTCATCTTTACTAATGGATAGGGAGGGGGAGGAACAGCAACGTGTGTCTTGCCTGAGAAAAGTGATTGAAGCAGGACTCTAACCCAGACCTTTCAATCTGAAGTCCAACAAGGTGATCATCAAGCTACTGTGCTCACCAAAAGGGCTGACAACAAGAAGCCCCGGAGAACAAAGCAAATGCCAAAAAGTGGTATGCAGACTTCTTTAGACACTAAAAATATCATATTGTACTTACGAGGAGCAATAGGATCAAAGGATGGTGGCAACTGAATGGCATGTTGAACAAGCTTGTGTGTCAAGATATGATCATTTACTCCATACCTGAATGGGAAAAAAAAAAGAAAAAAAGAGAAACTGTTAACATCAGGGATTATGATGGACTTCCTATTATGGAGAATTTGACCCATTCATGGAAATTCTTGGGGGACAACAGGTCTGATGCCATAAAAATATTATCAACTTTCAGTAATTAAGCATACAGACGATTGATTTTCACTAGGCAAGTGGTACTTATAATAATAGGCACTACATGTTTAACCCTCTCACTCCCAAGATCTGACTGTTAATTCTTCCTCCTAGCTGCTACACATTTCCTTGCACATTAGTTATGAGAACTTGGTGTTCAATCATGACCAAGATACAAGTTCTACCTGATAAGTTTGAGTTTCTCATTACCAATTTGCTGGATAGTGCACAGATGTTAAAGAGAGAAGTTACATGTTAATCACTTGTAGGAGTTAAAGAGTTAAGAATTCATTGGTACAGCACCAATAAAATTTAAAAAGACTTTACCAGAATACAGTCCACTTTCCATTTGTCCAACTCCCATCAGACCTGATAAAATACCTGAAAAGAATAAAACCAGAATCACTTTAATTTAGATTATTAAAATGCATGTCAAGGCAGTGCACATACATATTACCAGTACATATTTGGCAATTCACAATAGGTCAATCTCCATGTCTATGTTTAGGTCAGGTCAGATTTACATATTACACTGCGCATTCCTTACTTTCTAGAGCATTATTACTAATTGAAAAGTTACCAAGGATTAATGCGATTTGTTCCTCTAGATCTCCAGAATAGGATGCTAAAATCTTGTTTTATTTTCTTCCACAAATTGTCACTTGTTCCAAGACCCTATTTGTAGCAAAAGCACACACTCATTATCATCATTATTTTTCTAATTGCCTTGTATAGATACAAAATAATAGACCACATTGATTAATTAAAGCACAAACTGACAAGTGATTGTTTTAATAAGGTGCAAGAATTGTTTTGCAATACCACAACTGAAAAACATTAAACTAATAAATAATTTGAGATAAACAGGGCTTATGTAAAGCTCAAACATCAAAAACCATCTCAATCTTAACAAAAGTTTGTCAAACAAATTGTACCTGACTATTTCTGCCAACAGTAAATTTATCCATATATGGAATGTCATCAAGGCCATCTTCATTGGTAATAACTGCTGCTGTACTGTAGCTGTAAAGAACAAAGGGACATTGTTTGTATCAAGAACCTTCTCCAAAGTGTTTGAACTGATAGAAAAGACCAGCATTAATAGTAGGGAAAATTAATCATGAAGATCTTTGTATGACCCAAGTACTTACCTCTCCGTGACGTACAAGGTATGCAGGCGATTTTTTAAGGATGAGAAGTATTCTGCATTAAGTGGTTTATCAAATGACCTAGAAATAAGAAAAACATTTATAAATTTGCTCAACCCTTTATACCCTAAGAATGGCAAGCATATTCTCTGTTCTGGTCTCTATACTTTTCCCAATCCACTTAAACAGTGATAGGTGACTGAGCAAAAAACACACATAAAAAGCATCCTATGAATCCACACCCAGTGTCTTTTGAATGCCATGCTTTACTCACTTAACTAGAAGATCCTTAAGTCTGTCAATATCAACAGTCTCCAGTGATTGATGTCGGACAATTTTTTCTGGTCTGAGGAACATTGTACCAGAACCTAAGTGAAAAAAAAAGAGTATAACATATCATGTAATGGTTAGTTATAACACCTATATGTGTATCAAATAGGTAACAGTGCTCCAAGCTACAACCACTTTGACTGCCATGGCAACTAAGAAAAAATTTTGACAATTCTCTGAAATCAAAGTGAGATAAGAATTTAAAATTTAGGTTAAGAGTATCACAATTTTTACAATTGACAGTTGCTGTAATGTTGCAATCTGATTGGCCAATTTGTCATTGACAATAAGAGTACAGACAATGCTGTTTGCGTCAACATGTCATGCACTGAAAGAATAATTTCATTTGACTTTGATATTGTGGTGGAAAAAAACAAGTCTACAGTGATTTGGCGTGGTCTGTACACTTATTGACAATGATATTTATTACTACAGTGGTCAAATGTTGTGGTTGAGTCCACAAAAAAAAAAGAAAAAGAAAATATTGTTGTCGTTGAGAGTACAGATCAAGCTAAACCACAGTTGATTTATTAAGTTTTACCAAGGCATACCATTGTGAGTAAATAATTCAGCGATCAAAGAGTCAGCACTGGTAATAACAGCAGATGAGTACATAGGTAAAGTGTTCAGCAATTCCGCAATTGAAACCACCTGGAAAAGCAAGAAGAGATAGTAAAAAAAATTGAGCTTTGTCATATTTAAAAATGCAAATATCCCATGTGATATCTAATTGTTGGAGAAAACAATAACCATTTCAAATAATGGAGATACATCATTTTTTAGCCTAATCATCCAAAGGTCACACTTGGCTACTCTCATAAAGGTAAAAAGGAAAGTGTCTAACTTACAAATCTGGGCCCAGTTGTATAAAGGGCAGATAACACTATCCGAGGGATAAATCGCTATCCAGCAGACAAGTGATAGCAAAACCTACAGCATTATCCACCCAATAGAGAATTATCCAATGGATAGCACTATCCAACCTTCAAATAACCGGGGCCAGATAAATCCCTATCCAGCAGATAAGTGTTAACAAAATGTACTGCATTATCAAATGGATAAAGATTCATGTAATGGATAGTGTTATTCACTCCTCAAACAACCAGGGCCTGAATGGCTAGGATCTCACAAAGGGACAGCTTACGACATATTTCAATGGAATGTCATAATATCAAAGTGACCAAAAAGGCCAGTCAGAACAAAGGAAAATATTTAAGTGGTCAATGAGAATTGAAAGTAAAAATATTTATTGATTCACACTATGCAGACTGTCTGAAGCAAAGGAAAATATGTCACAATTAGTTTTAGTTTTACATCTGATTGCTTGAGAAGACAGCACATAATTCCTGGACCAACCAAAGACTACTGAGGGGCTGAGCCAAAGGAACAATTTGGGTAATAAAATAAATAAAACTAAATGAATAATGGAAACCAAAAATACCTGCTCTTTGGTTGTCTCAGTATACCATGGCTGTTGTAGCAAACTCTCCAGATCATCAGCAACATTTACATTACCAACAACCTATCAAATATTACAAAGTGTTGATAACTGCCCTAAAAAGTCAGTCACATACCACATAGGAGTTATGTCAACATGCCTGGCCCTATAGGATTGTGATAAGGGGTAGACGAGTCATAAGATAACGAGTCATAAGATAACCAGTCATAATCACTCTTAACACTTACATTTCCTTGTCTATCTACTAATCCACCAGCTGTGTTCAGAAACATGACTTTCATTGGCTGTAACTCTTCAGCGACTCTGACAGCGGCATGATGAGATTCCACACAAAGCACTTGACCTGAGGGGGATTCTGCTACTGCTGTCAACACAGGGATGTGTCCTGATCTGGAAAGATAAATACCAGTTCACTCTTAAAAGCTCTTAGCTAAGATTGTTTTGCTTATCGTATTAGTGAATAGAAATAAAAATTGGCAGTTAAATTTGCAGCACAATTTGGGAACCTGTGTTTGGCTGACACATAACAGGCAATATTATGTTTCTATCAGTTAATATTTATGACCCTTAACCCTTTATCTCCCATGAGTGACCAAGTCAGAATTTCTCCTTACGATATAAAATACAATATCAACCAGATAAGTGATGAGAATAAAGAAATATATCAATTTGGGGATAATTAGTTGATCCAATACTAAATTCTCTGAACTAACATTATAAGAATTGTATGGTTGACAGTAAGGAGAATTACAAATTTGATCTGGGAGTTAAAGGGTTAAGTTACAGTGATACCTACACTTTCATAAACTACTTGTAAAGATCTGTTGTTTAAGTTTGACCAGAAATAAAATGCTTTTTTTCTCCATTGTCGTGCTAGTGTTATATGCCTCACTTACTATTTTGCATCTCTAGCTATTCCACTTCCTATGTTTTTAATTTTTGCTGATGACTCAAATGTTATCATTGGCTGTCATGTTATGATCTAGTGTTGTAAAATGATAAAAGGTGAGCTTGGAGACTTCCTAATTCAGAGTCTTAATGAAACATAAACTATCAGTCATTCAATAATCAAGATGTCCTAAGCCATAACTTATAATTTGCAGATGCCAATCTGAAAATACCTTACTCTAAGAAATAATTCTTTAATAAATTGTATTATTCTCACAGAAATACCTTAGACATCCTTGTAATGGTCTAACATCCACTTCATATATCTTTCCAGTAAAAGCAGTCCTGAAAAAAATGTTTGTCTATGAATTATCAAACATTTGCAAAGCTAAAAATTTCCTTCTTCATATTCCTTGTCTAGAATTTAAGTAGCCTAAGCCCGGCTTATAGCATACCATTTCAGTATCATGCTGTTTGTGCTAAGTTCCTCACTGTGATCATAAGTTCAAATTCAACCCAGTTTGAATTTATGCAACCTATTCCAGAGAAAAAAATTTCAGTAGGAACTTACCACTACCACAAAATTTCTCCATGTCACATGAAACTAGTTGTCTCTGCAACATCCACTACTTTTTGTGTCACCAGGACTTTTTGTGTCCTTCCTTAAATACCTCATATATATATACAAATGAATGACAGTAGCATGTGCATCTCACCCAGGTTCATCAAGCTCCATGGCTGAGAGAACGTGACCAGAACTCATAAAAGGTCTTGCTTTACTTCCATGTTTTTCCAACAGATCAACAAGCTCTATGTTGCCTTCAATCAGCTTAGCCCTTCTTAGCCTGGGATCCTTGATTTGAGTATCTGAATGAGGATCCAAGCCATGAACTATGATCACAGGCATACCATTGCGGTGAAGGAATGCCAAACATGAGGCCAGCTTTTCTAACTAGAGAAAATAAAGAAATAAAGCTATGAATCAAATAAACAATTACCTTGCAAAAACTGTACAACATAATGCCATTAAATGCAACTAATTGTCACAAACTATTTCAACTTACCATAACTTTATCATTCAATATTGGTGAGTCAACTTGCACAACAGCAAATGGCTGATCAGGGGTGGATTCATGCTGCTGAAACTGCCGCAGCCAATAGCGAGCTTCCCTAGGATCAGTACCAATCTGGAAAGAGAAATAACCGACAGGTCTCAGGTGACATTGATAAAATTTGTAGAAATGAGTATGAAGTATGTCTTGTTTCACCTTGATTAGAACTAAAAGCTTGTATACTTTTGACTCAGATTTCTAGACTAGATGGTGTTACCTTGTTAAGTTCGTCAACATTGCTTTATATGGCTACGTCATGAGCCAAGGTTAAATTTTACTTAATCAGAGTAAACAATTCTTTCTTTGAATCAATTACAAATGTGCAACAAACTTAACACCTTACGATTACAATAGCCACTAATCTCGTATAGGGACTTTACCTCCTCTAGGAATCGTCTCAAGTCTTGTTGCTTGCTTGAATCTGAAAACAGCTTCAAATTTTGGCTCGAAGAAGACAAACATCTCTCAGGAGGTTTGTTACAATTACTCCCCTTGAATACCCCTTTGATCTTTCCTGATCGGCAAGAAACTAAACGACCAAAAGGCCGACCAAAAACATGTGTTCCCCTCATGATATCTCAGTGGAACTCTTGATAGATACCATTTTTTTCGACACAAATGTCTATAAGAAGTCCAATTTGACCTTCAAAGTTTGACCGTCACTTTATCGTTTTCAACCTGACATCTAGCGTAGGAGGAATCACAAAAATTTGATTGCATCATCTGTCATTGCGATCCCAGGAAAATCCGGTTTAGCATCCAAAAATTCATCAGTGGAATAAATTAATAACTCCTCTATTTTCATTCAAATTTTCATTCAAATTTTCATTCAAATTTTCAGAAGCACACAATTGTTCATAATAACCACCCTTTTTGTGGTTTACCCCTGGATTGAAAATGGCGGCGTACTTATTAATCGATTTCATTGACTCTGATTGGTTATCCTGTTCCTTACATGTGTTGATCACGTTTCATTAAATTTTCGCGCCATATTGCTGAGGGACTGAAATCAAAACACTATTGTGAATATATTGTGTTGATATTTGCGACATGTGATAGCTTTCTGTTATGATTACGTGTCCTCTTCTCAGATTTACGTCTGAATAAGAAGAATATTTATTCATCACTTCCTCAACTTTGCCCTTTTGGTTGGAAATCGGCGCACGGGTTTCTTTATGTAATGAAAGATGTCTATGATACTTCGAGCTTCGAGTTTACTGCGAAGAGGGAAAACTGCGTTTTCAGCCGCTAAGCTATCGTCTATTTCGACAAGATCACGAAAGGTATAAACTGTTGTAAGATTTATTTCATTCTAGTGTTGCGAATTTTTTCTGAAGTACTTTGAGAGGCGCGCGATCTTCTGATATTTTGCAAGATATCATTGGACCACGTAGCAAAGATCGGTCATGCCATACAATCTACCCCAAGGCAGATCGTCTCCCTCATGTGCACGTGCATTCGATCGTCAGATTAAAATAAGCAAAGAAATTTAATTTGCGTGTTGTCCGAAAACTCTAACAGGTAGCTCTGTTTCGCAATTGAGCGCTTTAAACGTGAATTCTAAATAGAAGAATATAGTGAAACTTTTTGGAGTTAACCTCGTGATCTTTGCTGCATGTGATAGCTAGTCTGACGACAATAATTTTTTTTTTAATACTCCTTTGGGGGTATTAAATGATCTTAGTAGTAAAGAATATCTGCATATTTCTTTTAGTTGAACAAAGAGTGTTAATTCTCAGATAAATTGAGAATATTCGACATAACTTATGAGGAATAATATCCATAAAAAAGGATAACGAGCAAAGTTTTACTAAAAACATTTTTAAGGGTTTTATTATCTATGGATGCTTGCTATTTCATTATTTTAACAGACACACCCTAGGACCATGATGAAGAACAATAACCTTTTTTGAAGCCCTCTTATTAATTTGCGAACAGTTTTTCTTAACCATGGATGGAGTATATTTTTGATCATTTCTGTTTGTAAAGATTTATTATTCTTGGACAAGAAAAATTTATCCCATTTCTTTATCCAATTATGGTGTTTCCTTGAATAAGCACCCGTGCTCCAATAAGAGCCCTCTCCCAAATGAGATACCACCCCCCAGGCAATAATAATAACAAACAAGCACCCCACGCCTTCCTCCCACACTTTCTTAGATGGTGGGCATACAAGGAAGACCTGTCTCTATTGCTGCTTTATTTATAGCTTTTTAAGCTTCAACTACAGCAAAATCAGTACAGCTTAATAATTACTTAATAAGCATCCTTCCAAAAAGTGCCCTCCCTTTACCTGAAATTTTGAATAAGCGTCCACACACTTATTTAAGATACGTATGGTTGCTATGGAGATATTATTGAAGAATTGTCAATGTTGACATTGTAAGAGTTACAAATGTCATCTTCATCCTTAGTTCCACATAATTTTCTCCATATTATGAATTTCTATGAACTTTTCTCCTCTCAGAGTTTGTCGGCATCATTGGTTCTAGAGGATGGAACTCGCCTTAAAGGATATTCCTTTGGTCATGGCAAATCTACATCTGGAGAAGTGGTCTTTAATACCGGTCTGACTGGGTTAGTTTTTTTTACGTATCATATAGATTTTGATTAACATACAATGGAGCATGTCAGGGAGAAGTCCAGAGAGTTCACAACCCTCCTCCCTCCCCCCTCCCCCCCTCTTAATCAAATCTGTGTGTCTTCTCCCTGCTTGTTGGAAACCAAAATTCTCAAAAAGACAGAATCATGTATTACTTCTCAACTTAAAGTACGTGAAATTTTCCTTACTTAAATTATTATTCCTCAGCTTATTTAGCGTCTAGTGTAACAGTGAAAAAAAAAACAATACCAGTTAACCCCTGTGAAACAGATTTTATTCACCAGGTAACCAGAACAAGAAAAATTTTACTACAAAGACTCTAAGCTGCTCTTTTCCATAGAATATTGATTTGTACAAGTAATACTGCTCAAAATGTTATCTTCTTCTGAGGCCAAAATCATACTTCTCTTGGCTAGTCACCAGATGGTCACTTTGAAACAAGTTAAGCGTGGAGCACTGATTGATGACATTTGAATGTTCTTTTAAAAAAATGAAACAAATGAAAAATTTATAAAAACAAGCTCTGAAAGTAAGCAAAGCCTCTTTTTATTTTATCATTAGAAGATCGTAGATCAGAGGTGTTCTTGTCAGAATTAATGGAAACCTTTTTGTAAACAATTTTCTTTCTTTAAAATCTGCAGATACCCTGAAGCACTCACAGATCCAAGTTACAGAGGACAAATACTGACCCTGACTTACCCTATAGTGGGAAATTATGGTGTGCCAAGCACAACAGAGAGAGATAAATATGGATTATTAAAACATGTGGAATCAGAAAACATACAGGTACGATTGGTAATTTAGTGAGATCACTTATTTGCTATGTCTTCCTTTCATTTTCAAACCATTCCTTTGGAAATTAATTATTTTGCATTTGTTTGTGTGTTTGTTTTGTTTTTTCTTTTCATCAGGTGTCTGGATTGCTTGTTCAGGATTATTCTCATAATTACAGTCACTGGAATGCAGTGAAGTCACTTTCAGAATGGTTGCAAGAAGAAAAGGTATTGATATTTATTTATTTAGTTATTATAGGTACTTAATTTGATAAGCTCAGGGACTGGTCATTACTTGTGAAGAGGGGTGAGGGAAAAAAAAGGGGGGGGGGTCAAGGTTATTTAAAATTGGCTTGAAAAACTGGTCACTGGTCTACACAATGAACTTATTTTGGGATTTAGTAGGTTGGTTCCATTGTTATGAAAAGTAATCATCTTATGGATGTATGTGACATGAATTTTAATTGTTACTAAGCATATAATAGAAGATATTAGGTGATGGGTGGGGGGGGGTCATAAAATAGGGCAGGGGAGGGGGGCCTATAGAAATTTTGATCTTTTTCTTTTTCCCCCCCCCCCCTTTCTACATAGGTAATGACCAGGTGCTTAGGTATTACTTACTGAGATGAGCCTGTCATTCATCTGTGCATTAAAGTAATGATATAAATATGTGTTCCTTGATTTAAAATAGATTCCAGCCTTGTATGGAGTAGATACAAGAATGTTGACCAAAATCATAAGAGACAAGGTATGCTGCAAAAATTTCCAAATTTCTTTGTATGCAAAGACATTGACCACACATGTCCAATGTAGTTGTAGAAATCAAGTTGGTTTTGACTACATTAAAAGATATGAAGAGGAAAAGTGACCTAAGTTGTTCCTGGTTTCATCTTTACTTTGGGTGACAGCAGGATGGATAGTTTCCCATTTGCTAATACTCCATAGACTTACTTTGACAGGGTCTCTGTGTTCTGTCCTTTGGAGTTTTTGTGTCTATGTAAGAGTCCAACTTCATCCGCAGAAGAAAAATTTTCTGATTTTGACAGCATCTGGCTATAGTAGCCTCAACTCTATGCTAGGTACCATCTTGTAATTTATATGCAAAAGTTTTTGGGGTTTATTTCATATCAGATGTTATTTTTGCTGGTTTTCAGGGGACCATCCTTGGTAAAATAGAATTTGAAGATCAGCCTGTAGAATTTGTGGATCCTAATAAGAGGAATTTGACGGCTGAAGTTTCTGTCCAGGTTTGGTATTCTTTCCACCCACTTCATTCTATATTACTGACTGATTTCATGTATGAAAGGAACCTACAGATCTCATTTAAGAATTATTTTCCATAGCTTCATCAATTAGTGTATTCCTCTCTTTTTACAAGCCCCTTCTTCTGTGGCATTTTCCAAATCAATCTCAGTATCTGAACAACTGCACACCTACCCCTCCCTAATGTTGTAATTGGGTTAGGAGAGGGGTAGGTGCAGAGTTGCTCATATGCAGACATTGATCCTATTTTCTCCTCCATTGCCTGACACCTTACCCCACCTCTGTGCAGTTACTCCTAGGTGGTCCTTAACTCCTCATATTGCCCGTGGTCTCACCTCTGTCAATCTCCTCATCTAGAACCAGTTGCCCCATCTGTTACCTTTTTGTTAGGGAAAAATCTAGGGTATAAAGTCTGTAGGTGGGGCCCAAGTAGTGCCCCCCCCCCAGTAAGAGTGTATCCCAGTTTCCCTAGCATGAAGCAACTAGAAGTATCAATCACTACTCTCCCCTAGATGAAAATCCACTGCAAGGTAACCCCACACTCCCCAGTATTTCATGAGGCTTCCCTGACGGTTTGCAGGTACCCATTGATACTCCTTGGTAGAGAAAGACACTGTGGGAGTGAAGTATTTTGTCCAAGAACACAACACAAAGGGCCCTTTACCCAGGTCTCAAACTCAGACCTTTCAGAGTCCTGGGCACTAACAACAAGGCCACAGCATCTCCCACTCCACTGGAAAAGGATCACTTACCCTTGAATCATTTTGGCATAAAATTAGTCATAACTAGTAAATGATAACAAATCACTTTTTTCTAATTACCCTATCCTTGAATTCTTCTTCTCCAATCCACCTGCTTTCCTCTGATCACTATGCATTGCAAGAAATTAAAGATTGATACTGATTTTGTTTTTTCAGGAAAAACAAATTTTTGGTGAAGGAAATCCATACAAAGTCATAGTTGTTGACTGTGGTATAAAACAGAACATGATCCGACACTTAGTCATGGTATGTAAAGTTACAGAATGGTATGGTTTATGTTCCAGTCTCCCACAGAAATGTCTGCTTTTAAACACTTGTGTCCCATCTCAGACAATAGGGTCCAAATTTATACCATAGTGTCTGATTTCAGACAGTTATGTCCCATTTTAGATAATAGGGTCTTATTTTAGACACTAATGTCAATTTTTGATGCAGGTGTCCAAAACTGACTACAAGTCTCTGTTTTGGATGTAATTGTCCAAGATAGGACACTAATGTCAAGTTTTGAACACTAGTGTCAATTTAGGACACTATTGTCCAATTTTAGACACTAATGTCTGATTTTATGAACTAAAGTCCAATATTTGAAACTAGTGTCTGCTTTTAGACACTTGGGTCTGATCTTAGACACAAGTGTCCAATTTTAGACACTAATGTCTGATCTTAGACACCAGAGTTTTAAATGCAATTTTAAACAATGTGGGTCCAATATAAGACACTGGTGTACAATTTCAAATGCAAGTGTCTGGTTTTAGATTCTAGTGTTTGATTTCAGACACAAGTGTCTAAAATGCAACTTAAGACATTGGTGTCTGATTTTAGATGATAGTGTTCAATTGTATGCTAAAGTGTCTGAATTTTGGCACTAGTGTCCAGTTTTATACCCTATTGTCCAATTTTGGACTCTATTGTCCCATTTAAGACATCACTGTCCAATCTTAGACTCCAGTGTCCAATTTAGGCACTAGTGTCTGACTGTAGATACTGGTGTCTAATTTAAGACATTACTGTCCAATCTAAGATGCTGGTGTCCAATGCAGGCACCAGTATCCAGATTTTAGACACTAGTGTTTAGACTCTACTGTCTGGTTTTATACTCTAAGGTTCCAATTTTAGACACTACAGTCAGATTTTAGACACTGTTATTTGAATAAGCAGTGACACCTTAGTTAGAAATTAGATGCTCATTACTCTCAGGTGTTAAACAGTTAAGGGTTTGACCAAGCCATGTCTTCATGTGCTTTGCTTCTGTAGAGAGATGCAGAAGTTCACTTGGTGCCTTGGAATTATGACTACTCTGAGGATATCTATGATGGTTTATTTATTTCCAATGGGCCCGGTGACCCTGCCATGGTATGGGATGCTGTTCTGAATCTGCGCAAGGTTTGGTTGTCTTTTTATATTGACACTAATGAACTTCTCTCTCTGCTTCACCCTTTCAATCCCATTCCATTTCATTTGTAATTCTTCTTACTGTATGCCATACAATTCATGTGATGTTTGTTCAGAGAATTTGGTTTTGGATCAGCTAATAATCCCCTAATTGTTATTATTCTTTACTCTCAACGTTTATCTGCTTGATAATGTAAGAAATTTTGCTGTGATCACTCAAAGGAGTTAAAGGGTGAAGTAAATTTCCAAGGCTGTTGTACGGGTGACCATCATGCTGTAATGTATTTGTTTTTTGTCCTTTTTAACTCGTGAATTGCGCGCATGCGCAAGAGCGAGTTATAGATACGATGTGGGGAATGGCATTCCTCGCTCGCTCGCTCGATTGGTCGATTCCTGTAAACTTTTTTTAGATTTTAGGCTTTTGAGTGCATTTGATAGTTTTTGGCGAGCAATAAACAGACGAAATGGCGACCTTTGTTGCTAAGAATAGTGGTGGGGTGAAAAAGAAGCCAATGATAATCTTAAAAGAGTTTTTTTTTTTCGTTTTAGTTTCAACAAGCGGCGCCAGCGACTGGCAGGCATGCAAGGATTCACACTGAAATAACAGAACAACCTTCGTTTTTCATAAAATTGTAATTTACAATCCTTGAACTTGAAAACAATCCGAAGATTCATTGAAAATATCACTTACTGCGAAGCGCTCGGAGTTTACAGATGTTCAAAAGCTTTTTCTGTTATAGCGTGAGATTGAGGACAAAATTGATCATTACGTTTCGTCGCGTGTGTTTTTCCTGTGTGAAGCAACAAAAGATGCCGGCGACTGACGAAATAACAAGTTAACACGAAAATCAGATAACACCTAAACAAACAATTTTAGCTACCGATTTTCAGTGAATTTTTAAAGAACAATTTTCTTTTAAGTTTCAAGACAATTTGAAGATTCAACATACATACAACGTACTAAAATGCGAAAGTTACACACCACAAAATTGATAAATAGGCCTGAAATGAAATTCTATCTTGTTATTGATCATACGTTGCCTAGCACGTGACTTAAATCTACCCAGGCGGAGATCCAAAATGACGGTGGCAGGCTTGGCTTAGTTATATCACTCAAAACTCGTTCCCGTTTGTCTCATTTGATAAAGAGGGAATCGTTAATGTTTTCATTAAGACAGTATTGCCTTGATTTTCTAATATTTACAACGAAAGACAGTAAATTTCACTTTTCACCCACATTTACTTCCAACCTTTTCTTTTGAACCAGAAACAAAAATGATAGACGTTTAAAATACATGATATCATCCACCTTGTCAAATGTAATAGCATGATCATTTCAATTGTAATGCCTTCTTATCCCAACGTTACTTTGTTTCTTTGCTACATTAGCGAACACTGAACTACTGCTCGTACTCTAGATATGACAATCAACCACAAAATTCCCTAAACCAGATAACATTAAACATAATCTAAAAAATCATGTGTCAATTCACGAGTTTGCTCACAGAGCACTTTGATTCTGTCTTAAACTCTTCCATGTGTCAGACATAGTTTGATGCTACTCTGGTTTGCAGATTAAATGAATGTAACCGAAGAAGTTACAATTCATAGACCCAATGTTTCGACACTCCTGTCTAGTGCCTTCATCAGGGGTGATCTAAATGCTGCAACAAGAGGTCCATTTATATGATCACTAATTAGCAGCCTTTTTTCTGACGAGGTGTAAATAGGCGTCAGGAAGCAAACCGCCGTCGTCACGATTTAAAGGAGCGTGGGCGGAGTTTATATGCCAAGCCTCCAAACAAAGGCGCTGGTGGTAACACCAATTAGTGGTGGTAATTTTAGAATTATCCCACCCCATTGTATGGTTAGTTAGGCATGTGTGCTCCGATAAAGCTGAATTTTCCTTTTTGCAAAAGAAAACCGCTTTTTTAATGCTCTTTTAAATGCGTACCAAACTGACGTTTGGTCTGTCCGATGTATTCTTCCATGTGTCCTTGTGAAGGATGTGTATTTGATAACAATTTTTTTGTACCTAAACACAGTCTGTAATCACAGATCCAGGTTACATTGACCCAAGAGTCCAATACAAGAAAGTGCTCCATTGTCCTGTGTATCATTTGAGTAATTAATTTTCCTCTTTGGCCATCCTTTGAAGGTGTTGAAGAATGAGCGTAACCAGCCAATATTTGGTATCTGTATGGGGAATCAACTTACCGGTCTGGCAGCTGGTGCACAGACTTACAAGCTGCCACTTGGAAACAGGTAAATTCATTTGCCTTTTGATCATGTCTAATCATTTACTCTGTCACATCAGTAAGCGTAGTCCCTCCATACTGTTCTCTATACATTTCCTAAGGTGCTGATTAGGAGGATTTGTTCAACAACGAATAACTTCATCAATGGGTGATCATTTCCTATATTCTTGTAACCTTAATGTGTAATTAAAAAGTAATAAAGTAACGAGAAATAAGAAGCCGATCACTCTTAGGGGTTAAATGGTTTAAGCGCAACCAGGTCAACTTTTGACAACTAAAAGACTCAGCGAAATATTCCTATTTTTTTTTTACAGAGGACACAATCAGCCAGTGATTAACCAACTCAATGGACAAGCATTTATAACCTCCCAGAATCATGGATATGCCATTGATGAGAAGACTCTTCCTTCAGATTGGAAATCACTGTTTATTAATGCCAATGACAACACAAATGAGGTACAAGCCAGGCTTTCGATAACTTTTTTATTAAACGGCTTCTGATGGTGTTGTAGGCAATTGTACGCCAAGGCGAAACCCAAACGAGATCCTGCTTGCAAGCTAAACAGTCAGCAGTAAGAGATCTTATGGGGTACGATAGACTGCCGGTAACCAGCTTTTACTGAAACTGCTGCCCGTGAAAACCAACACATTATGGATTTACCTATTTCTATATATATGCCTTTTTAGAATAAGGACGATGTATTACGGAGTTTTGAGCTTGGTGTTGGAAAAATAGAAAAAAAGATTCTGTTTGCTATGTAATGAGCGTAGGACAAAGAAAAAATCTGAGCACAGAAACCGAAGGTCGTGGGGAATGAAATTTTTTGATGAATGAATGGAACTGTAGTGCTGTGTCGTCAGGGGAAAATACAAGATAATTTGGTTTTATCAGCTGAGCTGATAATGAAAATTGGCCTTCGTAAAGAGTTTCTAAAGGTGACGTTTCCAGCGTCATTTGCACTGACGAAGGGCTAACACTAAAAACGTCAGCTTTAGAAACTCTTTACATCATCAACTCAGTTGATAAAAACCAAATTATCTATTTAATATATTAATTTGTCACGTTATTTATTGAACCTTTTACTTGCATCTTCCATTCATAGGGCATCATGCACAAGGACAAACCTATTTTCACTGCACAGTTTCATCCGGAGGCATTTGGTGGACCAACAGACACAGAGGTGACCTTTGTTTGATTCTTTACCTAAGTCTTAAGAACCAGAATATGTAATTTCTTTTCCTAACTGGCCTTAATTTCTTTGTTATAGTTTCTGTTTGACACATTCATGAATCTTGTGAAAGGTGGGAAAACATCAGTGGACCATGCAATGGGGAGACCATTTAAAGTTCCAACACCTCCTAAGGTAAGGAATCTTCACACTAGGATTTACCTGTTACTCATCTATTCAAAGCTTTGCGACTCGTAAGCCCCACCAGCCCTCTCTTTCAGTTGCTGTGGTTCATCATCTCATTCCAAGATATCTACCCCACTTCCTTTCTCTATTTTTCAGGTGCTGTCTAGTCTCTCCCATTTTCTCTTTCCTTGCTGTGTCCCTGTCACCGTTTTGCTGCGGATGTTGTTTGGACCCTGAATCGTTATATGCCCAGTCGTCCTCCACCTACAGTTTTTCATTTCTTTGCTATTTTGTTCAGAGGATACTTCGCAGCAATTTTCTGTCATCTTCTTTGTTCATTTTCCATCCTTTAATGTACAACAGCTACCAATGTTCTCCAAATTGAACAGGTCTTCTTGCCTGATGCGTAGAGAACATAAAAACTCAACAATGTAATAAAATCAAATAACCGGTTAATTTTTCAGGTGTCAAAAGTGTTAGTCTTAGGTTCTGGTGGTTTGTCCATCGGTCAAGCTGGAGAGTTTGACTATTCCGGATCTCAAGCAATAAAGGCGTTGAAGGTTTGATATCTGCGAAACAATCAGATTTCTTTTTCAAATTAAGTTCAATCTTGATCTATTTATAGCTTACAAGCAGTCCCTCCTTGCCAGTGAAGTCTGTAACACGAGTTAAAAAAATAAGCCTTAAAAAATTGAGGTTAACGCGCTGTGTGAAGCTCCGACAGTAAGGTGCACAAAAAATAGTGCGCAGCGCGCTACCAGCAATTTTTTTTTTTTGCACTTTTTTTTTGTTTACTTGCGCGACAGACTTCGCCGAAAAGGAGGGACTTGATTTATTAATTTACTTATTTTTTTAAGTTATTTCCTTAAGCCAAATGGACTGATTGCCCCAAATTGTGATGCAATATTTTGAGGATGGTTCGTTCGCAGTGATTGATGAGTTGAACATTGTACACTATGGGTAATGTTTCATTTATTCATGTCTGTTGTAGGAAGAAAATATGAAGACTGTTCTGATGAATCCTAACATCGCCTCAGTTCAAACTAATGCAGAAGGAGAGAAGCAGGTACAAAATTGTTTGCTTTCATCATCGTTCTTTTCGTGAGCTGGCCAACTACAATCACTTACTGTTAACAGTTTGAACCACACTACGGAAATGCGGTAGTTTTACAGTAAATCCTAGTATGTCATAATTGGAACTACAACGGTTAACTCATTTCAACTCATTTCCACTAGAGTTCGCACGCAGCAACACACTTAAATTGCATTCTTGTTTTTGTCCCAGGCAGATGTGGTGTACTTTGTGCCCATAACTGAACAGTTTGTTGAAGATGTCATAAGGCGTGAAAGACCAGATGGAATTTTGTTGTCGATGGGCGGTCAAACAGCCTTAAACTGCGGTATGATCGGAAATTATTAATTTACACTTGTGTACTTCCTATCCTGTAGATGTCACTTTAAAGAAAAATGCTTAACCCATTAGACCCTAATATCAGTATCCAGATTCTCCACACTCTTTGCTATACATTTGCTTTGGTAATGACAAGGAGAATTTTGTTTAACAACCAAATCTTCTTAGGTTGGCGATCATTTCCTTTATTCTCGTGATCGTAATGAATGATTTAGTAGTATGTCTGTTAGGAGAAATTAGATGCTGGTCACTCTTAGGGTTTAAAGGGTTAAATTGTCTCTTTTTCTGTTATCGGTTTTTCAGGAGTTGAGCTGTATGACAAGGGAGTATTGAAGAGATATGGTGTTGAGGTATGAAATCTTTTTACTTTTATGCTTGAACTGTAGAACATTATTGATAAGGATAAGCTTAAAATCAAGGTATCTTTTCAAATTTCATAAGTTGTATGGGTTCTTTAACGTCCCGTGCTAATCAGAACAGAGGAGATGCAGGAGGCGGGAACTACAGTTTATCGTCCCTATCCGAGAAGACTGGCACGTCTAACCATTTGCGGATCCCTTAGCAAAGGCGGAACATTCCCTTCAGTTATCCCAGCATTTACAGTAGAGTTTTATTAGTCAATTTTTCTGTATCACACACATTCAAGCAGCTTTCCCTAGCAGTGAAGTGCGTGTTTAAACATTTTGCATTTTCAGGTGCTTGGAACACCGATAGAGTCAGTCAAAGCCACAGAAGACAGACAAATTTTTTCAGACAAACTCACAGAGATTGGAGAGAAGATAGCACCTAGCGTCGCAGTGGAAACGGTAGGTCTTCTTATCAAGTCACTCGACCTTAATCAGCGCAGTTGTCAAATCGTCATTTATTGCCCCCACCAGGAGTAATCTCACCTGAATTGTCGCAATATATGATTGTGTTCTCACTTTTGGTAACATTTTTTTTTAGTACTTCTTATCTTAAAAAATATATTGTACCCTTAAATGTTTTGAGACGTATGTTATCTGTTGCAGGAAGAGTCGGCTGTAAAGGCTGCCAAGAACATTGGTTTTCCTGTCATGGTTCGAGCTGCGTATGCTCTTGGAGGACTGGGATCCGGCTTGTGTGAAAATGAAGAGAAACTGAGAGAAGTCGCAAGACAGGTGATTTGGATAAATTGAAACTTGTCAGTACTACAAGCTTGACAATGAATAACCCGTTTAAAAAGATTTAGACAAACACTGATTTGTTTTGCCTTTGTATTTGTTATGATTGATCTGTTTTATTTCACCTTTCCTTTCCCTGTTAAAATTAGGATAGAAAAAAGGTTTTTAATATTTTTATTCTACGTATATGGATGGGGTACTGTATGTTCAAACGCGGTTCATAAAATACTGCGGGCTTATACAATAGAGCAGAGCATTCCCTTGTTAAGTACAGGTGGATATCCGTAGCTATTTCTGGGATATATACCCCTCGAGAAGATAAAATAACTGTGATTATATGAAAATCATGTAGGTGAACTGCGGATTCAGAAGTAAATTTGAAAGTGATATTCGCCGTAATGAACACTACTTAAGCTTAGGTAAAAATAAGGCCTTAAGAAAATTCAGGCCTGTACCGGATTTGAACCCATGACCTCTACGATACCAGTGCAGTGCTGTACCAACTGAGGTAACAAGCCAACTGGGAGCTGGTCATTATGTTAGTTACAAGTAAACCCGTGAAGTGATGAATAAATAACAGTGAATATATGAAAATCATATATGTTAACTGCGGATTAAGAAATGAATTGGAAAGCGATCTTCGCGGTGTTGAACACTACTTAAGCACTTCAGACCTTTGGATGGCTAACTCACCACAGAGTTAACTGTAGCTCAATGGTAAAAGATCAGAGGTCTGAGGCTCGATTCCACGCAGGGGTTTATACTTTTCCTCCGGTCCACGTCTGTGACTAGGTGAAGAAACATTGTTTTTCATGAATCAACGTAGCGTTTTTGTTGTTTCCAGGCACTCAAGCTATCAAATCAGATACTTATTGAGAAATCACTGTTGGGTTGGAAAGAAATTGAGTATGAAGTCGTCAGGGATGCCGCTGATAATTGCATCACTGTATGTAACATGGAGAATTTTGATCCTTTAGGAGTTCACACAGGTACAGTGTACGTGTATAACGCTAGTTATGACGAGAATGTATACAACGCTGATTCGCAGGGCTTCCGGAGATTACATTAATTTCTGCAGCATTAAGCACTTGGGGATATTGTTACATCTCCTGATTGGGATATTAGTCCAATGTAGGTTATCTTTACACCTCACCATTTTTTCCCTGACAATTTGCCGGTATCTACCTATACTCTCCGTTAGAGAGAGGTCTATTATAAAATATTGAAGTTATGAACATATACATATATATTTTTTTTGTGTGTGTCAGGTGACTCTGTGGTTGTGGCCCCAAGTCAAACTCTGTCAAATGAGGAATATCACATGCTGCGGGAAACAGCACTTAAGGTTTCATTCCTTTCTTTACTCTTTTAAATTAAAATTCTCAAATGTAATTTGCTTCAATAACTTGAGTGACTGGCCGATGTGATTTACTATCAGTTAATCCTTCATGTGGGATGCCCTTATGATCTTAAATTGATGCTTTTTGTTGTAGGTTGTACGCCATCTTGGTATTATTGGTGAATGTAACATACAATATGCTCTGCACCCAAAGTCTCTGGAGTACTGTATAATTGAAGTCAATGCCCGTTTGTCCAGAAGCTCTGCCCTCGCATCAAAAGCTACCGGGTAAATGTTAGGTAGACTTAGCCAAGCCTAAAAGTAGACGTCCAAATTGCTTATCTTACGTGGTTTAGTGCACAGAGTTACGTCGGTAAGGTGACAAAAAAAACATTTTGCGGCCTGAGCGGTTATGTTATTTTTCTTGTGTATTGGGCTCCGCTCGCGCGCATGTAGTAGCCGCCTTAATTGTAACACGCAAAATTGTTTTAAACCAAAACCAAAAAAAGAATCACAAGACCATTCAGTACAAACAGAAATGTTGCAAATAGCCAGTGGCAACTCGAGGTGAAAAAGCTCAGACTGCTTGAAGCGTGATTTTAGCTTGCATTTGATTGTTTGAGAGTATAGGGCAAGTTTTTTACACCAATCACAGAAAAAAATTGAAGGAAAAGCGAAAATTGCATTTGACCTCAACTGAAACCTCCTCCAAGTCTTTAATCTCCCTTAACCCCTAAAATTGCTGGTGTGAATATCATCATTCTTCCTGAATGTTTCGTGTTATTAATATCTTGCAGATATCCTCTGGCATTCATCGCAGCCAAGCTCGCACTTGGAATACAACTTCCTGACATCAAGAACTCTACAACAGAGCAAACAACGGCTTGTTTTGAGCCAAGCCTCGATTACATTGTCACCAAGGTTCAATTCTCACTTTATGGCTACATTGATGTGGCATATTTGGAAGAAAAAACTCTTTGAAAACTCCTTTATTTGTGCTTACTTCCTCCGTATCACGTTTCAACTGGTTCAGATTTGTTAAATCAAACGCAAACTATAAAATTTATAGGTTAAACCTTAGCTTAGAAATATTTTTCCTATTCATAGCAAGTTTAATGATTTCCCTTTACTCACCAACCGCTGAAAAGCAGAGACCAAAAGGCAAATTTTTACTGTTCGCATAAACGGCGTTCTTTTCTCTCTGTTCTCAAGGTGGAAGTTCAAGGAAAAAACACCGAAACAACTGTGATTTTATTATGCTTTTCGTTCATAGAAATTCCCACTTAACTCTTTTTCATCCCAATTTTCTTCTCTACTGGGAATTACAATAAAAACTAACGTGTAAAACAGACAATGAAATGGGGTTCCATTTTAAAGACACATTCTGTACTTGACAAAATGCAAATAATATTCATTGAGGAGACGTGCACTCACTTACAGCCCACCAGAATGACTCGAAATAGTATTGTCAACCTTTTAAGTCAATGAATAGAATTGCTTTCGCCACGAAAAGCCGTCAACAACAAGGCAATTAATTCTTGTGTCCTTTTATCAATTACAGATTCCTAGATGGGACTTAGACAGATTTCATATGACTTCCAAACAGATCGGCAGTTCGATGAAAAGTGTTGGAGAGGTAAGAATCCCTCTTTGACTGAAGAATGTGTTAATAAGCGAAATTTGTCAAATTCAGACAACTACTTTCAGATCTTGAATAAAAGGGTTAGTTTTCATGGATTTGGTGATATTGAGAACTATTTGTTATAGAAATCCATTCAGGTAAGTTTCTATCTCTTAATCTTGTAGTTTTTTTGGTCTCTAACTTTCTTTTCGGCTGGTTTAGTAAAGACTCTTCGTAGAGGGACTATGGAAACAGCGCAATATCACATTTTCTTCAATATATAGATGAGGCCATTTTTAAAACAGAGCTCTGATTAAACAATTCTACAATATTCAAGTTTGCAAATTTTGCAAAGGTAATTTATTGAGTGCACTGTGCTTTTCGTATGGCCTTCCTCCTAAGGTTTGGGAACACCGTTAGATGGTTATAAGCGGACTTGATTTCAGAACTGAATTTTGAGTACGTTTTTTGCCAGGTTATGGCGATCGGTCGAACATTTGAGGAGAGCTTTCAGAAAGCTTTGCGTATGGTGCATCCCTCAGTGGATGGTTTTGTGTCCAAGGTAAGTGCTATTACAGAATTTTGACACGTTGAGGTCTTTATATTTCAAGTCACTCCTAGATGCTCAAAATTACCTTGAACCTGAAGGAGAATACAAAATTTTTTAGCCTTGAAGACTTGAAACGACGGGTTAGCGGTTTCATGGCTCCGTACCAGATTTCCTCGGTCTTGATGGTGGTGAACGAGTTGCCACAAAGGCGGTAAAAATAAAGCAATAAGAGGCAAAGATGGCTAAGGACTAACACGAAATTCTCGTAACTGATTTACATGGAAATGTGTAACAGAGAGGAGAACTGACAATCAGATCTTGGAAGTTAACGGATTAAAACGGAATGCAATCGAGGGAGTTGAAAACTTTAGCCGATGAACATTTCTAACTAATATCTGTACGAGTAACCTGCGTGTTTGTTCTTTGTTGTAGCTTCCCAGTATGCATCAGGAGTTGACAGACGGCAAACTTGAAGATGAGCTAGTTGTTCCATCAAACACAAGAGTATACTCCATCGCTAAGGTGATGAAAGCACTCTCCTTTAGTTGAAAGGCGGGGACACTTTACACCACAAGTCACTGCTAATCCGATTTTATCGAAGCGATCATACCCACAGGTTCAGACCAATTTTAATTTGAACAAGATTTTTTCAGGAAACACGACACAACATAGAAAAACTTCGGTCTTATTCGTACAGCTTGCCACAGTACGCCATTTCTGGCCCAGTTCCATGCTCCTCCTCCTTCCCCGCCCCAGTCCCCAGATGCAATGAAAAGGATCAATGTCAGTATCTAAGCAACTGTGTACCTACCCTTCTCCTAACCCAACAACAGCAACTTATAACAAGTTAGGGTTAATGTTGCGTTAGGGGAGGGGTAGGTGCAGTTGCTCATATACTGATATTGTTCCAAAAAATTGTGGAAAGATTAGAAAAACTTATGGAAAGATGTCCAAGTCACATGAAGCGAATTTTTTCTGCGACCTGTTTCTGCATCGCCCTCTAATAAGAGCCGTCCTCGTGTAGTCGCTCTCGCAGCGTTTTTTCTTTTTTTTTTGGTCATGTCTCTCGAGAGAAGTTAAACAGGGGGTGTGATTGATTTCCTTTGAATTGACATGGAACATTGGTAAACCTGACAAACCTGTTGCTTTTCATCTCCAGGCGCTTCACCAGAACTACACAGTGGATCAAATACACGAACTGACAAGCATTGATCACTGGTTCTTGCACAAATTGGATCGTATTGTGGAAATAGAGAAAGATCTAAAGAATCAGCAACTGTAAGCTATCTAATTCTTCGTTTAAACTCTTTGACCCCTGAGAGCAAGTGACCGACATCTTATTTCTCCTTACACAATCACCCCTGAATGAAACATTTAGGTCACAAGAATTAAGAAAATTATCACCAACTTAAGAAGCTCTTGATTGTTAAACCGTAAATTCTCTTTTTCAGCACCTTAGGGAATGTATAGAACAGTTTGGAGAATATGCATGCTGATATTAGGGTGTAAAGGGTTTATGTGACCTTGATGTAAGTTATAGGCTTCTTAACCAGTTTGTTTCATTTTTAGGGGATCTTTGCAGCGAGACGATTTGTTGGAAGCCAAACAAGCTGGTTTTTCTGACAGACAGCTCGCAAGACTGATCGGTGTGCCAGAAAACGATATGAGAAACGAAAGACTTAAACAAGGTGTGAGGCCTTGGGTTAAACAGGTACGTAATCTGCTCAACTGGTATAAATAAATGTAAACGTCGTCAAGCGCAGGAAAATGCAATTTACCGGGTGCGATTGGTTTAAGTTAATTGGTCGGGAGGGTGACGCGCGTCTTCTCGACCAATCATAGAGCCGATGAAGCAAAACCATTGCAATTCCAAATCACGTTCGACACTAAATTAAGAAATATGCCGCAGCTGTTAGTGACTTAAAGTTTGCTTGTACTTGTTTAACAGATCGACACAATGGCGGCCGAGTATCCAGCCAAGACGAACTATCTGTACATGACGTACAATGGCAATGAAAATGACCTGTTGTTTAACGACAAAGGTGTCATGGTGCTCGGGTGTGGCCCGTATCATATCGGCAGCAGTGTCGAGTTTGACTGGTGTGCGGTGTCTTGCATCAGGACTCTGAGAAACCTGGGAATCAAAACGGTAGGTGTATATTAAGTGTGAACTCGTGGTTGATTGGTTTGTGAAGAAATGAAACATTTTGCGCGATTTTGGTTGACCTGACGTTTAGAGCGCTAAACTCCCGCAGATGGTATATGGAGGTTTCGCCTGAATGTGAGCTCTCTCCCTACCGGTTCGCCTCTGTCACCTCGAATTCGCCCCATCAGTACAGTGAACTTGCAGAGGGGCGAAACCTCTAAAAACCGACCCTAACTAGCCCTGACTGAGGTCACAGATACAAATATACTTTGCCATTATCAGGTTGTAGTGAATCACAACCCAGAGACTGTCAGCACAGATTATGATGAATGTGATCGCCTATACTTTGAGGAACTTTCCCTCGAAAGAGTCTTAGATATTTACCAGCAGGAGGTAAGTCTTTTGAGGTGGTAAATATACAACAAATGGAAAGATTATGAAGGGTTGTAAAGACTGTTTTAAAATAACAACGAATCACAGATCTAGTTCGCGACAGTGCCAAATAACGCCATGAACTAATCAGATTTGGAAGCTCGGGAAACATATGAATTTTTTCTCAGCGTCAAAGGCATATGAACAAGGCGAGTTTTTGATATACTTGGTAGTGACAGATTGGGGGAGGGAATTGTGGTCGGTTGTATAACCGATGTTACGCGCGGAAATTGGTAACCTGCTGAGAGGGCGGGAAACTGCGCGCGGGAAAAGGGAACCAAGTGGTTTCGGCGGGAAAATTATGATAGATATTTAGTGCGGGAATGGAGAGTCGGCCGGGAAATGAAGAATCGATCACACGCGTAGGAAATAAAAACAAAGTGGTAAAAGCTGAGGGTACAGAGTCGTTAGTACGAGTGAGATATGGGCAAACGGCTGTGGGAGCGGGAAAGTGCTGAGTAGATGAAACGCGCAGGAATATGAAAACCCAACGGTGGCTAGTTCAATTACCAAGGATTTAGTTTCCCTTTCTCGTATCTAACAGGTTTGTAATGGTGCTGTGATCTCAGTTGGTGGACAAATCCCCAATAACCTAGCGCTCCCCTTGTACATGAATGGTGTTAATGTCCTTGGTACCTCTCCCCTGATGATAGACGCGGCTGAAGAAAGGTAAGACGTGATTCACGATTGGTGGAAAAGAGTTGTGCTCTGATCAATCTCGCTCACAGGACTTTTTAATTTCTCGTAGATCTCGCTTCTCTGCAACTCTTGACGAGATTGGAGTTGGCCAAGCGCCTTGGAGAGCCGTTTCTTCCGTGGTGAGTAGCCGTTTTTGTGAGAAAAGGGGTAAGTTTCTAAAGAAACTGTGGTGCTGCGTCGGTGGGAGAGTATAGCAGGTAATTTAGTGTTAACAACTGGGTTGAAAACGTAAATTAGCCACCGTAAAGGGTAAAAAAGCTGACGTTTCGAGCGTTAGCCCTTCGCCAGAGCGACTGAACGTTTTTGTGAGAGCTTTTCAGATCACTGTCGTAACGTTGAAAATTTTAATTTGTAACTTGGAAATTAAATGAAATTTTACTCCATTGTTTGTTTATTTATTTGTTTTATTATTGTTGTTGTTGTTTTAGGATGACGCGTTGAATTTTGCTGCCACCGTTGGGTACCCATGTCTTCTCAGACCTTCTTACGTCTTGAGGTAAAGAACATAATAAAACTGTTTGTCGCGAAGTGAAAACCTTACGTGTGATTATAATAACTAAATATAATAATGGCCAAGACGAATTATGATGGAAAGTTTGATTGGGGCCGTGAAAAGACTGGTAACGTAAAAAATGGAATGGGGGAAAGCGCGGGAAAGGGTACGCTGATGGGTAGCACGTGATATGTCACGTGACGTGACTTGATATTAGACTCTTATTGGCTGAAAATAATAGAGGGTTTTTGTTTGTTTCCTTTCTGTGCAGTGGCTCAGCCATGAACGTAGCTTACGGTCCAGTTGAACTGAAAAAGTTTTTACAAGAGGCTGCCAGGGTGTCACAGGTAAGTTCGCTTTTTTTAATTTTCTGTGGTGTTAGTGGGAATTTCTCCAGATTTGTCTTTCTGTTTTGAATTCAGGACCATCCTGTTGTGATGACGAAATTCATCGAGGGCGCTCGGGAAATCGAAATGGATGCTGTAGCTAAGAATGGAAAGGTTGGTGTAGTTCCCTTTAAGTGAGTCTCGTTCAAGGAAAATTTTATCGCAATATTGGATTATTCATAGTTTCTTGATACTGATGCGTTGCCCATGTGGTTCTTTGCCCCAGGTCGTCGCCCATGCTATTTCTGAGCACGTGGAGAATGCTGGCGTCCATTCAGGGGATGCCACCCTCATCTTGCCTCCACAGACAATCAGTGAAGAAGACATCGCCCAGGTCAGAGAACCTTACAATGTGCTGTTTGATGAATAGATTCCATGTTATCGAGCGTCTGTTCAGTAACAGATTAGAGAAGATGTCAAAATGTGGTTAAAACAAAAAAGTGGCACAAGAGGAAGCCACTGATGTTCTTATAACGTTTTGGAATCCTCTGTGATCTATCACTGAACTGACCCACGGGAACATGGAGTCTATTTGTTTCTTAAAATGAAGAGGCAAAGTGTTGCTAATGGTGACTTCGTCTGTGCGTCTGTCCCTCAATGGGTTATGAGTGGGGACCAATCAAAATGTATAATACTTGAATAACTTTGAGAACGGGAACCCTCAATCAATCTAACTATGTGCGTGGGGCTTAGCACGTGCTTCCACGTGCTGCACGAGTCGTCACGTGCTGCACGAGTTATAAGTAGCTGATTAACAATAAAGTTGCCTTACCTTTCGTTTGGGTGTAGTTAGGTTTGTGTGATCACCTATCCGTTAGGGCCTTTTTCTTTCTGTTGCACCGTACTCAGTAGAGAAATTTCTTAAGGGTGTTCTTCTCTCTTTTGCGGCAATAAATCGTTTACAAACGTCGCACAACGATAGACGTGGAAAGTCATCTGGTTTTAGAGCTGGAGGGTTTGAAGCATCTTGTTTCAGTAACACATTGTTAAAACATTTTAACAGGTAAAAGAAGCAACCAGGAAGATTGCCGAAAAGTTCAACATTTCGGGTCCGTTCAACACGCAGTTTTTAGCCAAAGATAATGAAATCATGGTAAGATGATTGATGTTTTTATATACTAGACAAGGGTGCTAAGGTACTTCTTATCTTCAATGAATTAGGTACATCATTCTTCTCTTGAATTCTTATTGAAAACGTTTTTATGTTGATCAGTTACGACTATTTTTTTTATTTTTTGTTCTCATTGAAAAACCAGTCTCTATTTTACGCTAAAACACTACTGTTTTATCTACTGTTTTTTTTAGTTATCCTTACCGGTCAGTTCTGATCTGATGTCTCTCAATCCAATAAATTGTATTCTCTTTAAGATAAGCCTTGCTTGGGCTTGGTAATCTGGGCAGGGGCTACCCCAGGGGTATCTATACATCGGGTTCCTAGGGGTACCGGTATGCAAGGTATCTTTTTTTTTTACTCTCCCAACCCGTCAGGTACTGTGGGCAACAGCTACCTGAGGGGTATCTATAATACTAGGTTTTCAATGACTTACATTTGAGATTTTCCTCACACTCGAACAGGTAATCTAGACAAAGGCTACCCGAGGGAAATGCGAGGCTGTCATGTGATTGAGTGCAATCTATGCGCTTTTCGTTCCTCTCTGGGTAACGCCTACCCCAGGGGTATCTAGAATGCGGGGCTACCAGTGATACCGAAACGTAACTTGCTTTATGTATTTTCCTATTCCCGTCTGCCAGGTGATTGAGTGCAATCTACGTGCTTCTCGTTCCTTTCCTTTCGTATCCAAAACAGTCGGCACAGACTTCATCACTGTGGCTACAAAGATAATGGTGAACCATCCTCTTGATGAGCACGCGTTACCTGATCTGACCACGCCCTTGCAGCCAGTCGGATATGTTGGCATCAAGGTTTGTTCATTTTTAATCGGCGAAAAAACAAATAAATGGATGAATGGATGGAGATGAACAAAATGATCCTCCCTCCATTCCCCCTAAAAACCATGTGATCCACTTTCCCCCTTTGACCCGATAAATAATGCTGTGTCTCGGCGATCAGATATTTTCATTTTCTCACACTCGTGACTAAACCACTGATACTTAGTGTGATAATTGTCCGTGTTTAGGCACCAATGTTTTCATGGCCGAGGCTTCGTGATGCTGATCCGCTTTTGAGATGCGAGATGGCGTCAACTGGAGAGGTGAGACAACATCAATAAAGAAAATATGGAAGATTGAACTTTTTTCATTTAAGAATTAATAGTATTACAGGATCGCATTGGTTTTGATTTCATGCGCCGTGTTGTTCGTTTCGGAAAACCTGCGCCATCATCTCAAGCAATCAAATTCAAAAACTTAAGCCAATCACGACTTCTTCCCTCGCATTTTCCCGCGCTTCAGGCAGTTTGTTTGTCTTCACTTTGAGTTCTTAATGGTTTTTATTTACCACGCCATGTCATTTGTCTAAAAAACCTGCGCTAACTTCTCATCCAAAGCGAAAGCCAATTGCGACTTGGTCCCTCGCGTTCTCAGGCAGTTTGCTTGTTTTCACTTTGAGTTCTTAATGGTTTTTATTAACCACGCCATGTCATTTGTCTAAAAAACCTGCGCTTACTTCTCATCCAAAGCGAAAGCCAATTGCGACTTGGTCCCTCGCGTCCTCCCGCGCTTCAGGCAGTTGCATGTTTTCACTTTGAGTTCTCATTGGCTCATTGTGGTATTTCCTTTGTTCTGATTGGCCGTTGTGAATTCTTTGATTTAGGTTTTACGTGAGTCAATCACATAGGGATGTTTACGTGATTTTAACGTGTTTGTGCCATAAAGAAATTGTAAATTAATGCTGTTTCGTAATACGTTTACATTTGACGATTAACAGGTGGCTTGTTTTGGATCCACTGCCAATTCAGCGTTTCTCAAGGCTTTGATGTCAACTGGCTTCCGTCTGCCTAAGAAAGGCATTCTGATTGGTATTCAGGTAAGATGATTGACAGAGTAACTGTTAGTAACCCATCTTAAGATTCCAGATGCCGGGTTGTATGTAGTGGTGACCGTGCCAGACTCCGTAATGAAGGGTCTGGGTTCGAACCTTGGTCGGGTCAAAGTGAAACTTAAAGCCACTGACTCACGTGGCGATTTAACTCGCCGATCGCGGCGAATATGAATCGCGAAGTCGATCGGCGAAAATCGCTGATTTCTGATATGCCAGATATTGGCGATTCTATACGCCGATCGTAACGATTGGCGAAAATCACAATCTTTTAGGATGAGGCGCGATTATGAAGAATTTTGAGTAAAACCTTTATGCTTCTTTCTTTGTTTTCTGAACAGCAATCCTTGCAGCCAAAGTTTCTTCCAACAGCCAACAAGCTTCGCCAACTGGGATTCACTTTATACGCAACAGAAGCTACGGCGCAGTATTTGAACGAACACAATATTCCGGCGCAACCCGTAGAATGGCCTCTACACAGCGTTGGTGTAAACCCGACTGCTACAAGGTTAGAATTTTGCTCGGCGCGCTGATGTTGTTGTGGGCGCGCTGATGTTGTTGTGGGGTATTATCTGCCTAGTTTTCCCTATTCGTCATATTCATAACGATAACTTCTTCCGCGGCAAAGGACTTTTGCGTTTGCGGTAAATTTTCGCTGTAGAAAGTCTATATCAGAAAGCTTTTTCCTTTTCGTACAAAATCTTCTAAGAATCAAGCCGCACGGAAAAAGTCGGACACTCTGTTCCGTCGGTAAAGAACGAATATAGGGGATGTGTCCTTGATGTGTGAGCATGTCCCATTGTGTGTCCACCTGATAGGCGCGCGTCCCCCATGGGATGTCCACTTGATCTGCGCGCAGCCCCAATGGGATGTCCACGCTATTTGTGCGCATCCCCCATAGGATGTCCCGGTGATCGGTGTGCATCCCACGACATGAGCACGTGATCAAAATTCATGATACAGAATTGTTTACAAAAGCAAATCAATTCTTACAGGTGAACTGTGAATGAAGAAATGACAGAATTTGAAGCCAGAAACGTGCTGGTTTCGATGCATTTCGAGCCTTTGCCTCCAAAATATTGTTTTGAGTGTTAAAATTTTTCAGCTCTCACTGTTGTTGTTTCGTTGCAGACTGATTCAAGATAAAGATGTAGACCTGGTGGTGAATTTGCCAAATCAGAACACCAAGTACATCAAAGATAACTACCTCATCCGTAGATCGTCCATCGACTGTGGAGTCCCACTTATCACTAACTTGGAGGTATATTCACATTCGGTTAAAATCTTATGATAAACTGGGACCCTAAGTAAAAACCACCACGGCGACGGCAACAAGAACGTGGGGAATCAAAGTATTTAACTAGCAGAACGATAGCTCAGCACGTGCGTTTTAAAACTTTGTACATTTTTGGCCGTTCGCTGCGGAACAGCAACCTGAAACAAAGAAAATTCGCGTGGAATTCCCGATGTTTCTATTTGGAACTAAACGCTGCTTACTTATGTTTAACTGTTTTCTCTTTTCTATTTAGGTCGTGAAGATGTTTGCCGAAGCTCTTTCAGAAACCGGCCGCAAAATCGATGCCACATCACTCTTCCACTACCAGAAGTCCTCCCAAAGAAAAGCAACGCCTTGAAACGGTTGTCAGGCAACTCAAAAAGTGCCCCTTTACCCCCCCCAGACAGTTTACTAAAGATGAGAGGCTCACTCGTGTGGACTTAATATAATTTGTGCGAGAAAAAAAGGGAATATTTTTTACCGAGAAACGGTAGTATTCAATAACAGTGTGTTCAGACAAACATTCGTGTAGATTGTAAACTAGTATATATTTAAAATAAAAGTAGACAAGACACGTAATTTAGTGTGTTTTGCGTATGATAGATTTTAATTTGCGGTTTGTTTGTTGCGTATGACTTCGATAGTTTCTCAAGTCAACGTCGTGCAAAATACGAAACAGGCAGATTACTGCTAATTGCGTAGTGGACTATATGAAATTTCCGCACAAGAAATTTAAAATTTATTATCGAAATAAAATGAGAGTGCAGTGGTTTTCTGTCCTTAGCGATTATTTTTTGGTCTGTGATAGGTCAAGAAAACTCACGCCACCTCCTCAACCAATCAATTTAAAAACTAAGGCTAATCGCGTTGTGGTCATTCACGTTTTCCCGCGCTTCGAGCAATTGCTTGTTTTTTCTTTAAGTCCTCATTGACTGCTTGCGATATTTTCCGTCGTTCTGATTAGTCGATTTAATTACTTTGGTTTTAGTTTACATCCCCTGACCCAACATTAACACTAAATTTCTATTAGTTGACTGTTTTTGGGTTAGGGGAGGGGTAGGTGCGCAGTTGTTCATATACTGACATTGGTCTGATTTATTAATAGAAAAGCTCCCAGGGGAATTTTCGAGTTCTAATACCCAATCAAAACAGAGTTACGACAACTCTATATCTTTACGTCAAACATCCACTTACATGCATTGTGCAGCGAAATAAGCTTTTGATCGTAGTTGACTTAACGGAAATTTGATACTTTAGTGGGAAAAAGCCGTTCTGAAATAAATCTACTCGGAAAAGGGTTACGTCAAGGAATCAGTAGAGAAAGAGGCTCCCGTTGATGGATTCCGGAGGAAACTTAATTAAAAGTACTTAGGGTGTGTTATTAGCAGGTTAAGGGTTATGCAGTTAATGCTCTTGAAATTTTCATTAGAGCCTGTCTGAGAATGAAGCGTATTGTATGAAAATTCAGTTCAATGTTTACCGTGTCTGTCTTTGCCATCACTAAGTTTTAACCAAACAATTGCTGTACTTCGTGTGTCTTTGTGGAGACGTTTTTCGGGCCTTGATCAACCAATCAAAGAAACGCATTTATCAGCAGATGTCATTACACTGAATTATTCCTGACGTCATCAGTGCCTGGAGATTCCTTGTGGCATAGGGAAGCTGCCATGATCGAAGATTCTTATGGTGGTGCCGAAACGGATCGGGCATTTTGCTGTAAGGTACTTTTCAGAGATCTTGTATACTTTTTGTCTCGGCTGAGAAAAAAACGTCGGAAAATAATTATCCCCGTCTTTCTTATCAGAGATTTTATTTCATTTTGGCGTTGTGCCGATACTTGGGGTAAACCTCGCTGTGGTGTCCCGGGTGCAGAGTATTTCTTATGGTTCAGGGTAGTTGGATCCTTTTACGGCTCCCTAGAGGAACTTGCTTCGCACCTCCCTAAATCTTCCTTCTTCTCCTGAGTTAACTGTATTTGCAATCCACTTTGCAGATGAAAACAGATGACTTGGAAGTCTTCTCAAGATCAAAAAGCCCATTGAAAATAGGCTGGGAGATATCGTTTGGATTTTTTAGTGTTTTCCTATTGTAGGTAAGTGCTACAAATTCTACGCCACGTTATCGAATGCACAGACATTTCATTTTTTAACCACATGATTGTATATTAAGTTGTGAATCACCTGAAAGCAAATAAATACAAATATTTAACTACAAAATATAGCCAAAGACTAAATGAAATAAAAACAAACTTCCATCTGTAGCGTATCCATGTCAGTCTTAGAGGAGAAGTAACCCGGATGCTGACAAAAACTAACGTAGATGATGAAAACCAAACACTACTTAGTCGAAAGAAACTACATGACAAGAATTGACGAAATAGGCAAAGTATTCTGAGGAGAGAACAAGTATCTACCAGAGGGTCTCCAATAGGTTTTTCGGGATCCGGGATTGGGCTTATTTAATTAAAGGCTGGGATCCGGGAATTTAAACTTTTATTATGAACGGGACACGGGAATCGGCGATTTTGTGGAGCGGGATTCGGGAAATAATCACTTAAACGAACCGAGTGTGTTTTATACACTTGTTAAAATTGTTATTTTTTTCTTTGCCTGTACCAATACGTTTGTTCGTGATCGAAGTTTAATGAAAGGAAGTCGTTACCTTGACTAGCGTATGTTATTCGTGCAAAACTTTGAAAACTTCTAAAATGAACGATATCATCATTCTGATGGAAAGAGATAAACTTACGCCTTACGGTGACCAGAGACTTCAACGGATCAATGCTGGTTGAGAAAATCATCACCCACCGAAAAGGCCCTCTTAAGTTTAGGAAATGGACCTAGACAAAATTGTATGATCGGGATCGGGATCGGGATTGGCCGGTATAAACCGTCGGGATTACGGGATTGAGAGAAAATTGTAGTCGGGATTGCGGGATTGCAGAACCCTATTGAGGACCCTCCTACCAAGGTTTCGTTATCCTTACGTACCCTCACGCAAGATAGAAAATTTTTAGACGTCATTTTCAACAGTAAGATATTTATTTAAATTCTAGTTGCTACACCTACTTTCATCAAAGTTTTGTGAAAATTGTGAAAATTTTACAAATCCGAATGTATCCAGAGTAAAAGCTGTAGAAAACCAAAATCATCCAATAACCTGAATATTGCTCGAAAGATCGACCGCTACTCTTATCGCAGCTTAACTACGTGCTTAGAATTATCCCATTTTTTTCTCCTATAATCGGCTATATTTAAGCTTCTTGGCTTCCGTACTGACCGGAAAGCTTTAAGATGACCTCCACATGTAAGCCCGTTATCGCACTGGCATAATGTACTTATGGAGCTTTGATTTCATGTGAAATGAAAAGAAAATCTCCACCCCACCTCCCCTGCCCCCTCCCGAATTACACGCTAGCTCGTCAAAAATTCAATCCCTGTTCCACCCGGTTGTTCATCAGTTGCCGTCGAGTGTATTCTTCTGATTACTTCACAGCCTGTGTCCTGTGTGGCTAAGCATTCGCTCTTTCTCATGCTCCCCAACCCCACCCCCACCGCTTCAGATTTAGAGAAGGATCGATATCATTATCTGAGCAATTGCGTACCTACCCCTCCCCTGACCCAACGTTAACCCTAACTTGTTATCAGTTGCCTGTTGTTGGGTTAGGGGAGGGGTGGGTGTGCAGTTACACAGAGGCTGACATTGATCCCTTTCCACTACAACTAATGACAAGGGCGGTCAGGGAAGGAGGAGCATGGACCTGGGCCATTGGAACTCGGAAATGATGTTTTGCGGCAAGCTGCATGAATAGCACCGAAGTTTTTTTTAGTTGTTTCGTTTCCAAATGGCACCAGTATTGCTAAAGAGAGGAAATAGATCTGCATTAGAAGGATTTTGTTGGTAATCATCTTTACATCATTAGGTCCTGACAGGAGCCCATTAATGGGCTCCTGGTCCTAATTCGTATGATAAGGTAACCCTAGAGCGATAACTTCAAAGCTTAAATTCCCTCACTGGGACAATGAGAGCGGGTTATCGCCATGAGTTTTGTTCATATCTCGTTTGCAAAGAAGGCTTAAATTTTGTTCGCGTTCTTCAAATTCGCGCGCGCAAACGCGAGGCGAGCGCAAAGAAAGCGCGAGGTGAGCGCAAGCGAGCGCGAAGAGTGAATTACGCGCAAACGAATAATTTCGCTCTTTGCTAATTTTCTACGCATCCATAAGTTTTACATGGTAGACAATAATTATGATAAAAATTATAATAATAATTATAATCGTGATGATGATAAAAAAAAATTATTATTTCATTCATAGAGGTTTTTGTGCAATTTCCACAAAGGTTCAAATGAACATTACGGATTTGAAAATAAAGGGAAAAGCACACCTAGAACAAAGCGCAATGATTCGGAAGTGTTTCTTGAGAGAGGGGATGCGGGTTTAACTGATAGGTTTATCTTCTTTAGTTTAAGACGAATTAGAAGAAAGCGTTAAAAGCGGTTATTTTTCTTAGTAAATAAATCCTTCTGTTTGTTGAAAGGTTGTTTTATTGTTTTTATCTCATCGGAATAAGAAGGAGGGCTAAATTAAAAAATTGGAATTACATATTTACGTGCTGAGAAAAGAAACGCAGGCTTTCCATTGAAAACACTTTGCCAATAAAGTAATACCATGATCTTGTTTGTACAATATATTTGGTTACGCTGGACTCCTTTGTAAACAAAGATTCAGCTCTCACGCACCGCCCAATTTAAACCTCTACCAGTTATCAATATTCATATTATCTACACAAGATCAGAGGGCTGTTTAGATGACAGGTGGGGAGAACGTTACAAACTATGGAAAATACATTTTTGGTGTCGTGTCAATGACTGGAATCGCGATTTTTTTTGTCTCTGTCGTCCTAGTCGCAGACAATTCAATTATACTCAGGCTAAACCCCATTAAAAGAAAAATCAATCGATAATTTAAGCCAATGTGGACACAAAGGGTGTGTTAGATTATTTCCGCCGCAAAGGTAAATTAAAAGGAGAATTTATTTTCTTCTGACATTTGAAATGATATTTTTTTATGAGGGAATTAACATTTTGAACCAAACCACGGAGACATCACATCCGTTTTAAACAATGGCCAAGTCCCTCGCGGTCACTGGTGACGTCACGGTTTCCTGACACGGCCCCGGTTTGCGGATTCTTGTAATACTTCGAAATAATTTTTTTTCGGGTCCGCACTTGTAATGAGTTTTAATCAGTTGCGAAAAACCGCAGTAACCAAAACATCTGGTCGCCATTTTGTGTTTGTATAAAAAGGAACAATCTAGATTTTATCAAGAATTATGCTTTCTTCGCAAGAGACATCAGTTAGTCCCAGATTTCATCCGGATGTCGAAGCTCAACCTAATTAAACTTTAGAATCCTTCGCAAATTTTGCATATTTATCGTTTAAATCCCTTCTAGGGTTTCTCCTGGAGCTATCGTAAAGCCATGCTCTTAATCAAATCAATGACAGGCAAGGGGTTCAGGAAAGGAACGACAAGTCGCGGCTGGTCCTAAAGTTTATTTTGGTCGCTTCGCTGCATCAAAACAATTACTTCGATTTTGAGTTCAATCTCGCGACGAAATGTGTCATTGCAAACAAAGACGCCCTAAGTGCACTGTTCTTTTGTTTGAAAACAGCTTCCTGTAACTTAGGAAATATTTGCCGCAGTGTGAAAGAAAACTACTTTGCGACGCAAAGTAAGATAGAGAGAAACCTCGCAGACTTAAAGT